ATCAACGTGGTGTACGAGTCATCAGTGTAAGTCTCAGCAGCCAATGCCAAATTCAACAACGCCGATGGAATCTGCGCTTCGTATGGAAGGTACGCATCAAGGTTAGCCTTCACATCGTTCACTAACGCAACGATGTAGCACGGGTTGGCATCTGGATCACCGCCAGCGGTTGGAGCAGCATTAGCCGAAGAAGTTAAAACAGGGACCGCGGAAGACACAGTAGGGCTAGTAGCGGAAGAGGTGACGGTTTCACAAGCGGCAGCAGCATTCGCTAAGACAGAGGACAACCTGGTAGGATAGAAAGGAAGATTGGTGACAACAGATTCTAAGTCTCCTAAGTCAAGGAGAGTAGCGACTTCACTCGCGATTACATCGGCGGAATCGTCTACCAATCCTATTAAGTCAGTTGGAAACTCGCTGAGGTAAGGAAGATATTCGGCAAAGTTCTCGCCAATATCTTCAACCAAAGCTACGAGGCCACAGGTGGTATCGAGTGGGTCAACCAGCCTTTTTTGCAAGGCAAGAAGCGGCACAGCTGCTTTCGCAACAGCCAAAGGATTTACGGGCATGGGTAAATTGGATTTGGCTCTTTGTCAGTGTTAAAAGAACGGGTCTGGGGTATCTGGATATAAATTCAAGGTTTTTTTAAGTGGGGAGCTTGATAGCGCTTGCAAACAATAGACGCGAAGGGGCTGAAACTACGGGAACACCAGTGCGACGGGGTGATGCTCTTTACTTATACCCTTTCGTCGCGTCAAGATCTGATGAGGACATAGGGCCTAGCCCAAAACTGCTCTTGTGTTTAGCACGCTAGCCCCTGGGGAGCAGACGCGTGTGTCACTTCATGTGATATCTGAAGTGTCCGTCTAAATTGCATGTGTCTGCCCTTGACATCGTGGAGAAAAAGGATCAAAGATACATTAATGTTAGCATCTCGAATTCCCCTCTCTGCAAGAATGGCTTAGAATATCCCACCAAGGTCGAGACGCGCGCGCAGGATATTTCCACATTCATAGACGCACTACAAACCTTAAACTTATTAGCCACCCTGGTCTTCAAGGCGCATTAGTTGATGGGTGGGTCATTTCTTTCGACCAAAAAGAGGTCTTGAATATGCATTCAAGCGGGGTCTACATAATTATGTATTTGAGCACAACCGGCACCAGGGGTACCGAAAGCAGAAGGAGACTCCTTCAATAGACGCGAGATGGACGAAGTCGCTCTAGTTAGGCTGCGTATCTCCAAAGCTCAGGGAATAGCGGCATTTGCTGGGATATAAGCTGTTTCCTCAGCCATTCCGTAGGGATTTGCTCTGTATCTGTAAAAATGCTCGTGGTACAAGACGTAGGCAGGCTAGTCCTCGCTTATAGTCCTACCCTCTTCTCTAGGGTTATGCATATCCTGCATACATAAGACGTGGAGTTCCCCCTCGTAGCTCTGTGGCGACGTACGTAAAGAGTATGGACCTACAGAAGGCTTGCTGCCGCGCATACGCTATATGTGTATGCGTATTTTATAGGTGGATATGATATCTAGTATGACCGTAATCATTTAGCGATATGTAACGCCTATACATATATAAGGTATATGTAAACACAAATGTCTATTTTGCGTATATATACCTAACACAGTAGGGTATCCCAAAGCTTATCTTGTTGAATAATGCTTTGCTGTAACTTCCGAGTTCCAAGTGTTTGATCTGCAAAAAAAGCCATGCTCCCCGGAGTTTCAGGTTGGAATTCGTGCTTTTAGAAGTGCATATGGAGCAACAATAAATTGAGGCCTAGCAATTGTAAAAGCTTGACGTAAGCGAATGGAGGTGCGTGGGCCGCACTATTGTAACCCGAAAGTGGAATTAAGGGATGAAGGTCACTAACCATCTAGACCACAAACATGTGCTAGTACATGGATCTTACGGTTAAGATTGATTTTCCGTATTTTAAGCTTTTTGAGATGGTTTTCACGTGTATATATAAGGTATAGGAGGGAACTGAAGGTGCATGCCTGTTACTAGTCTGCTCCCCACACGGTTAAGGCTTAGTTAATACGTCCGTCTACGGCTAAATGTCAGATGCGAAACGACCTCATCTCCAAACGATTCTAAAAGAATGGCTGCATCTATGTCCCCTCCTCACGCACGCATTGAACGGAGCCATCATGCCCCAAAAAATTTCTCCTCACTTTCCTCTTTCAGTGCTAATATCTGAAAGATCCAGTTCGGAATACGTAATCAAGGTGATCTGCAACACTGCTGAGCCCGTGCATAAACGCCATAGATCGTCTATGCAGCTATATATACCTACGAGGGGCCCACGTATCTCACACCGTATATACACTCGACCATGGCAAACTGTATTACAAACGAATGTCGAGCGTCGTCTCTAAATGATAATGGTCATGCACCCTCGATTAGGCACTGGATATCCCCAATTCCCCTCATTTCTACTCGACTCACATCATCGATCTCATCCCTTAAAACCTTACGGCCGAAATAGTCCAGATTTGCAACCCGTAAACCTCTGTAATCCCTGTAAATGGACCTAGCTATAAAGTTGAGAAGGTCCAAAGTTGCTGGGTATGTGAAATTGTTTTCCTTAGAAACCCCACTATAAAACCTATCAGTTGATATTCCAATCGAGACGGTCTTTATCCGCCTTTATAACATTGATAACGATATGGCCATGTTTTGGGTGACGTGTTTCTATATTGTCCTGTCACATGCTCTGTCTCTCGAGACCCATGCCTGTATATACATCCAGCCCCCCCATACAGCTACTGAAAAAAGCTAAAACTTTATTGCAGCCGTAAAAGCCGAACTGGGCTCCCCAATGCAGATCTTAAGCTTTGGTGGACCAGGGAAACCCACCATGAGATCCATACAAGCGAGCACCATGTGCAACTGGCACCAAAACGGAAATACCCATATCGTATGTGGCGCACGTTAGGATTTGGGAAGTATCCCCCTGTTTTTGGCCCTAACCCAGATCCATTGTTGATAAAATTCAGGACGCCATATCACCAGCAACCTGCAAAATCACCTCCTCGCACCAGTCCAATAGCTCGTTTTTCTGCTTGATTTTCTCGATACGCTCTTTCTCCACCAAGTCCAACTTTGTCTGTAAGGACTGAATCTTGAACAACTGCTCCTGGGGCGATACACCGATCCCCGGCAAACTGTCAATCAACGTGATAATCTGCCGTGTCTTGAGAATGATGTCGGTGGAGAGCTCGTTCACATTGTTGGTGAATTCCTCTTCCTGCTGCACCAAGGTCATTGCCAACACTTCTGTAGAGGGATTTGGGGCCGTATGGCTTTCAGCGGGGGAATCGCCGCGTTTAGAGGGACTCTGGGCCTGTGGTTCTGCCACAGGCGGGCCCGGTGTGGGCTCCTCACTGGTGACATAGTTAAGCGTAGCGGAAAACTGTTCCACGAGCTGGTCCAAGCATATCTGTAGTTGTGTCAATCTGTCAGCCATAGCTAGGTGTGTATAGGGTGTGACGGTCTTTTGTAGGTGTAAAGAGTGGTGGATTCTACTGGCTGATGAAGTTTCGAGGCGAGCCCTTCGTCTTTTTCTGTATGAGATGTCCAAGCAAAATATGCAGTATTTTTTTTCGCCCAACTGATTAAATTTCGCGAAAGGGTCTGTACTTGTTCACCAGCAATCAAACAGGCCAAAGGCCAGATCGAATTCCTCTCAACGGACGAACCTATTGGTCGCAGACCTTTTTCAAAATACCAAAGACTTAAGCACGGTCTATAATCGATTAAAATGGACTAGTTGGTATCGGGCGGAGAGAACTTTGGGCTCTTTGAGGATTTGCAGGGTACTATTACGCCCCCAGTACAGGCTCAAGCTATAGATAGCGTTTGCACGTAAAATACTTGTGAGATTATAACTTCTTCAACCGGGATGGGAACTTTTGGATAACAGATAGACACGTGTTTTTAGAGCCCCATAATCCAATATCACCGGACAGACAGCAACCACGAGTAAAGATTCTGGGTGGGGAAACGTACTGGATATTTTGTATAATATTCCATCACGTGACTGGAATCTCGTTTTCCGGACGCGTCCGAAAAATTGCATATAGGCTGAAATGTGTGGAGTATAAACATTGGCATCACCTACGCACCGCCCTGTTTCTGTCCTTTGAAGGCCAATAACGATACACTGACCCTGAAACAACCAAAAATGTCTGAACAAACACACGTATACGCGCCCGAGACGCTTGTCTTGGCAAAGATCAAGGGCTTCTCGCCCTGGCCGGCAATGGTGATCGAGGAATCTCTTTTGCCTGCCGACATTCTCAAGAGAAAGCCCAAAGCCACCACCTTGTCCAAAAAGAGACGTGGTAAGACCGCTACAGGCTCCGGAGAGCCGATTCCCGTGAGGTTTTTCGCAGATGATACATACAACTGGATGGACGCCCCAGACTTGTCGCCGTTAACCCTGGAGATGATTGGCACGTTCAAGAAAAAGGGCAGCAAGTTGTTTGTTGCAGCATACGAGTTTGCTGCCAATCCTCCCGTGATGTCGGACTTTGCCAAGTGGGGGAGCTACGGTCAGGATAATGTGGTGGAGGAGGAAGAGCCGGTCAAGCCGGTAAAGAGAAAGGCGCCGGAGCCTAGAGTCCCTGCTAAAAAGTCCAAGCCTGAGCCGACCAAAAAGGCCCCTGTGAGGGTTCCAAAGGCATCCAAAACGAAACCTAGACTTGTTATAGCGGACTCTTCGGACGACGAGTTTGACTTGACGGACTATGAAGACGACTTTGGCATTGATGTACCTTTTGGGAAGGAGTTGTCTGACCTTTTGAGAAAGTTCGAGCCCGTCATCGTCAATGCCAAGATCTTTTTCCAAAAAGCGTATGTAAACGACATAAACCTGGATGAAAAAGTCTCGTTGGCTGAGACGGTGGTTGCGCAGACCTCCAAGACCTTGGATACGTTGTTGAAGAATGCTACAGTAATCCCGTTGTCTGTGGTGTACAAATCCAGTTTGTTTAGGGTTTTGCTTGCCATCTTGAAGAGGCCCGAGTTGGAGGCATTGACACGCACCGATAGGGAGTGGGCCAAGACGTACCGCAAGTTCCAGAAGTTGGTTGCCGTTTGGTTTGACATGGAGGTGCAAGTCGACGAGAGGTGGTCGATGAGGGAAGAGGAGAAACAACAGACGGAAACCACTCCGGAAACAGAAGTCAAGCCGGAGGCTGAAGCTGTGGCAGAAATCTAAACCTTGGAGTGGGGAACCACTGTGGGTCTTTTGTTGCATAATACGTAGAATAAAGCAGCATTTCTGTATCGTACCAACGTAAGTGGACAAGCTTAATATTTATCAATCTCGTTGCTCTTGGGATCCACAAGGAGCTGCGATAATTCAATTACAGATATCAACTCGTTTGATTGGATCAAATTGCATCTCGTATTTTCACCTCCCTATTCAAAATTCCGTTGTAGGAACCACCCATAAATTAATATTTGCAAGTTGCAGCAAACTCTTTGATCAAAGATCCAACCCCCATATACATTAGGCTTCATTGCCTGTATCCAAATCCTCGGCATCGTTAATCCGTCTCTTAACCCACTTCGTAACGCATAAAGCCAGTAATCTAATACGTTTCCCATTCAAACCTACACCTTCCAACCATTCATTTACATTAATACAAGTTACAACATCATCTGCATGCCGGCACGGATGTAGTCCAGGCCGGGCAAGGTGTGGGTATTCCCGATACACGCAACAGCCACATCCTTGTCGCTACCCAAACGCTTCTGAGCCCACTTGACAACATCATCGCGGGTAACCTCCTCAATCTGCTTCAAGCTCTCCTCGGGCGAGATGGCCCTACCGGAACTCAAGATGTTTCTACCGATGCACTCGCCGATCTGCTCGTTGTTGCCCATGTTCAAGATGGCCTGACCCTTCAAGACATCTTTGGCGGCCTCCACCGCCTCAGCGGAGACGCGTCCGCTGCGCAAACACGCCCACTCGTACAAGATGCCGTCAACCAACGGCTTCAAGTCCGACGCCTGGTCTGCCATGAAGTAGACCCCCCACAAGCCGGTATCCTTGTAGTTTGTGGAAAATGAAGAGTACTGGTTGGCCAAGGGGGTGCCGTTGGGGCCGCCGGTGGCCGCGGTCACGGTGAGCTGGTTGTCGGAGGTGACTCCCTGGGTCCTTTCCCAGTTTCCGATGATGGTCTGTGCTACCAACGACGTCGCATAGTCCGGGTCGCTCCAGGCACAGCCCTCGACCGTGAGAACAGCAAACGTCTCCTTCAACGACAAGTCCTGAGTTTTGATCTCCCCGCCGTGGAACACCGGGAGCGGCCCGCGGATCGAGCCGAGCCGGACAGGCCGCTCGGACTTTGGCACATGGCCGAAGCACTGTTCTACCTGTGCCACAAACTCCTCGTGACGGATAGCGCCGGTGCCCACGACCGCCATGCGGTCACCCTTGTACAACGACTTGACAAAGTCTGTGAACTGTGCTTTTGAGAGCGTGCGAATGTTTTCCAACGGCCCGAGGATCGTGTACCCGAGCGGGTGGCCCTGGTACGTTAACGTGTGGAGGTCGTCGAACAACACCTCGATGGTCATGCTCTGTACTGACTCGTACTCCTGCGAGATGACATTCCGTTCGTACTCGATGGCATTGGAGGGGTAAGTTGAGCGGGTCACGATGTCGGCCAAGACATCGCACGCCTGTTCCACGTCCGTTTTCAAGCACTTTGCCCAGTAGCACGTATTTTCGCGGGACGTGTAGGCGTTCAAGTGGGCGCCGATATTCTCCACCTCGAGTTCAATCTGGGCTTTTGACCGCTTGGAGGTCCCTTTGAAGGATAGATGCTCCAAGAAGTGGGCAATACCGTTGTTGGCATCGTTTTCTGCGCGCGAGCCCGTGTCCACGTACACGGCGACATTGGCAGTGGATACGCTGGGGATGCTCTGAGAGGCAACGGTAAGGCCGTTGGGCAAGACGGTGGTTTGGATGGAAGGGGTTGCAAATGTGCGAAGCCCGCGGAGCCCGCGGAGGTTCCCGGGAGAGGTTAATTTTCTCAACATGGTGTAGATAAGATGAGGAGATGAGGTAAGAGATGAGATGAGAAGAATTTATGTGTGGATGGAGGCGCCAAAATTTGAGGTCGTGTGTGGCATAGCTAATGGCGGGACGGTGGTTAGTAATCGGGCTGGACTAGGCTTGAGCGGATTACAAAGGCCGAGGAGAACCCTTTGTCCAGATATATTAATTTAGTATTATCACTATATTCTATGTTATCATATACCCTTTGTTATACTTTCCATAATTTTTAGTTTTTTGAGTTTGTTTGTTTTTTTTTCCTTTTTATAGCTAAAAACTAGGATAAATCGTTTACTGCCCTTCCACCACTGTCATATTTTAGCAAATGCGTGGCGTTATATAGTATCTGGATAATGTGGAAAAAAGATCGCTGGCATAAAATCAGAGAGTTGTCAAATATATTCGTTTAGCTTAAGTCAACCGTTCTTAAAAATTGCGAGTGTTGGTTTGGGGACCGGAACTGAAAGTATGCAGCGTTTGGCTTCGCATCCTCCATAAAACCCCCGAAATGTTTCATCCTTGGTTGCCTAATTTCTCAGTTATAGATAACGTAGCCGTGGGTGTTATATTTTCATGAGGATGTACATTTTGTTGAAAACATTCATGAAGGAGCCTTTCACGTCAAAGTAAGTGATACACGATCAACCCCTACGCCGATTTAAATCATTAATCTTTGGTTTATTGTCTATAGAGGTTTTACACGATGGTGTACGTAGACTTCCACCTCGCGGATAACCATAAATACAGTCAATGGTAATGGCCCCCCTTTTATTTTTTTCTGGAATAACCTGGTATAAAACCAAGTCGCTTGGTGGGGATAAAACACTCGCTTCGATTGTAGTTTAGCTTCACCGCACGTGAAGCTGGCCTATACAATCACACTTGTCTTGTTCTGTATCATACCACACTTTGCTTGGTGTCATACCACACTCATTGCTTAGTGTACTAGTAGAACCACACTCGTTTCGCTCATGCTCACATTGCCTCCACTTCGTCAATCCCCCCATCTTCCTCCTCCTCTTCCTCCTCCTCAAAGTCTAGCCCGGCAAAAATACTCTCGGTCGGTGGCCGCCTCATCAACTCCGTCGCTGCAAACAATGGCCCGATCTGATCAAACCACCGCGCCTTCTTATCAATCAACGCCTTCATCCCGCTGTTCGCCGCCTGTTCATGCGCCAACTTGGCCACCGCATGAGCGAGCGCGGTTGGTGTCTGGGTCGGCGCGAGCTTCTTCTTCTTCGACTTGGGCACCTTGATCCGCTTGAGGTATGCCTGGTCGATCTGCTTGTCCAAGTCTTCGCTGATCGAGATAAACTCCTGCCACGCGATCTGCTCCTCGATGATCGGAATGAGTCGACGCTTGCGGATGTTGTTCGCCTTACTCACCGTCTTCAACTGCCCCTGGAGCTTGCGCAACTCCACACAAACCTCGTCATCCTCCATCTCCTCCAACCACACGTCCTCAATCGCCTCGTCCTTCTTCTTTTTGTCATCAGACTCCTTCTCGTTCAGGAACACTCCCACATACTTCAACTCACGTTTCAAGCGCTGCTCTAACGTGGCGTAGTCTGGCTTCGGTGCCGCGAGCGTGTGTTCATCGTCCGCGCTGATATGCGCGGAACACACTTCGGCCCGCCCCTCTTCCTCCTCCTCCTCCTCCTCCTCCTCCTCTCCCTCCGCCTCCTCCTCCTTCACTTCTATCTGATCAAAGTCGTCAAGCCCCATGAGCCCGCTAAGCAACCGCGAGCTAAGTGCACCCACAGACACGTCATCCGTGTCGAGGTTGTCATCGTTAACCTCCGAAAGCGAGCCCTTGGCCACGTACGCCTCAAAGCTCCTGGTGACTAGAGCGGCGCCGGGTGCACTGTCCTCGTCGGCCCATACCTCAGTGTACGGCCGCCCGAGTTTAGGGGTCAAGAACGGCAGGATCGATGGGTCGTAGCTGGTCTCAAGCGTCATGTTACTGGAGGCGTTGCTGTGGGGGTTGGGGTTTGTGCTGACGTTTGTCGGAAGAATCGCCTTCTTCTCGAGGAAGGCGATATCCTCCTCGCAGAATGGCCGGAAAAAGCTCTCAATGTGCGTGGCAAACGTCGCAAACTGCACCTGGTTCGCGGGCTTCAGATGCGACAAGTCTGTGTCTGGGATCGTGCCACAGAGCTTGTCCGCCAAGTCCGACGCGGGATACACGGAAACCGCGTACTTCTTCTGCAAGTATTCGTGCATCAGGGCCTCTGAGGCCGGAGGGCCTTCGTCCACGTACAACCCCAACTCCAGGGCACCCTCAGGAAGCGAGATGGGAAGCGTTTCGAGCGGTTTTACCGGTTCTTCCAGCTCTTCTGGAATATCCACAACCTCTTTTTTGACCTCAGTCTCGAGCTGGGGCTCGGGGAACGAGGAAACGGCATCCTCAAAGTCCTCACTTGCAGCGCGCGGCGTCTCAACCGCGGGCGTCACATTCTCCGGCACTTCTTCGCCGCGCTCACGGAGCACGTCGTCCACTTTTTCCAACAAATCGTGGTCTATACCGATAAGCCGATCAAAGGCTTTTACTAGATCGCGCAAATGCGTCTTGAGCGCGCCGAGCTTTGCGTTGTCAGGCACGGAAGTGATGGCATCGCCCATGATAACGCCTAGAGAGGCGTCGTAAGAGAGTTCAAGCTCCGCTAACGCCACATTGAGGCTATCAGAGATGGACGGGTCCCCCAGCGGGTATGGGTTTTTGCTGGAAAAGGGCGCACGTGGCGTCGACTTTGAGTACGATTTGGTTCGCAGCGTCCGGGGTGGCATCAAAAATGGTGATTGTAAATGGTGATTGTAAATGGGGATTGTAAACAGTGATAGTAAATGGAAAGCGAGTAGTAGCGAATGGAGGATTTCAGATACAATGGATGGGTAATAATACAGATGATGAGTCCAGCAAAGAGAAAGAGCGAGTTGCTCATGTTGACATCCTTCAGCGTTTATATCGTAGAGTGGTGCACGCACGCCTGGAAAATGTTAGATTAAAAAAAAAAAAAATGTAAGTCAAATGATTTCGCCCAGGATCGAACTGGGGACGTACTGCGTGTTAAGCAGGTGCCATAACCAACTAGACCACGAAACCACCCGATGAGGAAACGGGATTTATGACTGGACTCTTGCCATAGACCATAAAAGAGGCTTTCAAGTATGTAGAGATGTAAAAAGGGAGGAGCTCCAGAGGGGGGTTATTGGTACTAGAAAAAATTACTGTCAGCGCTTACCTAGATAATAACAACGTGTCCAGTTAGTCACATCAGGGCCCAGCTTGGCGGATCAGAATCCGACGTAAAGTCTAGCTTAGATATACAACTCCGTGAGCCTTACGGGAAACCAACGGTTCGAGGGCTGTTATGGTAAATATTACCGGTAGCACCGCCAGGGGTTTGGGGTGCATGGTCAGATTTATATATTGGATAGACAGGCGGAGTGAATGCCTTGTATGTCATCGTTAAGGGAGGCTCGTTATTTCATCGGGGTTTCACACACCGCAGTCTATGCTTCCCTCGGAGCCCAAATTGGTGCAACCCGGTCAACCTGTGGGAATGATTTATCGGCACATGCCTCTCTACAACCTGAATACATAAAAACCCCGGGGGTTCAAGATTAAACACATAACATAGTTACAGATAAAACAGAAACAGAAGTAAAGCAGTTTTTAGGCGGTGAAATCAACTCACCAACGCGGTTCCTATTTAACTTCAGAACCGTTGTGTTCAGCCCATTCGGCCTCGGCGGCCTCCTCTTCTTCGTCGTAGAGCTCCCCGTCCTGGGTCTCGTAGTCGCCACGAATAGACAAGGTTGGTCTGATAGCGGCCTGGTCCAAGGTCCACGAGGCCAAAGCGTTTTCGGCATCGATAATGATCTGCTTGGAGGCTTCGTAGCCGTCGTAGGCTGGTCTGCCCTCACCAGGGGTGATGGCGGAGTCGTCCAACAACTCCAACAAAGCCTTACCGTACCCGGCAATTAAGGCCAATTTTTCAGCCAACTCTCTCAAGGCGTCAAACTGATAGTTGAACGCAACCTTGACCTTTTCTCTGGTAATGTTGGACAATTGGGCCTCGGCGACAAGGGACTCAGCCTCAGCTCTGACCAACTCCTGCTCCAAGACCGGGATCTTTGGGGACTGTGGGTCCTTGTACTTCAAGTGGGCGATTTCATCGGTGATCTTCTGCTTTCTGTCACGGGATGGCTGGACGGAGGCTTCGATGTTTCTGATGGACTTCAAAGTAATACGGTACTGGTCGTACTTGTCGACGAACTGGTCTTCCAATTCACCAATTTCGTAGATCAAGACCCCCAACTTGTCGGTGACATCAGACACATCGTCGTCGTTGCCCTCACCCCAGAGGGACAATTGCTTGGCAACTTCACGACGTTCGCGCGCAGTCAATTCAATGGCTCTCATGACGTTCTTCTCCATCTTGACGAAGGTGGACAATTTACGGGACAATTCCGGGCCGAAGTTGGAGGTGGCACCCTTCTTCAAGGAAGAAGAGATGGAGGACTTACCGAAGAAACTGAACTTGGTGGAGGATGGTGGTGGCGGAGGGGACGCGATCTGAGCAGCGGTAGGCGCTCTCTGGGATCTCAAGGAATAAGTTCTGTGCATTTTGCGAGCTTATTAATACAAATAACAATTGGATCTAGCAATTGGTGTAGGTAAGGAAAGAGAGAAAAAGAAAGGAAACAGGGGGAGTGTACGAAGCAAAGGGAAGCGTGCAACTTATATAGAAAATTAAGGGGCTGGCGTTTAGCGTTGGGCGTCTATCATTGCGCCGACAGCAAAGGTGGCCATTTTTCCCTTGGCGCCTATCGCTACGCTTACGGTAATCCCAGAGCAGTAGAATGCAGGCCATCTGCGACGCGTGGGAGCAACTAGCCGGGAAAACCCAACGCCGCCGCAGCAACTGAGCTTCTATACGTGTTATCCGGCACTTAGGGGACCGTGGCCGTGGTTTCTGTGCGAAGTAAACCGCGATGCCCCCTGGGAATACGTAACCGTGCGTAAGAGGTGGGAGGCTACACAGCGGCTCTGAACTTGACTATGGCATTCGAGAACACGGTCTGAGACACATTCAACTGAATGGTTCGAGTTTTTCTAGAGTTTGAGCTCTCATGAGGCGTATCCTCGAGGGAGGGCGGATCCTTCCGGAGAATGTTTAGCGACTAGTTCAAACGCCGCAGTGGGTACAGGACCTATCATGTCCCAATTAGGCAATTTTTTCTCCGCGATCGTGGATGTGATAACCCAACTTCCGCCGCGAATATGAGCGGAGAATTGCGAGATCCAGAAACTTCGGCAGCATAATGTAAAACGGTGTTTTTAGACCAAAATATGTCACCATGCGTCTGAAACACCGTGTAGCTCCGAGTTGGACTCAAAGGCTGAACTCAATGACCCGATTAAAATGCACATGGTGACAGATCTGTGCTGCTTCTACGGGGCTCACAATTCTCTGGCCCATAATAAGTGGAAAGCAAGTTTTAGAACAAAAGCTGGAAAAATTCTTAAGTCCCGTATATCAGCGTGCCGGCTGCTTTGGACGGAATTCCCGGCTAGAATGGGATTTCGATTTTACCATAATCTACATACTTAGATATGCCAGGTCCTTGATCTAGAAATGAGACACAAACAGCTTACCAGGCGTTTGAAAGCTGATAATAGGATTAAACACCCGTAACTACCAAGTTCACCTCTATCGGACTTAAATATTCACCTATACAGCGAAACTAACCACCGATGAAAGCTCGTATTAACGAGCAACGAGACAACGGCCACAGCCAAATTTTTGCTATTGCCATATGGAACGCAGTCGGTCTTCATGCCTGTTACACTCTTCCGTTTCATCGAACCTAAAGTACACGTTGCAAGGAGCCTTTTTGATCTCAGAGGGTAGTCACAATTACTTAGCGACCTCTGAAATATCCAGCTCTCTCCCTATGATAAATGCGATCTTTGCCTCCTCAGCCTCTGGGCAATACAACTATCTTGCAAACTGATGAAATGTCCTACACCGGTCATCTGTTTTCTGTAAACTCATATATTATACATTACTCTTGCATGCCTGGACGGGCATTCTAAATCCTTAGCACCCTTCGACAGAGATCTCTGAGGCCTTAGACCTCTTTCTTTTTACCTAGACCTTTTGCTTCTTTGACTGCTCGGCCTGCTCCGCCGGACGCTTGAATGCGGGCCACGAAACCTTCTCCGTGATGCGCTGGTAGTCTTCCACTAAGCGCTCATAAGCAGTGTGCAACTTATCCTTACGGGTAGCCTCTTCCAAGTCAGCCAAAGCGTCGCGGTTCTTCGCATACAACCGTCTCTTGATCAACAAGCGGGTTGCGCGCGGCGCGGCGCCTTGGTGCACGAGGGCCATCTCGGTCAAGCGATGAAACTGGCGCGCATCCAACTTCTCCGCACGCTGGCGCGCGCGCAACCAGTCCGCATCGACATCGGCCGCGCGTACATCTGCAAGAAGTGTGCGCGCCAAGCGCGTCAAGTCGCAGCGGTCGCGCAAGTCATCGAACGCCTCCGACGGGTCCTCTACCGTGACCTCGGCCACGAGCGGGTCCGCAAGCCACCTCTCCATAAGCGTGTCGTACAACTTAGCACCCACGCGGCGCGACTGGTACGGTGGCAACACGATGAACTGGGAAATCTTCTTGCGCACAGACAATGCCGCGACATCACGCACATCGTGGCGCGCAGCGCCCTCGTATTTGAAGTAAGAGTACGCGGTCGCAAAGCCTGCAAGGCGCGGCTTGTCGCAGTCCTCGTACACCAAGAACAACTCCCACAAGTCGTCAGTCTCGTCGATATAAGACCCGGCCTCGATAAACAACAAGACAAAGATCTGGAGACGGCGGTGGAGCTCCAACGTGTTGAGGTCGCGGAAACTTGCGCGGTAAACGGAGAACGCACTATCGCGCGACGTGAACGACGCAATCTTGGTTCCCGGGATCTCGAACGTCGCGCGCTCACGCGTGCACGCGTCGACCCACGCGCCCTCGTCACGGAGCATCACCTCTTCGGGCAAGAATGCCAAAAGCTTGTCGTAGAGCTCCTTCTCTTCGTGGTCCGCAAGCTTCTCGTCGTATTTGACGTTCAAGAACGGCTTCATCGTCCACGAGTCGAAAACCAAGTTGATTGCGAGGTTTTTGTAACCAAACACCGTCTCAGCGTCACCAAAGATCGGATACGTGAATTGCGGCGCGAACGTAACCGCGCCGTGGCCCTCGGTGTCCGCAAGTGATACTTTGAGAGCGGTATTGGATGAGGCAGTCCAGATTTCCGGCTGGAAAGCAGCGGTAGATGATTCAGTCATTGTGTGTGCTCTGGTAGGTTGGAATACAGCGTCGCGGTGTAAGCATTTAAAAAATACGACGCTTACGCGAAGACGTCGCGTCTGTGTCAGCCACGACGCGCGCGCAGGATATACTCCAGCCGTGCCGAGAAGGATGAGGGTCTGGTGTATTCCAAACCTTTACAATTGAAATACTGTCACCAATCGTGGACTTCTGTCCATCTTGGTACTACACTCAATTTTTCTCTATCAATTTTTTTTGGCCCGGAATAATCCCCCAACCTTTACCAATTATCATTACTGCTCAGCCTCTCTCTGTCTTCCTGGCTTCCATCTTCCGCTTCTTACTCTGGTGCTTGTCCATCCACTTTTTATTCGCAACCTCGACGGTCTCGGTCGTCTTCTTCTTGCACATCGGCTCGTAGACACCCACCGGTCTACCGTTGCCATCGCCCAAGTTTACCCTGATCTTTTCTCCCAAAAACTCTGGGTTTGGTGCAATCAGACGGAGCATGAAGTCATTCACATGCTTCTTCAAGTTGGCCTCCATCCACATGGACCTGACAGTGCCCAAGGTACGGTTGTGCTTCTCGAGGCGCATCGGTGGCGCCGTGAACTGGATCTCATCGGGATACTTGCAGTCGAAGAGTATCAACGGGGTGTCGCTGGCCATGTCGTAGTACGGCCTGCACGGGTTCAGCACCACATCGAGCAAGTAGTCCACCACCAGTGGCGCCTCCAACTTTTGACCCACCAAAAACAACACCGCCACCATGCACCGCACTTGGTGCCACAAGAAGGCCGTCCCGCGCAAGTCAAAGACGTACCAGTTGTCGTTGTTGCCTTCATTGAGGGGAAGAATCTGCGCCGAAAGCATTGTTCGTCTGAAGTTCTTGATCTGCTTCGACCCGTCGAGCTTGCAGAAGTTACGGAAGTCGTGCTCTCCCTCGTACTTACGCGCAGCCTCGTTCATCCGGGAAATGTCCAAGCCCTCACTGTGGAAAATGTACTTGTAATGGCGCCATTCGCACGAGAAACGGGCATCAAAGGTCTCTGGGGGCGACAAACACACTCCGGAAACCTTGATATCCTTCGGCAAGAGGTTGTTCAAGATGTTTACGTAGTCGATCTCGGTGTCGTTGTTCGCTGGGTCCGCCTGCTCCTCGGGTGAGAACTTTGATCGCACGCGTAAGGACACTACCTGGTGCATCGCACTGACTCCGCGATCCGTGCGCCCACAGCGGCTGAACTGGAAGTCTGTTGGCTCCATCGACGGGATTAAGCGGCACTTGTGCAACGCCTCGAAAAGCGTGTCCTCCACCGTCGGCAACGGCGTCGGTTCACGCTGGAACGCGAGCCCGCTGTAGTCCCAGCCAAGATACGCAAACCGGAGCACAATGTACCGCGTGTGATATTTGGAAAAGTCAAACTCCTTCTGTTTGCGGGAAGCCACCGGGAGAGTGTTGTGCTTGGACTCCGTAACCGGCATACCGATGAGACGAGAAATCTCGTGGGAGCTCTTTCCTTCTAATTCCATGACCTTGATCAAAAGCTGTCTCTTGGACCATTTTGTGTAGTCCACCTTTTCCGTCCAGGCAGAGGCAGCTGGGAGTTCGATCGATGGGGCGGCCTCAACTGGGGCTGATACGGGAGCTAAGACTGGGGTTTTTTCCATGGTGACAGTTCGGATGAGCGGTAAAACGATTTTTGTTAGTCTCTGTCTGAGAACCGAAATCATATACCCGACAATGGTGGGGAAGTCCAGGTGTCTGTCACCGTTGGCTGAAATCGGTTGGAAAATTCGAAATTTTCAGTCACGTGAGTTGTGCGGCGGAGCTAGTTGAAGATAAAGCTCTCAGAGGTAAACTTGGGAAGTAGGTGGTGTAGGTTGGAGAGCTATCAAACAAGTACTCAAAATAAAGTACTAGAAGTGTCCGAGAATTCGGAAGCAATAGTGGCTTGTGTGTATAAAAATCTTTGGTAGACTCTAATCAACAAAAGGTGGTTGTTTTAGTACAATGAGATGAGATACCATGCGGATTCAGGGTGGTTGAGATAGTTATTCAAACGTACATGTCTTTCTCTCCTGTAAGAGTGCTATTATGGTTTGAAAAAACTTGTATTTTACGTAATATAGCTCCTTTTATGGTTTAAATGGATGCGCTTGGATCACCTATTCGCTCACTGATATGGCTTTTATCAGTGCTAAGCTTGGCCCTAAAAATATATTATATAGGTATATATAAAAATTCACTTATTAATCACTACGACTTACTTTTGTATTATATTTAATTTAGATTATCCATAAATATACTGGTAAATATAAATTCTACTATACATTTATACTACAATATATACATATACTATAATTAATGGATATATACATATTTGAACGCTAAAAAAGTATTATTTAAAAATAACCAAACCGTATTTGCTTCGCCCCATCTTTCCAGCTAAAAAAAGCCATATTGTTTCATATATTTCCATATACTCCTCATATACTTCCCATATTAATACAAACATTCTTATTCTCAGGTAAATCTAATTACCTTATCACGTGACCAAAACCTACATCACGTGCTTTGCTCATCGCATTACCTGCAGGCTGGAATATTTTTCATTCATCTCTTTACACTTTCCTATCTATCTCCTATTCCTTATACAACATGTCCACTTCATCGCTTGCATGGGAAAACCTCACATACGATCTCCAACCGTGGATCAAGGAGATGGTCAAATCTATGGGCTTCACGTCCATGACACCAGTCCAGGCGGCCACCATCCCGCTCTTTTGCGGCAACAAAGACGTCGTGGTGGAAGCCATGACTGGGTCTGGTAAAACCATGGCGTTTGGGATTCCCGTCTTGGAAAAAGTGTCACGTTACCTCCAACAACCAGGGAGTGATGGGGTTGTGAAAAAGGGCCACATGCTTGGAATCGTGCTTGCGCCTACGCGGGAGTTAGCCAACCAGATTAATCAGGTTTTCCAGGGGATGCTCCAGTTCCAGCCAGCTGACCATGTTCAGATCCGTACCCAGTTGCTTGTGGGGTCTTTGGCATCTGTCAGAGAGGACCTCAACACGTATGTATCGGAAAAGCCGCACATTTTGATCGCCACTCCGGGCCGGATGTTGGACTTTTTGTCATCCAACTTGGTCAGAACCCCAAGCTTGGAGATTCTCGTGTTGGACGAGGCAGATAAGCTACTTGATGTTTCGTTTGAGATGGATGTGAGGGCCATTATTAGGCAGTTGCCGCGTCAGCGCCGTACGGGCTTGTTCTCCGCGACGCTCTCGTCTGCCGGAGACACGATTTTCAAAACGGGGATGACGAATCCGGTGAGAATCAGTGTCAAGGCGCAGAAATCAGGCCAGGCGATGCCATCGTCGCTCGGGATCAGCTACCTCGTAACCAAGCCCGAGCAGAAGCTCCTCAACTTGCTTGTGCTCCTCAACAACTACCACTACAAAAAGGCGATTGTGTACTTCCCAACATGTACAGGGGTGACGTATTTCTACAATATGATCCAAAATTTGGTGAAAAACAGGGTGCTTGATGGTGAAGACTTGAAGTTCTTTTCCTTACACGGGAAGCTCCAGGCCAAGCCCAGAATCAAGACCTTGAATGCATTCACGGACGCCTCTGCCTCGGGCGGGAAGTCGATATTGATGACCACGGACGTTGCTGCCAGGGGGATCGATATTCCAGATGTGGAGCTAGTCATCCAGATGGACGCTCCGACGGACCCAGACGTGTTTTTGCACAGATGTGGGAGAACCGGAAGAGCCAACAAGGTGGGGAAAGCCATTGTATTGTTAAACGAGGGCCGCGAAGAGGACTATCTCTCGTTTATGGAGGTTCGCCACGTTGAAATGTCCGAGACCAGCGTAGATTTGAGCCAGTATAGCGAGTTTTTCGAGAGAATCACGGCCCGGGTCAGAAAGTGGATTTTGGGCGACAGGGCGAGACACGAGTTGGGGGTAAAGTCGTTTGTGGGATTTGTCAGATACTACTCCAAGCACCAGGCCTCATCCATTTTCAGACTACAGTCTCTTGATTACTTGGGTTTGGCCAAGATGTACGGGTTAATGCGTTTGCCAAAGATGCCCGAGTCACGTTATGTTCCCCAGGAGTTGATGCCGGAAGAAGGTTGGCTAGGCGAGAAGATTGACATGGATGCGTATGCGTACAAAGATGTCCAGAAGGAGAAGTCGCGTTTGGACACGCTCGAGACGGAGAAGCAGAGGCGGCTTGAGCAGTCGGCGAAGCGCAAGGAGTTTAAGCATAATAACACCGCGTGGAGTGACAAGACGGACACGAAGGAGGGCAAGGCCGTGAGAAGGGAGAAGATGAAACGGAAGAGAGAGGCGATCCAGAAGCAAATTATGGAGGAGCCGAGTGACGATGAGGACCAGGTGGTGGACTGGAAGGATATGGTGCGGGCCAACAAGAAGAAGAAGAGCGATTCGGGGATGCAGGGGTCGTTTGATGATTTGTAGAGAGGGTGAGCTTGGCGAAGGCTTAAAGCGAGAGTAGCGAGGCGCATGAGGAAGGTAGAGTTGCGAAGGTAGGGTTGCGAAGATATAGTTGCAAAGATATAGTTGCAAAGATAGAGTTGGCTCAGCGAACAGACATCAAGTATATATAATTAATTCATGTTACAGTAAAACTTAGATGTGTGTATAATTGAGTGGCTACAAATGTAAGGTGGCTTCACTTCCCATGATGGCCTGGATACCCCAATCTTGTCCGTATCTCAGTCCAATATAGCGGTGAGTGTCTACACAGGTGTGGCAAATTCCTTACGTCTTCACTCCCTCCGGTAAGAACACCTCTGGGGCGATCATTTCATATATAAACATCGTTACATCTCCGTTTAACGGAATATCCGCTAGACTTTCCGAGAACATTCGGACATGCCATGCTTCCGGATTAGCCGACACTTTTACCACCCTACAGATAAATACCATTTATAAGACATACCAATATGCAGATGCAAATGCAAGGGTCTTATGTACAAAGGACTAAACCATGACCCAAAGCAACAAATAAAAAAAAATGCAATAACGCCCAGATAACCCATCTCTGCTTACCTAGACAATTCGTCTCTGCCTCAACTCCCGCACCAAGCTGGGACCCACACCACCGGAGAGCACCCGCATCTTCTTGCGATGGGCGCCCTGGATGGCCTGCTTGCGAGTGCTCTTATGAAACTGCTCGATTTCAGCCCACATCTCGCGCAACACCAACTGCAGTTCGTGGTCGAGAGAGCGAAACTCCTCGCGGGTGACGTCCGTGACACTCACACGCGGCCGGACCTCTCTATAGCCTACAGCATGCGCCACTTCGCGGAACTGGCTCAGCGGAGGCATGCGAGCAACGTCCGTATCAAACTCCCTGCGGTCCCAATGCAACACCAGGTTAATCCGCTTGTAGAGCCGGGACTCTTCTTTGGAGAATCGCGAGCCGTCCACCACCAACGTACCCTGTTCGTTAGCGTCTTCGAACTTGTCACGGACTTGGAACTTCACGAGCAACGTGCTGATGCTGCGATCCAAATAAACGGTGCCAAACTTCCGCCGCATCGTGTGGAGAATAATGTGCACATTGGCACGCCAGTTCTCAGTTATCCCTGCGTTGTAGAGTCCCTGGAGCATGTGTTTGTACGTCTCCGGCGATGGCTTCACGAGATGGGCGGACTTGTACCTTATCGTGTTCATGATGGCCCAGCACAAGTCTATTCTTCCACAGGCCGCGAACTGCTCAAGAAACACGTTCATCGTGGTGACACGCACCCGGACAGGTGACCTTGGATTGTACGTGAGATACTTCTCATACACGGCGTAGGCCTGCAGGTAGCGGCCCTCCCGAAGTGCGACCTGGATGACCAACTCAACCATGGCGGCGTCGTAGTGGACGATTTCCGTATCCACCAAGTCGGCCAACTCCGCCACGAGGTCGGTGCCCGTGGCCTTGAGCTTTGGGGATATCCGCGCCGCCACGATGTCCGCCATCACGGAGCGGCACAAGCCGCGCGAGATCGGCACGTTGTGGTCCACAACCAGCCGCAACACGCTCTGCCGCGCCATGAGGTTGTCCATGGTGTCGTACACGAACCGCCAAGTCTCGCTGTCGGCGCTGACATTCATGTAGCGCATGGTCTCCAAGATGCCCACGGCGAGTTTAAGCGGGTTCTGTGAGTGGGTACGTGCACCGTACTTGCTTATGGCTTGGAGCACGATGTTGAAGCTCGCGGTGTTGGGCACACAGCCATCGATGTTCATGCTGAGGAGAAGCCGCTTGGCCACGTTCAACTGGCCTTTCCGCACCGCAAAGTAGTACATGGCATTGTTGAACGAGTCCACCGACCGGCAGTGCTTCATCTCCTCGTTTTCGAGGCTGTGGAGGTGGAGTATCAACCGCGGCACAATCCCAACGTTCAACTGGGAAGACTTCCGAAAGTAGAACCGGCCACGACACAAGTACGCGACATACTCACCAAACGTCTCACGCGTGGGGTCTTTGGGCAAGGGTCTGAGCTCCCTGTAGTGGGCTTTAGCGTGTATCGTGTTTTGAGGCGAGGAGGGCGGGGTTTTGGCCACCTTGAGAGACCCGAGAAGCGAAATGATACGCTCAAAGTCGCGTGATTGATAGTTCATAAAGAGGTCGTGGTCACTGAGCCGTTCCCGCATATATTGATAACGCAATTCCCTCCGTGAGCGCTCCGCGAGCGCCTTCTGTCGGTTGTCAAAGTCTTTCTTAGTGGGCGGGCCGTACGGTTTAGACATACCATCGACGTAGTTTGCAAGTGATGAGAGATATGGCCGGTAGAGGTTTCGCGTATAATGGGAGTTTTTTTGGACAAAGGGAAGTAGTGAGAAGGGATATTCAGGAAACCCTGTTTCTGGTAGCCCACTAGGGTTTTCTGAACTGGTCGGGGTTTCCAAACCATGGATAGAGTTCGCTATATGCTCATTGGAGGAGATCTCGGTTTTCCCGAGGGGAAGGGGTTCTATATACCCATGTGCCGTCTTTAGAAATCCATTACTGGGGTTTGTCATACCGGTGGGGTTTTGTGTGGAGTTTGAGGCGCATTTTGCTTGAAAATCTTCCGACGCCTTTTCAAGAGCCATAAGCAAGTCTATCTGATTTGGTTGTGATGGCTCTATAAACGGGATTTTTGGCGTCGTGATCGGAGTCTTTGCGACTTTTGGCCCGCCTTTGCTTGAACTCACGTTGTGGACGGCTGGGAAGAGGATGGGTCTGGCCGGTCTTCCATTCTGTCGGAGAGCCCTGATCAAGTGGGATTTCAAAGTACTCATCAACCAGCACCAAAAACTAGCGATAAACAGCAAACACAAATGGGGGAGTAAAACGCCAAAGGCTCTTTTGTCGGCGCTTAATTTCAATGCACCGATTCGTTATTTATCGGATATTTTTCAGACAGAGTCACGTGCATTTACACGTGATATAAAAACCTATCTCGAAAGTTTTTCTCATAAAAGTCTTGCATCTGCTTAAACCTTTGGCGGGATTTGCCTCCTCTTCTCATTCACAACACATCCATCATGTCTAGAGAAGGTTTCACAGTCCCAACTGGCGATTTGGCTGCTGCCGCACACGGTGTCGTTTCGAAACAAGTGGCTGGTGCCGGTTTGAACAAGAACTACGGTGTCAAGTACTTGTGTCCTAACTGTTCTTTCGAGGTCTCCTTGAACAAGTCGGATCCGATCCGCTGCAAGGACTGTGGTTACAGAGTGTTGTTCAAGAAGAGAACCAAGAGGATGGTTCAGTTTGAAGCCCGTTAAGGCTGTCTTCACGTACGCCCCGGCGTACCACATACCGTGTCTCTCTGGTTGACGACCATGAAAAGGAGTCTGTTGGAGCGCTTGCCATGGCCCGTATCCGTGCTTGTGTACGGTTGTATATTATCTATATAAATAATCAAGTTGTTTTACTAGCTGAAAGTAGCACCATGGCGATTTATCGGGGCCATGGAACGATAGTTGACGGATGGTATAAGTATCTGAGCATGCATTGTCGCTTAACAGGGTAGATGTGAGGCATTTTCACCGTGATTTCCTTGAGTTATATATTGTATATAGTGTGGGTTAGGATAGATATCAGGGCATCGCGCTTTTCTAAGCTACCTGGGGCAGAATAAAATGAAATAAGGATATAAGTGAAGATGGGCTTGAATTAGGGTATAGCCCAAACAAGTCAGCTAAAAGATCCAAATTAACTGGCAACCAAGTCCTGGACAGACTATAATGGAGCAAAAAGGTAAACCCGACGCGGGGGTCGAACCCGCAACCTTGTGATCGCGTACTGCTAAGAGTCACACGCTCTACCGATTGAGCTAGCCAGGCTGACTAATAAGTACGTATAATATACACATGAATACACTCAGGGTGTACTACCTGTATCTATTCCCTTCCATCCCGGCTCTTCCGATGCTTCACCTATTCGTCTAACTCAACTTACATTAACAGCTCTTTGCACTCACGAAAAAACTACATACAATCTCGAGCGTCACTCCGTTCTTATACAACCGGGGATATCATGTATTGGCTTACTCCAACTCTTTTACAGTACCATCACTACCAAGATGATATTAAATGAATAAATATAGTGCACCAGTAACGCTTCGTCACTCTAATAGATATACAGACGTAACATCGCAATACCCCTGCTCGACAGTTTTGAAATCTAAACTGCGTCGGTAAATACTCAACCATGGAAACTATACCCTTGTGTTTAGCCAGTCTCTAGTCTTGCTTTGAGATTTGTATCTTGGTAGCCTTTTTATTGCCATCTGGTAGTCTTTTAGTGCCATCTGAATCCGATCTTATTGCGTAAAGGCCCTGTTCACCTCCTCAATTCGGTTGTTCTCCGTAGACCTGTTTTTATACACAGGCTGCTTCTCATACGCATTAGGACTCGGGGACCGTTTATGCTTGTGCTGACACTTTTTGGCGCGGTCTTTCCGCTCTGACCCCTCGTTATTGCTGTCTGATTCACTCGACAGTGAGGACGAACCACTATCGGACAGCTCACAGGCCTCAGCATCAGGATCGTTTGGATGGAAGATACAGCAGATCTTGGACTTTTTGCGGTTGAGGTGCTCATTATCCACAACACCCTCCTGCCACTTCACCTTTGGCTTCTTTCCCTTCTTCTTAGTCCCGTCCTTGATTGCGCTGTTAGTGGACGCGCCTTCGGCAACAAGACGGAGGCGTGTCTCGGTGCTGCTTCCAACGGCGGCCGTTTGGGTTGTGCTTCCAAAAGAAGAGTTCATTTCAAGTTGGTTGGTATGGCGTCAAGAATGAGTGTCTGAAGCTGATCCAATTTGAAATGGCGTGACAGCCATGAAGGCAAGCAATAGCCATGCGTGTATCTACCGACATCACATGACCAAATCTCTGCGTGCCAGTACCAGCATCAGACGCATAGTTAAGCAGCTTTTATCAGGCTTTTGGCATATGTTTCCGGGCGCCTCTACTCGTAATATCACTCCTAAAATCTCGTTATGCCAAATGAAACCAAAAGAAAGACAGAAAATGGTATGTATAGCCAAGTTAATAGTTGGTTTGATGGATATTTGAGCGTTAACCCGCCAGATGAGTGACCTATCAGACCCCAGCGCCCGTTCATTACTAACCTCCCAGACAGTTCAAGCGATAGAAAAAAACCAAAGAACGTTCAAGCACTGAGTAGCTTGAAAGGAATCCCCAACAGAAAGCACTACCGCCACTCTTACCCCCAATCGTCAGCCGTTACCTGCCTCTCTGTGGCTTCTGGGCAGGAGATTGTCGCCCTGGGGACGGCCACCGGGGTGGTCACTTTCTGGGCGCGAGATTCCAACTCAGCCCAGTTAGAGGTGGCTAAGTCCTATTCCACTCACGCTGGCCGCAAAGTGCGCCAGATTGTGTACGATAAGGCGGGGAAATTACTGGTGAGCATGGCGGAAGGCGATGCCTCGCTCAAGATGTATGAACTTTCGTCGCTTGACATGATCAACGATTTGCCCTTACCCTTCACCCCGGGCTGCATTGCGTGGTTCGAGTACAACAACAAACAAGGACTTGTAGTTTCTGATAGCGCCTCGGCTGATGTGTACTTGTTGGACTTGGACGAGTACCAGTCAGACGATGAAGACGACCAGGACAGGGGCTTGGTGAAGATATCTCCGTTGCACAAGTTTCCAGTGGTAGCTATGGCATTCAACTACAAGTACAGCTGCATGGTCAGTGTGGATAGCAAGGGAATGATGGAGTACTGGGCCCCCGATCCTGACGCTAACTATGCACCACCGACCAGTGTCTTTAAACTCAAGTCCCAAACCAACTTGTACGATTTGAGAAAGGCCAAGGCATGGGCTAGTGACATCCAGTATTCGCCAGACTACGAAAGGCTCGTGGTCAGATCTACCCCCGATGAGTACATCCGGGTCTTTGATTTCCAGACAGGCAAGACTGTGTTGGTGATTGACGAATCGGTTGCGGCGAATAAGGGCAGTTATGACCGCTCGGATGAGTGGTTACTGGCTGAAAACCTCAGCCAGCTCGAATTTAACGCCAAAGTAAAGACAGAAGCTGACTCCGCGCTTCTTAGAAACGTCGCCATTGACGAAACAGGCGATTTGCTCATGTACGCTACGCTCGTTGGCATCAAGGTATACAGTATCAAGGCCGGTCAGTGTGTGCGTGTCCTAGGGGTTGCTGAGTCACTAAGTTTCGAACACGTTGTCATTGTGCAGTCCTCCTCCTTCGCGCTGAGATTGCTCACCATCGAAATGGCCTCTGCCACCAACGATATCATCAGCAAGGAGTGGCTGCAGTCGCCTATGTTGATTTCTACCGCCTCCAACAAGGATAGGATCTACGTGTTTGATAAGGACGGCGGAGAAAAGTTTGAGGAGTACAAGTTCGAAAGAGACAGCTTTGTGGGCGCTCAACAGGACGTAAAGGGTGCGAGATTCCAGGCTGCGAACGCAGAAAGGATATCCCAGAATACGATCGTCACGTTACACACTAGCATGGGGGACATACGCTTAAAGCTCTATCCGCAGTTCTCTCCGCTTGCATCTACCAACTTCCTCAGTTTGTGCAAAAAGAACTACTACGACAACGTCATCTTCCACCGTGTAATCAAAGGCTTCATGCTTCAAACAGGTGATCCTACGGGTACAGGCACTGGCGGTGAGTCTTCGTTCAAGGATGGGGCGCCCTTTAAAGATGAGTTCACCCCACTCTTGAGACACAACAAGCCGTTTGTGCTCTCTATGGCCAACGCCGGTGCCAATACGAATGGCTCGCAGTTCTTCATTACCACTGCTAAAGCCCCTTGGTTGGATGATAAGCACACCATTTTCGGTGAAGTGGTGTCAGGTGAGCCCATTGTGAAGGAAATTGAGAACCTTGAGGTTGATGGTGAAGACAGACCGCACGACCCGCCAGTGATCCTCAATACGTCTATAGAAGAGTAATATAAAAGTATGATATAGGGTAGTGCTCTCCGGATACTGGATCTACTTGTAGTGGTACCTAGTGCCAGTTTGGAACATAAACATAGTTGCTTTAATTGATTATAAAAGAAAAATGTTAAAAAAATGCCTCCAGCCAGATTCGAACTGACGATCTCCTCATTACTAGTGAGGTGCCTTACCAACTTGGCCATAGAGGCGAGCTCTGAAAATTTTGGTTGTTACACTCTATTCAGAATAAGCGCTAAGCTGCTTTTCTGATCTAATGTGATACTTGGCAAAGGCCACTGGATACAGAGATTATAAATATTGGTATCTACAGCCTAGGGACTAAGCTCATACAAGACGTAATAAAATGCTATTAAAGTTTTGTAAATATATATATATATGTATTGGACTAGTATATAGATTTATACGTACCATTTAGCACAATTGTATATGTATAAACTAAGTATCGATGTAACTATTAGTATTACAGCACTTTCTGAATCACCTCTATTTCTTAGAATTAATCCGTCTCACAGTGTCTAATTACAGCTCAAAGAGTGCTTAATTACAATTCAAAAAGTATTTAGTTAAAATTCGAAAGGCGTTTAGCTACAATCTAAATGGCCCAGTTCAATATTAAAAGTTTCAAAAATATTATTAAATAAGAACAGTTGTAATAAAACAGAAATAAAAGATACGCATCAAGAGAGCAGGGATGATACAGCAACACCTTGTTTAGTGGAAAGCATACGAAAAACCACTGAAACCTTTTTGTACCAGCCCAACAGGATTGCCAAAGGCCATAGGGAACAAAACATAGGTTAAAACGGAGACATGTATACGGGTAGTGGGCCAAAGAAGCACATCAAGCAGGCTAACGTAACGGGGGAAAAAAAAAAGAATAGGGGAAAAAATACGAGTGGTTGTGTAAGGCCGTGAATGCTTAAGAGAACAACTTCTTCAACTTGCCGAAGAAAGATCTCTTCTTCTTACCATCAGTCTTGGTGGACTTGACAGTTTCGGCGACCTTGGCCTTGGATTGGGCCAATTCAGACTTGGCAGCAGCGACAGGGCTAGCCTTGGATTCGGTGACTGGAGATTCGGCAGCAGCATCGACAGGAGCTTCAGTCGCAACCACTGGGGTTTCGGCTGGAGCAGCAACATCCTCGGTTGGGTCAAGGGTCTTGTAGCCAGTGGTAGCGACGGCTTCTGGTTCGGCATCGAGTGCGTCAATGTCAGTGGTGTGTTCTGGCACGGTAGCGGCCTCAGCAGCCTGCTCAGCTTCGATCTGGGCGTTCAAGTCCTTGGCGTTGACCTCAGAGATCTCAGAGAATTCCTTGATATGAGCGGCGTTTTCTGGGATGACAACCCCTGGTTCACCAAGGGTGACCTGTTCGTGTTCGGAGGATGGCAAAACGGTGGTGGAAATCCCTGGAGCGGCAGCGGCAGCCTCTTCGGCTTCGATCTGAGCGTTCAAGTCTTTAGCGTTAACGTTAGAAACTTCGGAGAATTCCTTGATTTGAGCAGCGTTTTGTGGAATCACAACACCTGGTTCACCAGTGGTGACCTGCTGGTTCTCAGCGGATGGCAAGACAGTGGTGGCGAAGGTTGGTTCGGAGGCTGATTCCGGTTCTGGGGAGGCCGTAGGGGAGACAGATTCCTCCGTACCGGAAGTGCTCTTCTTCTTCTTCTTCTTACTCTTCTTCTTGTTCTTCTTGACCTTCTTGGTACCGTCAGCGGCGTCAGCGGCGGTTTCCGGGACAACAGCGTTCAAACCAGCAGCCTCTGGGATTCTAGTGACAGTGGCAGCGGCAGCAGCCAACTCAGAGTGGTACAAGACGTTGTTTTCAATGCCAGCATCATCCTTCTCAATGGCAGAGGTTGGGGAAACGGTCCATTCATCGTCAACGACGTACTTGTAGGCAATTCTGTCTTCGTCAACCTTTTGCAATGGGACCTCTAATTCGAAGGAGCCATCGGCTTGCTTGACCAAGTGATATTGCTTGGACCAGTTGTCAAAAGTACCGGTGACGATAACTTCCTTAGGACCAGCTGGCCAGGAGAAAGTGTGGGTGGACATAATAGTAATAGGGTGTCTTAGTGTGTCAAGCGAGTGAAAAAAATATGGGGTCTATTCCTCAATCAAAATATACAGTAATGCAAAACTAGCAATATTGTGATAAAGAGGTTCAGGCCACAGTTAAGCAGCTGTTTTTTTTAAGCCGAACGACGTTCGGGGTCTGACATGTATATTTCTTAGTTACAGGACAAGAGGCGAAAAAAGTAGTAGGGTATCCGGGTAACACCATCCGCCTCTTTCGGATGTTCTAGAAAATGCCTGATGCAGAATAGGCATGATCGTACATGCAGCCATCGGTAGACCGGAGCTTTTCGAGGGTGGGCTATGTACGAAAAAGGAGATGACGCACAATCCAATAAGGGTTTTCGAGGGATGGATATAGGGAGGCTGGGTAAATACTCTAACCAAGATATCTTTGGCGATAAGGCTGAATATACAACTGATTTCTCCCGTCAGAGGATTCAATGTCTTATCAATAGCGTATTAATGCAGGTCTTTAAGCTTCCCATACGTTCTGGTAGGGCAATAGTGCTTGCGTCATAACACGCCTATGAGTGTAAACACATAGACCGTAAGCATATCGAAGCTAGGTCTTCAAAACAACTTGGTACAGTGCTAGAAACCGGTAGGCTTGAGGTTTTGGAAGTTGGGGAGCTCAGATATGCTGAAATAATGGTCACACTCCATGCCCTGAAAACGGTGGCTCTATGACGTGCTTACGCCTATAGGCGTGTTTCGACACAAGCACTAACGGGAGGAATAAGTTGTATATCCAGCCTTTCCTCTAATCTATCGATTTATTCAAGAGCTTACAGGCTTTACACCCCCTCCCTTTGTTTTGGCGTTTTAAGGATTTTAACCATCCGGGAACTTGTGATTACTCGCTCCACCACAGTGCCTCCATGACAGCAACAACCCTTCGAGTTAGCGTATAGCCCTATCTATTTAACGCAATTATCTAAATACTACCCCACCTACGATTTTCTTTTCCTTTCTATTTGAATTACATGTAAGGTATTATAAACATATCCCGGCCTATCAAATTTCGCCGATAGACTCCCCCATCTTAATCTTCTGGCCGTTGGTAATGTTAAATTTGAAGCTCTTTGGAGCCTCAAAAACCAACACCACCGTGGAGCCCAACTTGAACCCACCAACTTCCTGGCCCTTGACCAACGGAACTCCGCCTAAGAGCTCGGAGGCTTGGGTATAAGTGGCCTCGTAGACGGTGTTTTTGGACAATCTCTTGCGTCTCTGCCTGGCGCTCTTTCCCAACAACGACGTGCTTTCAGAGACCTCGGAGTCGGTGGTGGTGTTCATCGAGGACAAAGACGTAGAGGAGGAGGCGGTGGAAGAAGTAGTAGACGGGTAAGAATCGTCGCCCTTACTCAACACCAACTCAGACTTTGAGTACACTTCGTGCTCGTAGATGTCGTTGGTCTTCAAGTCCTTGTCGAAGTTGACAATGATGCTTCCCACATTGGTGGCCCCGACGGGGATCATGCTGAAGAAACCGTACTTCCAGTAGCCCAATAAGGCAACTCTTTCATTGAGCACAAACAAGCCGTTCAATGTCTTTTGGAAGTAAGGCGCCACACTGAACAACTCCCCAATAAAGTGTCTTCTCAAGGTGGTGACCCAGTTGGCCGGCGAGTGGTATCTGTGGTAGTCGCCTGGAGCCAAGTAGATAACCGCAAAGAACATCTCAGTGTCCTTATTGCCCGACTTCTTCAACGACTTGTGAGTAGGCTCCGCTTCGTCCACCAAGTCGCGCGCCACGGTGGACTCCTTTCTCCTCTGATTCAAGGAGTCCACGTCGCCCAACGCGGTCTTGTCGCCCTTGTCTTCGTACTTGAAGCGGTGGTGGTGGTTGATGTTGGCGTCGTCGTTGTTCCCGCCACCGATGAGATCGTCCAAGGTGTACAGAATCCCGTTCAACTCGGCAAAATCCTTGTGCCTGGCAAAGACCTCGGTCTCCTGTGGGTGGTTGAAGTCGATGGCATGCGAAGGAGCGGCCAACTTGGCCCTGACACTGTCGTTGGTGCCCAAAAGCGCGTCCACGGAGTACGTCATGCCCTTGACCTGCTCGATCTCACCGTTGTTGATGATCCCAAACTTCAACACCTTCCCGTCGGCCGGCGAAACCAAGTCCGAGTCGCCGATGGTGCGCACACCCGGTTTCAAGCGGCGGTAAAAAAACTCGCCCAAGTTCTTGAACTCCCGCAAATTGGTGTCTTCCATCTCGTTCAAGTTTACCCCGAAACAGTAAGAGTAGAACTTGTAGGATGGCGCCCTCAACCAGACAGGAAGCGTAAGGCTGTTCACCAGTCCCCACAAACGCGAAATCCCCTTGAGCGGCAAGGTGGAGTACGCGTAGAACTTCCAGGACTGTGGCGAGATGCTGCTCGAGGCGTTCTGGTTTTCATCCGTGGTGGTGTCGCGGTTGCGGGATGCCACCACACCAGCAGAGGTCAAGATGATCGACAAAGAGGACAATGTCCACCACTTGATCAACTGACGGCGGCTTCTGGGGACCTTGTCGCTGTTCTCGTTATGGGCACTGGTTGAGAAGAAGAAGCGACCGCGGAACTTGCGGTTCAAGTTGCGCGCAGACAGCGAGAACGGCACATACATCTTCCGTTTCGACTTGGAGAGCGTGCTGATACGCGTCTTTAACGTTTTGAATTTGGAAGACGCGCCGCCCGACCAGGTCGAGTAGTACAACACGCTTCTCTTAGGTCTCGGGATCCGCGGGAAGCTGTAATAGTAGGACAGCCATCTTTGCGACGCCGGTTGGATCCGCGGCGACGCCGCTGGAGAGACGTCGCTAGATTCGGACTCCTCTATGACTGGATCCTTGAGCGGACCGTCTACGCCTGTTGACATGCTCCTTTTCTGTGTGTATCCCAAGTTCTTTCCGGCACGAGCAACGTTTCTGAGTACTGGTGCTGGTCTGGCCATTGAGGAGTGTGTGGTGGTATGCAGAGGGATTAGATAGGAAACAAATCACACGAGATATGTGGAAAGCTGTGGAGATGACCCAACAAGCCGATGCGTGTTGCACATGCCGAAAAAACTCAGAAAATTCAGAGGCCAAAGATGCGGGTTTTCAGAGAGTCTGCGCCAATTGGCCCCGGGAAGTCCAACGGTGATTATGTAAGCAGGGTGGGGGAGGACAAGGGGGGCCGAGGATGACTACCGTAGATGACTAAGTCAAACCGTTTGTTTTTATTTAAATTTACATCGCCACTGTCGCTCACCGAAAATAATATATCGCTTCGCTTCCTTGTAAAAATTACAGGTGCATGACATAAGATAGAGACCTTATACACATTATCGGCAGTTGCGCCGAGCTGGCCGAGGTTATGCAAATGCAGAAGAGGCAGGGGAAGGCGATGTAGCTTGGGTCACACGAGGTTTGTCAGTTGAGTTCGTTCGGATCGTGTCACCTGTTGAGATAGCTGGGGGAATTACTTCAGCCAAGATCGTTGCTATGGGGCCAATGGAGAAAGTCAAACTCAAATAGAACTTTTCGGCCCAGAAGGAAACCAAGGACTTAGTTATGACTGCAAAATGTGTATACAGTGGACCATCTTTTGGAGGGAAATGCAAGTCGTATGCAAGGCGCTCATCACCATAGACGTACGGCTAAACACGTTGTACCACTTTAACAGAAAATGTAAAAGGCTCTTGTTCCAAAGACACAACTACTGGTTCTATTTTATGCCGCCTGTTCGACCTTCTGGTATCCCTCGTACATATAGTTCAACCCGTAACGGAAGCACTGTTAAAAGACGTAATAGATTGAAGAGGAAGTTACAAACTCCGTTTTGGGGGTTATGTATCCGAGTTAGATCATACTTCACACTATCTGGCACATAACCAGTTAAGCTCTGTAGCTAAAACAGGAAGAGGCCTTTTCCTTTTTCACCCCGTGTTAGTTTGTTCTCGGTCTGGATTTTCAACATAGAGTTAAAGCTGAGGCTCATAGAAGCTGGCTGAACCTTCCAAGTCGAAAACCCCACATACCTGGTTAATGATTAGCTTAACCAGCTCGCGTCAAATACGCTCAACGTAAACAGTCTGTTTAAGCAGAATAAAGCAATAACTGCTACGTTAGGTTCTAAAAATAAATAAAACCAGGGTCAGGGCTTAGATATTAGACGAGGCAATTTAACCTACGATACTAGATGCCATGGCGATGAACAGCTAATCTAATTCCTTCAATCAGAACAATCGCCACTCAGAGGGCGGTGGCGGAATTGCATGCAGGCCAACCTCGTTAAGGTAACTTGTGGCGAGAGCATCTACGGCCCACGTGCGCGTGGCTGCAACTTGGACAGAAAAAGTAAACGCAGAGGGGGTCTCGGGAAATTGCATACATGAAAAGTTATGAGTATCTGACTGCCCAGCGACCAATCTCTGATTCTCCTCCCCCAGAAACAACCAGAACCAGCCGTTCTCCTAACTGCCATACAGTTACTGGAGAGTCATATATAACCGGAACCATCACCTTCGATGAACTAATCCTTGACGAAGACACCAAGAACAATCATATAGCCAGATTATGAGCTTCTGTAGTTAAGCCATAATCTCTACAAAATCCGCCTATCGAACATAAGTGACCCTTGTCATGAAGTTTGCCAAGTTGTTTGAACAAACCCTCCGCGAGGAGTCCATCCCCGAAGAGTGGATCCAGTCATCCATCAAGTATAAACAGTTGAAAAAGTGCATCAATAAAGTTGTCGACGAGCTTAATGACCTTGGGCTTGAGAAGTCGGTGTTAAGCACCTTGATCCAGCAGAAAATGGGCGATGACGGCGTCCCAAAGATTGAAGAACTTGACGATGGCGTTCCAAGAGCCACCGCGGCCAAGCCAAGTGCCAAATACTTGTTAGACAAGGACTTGAAAAACCTTAGACCGGTGTTGACCATTGACGTGTCTGCTTTGTCTCAGACCCAAGAGAATGGCAAGATAGAGGGGACCGGCGATAGCCAGTACGTTCAAGAGGCCTTGCAGAGACTTGTCGAACAGAGGGAGCTATCTCTATCCCCATGCACGTCCACGTCGGACTCCGATAACGAGCGTCTTATTGACGGAATCACAACCGTAACTTTATCGGAAAATCCATCTCCATTAATGTACAAGGAGACCTCCCCGGAGCCGGTTCCAAGTGACGGCTTTAGTTCTGATACTACCCTCGTGTTTCGCCTTAAATCTGACGGTGAGTTTTTCCACATGCTTTCGACGGAGCTACAGGACTTGGATACGTTGAAGATCAGACAAGAAAGCCAGATGTTCAGCACTGTCCAGCAAGTCGGTGATGTCATCAACAAGTATTCTGCCCCCTCTACTAGAAGGTCCGATATGTATGCCTGGAGAAACATCTTCTGTGCTTACATCGAGTCTGAAGTGTTCTTCCGCAACAATATTAGTGGGACGTCCGACAAGGATGTTCAAAAGTCCAAGGAAAACTTCCAGAAGTTCCTTGGAATTCTAGAAAAGGGCAAATACTACGATTTGTTCAAGAACAAGCAAAGTACGAAAGCTTTGAATGAGTTCATTGGGTTGAATTACTTGCTTTTGAAGTTGCTACAGTTCCAGCATATCAACAGAATGGCCATCACCAAGATTTTGAAAAAGTTTGACAAGCAAACTTCCTTGACAGCAAAGACCCAATTCCCAGAGCTCATTTCCACTGATCCTTTCATCAAGGAGTCCTTCGCCAAAACCATGTGCGCCATCATCTCAAACAAGCTTCTCACCATTGTTCCCCAGTTGGACGACTACGAGTGCCCAATTTGCACCTCGATTGCTTTCAAGCCGATTAAGCTCAGCTGTGGTCACTTGTTTTGTATTCGGTGCTTAGTGAAGCTCCAAAGGGCAAACAAAGAGTCGTGTCCTTTGTGCAGGGAGCGTAATGTTTTGGATGCTGATTCTGCTAACATGGATGCCGACGCCTTAAAGTACATGCAGTTGTATTTCCCGAAAGAAGTGAAGGCAAAACAGAAGGAAACAGAGAGCGAAATAGCCAGGGAGCAATTCGTGGCGGTGTACGGGGAACCAAAGAAGTGTTTGGTTCAGTGAAGGGGTCGCAGGCTCATTAGCCGAGCGACCAAGTGCTCTCCCCGGGAATGTATAGAAGTTTTGTATGGTGCATATTTAATGAGTTTACAGAGGTAGTATGTAGCCAAGCGTGCACGATCAAGAGCTCTATGCACACCGGAGTAATCTAAACCGAAGGGACTTCCATAAGCTCGCAGCTCCTGATTTCAAACACCCCTCTGCGATAAAACACGCAAAGCTTTTGTACCTGTGAATAGGGCTTACCAATTTAGGTTTACAGAGACCCCTAGCGTAGGGTCAGTCCGATTAAAGTAGGTCTACAATAAAGCTGCTGCTTAGTCACCACACCCTGATTAGAAGGTAGGCTTCTGTAAGCTAAATGACAGTGGTAAGGTAACTCAATTAAAACTGTTGTACCAGGTCACGGATTACTCAAAACTACGTAAACTAGTCACAGAAGGCAGCCTTGAACTGCAGAGATATACATATCCCATTTTGAGACCCGAAGAACTCAAAGCAGCTAGCCTGGCACAAGAATCTAGAATTACGAGGAAAACAACTTTCATCTGTTAGAAGAAAGATGACTAACGTGCTGAGAATGGCCCAAATAGTAAAGTGAACCTAGAAACATGAATCGACAGTATAAGCAAGTTCTGCAAGGTGGAAATATCAGAAACGCCTATTCAACTGATGGCCGAGCAGAGGGAAAGAAACGTGAATAAATCTCAACCACTAAGAAAGTTTGAATTAAAATCAATCCATGGCCAGCGTGATTTAAAAATCTTAGGCTAGCAAGCTAGAGCTGCAATTTTCAATTCAACTTAAAATCTTTCAAGTTCTCATCGGTGAGACAATGAGCACAAACACAAATATACTGAAACAAAAAGATAGAACGGAATATAATCGGATGCCTAAAACATTGCTTGAATAAAACTGAGAGATACATATCTGGGACTAAAAACTCTCTCATATGCCACGTTAGGATGAGGTAAACAAATCCTCGGCTCAAACGGCATGAAAAGTGAAGCCAATTCAAGTGAACAGAGTAGGATGTGAGATATTAATAATGGCTTCAGTGCTGAATAGGAACAAATAGAGCTCAAATAATATAAAGCATGCTTTATAAATCCGAAGGGGTAAGCACCCAGTCGCTCACTCCATGTAAGCACCAGGGGACGGAATAGACCCAAACAAGAGTACAAGAAATTCCAAGTGAACTATGGAAAGGATGAGCCATTTTCATAGATTTGAAGACAGAAGCGATATAATGAAAGAGTCGCAGAATGTTAGCAAAATACCTACCGATTACCGAAGGCCCTCAAGATACAACCTACAGGGAGCATGAAATGCTTTGGCTGATAATATTCCATTTAAAAGGTGAAACCACTTTCTGGGACCGAGCAGCCAGAGAGCCTAGTGCTTCACGAAGTAAAATCAATACTGGAGGACCAGTTCAAGCTATTATGAAAGATCTATAGTTTGACTTCATCAACTAATACAGCGAGAGTAATGTCTTATTTTTATGCGGAACTAGGTCCAAAAAAATTATGGACTATCTGAAGAAAGTTCTTACAAGATCAAATTGAAGAACTAATATGCTCTGTTTCGTTTAACCATAACCTGAAATAAAACCAAGCCCATCAAGATACTCTCTTCAAACCATTCGTGAGGGGGTCAAGGGATAACTCAGGTATAAAAAATTTGGGCAGGATTTGAAACATAAACTATCAGATTGCAGCTAACGAATAAGAAATCAGAACCCAGGAAACCCAGAATGATATAAACAACAATAACAAATTTCTGAGTACCCTATCTGAATGACTACTGGACAAAAGACATTCCAAATAAGAGTAGAAAGTTATCGGTCACAAAAAAACAGACAATCTATGAAGAGACCAGAATTAACGAAATGAACAATTATTTAATATATATACACCATATAGGAACTTAAGTAAGTACTGATATTTAGATAGGTACGATCCTCAACTAGCAATAAGATTGATGTGACAGCATTTGTAAGAAATTACGGTTGGCTAGTCATAAAGCAGAATAATTGAGTCGAATAAGACCCTCTAAGAGCAAAGAGAAATAACCTGACATGATGAGCGGTGGCATTTCTGTACAGAAGAGAAAATATCGACAGTGAATATGATATTACTGTACGTCAATTTTAAATTAGGAGCTCTACTCTAGATTATTATTCTGAATCAAAATTGAATTATTCAATGCTATATATCCTAAGCCGTCTCTAACTGGGTTAGCAAAGGTAGCGAGAGACAACCCAACTAGTTCCATTGTCCCACAGAAACAAAGCCTTATTCTTTCTTCTTAACCCTTCATAAATACATATATTCGTTGATCTTATATCTAGAACCGTATACTAGAAATATCTACGACATTCAGCCCCTCACACATGTACTGGGAGCAGTTGCTGTTCTAAATAGGAAAGTTCTTCAGCTCTCGTCACGTAAGAATGTGTTTCCAAAGTACACAGCTATTCATTTATAAGAATCCACAAAGAGATAAACATGATTACAAAATCAGCGGAAAGAATGTAATGCTACAAAGCGTATTCAGGTTGAATCAATGTCAAATATTGACAAAGGATAGCTGCGAATGAAAGCCGTTAAGTCACACGATGTCATGGTGGTAATATCACACTTAAACTACGGATATAGAACTATCTTAGAGCACCAACTGACCATCATTGGGACTTCAAACTCATATATGTCATAAACAAGGATTTCTATAAGTTGGAATAGAATCGATACGAGCTGTTGACATCTTTCTATACTTGATCCTTACTGAATATATATCAACATAAAATAACTGCGAGTAGTATATTACCCATGCACGGGATATAGGCTTCACTGAAGGCACAAATCGGCAATGAGAAATATAAATATAATTCTTGGAGTAAAAAGTTCTAAGACGGCTTAATTAACTCTCAACGTATCAGTAATAATGAGCGTATGTTTTACAAATTGTGAGCTCGAGAAGAGGTGGCAATACGTAAATCTAGACCCTAAGGAAGTGAGATTCGTCTCAATGATTCCTACATTCAATCATAGTGCACCATAATACAGTATTTCGATGCTCCATTATGCGTTAGAGCCCCCAAAATAAAGGAACATACAAGTTTAATATGCTTTATACGGCTTTAAGTAAAACATCCCCATCATCTGCTTAGAGGAATGTGATTCCGAAGGTAGTAATGAGGTATTTTACTCCAGTGGCTTCCTCCAGGGACAAATACTTGCTATATACTATCTCTTGTAGGCTTAGTCTTTTATAGGTAAACTATAAACGGGTCATTCATTCTCTATTCAGTTAACTCTCCGCATTCTCACATATCCTATACTTGTACTGTTAAAGTGCCTTATTTATCGGCAGTTTCACTCCGTACTCACTTATCTACCCTAACCAATTCCTAACGAAAGTACATAAGCCACCTCTGCCACTCAGAGATCTTGTGGTGGGTGTCGAACTTCAAGAGATAAACATCACGAGACGTATCAGTATGTATTATAGGCGTGTACGTAGCCGGAGCAGCATTTCGAATAATACCTCTAAAGACTATTTCCGAAAAAACTGATTCATCGCTATTTCTTCCTACATGCTAAGTGCTGAGTATTTTAATTAACAAGTACTTTGTAAGTGTTACGATACCGATTTATTGTGCAACAGAGGCTCCCTTGGAATTTCTAGTAGTTTCTTACTGTTGGTAAAAATCATTGGAACAATCAGGTACATACCAATATTTTATACATTAAATATCGACTTTTTATCTAATTATTCACTTTTGACAACCTGCAAGAAGCTAGATTGCGTTCTGAAATGGTTTGTGAGCCACTACATTTCTGACCCACCTAACAGTCAAGATTAGGTGTGTTATACTATATGAGGAAGAAAGTAAAGTGTATGGGGGTAAATTCCAAGTAGGTACATTTACAATGTGACCTCTGAACCCATTTCCTAATTCAGGCACACTGCAGACCTCGATACTTCATATTCCTGAATCAATATACCGCATCCAGAGCAAAGTTACAGCATTAGTAAATCCCATTTAAATAAAGAGTTTATAATTAGTAAGGATCAATATGAAACAATTCGAGAGACAATAAATTCCGAAATTCTATCGTAGACATCATAAAGAAGGGGTGTCACTTAATTGAACATCCTTACTTGTATGCTACACAACTCGCAACTTTATATTTGCTGTAGTAATTTTACCTGGCTATGGTATTGATCTATATTCCCCAACCATAATAGTATTGAGCCTATACTAATAAATCTGGTACCGGTCTTGTTTCAAAGGTTCATTTGTCTACGACTTTGGAAATGCCACTGGAGTTCCTCAAGTTCAAGTATATGCTTACTTTCAGTTTAAACATGTTCCACCTAGAGTAGGACTGGGTGAAGTAACTCCCAGGGAGGAATTTTTCATTATGTAACTATCCTGTTAAGAAACAGAGTCTCCATAGAGTATATATTTAAAAATGCAAGGATATAGATGTTAAGTTTAAAAATGGGGTAGAGTATCCTCAGTTGGCGCTTTAATACGTATCATGAGGTGTGTCAACGATTAACATCTCACGATATCCAAAGTCCCATTACAGGGTACTAATGGGACTAAATATTCAGCAGGAACAATTAAATGAGTCCGCCTTTGTCCTTCCCAATCCCCATGTAATTACATCCAAACCAGCAGACTCCTAACACATGTGACTCTTGCTTTGATTATCCTCATTAATGCTATCTCGTAAGACATGAACGTATTAGGATGAATACAAGTTGCACGAGAAAGGTCGATCCAAATTAAGTGAACTCAGACCAGTATGACTCCAAGATTGGTTATCTTTCTTTGACTATTGATTTAACACTTTAAAATGTATTGCTTCGCATTACAAGCTCATTTTCTGGCATGTTTGGTTTTATCTCTGAAATACTTGCTGGATACTTTAAGGTGCTTTTCACTTCCCTTGGTCCATATATACCAATGTAACTCGAGTAAATAATTATTTATAGCTGTTTATATGGTATGCCAGGTGGTTTTCCAATATGAGTTCAGCATGAATGCTACAGAACTCAAAGTTAAATAATGGCTGTCAGAGACTGGTATTGTTATGCATCTCGCAAGAACACATATCAGTTGTTTATTGCATACCACCCTGCCCTTCTATATCCTAGGAGAGTCATGACAAGTATACTCTCAGTAAGTTCTTCATACAGTAACAAGTACCCCATCCATTGCATTTGTCATTTAATTGCCGACCCAATCTGATAGAAGTTATTCTTGTTAAGGTGTATACTGTGAGTACTATATTCCCTCTTCTAGGCACTCATATTAGCCTTTGTTTATTCACACAAGAAACTCATTTCCTTAATCTATAGTTTACTTAACTCTTTCTAACTACTGGAATTGTCTATTTAACACTTATTACCGCAGTTCGGTGCTAGTATATTCCTCTTTGGCTTTATTACGTAGATTTATGAATGTTAGCTATTCACAATATATTGAGTAGATGAGACAATAGGATATGGTAAATAATATATACGTATTTATGTATGGAGTCTATACCGCATTTGGGGTATCACTATTGTAGAAGCACCGGTACACTAGACGTATCATACCTGGCTTTTGTTTCACTAATCTAGGGAGTATGTTTTCTATATCTGAACCATAGAGTTATGGATACATTTTCTGTGAGGGGAACTTTCTAGCAGCTTAAAGGGCTGTGGCTAGAATATTCACGAGCCATCTATGTCTAGTTACCGTCTCTTGGCCATTCTCAGTCAACTCTATAGACGTAACCTATTTGCAGAACATTAGGATGGCCTAACTTGTTTGTTTATCAATTTGCAATGTTTTGTTTCAGTAAGTTTCATTCTGCCACTTTCTGGCTTCCAGTTACAGCGAGACCTAAGGCATTCTACATTACGAGCATGAACTTTCTAGCTGATACTCTAAGAATTCGAGATAGCCAGAATTTTCGGTTATTGATATGTATTTCGTGAGTTTTGAGGCATCTGCTTCTAACGTAATGCAGCTCCTAATATGATTTGAGGCTAGCTACCTATTCTCATTTAGATTGAAATTGCGTATGCCTGGGTCCTAATGTTCAAATACAGAGATGCTATGCTATATTCACTATTCTTTCTGATTGTCCTTGTTATGATGTGTGATATTATTCATATCTCAATTGCCGTATCGATACCATCCGTGCTGTTATTATACTTCACGTTAATCGATGAGCCTTCCAGTCTAAATACCAACGAGTGACACACTCGCGTAAACTCATTAACAGCCTGCTGGACGCATGGTACGAGGTGTTATTCACAGTGCCGTCTCCCGATATGCCTCAGGGAGCTTCTACTGAGGTAGCTGATACGATACTCGTTGCCCCGTTGCGTAATAACTCTTCAGAGATATGCAAATTGATTAGTGTACGAAGAGAGCATAACATAAGCTCTATTAGTTGCTCTTAACTTATCTTTAGGAAACTGGAATGAGGCATATGGCTTGAGTAGCGTTATGGGCTACGTATTCTATATACTTCATCTCCAACGCTTTTGAATCGTGCAAAAGGTAATTTATTACTCTGCTAGGAATGAAAGTCTGCGTATCACAGACCAGTTAATATAACCCAAAGCACGTAATCCTTTGTGTTTTTATGAGGTTCCAAGTATTAACGTCTGTATCAATGTATTCTCTCTTCAAACTCGTATCCTATAAGACTTAAAGTGGATTGATCGGTAGGTTGTGCCAGTGGAACGGATTTTATTGCGTACTTAATTAAAGTCCGATGTTTTAAGTAAAATAGTACTGAAATATATCACACAGTACCAACCACAAGATATATACCTGTGTCAATACTCCCCTCAGACTGATATCATCAGTATAGTACGCAGGATCCAGTAAGCACCAGCCAGTATGCTCTGGCTGAGCCATCTTCACTGTTTATGACGAGAACCTTCTGAATTGAAGTGTGATCGTGTATACCCTCCTCATAGTATTAATTTCATGGTCTTGTCTATATTATTCGCACAGCTGCTAATTTTAAGCAGCTCTTTGAAATTACTGTTATTCGTGTTTCAAAAACCTTTGCAAAACATTAGCTCGAAGTATATAGCCAGCTCTTCTGGACTATTCATATTTAGCGCATTTCAGGTATGTATAATTCCTTGGCCTCGATGGCATAGGGTGAACTGGTAGCCCATCCTACAGGTGTGTACCTTATATGAATTGTTGAATAATTCCTTTTCGAATTAATGGTTTCTTTGCGCATCCAGGTTATTTCTTGACACACTCAAAATATGTAAACTCCATTTTGGATAATCCATATGTAGCTTGTAAACATCAATGATTGAGGGGTGTATTGAAATCTGTTGGTAAGCCTTGTTTCAAACTCTGTGGGTATTCTTCACCAGTGATTTTTTTAATCGTCACATTCTTCTGTTTATTGTATATTAAATATGCAAAGGTCGTTTATGGAAGGCTTTTTTTCCCGGCGTTCTTGGCCAGATCTACATTCATACACTCTACATACTCATTATGGATTAAGTATTATCACACTTTCAATTTTTATTCCCCATAGTGATTCATCTGAGTTCTGGCTTATTTAGCGTATTTTTCATTGTGTCTGTCGATTAAAAGAGTCTGCTTTTGGTATCTCTAAATAATTTCTATGTCCACCCTCTCGAGAGGACACTCCTATGATCTTTTCCTGTTGTGATGCTATTTTCGATGTCACTGTGGTATGCTCAGTATGTCACTATAGGTAGATATTTAATGGCTTGAAATTTAACCCACATTTGGTCATTCCCATGTTGCCAATCGTATTTTTATTGACTAGAGTACTAATAGACATATACTAAGCATTTTGTGCTATTTTATGTGAATTCTACATTTTGAGTCCTCACAAACATATGACGAGTTGTTTTCCCATTCAGTTAGCTAATTTTTCGATCCCTCTGCTATAGGCGGTCTCGTGTCCAATCTGAGCCTGCTCTGTCCTAGCTTTCTATATCTGATTGTTTGGTAGCCAACTTGTGGGTTCGTTCAATATACCTGTCAGGGAATCTTGTCACCTTTACACTGGCTAAGTAAGTGCCAGTGATCTGTACGGATGGCAACTTTAACCTGGGTCTCACAAAAGTCAGAATTTCAAAATAGAGGATTTTATTGGTTACTCCCCCTCTATCAGTCACTTGTTACTGATTACACGGAGTTTAAGGTGACTTTGCATCTTGGAAGGATTTACACCAGCCTGTTTTAGGTGAGAGCCAAATCTAGGCTTCGAGTAAGGCTATTTCCATGACTATCTGGCCGAGCTTTCAAAAAGGCCTTTGGCTATCTTGTATCTTACGATACTAATACCATTTGTCATGACGTACCTGGGGTCAGAAAATGTGCCTCCGTTGATTGTATAGTGCTCTTTCAGTTCTAGCTCTGTGACGGATGCAATATCAGCGATATCTTATCGCGCTTTCCGTGAATCCGGGCTATTTGATCACTTTTCAGGTATAGTACTTGGACACAATGTCCCCCAGGGTCTAGCTCGGCGAAACTTATTCGCACCGAGAGAATGGAACAAGACCTTCCTTAGGAGTAATTTCATCTTGGGTGAAATCGCCTGGCACGTACCCGAATTCCCCGAAAAGAACGATTCGGTCCTGGAGTAAGACACAGTCCAGAGAGCGAAGGTTGGGGAGGTCTCTTCCTCCAGGAGATAGAAGGCGGTCGATTTGTCGGATATATAGATATCCTTAATTCCAAAAGAATGGAAGTGTCTCGTTTGTACCCTCTCCAAACATTACCGTTAATTCTGCTGCAACTCTTGTCTCTGCGTTACCACAGTTGTAGGAACATAGATGATGTTTGGAAACAGAAGGTAAATGTGAGGCGTCCCTCGTAATAGTAGTGCTATCATTACCGTGGAGGACTAATCTTTGGGGTGAGCTCTCATGCTTGAGCGTTGTAGAAAATAGATTTTCAGGTGTATACGAAGGGCAGCAACGTTCAAATGAAGAAATTACGAGGACTAGGCAGAGGTTAAATATAGCCAATTGATAAAGATAAAATTTAACCTCACCAACTATCATACTTGAAAGGTCTGACAAGATGACAGAGACCACTATAATAACCGTAAGGGATTGATCACGTTACCATAATACTGTCGACATCTTTCGGTTGGAGTCCATTGACACGTGAGCAGAGCTCAAGAGAACATAACTGAACGAACCAAGTAAATTACTAGGATAGCTGAAACTTAGCCCATAGTATTCCAGTTGTTGTGTGTGTTTGAAATGGCCATATAAGCATGTATTGTGGAAAGTAGACTAACTCCCGGCCATTCCTCCTTTACGGTACTATGCATTCACGTGGTGTATCTGGCAATGACAGTAGTCGACTCAGACTGGGCTAGGCCACTCTATATGAACTACGTAAAGAGGGTAAGTGGTATTCCTTTATGTATACAGCAGGATGGTCAGGCGGAAACCAGGAGGACTATATGATACGCACGAAGGGTTTGAGTACACCTTGAACACAGTATGGCCCAATAACTAATATCTGCATGTGCACATACACAGACGCTAATGGAGATTTTTAGTAATTAGAATCTTCTAATACTCTTTCCGGCCTAGTTACAGGCCCGAGCCACGATATTTGTCGAATTGAGACAAAAACTCGTCAAAATGTTCAATCGAAGAACTCGTTGTCTCTACCCAGGTCGACTCCCTCCCCCTGCTCACGTGCCGCATTTGCCTGGCGGCTGCATCGAAACATTCAAATGTTTACAGAAATTGAAATCTGGGTAACGCGAATCATAATCTATATACTCATTTAAACAAAGACATACACCCCAGAATATAACAGACATATACCCCATAATATAACAGACACGCACAAATACATATATAATGCCCCCACATTCCCTCCAAATCAACTCCAAGTGCTTAGTAACACTGGGGTCCACGCTTCAGTTGGCCAAGATCTACATGATCCATAGTCGCTTAAAGCCGTTCACGATATTGGGCAAAGACGGAAATATACCCACCAACTCACCGTCTGCCAGCTTTCCTGCCGAGTTCTTAACCCTTGATTGTGTGTTTTTAAAGTTTCTAGACACGGGACACCAGAAATGGGTGGCCCAGGAGCGAGTCATCACGTACCTGGAGACCAATTTGGCCCAAAAGAGGATGCTCGACCAGAACCAGCACAGGGTGAGAAAAATCACCCGCACCAGAGCCAAAGATATCAAACTGAAAGTTGAAGTAAAGTCCGTGTCCCATAGAGCCAAGGCGAAACCACCGATCCTAGCCAAGCTCGCAGAGATTAAAGAAGAGTTCCAGGTCATGATAACCCTCTCGGACCGGTTGAAGCATTTGTTGCTACAGGACTATAAGAACGTCACGAGACATGGGCAGCTAGTGAGGCTCCCTGCGTGTGTACCCGTGTCGAAAGTCATTTCAAATTTTTCCAGGAGCTCGGCGCTATCCGCAGATATTACAAAAAGCATTGAGGTGTACTTTAACCGTTCCTTGGCCTCTTTGGTGTTATATGACTTTGAACGCCAGCAATTTGTGTACTTAAAGAGGGAAGACACCGAGTCGTATTCGGATGTCTACGGGGCGATCCACTTGCTACGCTTACTTGTTGTGTTGCCGAGTCTTTTGGTCTCAAGCTTGTTGAGCGAGGACGGTATCAAAATCATGCTCAAGCATATGAACGAGCTATTGGAATACATGGAAAAGGCCTATGAGAAGATTTTCAGCCCTGAAGACTATATGAAGGCCCTGAAGACATACTTAAACGATAATAAGGAGTTTATGGTTATATAAGATGACCGTCTTCACCTTCGCCTTTTGCAATCCGGTAGATAACTCATCATAGACTCCGCAACGAACGGTTCTTTATTTAGCCTGATACAGAAGCTGCCACTTCAATTCAAGGATGGCCACTTTGGAGCCCTCATCAGCTCCAATTTTATACGCGCGATTAGTGATATTAAGCCGCCAAGTTAGACATAAAAAGAAAGTTTTATTTGGTTTTTTTTTGGATATCAGATAAAATAATACAAAACAACGTAGGAGCAACTCTTTTCCGAAAACCAGTTAGAGCCTAAACGGTTTCTTCTTCTCTTGGAGGGCTGGCCTTTGGGACTTCTTCGGAATCAGACTCGTAGGGAGACTGGTTGGCAGTCACAATGGCTCTGACCTCCTTTGGCAACACATCTGGTCTGTAGAATCTCAAGTCGACTCTCCCAATCAAGTAGAGAATGTTAACGACGGTCTCTAACCCACCCCACATGATGTACATCACAAATGGCTTGTAGATGTTGGTACCCTCAGCAGCGGTTTTTTCATCGAAAGAGGTGATGGCACGCAAGATAGCACCCAGGAAGATGATGAGGGTGGTGATGGTGATGAGGACGATAGAGTGGTTGTGCTTCAAGCTGCCCCTGTCGGTAGAAACACCTTCAACGTGGTTTTCAAGGTGAGAATCGGTGGAGGCAATGACACGGATGGCATGGCGCTGGCTGGAAGGTCTCTTGAGGAACGACTGCTCGGCCTCCTGGGCGGCGTTCTTTTCGACGTAGTAGAACGGAGAGAAGGATTTGATCCACCATGGCTGGTAGGTGGCACAGTTTTTGTCGTTCTGGGTTGGCTTGAAAACGTACGCAAGCGCGATAAGACTAGTGGAGAGCAAGGCATAGAGGAGGACAAAGATATCGGAGACCTTGACCACATTTCTGCACATCTCGTAATGCTTTGCGGACAACAAGTACACGTACGGAACCACCGAGGCGACAATGGTCATGAGGATAATGGCAATGACGAGGGCGTAGACCGTCAACATCAAGTTCCAGAAAAGCTTGGAGGCACCACCGACCGGGTGTCTCCAGGTGAAGATACGTTGGGCCATAATCAAGTTGAGGGTGTTCAACAATATGGTTGGCAAGATCAAAAAGACCTCGGAGGCAATCCCAAGCTTGACCAAGGTGATATTCTTGGACCAGCGGACTCTCATGGCAAACCCAATCCATCTCATCAAGGCGTAGCCCGCCAAACCAAGTGATATCCAAAACTTGTGGCCTCTCGTATAGTTTTTAATGAACACAAACAAGTGGGCAAAGAAGAACACGATGAAAATGGCCAAGAAAAGGGCGCTGGGGGCAATATCCTTGGTGGTTGGATAGCCACCAAAGAGGCCCTGCTGCAAACCAACAACATACTCACTCAAGTAGGATGGAATTTTGCCGAGGAGCGCCTCGGCCTTTCCGAGTAAGATAAGAATACCTGTCCCGAGGGCCGCCCCGTTGGTCTGAGCTTGCATAGCGTCGACAATGGCAACCGCTGGGTTAGGGGTAGACGTTGACATAGTGAGAAGGGGATGTACAAAAAATTAGCTTTTGGAAGAACAGAGTTTTGTAGATACGTGAGCTTTTGGCGGCCAGTTCTCAAAGATCGGGCGAAGAGGACGGGTGGTATTTATACGAGAATAAATGGCCGCTCATCATCAGCTCAAAAAGCACAGGTCATGCACGCCCAAAACGTGCGGCTCATGCTGGCTGCACTCCGAGAGCCGCCTGTGCATAGGGATGGAACCTTAGGCTGCAAAAGCCTGTAAATAGCCTGATACATTGCCACGGATGCGTCGGTACCAATCGTTTTGAGGATATTTTTGCACATGGGTAGACGCATATCCGGCACTAACTCCTAAGTCTGCATGAAGGCTTTAGTTTTTTTCACCCTCTATGGGCAGACGCCCAAGATACCCTGCGTCCGCCCAGGGATTTTTTTTTTGCGTCGTAGTGCCATATGGTGCATCTATTGGCGCCACTATGAGTGGTTGAAAGCGATGGAATTTTTCGCTGGTTCCTCATGGGGCGTCCACTGCCTTTCCATACTTGTGGTGAGCGACGGTGGATATTTGCAGCGGACAGCTCTCGTTTCAAGCGCAACTTTATACGAAAAATAGCGGCAGCGTTGTATTGTGGCTTAGAGTGAAAATTTTAATTGAGGCGCCCAATCCTCCGGATACAGAGATGCTTGATTTTCCCAGGGTAACCACAGTACGGGTACCACACAGACGACAGCTGGGACAGTTTTGTCTCGTCTCCTATAGATCACATGCAAGCTGGTACAGGTGAAAGATGAAGAGCTCTATCCGAACCCTTCATCTATGTTACAATCTAGCACTAACATTGAGAAAAATTCTACCGGCTGCCGCCTGAATTAGCTAGAAACTTTTAATGATGCAACGACTTGAAGACAAAAGGGTCGTTCCGCTCTCACGTTCCGAACTTCTCACCTGTCCTGTTCAAACCCCGGTTTCTCCGTATACTCGCATCCATTGGGACCAAACTTAGTTAAAACTAAGTTCAGATCGACACAGACGTCATCGCGAGATAAAGAGGTTAAATTGCTGTAACAGAGACATGTGCCTCTCGAGCTTGCGAACTATAAAAAGCATACACAATCTTCATATCGTCTATTGTATGCTTTTATGGTACGAATACGGCTCGAATTTACCATAAACCAATAGCCGATACATTGCAACGACTCCCCTTTAGACTGGCAAGTACACTATTTGTGAACATCCATCTCCTCCTTGTTTTCACTCTGATCATATGTCAGTGGTCTCTCCTCCCTTAAAGCCTTCTTGCCACTGCTGCATAAATACTTGCAGTACGTCAGCCCCGCTCTGTCGTAAGGAGAGAGTGGGGTATAGGTGTTGTCTTTCCTAAAACGGCAACCGATGCGGGCTTTCACGTGACATTCTTCCTAAATTTTAGTCCTAGGCCGTAAATGCATGTGTTGCTTGGCTTCCAGGGACTCGCAGGCTAACCATATATTTTTCATGTAAATACCGCCGGGGCGTTAATCTTTACAAATTAGACTGGACGGCTGGTGCCTTTTTTGACAGGCTTTCGGCCTGCTTTACCGCTTCGTTCGCGGCCTTGTAAGCCGGTCTCTCTCTGATCATGTCCCACCACTTGCAAATATGGGGATACTTCTCTGGAGTCACATCTGTAAATCGGAAAGCCCCGCCGACACAGAAAGAGTACATGATATCGGCACCAGAGATGTGGTTACCCACGAACCACCCAGTCCCATTCTTCGCCAAGAGCCCATCCAAGTATCTCAACTGAAGCTTCAAGTCTGGGGCCGCATATCCATTGTCTAAACCATCCGCAATCTTGCGAGCGATGGGTCTGATGAAGAATGGAGTAGCACTCCCGGTACGCAATTTGCTCGTGACGTACAAAAGCACCTCAATCGGTTGCATGGAACCCTCGGCGTGGGTCATGAGGTGTCTGATTTCAAACTCCTCGTCGGCGGTAGCTGGCTTTAACTCTGAGTTGGCTCCGTACTTGGAGACCAAAAACTCAGTGATGGTGCCCGATTCGCTAATCACTTTTCCGGTCTGGTCTTCGATCACTGGGGATTTTCCTAGCGGGTGGATCTTCTGCAACTCGGCTGGAGACCGAGAGGTCACCGGATCTCTCTGATACACCCTAAATTCGAACGGGAGATCAAGTTCCTTCAACAAACATACGATTCTGTGCGACCGCGACTGGGTCAAGTGATGTAAGATAATTTCGCCCATGGTAGTGCTTTGTTGGTAGTAATTATTGGTTAAAATAGAGTCTGTGTGGTATATTTATTAAGTGATTGTAACTACTAGCTAGGGGAATATTGTTGATCGCTTTATACCCTAGATATATAAGCAAAAAGGACGATGAGATCTTTATGAACCATATGACCATATTGCGCCAATCCGGGCGAGAAGAAGGGTTCAGGAAAGCCGAAAGCCGTCAGCAACATACAAAGTGACACCTTTAGTATAGCCTGCTAGAAGGTTGCAAAAAGCAATGCCTCAGAGTGGGGTAACCTAAGAGTTAGAGTAGGCAGAATAGCAACAGTGCTGTCAGTCCTAAAGTGTAATATCCGGAATACAGGACAAAAGAAAACAGGCGAGGCAATGCTCGCTTACAAGGCGCACGTTTCGAACTCCAGGGCATCGCTTTTTGCAACTTTCCAGCAGACTATGCTAGAGGTGTCACTTCGTATGCTGCTGGCGGCTTTCAGCTTAGATGAAAACGGTATTCGGTTTCCCTGGTGGGCCGAGGAATCAGAACGGGGCATTGCATGTAGTTAAATGTGGTATTATATGTTTAGCGGTGCGGGTAGCAAGTGCACTATATATCGGCACGTCGTATATATGTATATTTATATGCTATTAATTGGTTTGTTTTAAAGTATGTAAACGGACAACCCATATTCCTTTGTCATTGGGTAGATATTATCCAGTGAGCTTTGTGTAGCTCTGAATCTATATATATGTATGTATATATATTAGTGTTATTGTGATTAAATTATATAAACTTGAAGATGGCTAAAATTAAAATATTGAATATTTTACACTCATTTCCTTATTCGCCTAGTTTAAATCATTATAGCCTTTATTGGATTAGCTTCAGCGTGACCATGCCGTTATCTGGATACTTACACAAAGGACTAAACTACGCTTTTGACATAGCCTGGTGACATATTAGACAATCGACATGAGGATTGAACGTATATTGGATCTAACAAATGGCTGCCACAAACAAACATGCATATTGCAGTCTCAAATGGGTATTTTCAATGTTATCTGCTTTGCAAACACGATGCGATGCTATCAGCCAGATATGATAACCTGGGTGTGGCTCATCTCTTATCAGCACGTATCGTAGTGCGATTAGTCATCACAGGCGGACATGCACCTGAGGCTGACTCTGTCTGAACCTTACCAGCCAACTGCAGACCACAGCACAGTGTTATCCACCGCTCAAATGATTACTACCGACAATCAACCATATGAGTGCCACCACAAAAGGTATTTCCTTATATCCATATACACCGTCAAAATTTGTACACCTGATTTCGATAAGCGCGCCGTGGTTCGGCCGAATCCGGGGATCCTGCATACGCCACACCTGACTCCTTCGTCACGTGCGCTGAGACACTTCGAGCTCCCAAGGAAAAATCGCCGACACTTATTTACCACTCTTCTATAGCTACCCACTCATGTTCCGACGCTTCTTTTCTTCTACCCAACCACTGATTCGCTCAATGTCTTTGCCTAAACATAACCAGTACTTCCAATTGGGGGGAAAGGACATTTGGTCCTTGATCAACGAAACCGCGGCTGCCTCTGAGAAGGCTAGCGGGACGCCCGTGGTGAACCTCGGGCAGGGTTTTTTTTCTTACTCGCCGCCAGACTTTGCGATTGAGGGTGCCAACACGGCCTTGGCCTCCGCTGCAGCAAACCAATACTCACCAACCAGAGGTAGAAGCAGCTTGTTACAGGCGCTCGCGGCGACGTACTCGCCGCGCTACGGCAAGCAGTTGGACCCGAACCGCGACATTCTCGTGACCACTGGAGCCAACGAGGGGATGCTCTCGGCGTTTTTTGGGTTTGTGGAGCCCGGCGACGAAGTCATCGTTTTTGAGCCATTTTTCGACCAGTACATCTCCAACATCGAGATCCCGGGTGGAAAGGTTGTCTACGTGCAATTGCATCCACCGGCAAACTTTGACCGGGAGACGATTTCTGGGAAGGATTGGAAGATTGACTTTGCCGAGTTGGAGGCGGCGATTTCCCCAAAGACTAAGATGATTGTGGTCAACACCCCGCACAACCCCGTTGGAAAGGTCTTTACCCGCGAAGAGTTGCTTAGGATTGGCGAATTGGCCGTCAAGCACAACTTTGTCATTCTTTCGGATGAAGTGTACGAAAACTTGTACTACACGCCCGAGTTCACCCGCATTGCGACGCTTTCCCCCGAGATTGCCCGCTTGACCCTTACTGTCGGCAGCGCTGGCAAGTCTTTTGCCGCTACCGGTTGGAGAATTGGCTGGCTTATCGGGAACCCAGATTTGCTTGCGTACGCCTCCATGGCCCACACCCGGATCTGTTTTTCCTCTCCATCGCCATTGCAGGAGGCCGTGGCAACTGCGATTACCGCATCGCTCAAAAACGACTACTACGCTACCACCAAGGCACAATACGTTGCAAAGTACGAGATCTTGAACGCCGTATGGGAGGAACTCGGCTTGCCCTACACCAAGGCTGAGGGCGGCTACTTCACGTTGGTCAACTTCAAGAAGGTTTTTGCCAACATTCCGGCCGATTACGCCTACCCGGCGGAGTTTGCCTCCAAGCCACGCGACTTCAAGTTGGCCTACTGGTTGATTAAGGAGTTTGGCGTAGTGGCTATCCCTCCGTCTGAGTTCTACATCGAAGAGCACAAGAGCGTGATCGAGGACTGTTTGAGATTTGCTGTGTGTAAAGACGATTCCATGTTGGAGGAGGCTGTCAAGAGATTGCGGGGCTTAAGCAAGTACCTTTAGGAATAGAGAAAGTTTAGGGTGAATGTACGGCGACAGGCTACCAACACTCGGGCGTTTTTTTATAAGAAAATGAAGGTGATACTGTCATTAGGATAATTTCAAGCGATACTCACTGTTTTGGGTCTGATAAGCCAAATTCTCTTGTAGAACAGATACGGATTTCAATATTTAAACTATTTAACCAGAGCTCCAGGTATTGATCGCTTTCAAATGGCTCGACGGAGAATATATTGGCTGTCTGAATGAAACACAACACAAATATTTTCATTGAAACAAGGTTTTGAATAGCGAGTAGGAAAATTGTGAGAGGCGGGAAGATATTGCATAAAAACAAGTGGCCAGAAGACTGCAGGCCAAGTCCGCTTTACCAAACGTGGATCACTGTTGCAGATTTTCTGATTTACATCGTCCAACCTCAAGACACCGTAGAGTCTGAGCGCACAGGCCGACAAAATAATTTGAAAGTAACGCCAAGAGCAGTTACGCTCAATCCGGTTCATCGCAGGGTACACCTTGGGTCGAGAATGACTGGTAAACGATCATTCAAAACCACGGTAAATCAGCGTATTACTCTTTCTATTCATGGCGGAAAGAGGTTAGCTGTAGAAAAATTTCCGGGGATAGCTGGCTTGGTCTTCATCCCATGTTGATCCACGAGGGTTCCCAGTACAAAACCTCCTGCTTAGGTCCCGGCTCATCCACCCAGAGCAAGCCTTTGCGCACCATGGCTTCCAACACGTCGCGACACCGCACGCGACCCCAGCCATAGTTGTCGCGGAGCATCCCGGGGCTCACATATCCCATTAACCCGCACGTCTCAAAGATAACCTGCTGGTCCGAGTTCAACTCTTCGGGGATGCTCTTGATGAAGAGCTTGTTTTTGACTGGGAATATACTGAAAGATCCGTCAAGGAGCTTGATATCGGCGACCGCCTTTTCAATATCTTTGGCCGTAGGTGTGTACGTTGCATCTTCCAACCGCGATATGAGCTCGTCCACCGATATGATCCCGCCGTTGGCGTCTCTTGTGGCGCGACACGTCTCAATTACTTTGACCGCCAAGTTGTTATAGTACTCGTCACGGTCGTGGCTGGAGGTTTTTGTGAACTTGACCCCAGACGGTGTGTAGTTAGAGAGCGAAAGGGGGTCCACACCAATGGACTGACACAACTTGATAAACTGCTGTTTGAACTGCGCGTTGTTCTTAATTTGCTCGCCGTGGTCCCGCGCAAAGTTGGTTAAGGCTGACTGAAAGACTGCAAGCTGCGCCTGGAGCTCGGCTGATTGACGCTCAAGGATGGCATTTCCAAGCGTTTTATACTGCTCAGTGTCGGATTTGGGGGTGGTCATTTGGGCTAGGAAGATACGACTGAGGCGGGTGAGATGGATTTTGAGCCTGACATGCCTTAAGCTGATAGACACAAAGTCCTGCATATAGCATACTGCTGCTTAGAGATTGGGAATGTCATCAGGCGATCAATCTATGTGATAAACAGGGGAATGTTCTCCCGTGGAGAACTCGAGGGAATTAGGTTTACGTCGGATTATAAAGTATTTAAAAATATCGTGCTTGGTATATGGTTAATGGTCTTTCAGTATAATTCTATAATATTTTACTGAATAAACTGGGTCGTTAAGCTACCCAGACCTGGATTATTACGTTCACCGACAAGACAAAAGTTGGCCAATATAAGACCCTTCACATGCTAGGCGAACTCACTATGCTACACGCCTTGGCCTGAGAAACATTTCCAGACTGTCACTCTAGAGACGTAAATACCTTTGCGTTATGCTAAAAAAAGCCCCCTTTTTGCCTTTACCATTAATAATGCAGTCGCCAGTATTATCTACACCTTCCACTTATCGCTCCTGCTCTTGATGCCGTCCCAGACAAAACAGTTATCCAACACGCGGTACTGCGCCATTAGGACCTTCAACGCCTCCTGGCCCGCCATTCCCCCCATCAACGATGAGGTGTTGTGGAATTCGCGGTTTTGCGCCCGCACCACCTCCTGGAGAGTTTGGTCCAACTTTGCGGGAATGTGCACCGATCCAAGCACCTCCCGCACCGCCAGATACAAGTCTGGCAACGTAGCGGCGCTGGCTCGCGTATTATAGTGGTGGGTATTGGCAAGAAGCGAGAGGTACACGTACAAGTTGGCTAAACCCTCGTCTTCATACTCAGCCTGCATTGCGCCTGGACTCTCCCCACGCGTAAGGATCTCCACTAGCTCAGTGTTCAAGTCATCGGTGTTGCTGGAACGGGCGACAAACAAGGTGCGAGCGTTTTTACAGAACGTCTCTGCCACCTCATCGGAAACTTCTCCGCCTTCCTCTAGGCTCAATAACACCGCCGCAACATGCTTCTTGAAGCGCAGGCGGTCCAGTCTTGCTTTTGCGCGGTAGATATCCTGAAGCCTGACATAGCTGGCAGTGTCTGATGCCATGTCTGGAAGCACCCCCGACAATGGTAAGGTCCCTGCCTCTTTCTGGAACAATCTGAGGGCGCTCACAAGCACCCAGAATATCCTGTTTCGTTCCGGAGCTGCGTGGAGTGCTGTCCTACTGAGATCCATCAACTCGTGGATGCCGGCGGGCGTCTCTGTCACCTGGCACGCGCGCCAGGAAACGTCCCGTGCCTCCGTGAAGTTCACCTCGGTATGGATGTTCCTTGCCATTCGTGCAATTCCCTCTTTAAACTCTCTCTTTTCCTGGCTAGATTCCGGGGCGCCTCCTGCGTGGAGCTTTCTCCACTCCTTCAACGCTTTGATGAGAATAACCACGTACGGAACGTGTGCGTGGTCCACCAGATCGAGCGCTGGCAAGGAAATGGCGTCCACATATCGCTGTAACTCTGGCCACGGCTTGTCCAACCGTAAATCGCCAAACGGATTTGCCGGATGGGACTCAATGGCCGTGAGTTCCGCCGCAAACACTCGCAAGGAGCCGTAGAAACCCACGCTGTTTACCACCATAAGCGGCACCTGCCATTTCCACAACCGCTCCTTGAGGGAGCCAAGCTCACAGAATTGGTTGCTCACCACCACGAGACTGAACTGCTTCCAGAAAGCGCCATCGTCACGGAACGCGGTGACAGCCTCTCCCGCCACGTCGGGATTGAGCTCAAGAAGCACGTTTTTCGCGGCCTCGGCTCTGTATTCTCCCAAGCTGGAGGCTTTGAGGAAAAAGTTTGCCGAGAGGTCATCTTGCGTTACCTTTTCGGCGTCCACAATCGTAAACTTGCCGATTCCCGGCAAAACCAAGTTCTTCAACACCTCGCATCCGAGCGTGTTTGCGTTGACAAGGCACACATGTGACGTGGCTAGGCTCTGCTGACCGGTAGTGGCCCATAAGCGGAGTTGGCGGTCGTACTTCTGTGTATCAATAGGCATGGTGGTTAGGGACGGTAATGGGAGAAGAGCTCAGGCGAGCTTCTCCGTAAATGTCAGGTGGATTTTGCCCCACCAGCATGCAGGAAACAATCGGAGGGCTTGGCGGTACTAGTGCTTTGATATTAACCAGTCTGGGAATAAGGAGGTATATACTTCCGTGGAGAATACCTGTGGCATATCTCTACCTCAAGGGTAGAATATCTACTTATAGTAATAAGTAATACTGGTTACCTCTATAATGTATATAGGATAAAGGAGAGAGGGATCGACCTCCTTATATAGAATATTGATCCCTACCACGTGACAGCTACACGCTTACTACAATACCATAAGCTTTGAATATATCTGTAATCTATATAAAACCGCTACCACACCTACCTAAGCTTGAATGATCGTAAAACCAATATAAATTGGAATTTATGTATATCTCCATAGATATAGATTTGCACCGATATGGAGCTCATCAGAAAATCAAACTATAATATAGTTGTCCTTTATACGCTATACCCGGTCCTGTATCCCTTAAGTTTCATGAAACTGAGCTTCCTCAAAACCTGTTACACTGCCCTGGAACCTGCAGTGTCCCTGGAATTTTGTCCCTCCTGGCGCAGATGAAATTTACAGATTTAAGACATTTCTCTGTCAAACGTAATATGAAAAGGATCCTACTCTCTGCTATCACATATTAATAACCCAAGTGGAGTATACATCTTGGATTACTATGCGGTAAAAGTAAACGACAGCCAGACATTTGCTAGATCAAATGGTGGTTTAGGTGTGTATAAGGGCTCGCGGATACGCCAGGTGCTCCCAAGGAGATTTTCGCTAGGTTGAGAATTCCAGGAGGGAGGCCCAAGGGCTTCAGCCGTGCAGGCGCTTTGACAAGAAACTTTACAGGGTATGTACAGGGGAATGCTTTCCACTAGCATATACAAAGGGGCAGAGGTTCTTGTATACTGAGGGCAGGGAGAGGTAACGTCAAGGTTAGATAACAACCTACCGTAGAACCGGCTTGAGAAGGGTAAGACACCGAGATGTCTGGCGAACGATATAGAATGCCCCCCGACACCTGCAGGACAACATGGCACCGTTAACAAATTTTTTAGCGATAAGCTTTACTACACGGTTTTACGGACGTAAATTCTAGTGTTTAGAGCGGCTCCAAACACCCTATCTTTTTAGCTTTTTACCGCTCCGTAGTTGCTCCCATTTCAAGCGCTTTTCGTCCAAATCAGCCTCTGTGTTTATTATGAGTAACTCTAAAATGGCTTTTATCCCTGTCTGCGCGATTAATTTATGATGATTCTCGCCAGGCAATTAGGTGCAGATTGCGAAGATCTGGCATCACCCCCTATGGCCATGCCAATTTGTCTATGCAGAAACAATGACAGTTTTAGAGCACTCCGTGTAGCTGATGTGGGGCTAATAAGAATACGTCCGGCCTTCGACTATTTGCTTCAGTTGAACCAAACCTTTTTTAATCGAGCTTGGGCTGAGATCTAGAGGAGTGGAACTCGCTAAATTGTTAGAGACTAGAGCTCAGATTAGTCCGGCGTTTCTTTTTGCTACATCTGATCACGCAGACAGATCAGCAAATACCGTATTCTACGCTCCTGAAAGCCATGGGACCAATCGTATGCTTCTTGACCACGCTATATCTAATCTTTGGAACAATTGCTCTTCAGATTAGCACGAAACCATGCTTGCAAACCTGGTGGACGCAAGAGAAGAAAAGCAAGATGAAAAGCACGCAAGCTCGGGACATTACATAGAATTTGGTACTTTGGGACAGAAAAGGATCTGCACGAGCCGCATATCATTTCCTAAAACAGGCAGCTACCCATATATTTTCTGTGTTAAATACAGGATAGATGTGTTGACATAGCGCTAGAATCCAGGCCTAGAGGTTTAGGCCCCGTTTCTGCAGAACTCTGCTGCGGCAACCCCGGTAATTCCTTACCCCTTCATGAGCAGCCGTTATACCTTGACAATCATTCATACTCACGGCTAGGTTAAGATTACAACCTCGAAGTAGTTAGCCAAGCGATATTACAGAGCCACCAATCAACCTAAGGCTTTTTAAGCTAAAAATCTTTGCTAGTTGCCAGTCTAGAGGAGCTACAGCCTACGCTTAAAATAGATACGATCACTATGCATGCACGTTCCACGCAGCCCGAACTTACTTCCCATGTTCGCTAAGGTGCATATCGTTTCCGTGGTCTAGTATACAGGTGGATTTGTTATGAATGTTCTCCTTGATCCTTCATGTGGCTTGATCCGGCAGGTATATTCTTAAGGTTTTCAAGACTCCTTGATTCAGACTCCCTCACAAGCCTTTCCTTTTTTTTTTACAGAACTTGTTTTGTGCTCCCTACTTCAGGCTACTCCCAGAGCTTGTCTCATTTGCTTCTGGTTAGAACTCCAGAGCTTCGTGCTATACCCACAAGAGAGGTTAGCTTCTTCCTGTATTTTTTTTTCTTCATAATGAGAGCCTCCTACGCACTACTCCCTCTCGTACTGGCCCGAACCATCGTTGCGGCGTTGTCCATCTGTGCTACAGACAATACCTCTCCAATATCGCCCACTTATTACCAGTTCCAGTCGAATGGCTACTGTCAGACGCTATGTCAATCGTCTGGCTACGCGTACGCGGTGCTACAAGGCTATAACTGTTGGTGCTCCAACGAGACCCCGTCGCTGAATACTGATATGAGTAACTGCGATGATAGTTGCCCTGGGTTCCCCTCGGATAAGTGCGCTGCAACTGGGTATTACGGCTATATCTTGGTCAATGCCGACTTAGTGGTCACTCCAGCTTCGTCTACCACATCCACAACACCCACACCCACGTCCAAATCCACCCCTACATCTACCACCCCTACACCCACCGTCCCTACATCCACATCCCCAACCACTCCCTCAACTACTAGCATACCTGCAACCACCTCAGCTACAGAAGACACTGAAACCACCGAGGAAGCCACATCCTCAGTAGCCACACCTTCAGTAGCCTCCTCCACTTCTGGAGTCCTGTCTGCACTCGCCACCACTTCCGCTTCATCCACCCCTGTACTCACCTCGTCGCTCCAACCAGTCACGTCCATCGTGTACTCGGTAAAGACGGTTACGAACTCCGCAACAGTGGAGTATTTCACCACCCAAATCGCCACCACCACCACCCCTGGGGCCACCGACACCTCCTCCAATAATAACGGCATCAACGGCACCAACCCTTCCAAGAAATCTAATAAAGGCTTCTTCCAGTCCAAGGGCAAGGTTGCTGGTGTTTTCACGGCCGTTGGGATTGTCATAGCGGCTATTCTTGCCGCCTTACTTTGGTTCTTGTGCCGGAAACGCAGCGACGACGAAGACATCGAAAGCTCTGAGGACTACGAAAAGAAAACCTTCGACCCGATCCAGAGCGGAGCCCTTGCAAGAGCTGGGACTATCAGCGCCTCTATGAACAGAAGTATGGCTGGCCATGGCCATCACCATTCCATTGGCGGAGAAACCATGTATGGTCCCTTCTACTCGCGCAGAGCAAGCATTAACACCAATTCGCCGCAGAGAGTCGACAGCCAGGTGACCCGATCTAGCGGCAACATGCCAAAGATCGATGATGATGAGTACTTGGAAATCGACCAGCGCCTCGACCCGCAAAGCGCCATGTTTATCAACGCCGATAACTCCAACATCTCGTTGTACGATGAATATGACTACTCCAGAAAGCTCGGGGTTGTTAACCCCGATGTGAGCTCTTCTCTCCGCGCAGTTGACCCGGAGGCCGGGATGAGCAGTGTGGAGGAGGAAGACGAGAGCGCTCTGATCGAAGAGGTCCACCATAAACGCGATGGATCTGACAAAAGTGGCTACAGCTATGATCAGTAGCTTTCGCCAGCCCTGCATTTTTTTTTTTAATTCTGTTTACTTTCGCTTTTTCCTCTGCGTTACTGTTTAATTACCCCTATGAACTCTTCCCCTCTGAGCGCTGTAGAGTTTTATGCCAGTTTTATGCCAGTTTTATTATTACTTTCGTTACACCCCTAGCAAATGCTATGTTTGAACTAGTTTTATTAGAGAACTTTGCTGGTAACCTATTAGCTGGGCATAACAGAAAGACAAAGGACCCACTTAGATTCAATTGCGTAGGATGCCTCCTGATCCAGAACGAGAAGCTCGCTGCGATTATGGCAGACCAAGTTTATTCCTTTGCGGCAAAAAACTCCAGCGTGGACTTGAGAATCGCGTGGAACACATCCGCTTGTTTCATCAACCGGCCCTTCACCCAGCCTGAGAGCTTGTTCTCGATCCGCGGATTTCGGTACCGGGAGTCAAACAAGTAGATGGTTGAGTAGTCGCCGATGTGTCGGATAGACCGCCCCACGCACTGGTTTACCAGCCTCATACAGATGTTTTCGTAGAAATTGCGAGCTGCCTCCTTAGCGGCCTCTTTCAGTCCCCCACGCAGGGCCACCGCATCCTCAATGTATCTACGACGGGCTACAAGTTCTCCGGAAAAAGCGTTAGGGAACGGTAAGCCCACCATCACCACCGCCCGCGCGAGTTTGTCGGAAAAGTTGATCCCTTCAGACAACTTTCCGCCCACGACAGATAGTAAAATGCCCCCGGTACCGCTTGTAATCGCATTGGTGTACTCCCCTAACACATCCTTGTCGCTTGCCTCCATAAACACTGGCTTAATCCCGTTGAGCGCCTTCCACACCTTGGCCTTCCACACCCCGCTGGTAATCTCGCTAAGGTATTTGTACGAGGGAAAAAAGACAACCATTCCGTCCGGGACCGTCCTGGCGAGCTGGATCAATGCTAGCCCTAGCTCCTCAACCATGGATGCGCTTCCCCGCCGGTCGAAGGAAAACTCAAAGCTCCCCCCCCTGGGGCCTTTGGAGACAGTGTACACGTTGAGGTTTTCCGGAGGAATCACATGGCCACAGCTAAACTGTTTAATACTGGCAGGTTCAAGGTACGGAAAGAGGTAGTCTACATAGTCTGACATCGGCTCCATGGTCCCACCACAGAGAAGGACGCATTTGGCCTGCTCCACCACGTCGCGGAACATCTCGCTGGGGTCGAGCAACATGTAGTTGATGGAAACGTCAGAGTCCCCGTCCCAGAAGAACTTACCCTCCTGTGACGGATTGGTGAGACACTTTAAGAAGCTGATAATTTTGAATAACAACGGGGTAGCGCTGCGCTTTCCGTCCTGTGCGAGCTTTTCAATGTAGTTTTCGATTTTATAGGCGATTTTGGACGCCGAAACGTATTTGTCTAGCTTGTGGAGGTTGAGCAAGTCGCCGGTGGTACCGTGGAAGATGTCAAACACCGGGATCTCCTTCCCAGGAGCAACCTTATCTTTTTTTACCTCATTCACCATAAATGCTTTCAAAATAATCACCATCTTCATCAACTTTGTCAAATTAATACGATTCCCTCCATTTAGCCGACCCAGGAACTTTTTCATGTAAAACCGGAGCAGCTCCTCGACCTGCTGCAACTCCGAGAGTTTCACCGAGACAGAGTGCATTGCCGAAATTACGTCTAACAAGTTGTGCGCCTCGTCTATCACCACGATGGCGTTTTTGAGCGAGAGCTTGATGGATTCCCGCGTGGATTTCTGGAGGAGAAGCTGGTACGGAAGCGCAACAATCTCCGAAAGCGCCACGCCGCTACGGGCGGAGTAGTATGGACACACGTGCAAGTCCTCGCCAAGGCGGCCCAAGTCCTCGATATCGCGGATCTTGGTGAAATTCAAGTCGGTGAATTGCTTAACCAAACCAGACTCCGTCTTTGGAAGGAATTCACAGCCTTCTTTACCCCCCTTTTGCAAGTCCACGCAGGCGTCGTTGATCGCAGTAACGTCCTTGTACTTAGAAACCCTCGGGTGGATGCACAACTGCTTGCGCGAGGCGAGCGGAAGGAACTTGACCCGCTCGGGGCCTTCAAAGGAGGAGGGGAAGTCTGCGAGGCGTAGCTGGCTCGCGAACTGGTTTAACTGCGAGTGTGTCCGCGAGCTGAAGAGAATGCTCACGTCGCATTCATTGACCAATTCCGCAGAGTCTTGCCTCCCGTCCACCTTGAGAAGCAACTCCTGAATTTCCTGTTGCATTTTATCGCTTTTAGACTGGATGGTCTCGTCGTCACTATAGTAGTCATCTGGGATAAAGTCGTCGTCGTCTTTCGGCCTGGGCTTCTTCTTTCGCGGCTCCAAGGCATGGACAGGCTGCGACAGGTTCTCTAGTTCCTGGAGGTGGCGCTCGTAGCGCTCGGCCGCTGACAGAGCGCGATCCAAGACCGCTTTTCGGTAGGCTTTCTTGACCCATTCCGGTTCATCGTCGCTGTCCTGTACCGGTTTCCGCTTGTACTCACGCAACCATGTCATGGTTGCGCAGATGATGGAGAGGGTTTTGCCGGTTCCTGTGGGGCTCTCAAAGATTCCTACTTTGTAGTTGCCGTCGATGGTTTCGTAGATTGCTGTCATCAAGTCGATTTGAATCGGGTAGGGTGTGTACGGGTGATTGAAAGAGGTCATCACGATCTAACAGCTTGCCTCATGGAGGAAAAGGAACGAATTTGGGTGTACTAATGAGAAGGCAAAGTAAAAATGTATGGAATGCAGTACAGCAACGAGGGTGATGGGATTCGTACGATAGCTGATGGAACGTTTTGGAGCCTTGTGACGGTGGTAATAGCTAAGTTGACGTCGTTATCAAAGGGGTTTAAACGTGTTCCACTGGAGTTAGTATTGGCTGGTATAAGAACGTAGTGTGGATCACGCCAGCTTATCAAATCAAGTATTTACCTTTGCGTCATGCAGGATAGAAATATTTTTTTATTCAGCATGCCATATTCAATCACTTGGACTTTCAGTCGAGTTTAATTAATCTGCCTGTATATTTTTATAGCTGTACCGTTATTGAAAGTTACGATGGATATCATAAATACCAGTGTACAAGTGATAATACTACCTTCAAGAGCCCAAACCAGAATTAGATTGTCTTTGCCAAATTCTACGAAGGATCGTGACTTGGAATAATCCATTCTGCACGTATACAATGTTCAACCGGCCATCAACTGACCTAGAGCAATGTGACTTTCAAACCCATTGGCACGTAGATCTCAAAAATGTGTTTATAGCTCTTACATCCCCTAATTTACAATGCGAGTGGTAAGAGACCGGTTTCAGATAGTTACACAGTAAAATAAACAGCAAATTGGTTAAGCATACGGTATCCCTATTAAAACTTTTAATCTTTGTTTTATCTTCAGTATAACCCACCAATTGTGTCAATAGACTCCCACAATACCTGAATAGCACCTCTAAGTTATACAGGCATATGCATCCTGCACAGACAGTCCTGTATGGACTTTGGAATTGTTTCTCTGTCCTTATTACCACCCCCCACGTAGAGCCATAAACCGTGCGCTAGGCATCATAAACCATTGCTATGCCTTCACCAATTTTCATTTCACAGCCACCGCCAGGATTCTCCGTTTTGGCCATCTTGCGGGGCTTCCAGCTCTCGTTTCTCGGGGCGTATCGGTCCCTTCAGAACCCCGACTTGCTCCACAATAAATACTATTCTCAAGCCCTCGCGGCGGTGAAACTCTCGCTTGCAATACAGGTCCTTCTCTGGGCACCACTCATTGCTCTCAAGCTTTTTTTCAAGGTTCTCGCAATGCTCGTGGGCGACCGTATCGACTTCCACGGGATCATCGACACCTTGCGCTTCCTCCAGAACTCTGTGTTCAATGTTGGGCCATTTGTTGCCAGTTTGGTCCGCTTCTTCAGACCAGAGCTTGACGACATGTTCCTCACCTCCTTGGCCTTTGTTGACAGCGTTTATTTGCACAAACACCCCGAGCGCACGGAGCGCCAGTACCACCAGCACTTGGTACTGTTTAAGAAGGTGCCGAGACAGAGGACAAAGGTGACCGATTACGTTTCAAAGGTGGTGAGCTTTTTCCATCTTAACGGAAATACCGTCGACTTGAGCGAGGTGGTGGTGCGGTATCTCAAGCGCACAGCTATCACCTTGGCGGTGTATCTCTTGTCATCGATTCCCGGGATCGGGCCGCTCGTGGTGTCGATTGTATCCTTCTACAGTTTCAATGGCGTGGTGGGAACACCAGCAGCGGTGGCCGTCTTTACTATCTTCTTGTTTACTCCCAAGCGAACCACGATCGTGCTTCTCTCGGCGTTCTGGGGCGCCAGAGGGATTGTGGCGGACCTTCTCGTGCCGTACTTCTCGCGGGTTCCGTTCACCAAGTCCGAAAAGAAGCAATGGTTTCGAGCCAGAGAGGGTGTTTTGTTTGGATTTGGCTTCTGTTTCTACTTTCTCTTGAAGATCCCGTTCGTGGGGGTGTTGATGTACGGGTTTGCCGAAGCCAGTACCGCCTACTTGCTCACCAAGATTACCGATCCACCACCCCACAACAGCAGTGAGTTGATCACCTGGACCGCTACCCAGACGGTTTGGACCAAGGAGCGCTATGTGTTGAGCGGCGAAGCTCTCCAGCATGACGAGGGGTTTACTCCGATCCCAGGCTCGTTTATTGTCGGACCGGCGTCGGAAATCATCCGCACAGGAACCCCTCTGATGGCCGGATACAAGCGTGGATAGACTAGGATGTGGTTGTGTGGGCAAAACCATATGATACCACTGAATAAGCTAAATCTCAGAAATTATCGGTTTGTTATGTAAGATTTTAATTTACATACAGCATTAATTAAACCAAGCGGCGAAAGCTTTCTCCTACAGAATTTTTTCAGTATTTATTCGCTACCACTCACAACCGAGCTATATATATAATGTATATATGTATTTGCATCATAGCAACCAGATGCACACCCTTCGCGATAATGTTGAGGGACAACCATAAGATCTACTTCTGTCAGGTCTAAGTATAAAGCCCAAGCTCCCACTTCTGTGTTTGGTCTTGGTATTTTTTCTTTCCGGTTTCAATCTCCAATCACTTCTACAATACGTAGTAGCACTTGTATAACTTTCAAATCCTATTTACAACAGAAAAATATCTAGTTACTCTAATATTTCCGTTTAATCAGATCTTCCTTCTCTTACACTGTCACATCTCCAATGTATTGCTTCCCGATTCGGAAAACCGGGTAACCGCCCAGTTTTTCCGCGTCTACATCGAAACACAGCCAAAACGCACCAAAACGTATCAAAGCGAATCGAAACGAACCAAAACATAAACCAATCCCCTACACCCTTCCTCGCTATGACTTCCGGCCGCCCTGTAACTACGAGCGCCTCGGGCCCCAGACTCCTCAAGGAGCTCCTCGAGGCTGGCCGCAACTTGCCCAGCGCCAGCGCCGACCACGGCACTCTCCAGCTGAGTCTCAATGATATCCGCAAAAAGGCACACGACTTGCGCAAGGCGGAGAATGCCTCCTTCACCAAGGCGCACTACCTTCTCGCCGGTAGCGGGATCACGGCAGAGGAGATCGAAACCGAGCTCAAGTCGATCGAGGTGACGGCCCCCCAGGTCGATGCCAGAGCCGTTCCAAGGGCCGCTAGCCACGACATCGACTCGTACCTCCGCGCAAAGAAGGAGGAAAACATCCTCTCGGCAATCGAGCAGTCGTTGCTGTCTGCGGCAAAGGACTTTGACGCGTTTGTCAACCAGAACGTAACCATCGACTGGAAGCGCAAGCGCGACGAGATCCGCGAGTCGTTTGGGATCGGCAGCGCCAAAAAGCCAAAGACACACGTTACCTGGGGTAAGGCGAACCCTGGCCGCAACGTGCTCGGACCGATGGACGGCTACGACGCGTGCAACAACAAGCAGTTGGGCCGCGAGAAGTTTGAGGTTTACGCCCAGGTTGTGTACCAGTTGAACGACGCCCGCCAGAACAAGCAGTACTTTCCGCTCGCGTCCACCCTCGGCGAGGTTTTCCGTGCCAGCACCGACGTCAAGTCTAGACAATTGCACGATACGTGGAAGATCGTTGCGTATCTCACGGAGGAGAGATCGTCGCAGGTGTACCAGGAGAAGAAGTTCTTCAAGGCGTACGCCTCTACCGCGGCCTGTGCGGATCTCAACCAGTTCGACGCGGTGGCATTGCGCAAGAAGCTTGTGGGCAAGTCCAAGACCTACCTCGAGAGACAGTTCTTGGATCTCGTCAACTCTGTGCACAAGAAGCACCTTGGGTCAGAGCTGGCCACCACGGAGGCCAACAACAAGGTGGAGCCAGCATCCAACACAACCAAGGTAGCGGCGTTCATCTCCAAGATGGGTTTGGCCAAACAGGAAAAGACGCTTGCGGTCAACGGCGTGCCGATCTGGCCATTGGTGTTCTACCTCTTGCGCGCGGGCTTGCTCGAGGAGGCACTCGAGCTCACGGCCGCCAACCACCAGGCATTCCAGAAGTACGAAAAGGCGTTCCCGGTGTACCTCAAGGCATACGTGGACTCACCGTCGCGGAGATTGCCGCAGGAGTTGCACGAGCGCCTCCACACCGAGTTCAACCAGCACATTGCCCAGGTGTCCAAGACCGCGGACCCGTATCGCTACGCCGTCTACAAGTTGATCGGGCGCTGCGACTTGGCCCGCAAGACCTTCCCCGTGGACTTGAGCATAGAGGACTGGCTCTGGTGCCACTTGTCGTTGACCCGTGAGGACAACGTCGAGGAGGACCCCTCTCATGAGCGCTACACCTTGCTCGACTTGCAGCGCACTGTGGCACAATACGGTGCCGGCCGCTTCAACGGCTCCAACCAGAATCCGTTCTACCTCAAGGCGTTGGTGCTCACAGGGTGCTTCGAGACCGCCGTCGAGTACCTCTACACCTTGAACGAGGCCGACGCTGTCCACTTGGCCATCGGCTTGGCCTACTACGGCTGGTTGCGTGTCAGCAAAAGCCACAATGCGGGCAACGAGTTGATGGTGATCAACCCGCGACTCAACGACCAGCGCGAGATCAACTTTGCTCGCCTCATGGGCTCCTACACCCGCTTCTTCCGTGCGTCGGACCCTAAGATCGCCGCCCAGTACGTGATTCTCATCTGTATGAGCGAGGAGATTACCTCGCCCCAGGGCAAGGACCAGCTCGACATCTGCTTGGAAGCTCTCCGTGAGTTGGTGTTGGAGACCAGAGAGTTTTCGTTACTTTTGGGCGACATCAACGCCGATGGCATGCGTGTGCCAGGAGTTATCGAGCAGAGAAAGAGCTTGTTGGGGCTTAGGAACGAGGAGGAGTACCTCCACAAGGTTACCGAGCAGGTGGCCGTCAGGGCGGACGAGGAGGGTCGCCAGTTTGACGCCATCTTGCTCTACCAGTTGGCCGAGGAGTATGACACCGTCATTTCCACCATCAACAAGTTGTTGGGCGAGTTGCTCAGCACGACCGAGTTGGACCAGCCGCTTTTCAGCGCATCCGAAACCCAGCAGACCAACATCGTGTTGTTGGCGACACATTTAATTAAGACGTTCCAGAACAACGCAGAGATCTGGAAGAAGATTGGCTCCAAGAACAGGGAAACCTGCGAGACCTTGCTCAAGTTAATTGATATCAGACAGCGCTTTGTGCACCAGGACTGGGATGTCTGTTTGCACAAGATCGGCCAGTTGAGCATTGTCCCAATCAACGAGGATGACGATTTGATCTCCTCGAGGCGCTTGGCGCAGGACTTTACCACGTACGACGAAAACGTTGCCAGAAGTGTGCCGGCGTTGTTGATTATGACCATGACCTGTGTAGCCCAGTCCACCCACCAGTTGAAGCAGAGCGAGTTCAACGTCTCCAGCAAGTCTCACAGAATGAACCAGTTGAGAGAAGTGGGGAAGAACTGCATGATCTACGCTGGGATGGTTCAGTACAGAATGCCAAGAGAGACGTACAGTATGTTGATTGGCTTAGAGGCTATGCTTTAGAAGCTTTGTAATATATTTCGTATCACAACTGTGTAGGTGGCGTAATCGGGTCAGCACGATAACTAATTCCGTCATGCCTGGTTTATCCTTCTGGATGACCCTACAGCCTTTTCTATGAAAAAGCCCCAAGACGTAGGCATTTACTCGACTCCATACAGCCGTTATCTACCATGAAATAAATCTTTCACTATCCAAAAGGTATATCTATGTATATTTTCGCCCTAACTCAGCTTCTACTCAGCTTCTACCCAGCTTCTACTCAGCTTCAAGCTCCACCGCTCCACCCAGGGTCTGGGAAAACGTGTGGTCCCCAAACAAGCTCAACATCACGGGCAAAAAGCACAAGCTGTGCAACGACGCGATAACCACCAACGAGAGCCACATTCTAAAGTAGTAGATTTCAAAAATCCGCGACTGGGCAAAGTACAACACACACACACCAATGAACTTGGTCAATGTAATGCCTCCAAACACCGAGCCTCCGACGGTGTTGAGCGCGTGGTAGGTTCGGTTTATCCGCGAGTAATCTTCCGGGTTTTCACACCCAGGAGAAAGCCTCAACGGCGTGTGAGGGTCGACAATCGTGAATGAACGCGTGACGTGGACGCAAAACTCCATGGCCAAACCCACGCAAATGATAAGGTTAACCAAGCTGACAGCGTTCAAGGAGATTCCCCAAACGGCCATCACGCCCCCAATATCGGTCAAGATCATCACCACGTTCAAAACAATGATAAGCGAGGCCCGGTTTACCCCGAGCACTGCCCTGGACACACCAAAGATAAACGCCACGGCCGTAGAGAGCAACACCACCGTAAGCTTCACAATGTTCTGGTACTGCACAAAAAAAATGTAGAACGGAGAGTAGGCAAATACGTCACCGGATGGAATTCCCAAGTAGTGTTGTAGCTCCAGGACCACTCTGAGGGAGGACTGGTACCCTGCGATGAAGTCCGCTTGTGAGCGCAACGGCGAGTGGGAGGTGCGGAAGGTGGACGCATCGATGCTCTTGCCGTCTTCTGCCACAGCGATGGCCGAGGAGTACGGAGCCTTGCCACCTAGCGGACATCTATCGTCGCTGGGGGCCTCGATCCAGTGGTTAAAGTACCTCATAAACTCCTCGCCTTCCGGAAACCCGTCCATGGAGGTGTCCCAGGCCGGCTCCCGGTTGGCCATACACGAATCACAGGAGCGGGATGGCTGGAACGGCTTGCAGAACACGTCGCTGTTTCGCTTGGAAACGCGGCAACATTGGTCTAGGTCGGGGTTCAAGTAGCTGAAGTAGTCGTCGATCCAGTTGCTGACGGGTTCCACAATCAACGAGACATCACTCCGTTCCCGCTCCTGCTCCAACACGTTTGCCAACGAGAATTCGTCACATGAGGCGTAGCGACCGCAGAGTTTCTGCTGGACCGACCGTTCGGTAAAGTTTAACCCTTTGACCACAAAGTAAATGGGGGCACCCACGTTGAGGTACGAGTACATGTCATCAAAGTAGTCGATCAAGTAGGAGCCCTGGGGGATGGCGATTCGCTGGTCGAGCCCCAACTCAATGCCCGGCAAGAGCGAGAATGAGATCGTAAACCACAGCAGGAACACAACCAAGGCCACCTTGCGGACGCTGTCGGAGAGAATAAACGGTGAGTAGTGTTTGATGAAACTTTCTGAGAAGAATCCGCCGTCAACTACATCGTCGCCGGCTCTTCTAGCCTCATCGACCGCGAGATAGGCCACAAATCCTGTGATTTGCATCAACACGTTGATGAAAATGGCTCCCGCGGAGTAGATGGCAAAGTTCCGCACAGCGGGCATGGCGACCGTGCTGGCGAGGGAGAAGGCACCAAACTGCACCATCGCGCTGAGAAAGATGCCTGGTCCGAGGCGTCTCACACAGAGGGCGACCCTTTCAGGGACAGACATGCTCGGATGGGACACCCCGATGAGGCTCAATTCGTGGGATAAGAGGAAGATGTTGTCAATGCCGATAGCTAGTACGAGGAACGGAATCACCTCTGCGATGATAAGGGTGGATTTGACGCCGGCAAGAGCGCACAAACCGGCAGAGGCGGTGACTGAGAGCAAGACAACCACAATGCCCACCAATCCCAACGAAAAGGTAACCCTCCGAGAGCCCCTAGAGAGCGAAAGGGCGACGGATGCGTAGAGAAACATGAGGATATACGAAACCACAATGATCTTGAAGTCCGTCTTTGTGTTGGAGTTGAGTTCCTTTTCGAGAGAAATGTCGGTAGAGAAGCTGATTTTCAACCCGCGGGCCAGCCCTTCGAGCTGGAGATTGAGCAAGTACTTTTCCAACGTAAATTCAAACTCCTGGGCCCTTTGCACCTGTTCCGATCCCACAAGCCCGTTGTTGACTACATACGTCACCACAAACGCCTTAGCGTCGAGCACATTGGCACCATACCCACCAAAAAGAAGCTCCTTCTTTAGCGGCTGGCCGAACGATGGCAAGCACGTCACTGGCTGAGAGGCACACTCAGAGAGCTTGCCCCTCCAGGTATCCGGGCCTAGCTCCTCTACCGAGCCGAAGTATTGCGTCCATGACTCAATCACACATCCACCACCATCCAAAGGCTTAAAACAGATGTCTGCCAACGTGTAGTTCGAACCAGACGACTGCAAGGTGGCGATTTCCTGCTCCTTGGTGGCCCACCAGCGGAGGGTCTCCCAGGACAACACCTCCAGGCCGTCCAAGCTTGACACAAACACCTGTTCGGTCTTGTAGAACGGGCCGAACTTTTCGTCAAAGTACTGCTTTTGCTGAAACGCTTCAGCGTCGGGGCTTACCCAGAGATTGGTGGGGTCTGTAACCAACTGCGTTTTGAGCATCCCCAAGGAAAGGGCGACGGCAAGTAAGAGCGATGAGAAAATGGTTCTCTTTGGGCTGGAGGCACAGAGGTAGGCTAGGCCTGCCAATCTGTCCTCGAGCCACACGTTCAATCTGTTTGACTTCTGGGGCTTTGAAAAGTCGTTAAGAGGCTGTAAATCTTCGGAGGTTGGCTTAAACGCAAACCGTAAATCCATTTTCTCCATCACCACAAGATAGATGACGACAGATACGGCAACGCTGACACCAAGAAGGACAAGGAAGGAGAAACAAGGAACGGGTCCCACTTTACACTGTTTCGGGGGCGCTAGCTCAGGCAAAGTCGGACACACAGCTGCACAGTCACCGCAAGAGCACTTGTAAGCGGCGTCGTCGCAATCTCGGGCGGTGAGCGAAAGCGGAGTCATCGCCGGTGGCGAAGTTTGGGGGAAGTTGATCTGGAAGGGCGATCCGCCGAGCATGGGCTTCTTGTCGCCTAAAAACTTGAGAAACGCCGCCGGGGTTTTGGCACCTCCACCGATCAAATCCATGGCGTAGCCGCTCATCATTCCGAGCTTCACCTCCTTGCAGCTGTCGAAGAAGCGCTCAGCAAACGTGGTATTTACAAAGTAGTCGAGCTCCGCCACGCGGGGACCGTCGCTGGTGACGTTGACAAACATGGACTGGTTGGCTGAGCAGGTAAAGTGACAGAAAAAGTCGACAAAATTGGTGTGGCACGCCGGACACGCGCTAATGAGCGCCTTGACCTTGTCTAGGTTGGACTTTAGGGTTGTGAGCTGGCTCTCGGAGCAGCAAACGCCGTTTTCGGAGGGCAAGTTGGGACAAACCTCACGGAGAAGCGTGGAGGAAGCCGGTACCGCTCGTCTGTTGTCTAAACAAGGGAGATCAGCACCAAACGGCGTTTCCAGCCCGCACAGTCCGTACATCGCGCAGTAGCCCGGTTCGTGGATGTGGGCGGCAACGGCGAAGGCGAGAAAGGCCCAGAGAAGTTTAGCCATAATGGGGTTAAGGATAGTAAACTAGCAGTTAAAACTGGACGGTATTTTGATTATATGGAAAGTTCTATGTATATGTTGTGCTAAGCTTGAAGCTGTACAAGAGTTTGTGATGCTTTGTACATTTTGCCCGGCCGACTGATAGGAGATTCGTGTGCAGGATATTATGGGGTACCAAGAGCCATGACGGGTCTTTATCTTTCAAGTTACGGTTTTTAGTAGGATAGAGAGATGTTAAGGTTCCAACTAGTTTTTTTATATTCTCCTCGATTGTTGGTTTATTTAGCATCATAGCTTTGTAGGATTGCCTTTTGTACAAGTGCTCTTATCGTCCAGACTGCAGTTACGGTATCGGTTCCTTGTGACATCTATGGTTAAGGTTTAGTCCGCCGTATATATTGTAATTATTCCAGTTAGTCACTTGTAGTTAATATCACGCAACAGATGGCCACCCAGTCTATGCTATATACGGCACTCACGGGGATCACTTTTGATATATATTTATTATGTATCCCATCTAGTCAAAATGGTCGGTGATAAACCGCACTCTTGATGGAAAAACTAGAGTATTTTTATTTCGTTTGTATTTCTTATCCCTATTTCCCTTTGGGTTATCCTTTTAATAACGCGGCTGTTTAGGGCATTAGCAATCATAATTGCTGTAGCTCTTGAATTTGATAGCGCTCCGTCCTGTATCCGACAAATTTATACCAATCCTTCCACTACGGCCTGTACCGATGCGGCTTTAGACTCGCACGACTACACGGTAACAGAAAAACCTTCACCAAGGTTTCTCCCAGACTCATCGACACCTCCCTTATGGCCGTTAAGAAGAAAGGGACTGATTCCCCCACTCCAGAGAAATATGACTTTCCCAAGTCGTTTCTGGTGCTTTCCACCCAGAAATCTTACTTCACACCGACACCCGAAACCGTGGTGGACGGCCAGATCATCACGATCCCCAAGTTCTTTAACGCCGAGCTCTGCGACGAACTCATCGCCTCGTTCACCACATCTCCGAGCCTCACTCTCGAAACAACCCCCCTCATTAAGGGCAAGGGATATGCGGCTCGTGTGAATGACCGTGCCTTGACGAACGACCCCGTCGCGGCCCAGAGCTTGTGGGCGTATCTTTCCAAGTTGCTCCAGCTGCAGTACGGCGATGAGGCCATTTCATCCATCTTTGACGACGCCATCGGCTTGAATCCCCAGCTCAGGATCTACCGCTACCGCGCGGGTCACCATTTTGGAAAGCACTACGACGAAAGTGTGCCGGTGACGGTGGAGAGGGTCAGGGGCGAGACCCGCTGGACGCTTTTGATTTACCTCACTGGTGATGAGGAGTTTGTGGGGGGCGGAACCATCTTCTATCCTCCTTCTTCCACTAAGCGCAATGCCCGTTCGTTGAACATCCATCCGTCCAAGGGCATGGCCTTGTTACACAAGCACGGGGACGACTGTTTGTTACACGAGGGAGAGTTGGTGAGCCAGGGCGAGAAGTGGATCTTGCGGAGCGATATTGTTTACCCGTGGTAAGCAGTGGTGCCTGAGCCGTGGATTACGGATTCGGTAGGAAGGGGAAAGGTCTGAAGGATTGAGATTTCTCGTCATGAGGAATGTCTATCAGGATTGAATTAGAGCTGTCTAGATCTTGGCTTGAGGACACAAGATAATATCTTTCAGAAAGCTTCCAGGTGGGTCAGAAAATGCGCAGTTCGAGTCTGATATTATTATCGATAAGATTAGTGGACTAAGGGCATTTAAACGGCCTACCGCCGATCTTATCCAGGATAGCGCATGTGTATGTTAGTGATTGGTAGAACTGGATCCTTAAGGTAAGTTTTATGTGTACTTGAAAGATTTTTGTCACTGGAATAGCACTAAAAAATCTTGGTCACCAACTAGGCGAGAAGTAGAGTTAGTACCCAATGGGAAACTGGGATAATATTACACTTTGAACGCCCAAATAGCGGAGTTATATAGTTATGTTAACAGAGGGTAACCAAAGGGCCGACAATGACAAAGCTCGTTTTTTTTTCATAAATGTCAACATTATTCAACAAATTGCTAAAAGACAATAATCGTCATTCAAAAATATTACGCACCGAGGGTATGGCTGGAATAAAAAAAAAGATATCGACACAGACAAGATTCGAACTTGCGCAGGTAAAACCCAACGCCTGAACTGTTACAAGATAATAGCAGGGCGTCGCCTTAACCACTCGGCCACAGTGCCAGAAATCTGAAAATTTATATATTTTCGCGAACTTTATCATGCCAGCAAATATCGTTTAGCTATTGAATATCTAGATTATGGCTTACGCTAGGGATGTATATTTTTTTTATTTAACTTAGTATTTAACTATAACAATAGATACAGTCTTTTTCTCTAGCTACAAGTGAGGTACAATGTCTGTTTTCGTGGAATCTCTGTTCTGTTGAAGAGAGACTTCTATCGCAATACTTAGTGCGTTGAGCTATGGTTCTGGAAATTTGTTTTATACAATGATTTCTGTCAGAGTTAGAGAGTTATTTCGGGAATTATATGAGACTCCAGTTGAGGTTATTAGGATTGTTTGATAATGAGTATCTGAAACTATCCTGTCGCATGAAAGAAACAAATGAGGCACTGAAGAAAACTATATAAGGAAGTAGTTTTCCAGATTTAGGGTATGATCTTAGTTTAATATTATCTTTATTTTTATGAATCAATGACTGATTATGACCCCCTGACTGGAATACCAATAGGCGCTGGAACCCTGACAATTTTATCGAATGGTTTCATTGTCAGTTGATTCTGGCACCTACTTAACACATAGTACGTCCCTAGCTCGATCATTATCGGGATAGTTCTTAAGTCGTGGAGGATGTATGGGCGACTCAGTATTAAAGCCCAAGTAATTTATGTGTACACCTTTGCTTTACTAAACGCGCACTTTCGGGATTTACCCCTGAAACCATAGCTATCCTTCATGGAGTCCTAACTGAAAAAAAACACAAGCCACCCGTGCAGCTCGTAATTAAATGACCAATCTTGAAACATCCAAAGCTATTCCCAGTCTTGCGAACCCCCTTAAGGGTGATAAAGCTAACAAATTAACCCAATTTATTGATTCTACAGTTACAATTTATTGATCCAATCCATTACACTAATGATACAAAAAGAACCCGAACCCAGAACAAAAAACTAAACAGCCTAACAAACAAGTGAAGGATACAACGGCTTCTTTTCCATTTCCACCTTCTGCTCGTATTCCTTCAACGCCTCGCGAATCACGGCCCTGATCAGTCTGATCACTTCTCTGTGCCTTTCAACGTCCAACTTCGACTTCTCCGTTGTCTCGTCAATTTTAACACTGGCCAACTTTTCGGTCAAGTCCTCTACATCGGCAGACTTGGCCGATTTCTGGTAGACCCCAACGTTAAACTTCCGAGCTGGGTCCGCACCCTCGAAACGGTTCACCTGGGGCAATCCATAGTTGCCACCGTAATGGGACTCGTTCATGGACGGATACAACTGGTTTTGGTTCTGGTTGAATCTCAATTGCGGCAACGGCTGGGAACCATGCTGGTAGTGGTCACTCGCGTTCTGCGGGTAAGACCCCAACGAGTGGTTCAACTGTTGGAAGAACAAGTCTGCTTCCAACAACTCCTGGTGCTTTGGCTGCTGTGCCTGCTGGATCGGTGGCAAAGCCTGGTAGCTCTCGTCGAACGAGTTGAGCTTGGTACCAATGCCGTAGTTGTAGGTTGGCTCGACCTTGGACTTCTTCAAGTCGTTGTAGAAATCGGAAATGGCCGAGATGGATCTCTTCCTCGAGTCAGCGTGGGGGTGATACGAGTGCGGTGGTTGCGAGTATTGCGCGTTGGTCTGCTGCAAGTGTGCCGCGTGCTGCGCCTGCGCTTGCTCGTAGCTCTGCGGCTCGTAGCTCTGCGGGTGTTCGATCAAGTCGTCTGCGTGGATCTTTACGTGCTTCTTCAAATCCTGCGGGCGCTTGAACCCCTTGCCGCATACATTGCACAGCCACGGCTTCCAGTCTACGTGCACACGCAAGTGCGACGTGATGTGGTCGCGCTTTGACGTGGTCACTTCACACTTTGCCCAGTGACAGCGGAGCAGAAGGTTCTGGTGCGACTTGCGCCCGATGTGACATGCACAGAGATGGTTGTAGAGGTCGGAGGCGCGGTAGAACAGCTGTTGGCCGTCCGGACACTGCTCCCACTGGCAGAAGTACGGCCCGATTGGGTCGTTATCGTAAACCTTAACCTTCCGCTTGCGCTTGGTTTTACCCGAGATCACCTGCGCCTGTGTAGGAGGAGGTGGTGCCTGTGCCTGCACAGGCATCTGAGAGTAGTACTCTGGGTACCCCTCTTTGTAGTAGCCGCTCTGCTTCGGAGAGCTCACGGACGAGTTAGAGCTGGCCGACAGCTTTGGTGACGCCCCAAGCAGGTTTATCGGGCTGTTGTCATCCTGGGAAAACTGTGAGTTGGTCGAGTCGTGCCTGGCATACTGCGGGTTCGCGTCTCTGGAGTATTGCGGGTTAGGCGGAAGGGTGCCTGGGTATGTGTTTTCGTTCATTGAAGGGTAGAGGTACGACACAGGGTGGAGGTTATATGAAGCCGGTGGCGGCGCGTAGTCTTCTTTTGGGTACATTGAAAAGGTATAGGTATTCTGAGGGTACGCCAGATTTTTGTTAGGGAGAGATTTAGTGGGGCCGCCTCTGTTTTTATATTGTGCGTAACCGGGCTGCACGAGCCATGCACCCTGAACCGTGAATTGCTTTTGAATCCTTGGTATCCGGTATATATGAATAGGCGGTGCAGATAGGTGCATATGCCAAGATCTAGGTCTTGGTGTGCATACGCCAGTCTGTCAGTTCCGTGCCTACTGTGGGGCTGGGAGCTGGTGATACACTCCCAGGTGTCAGTCAATATCTCAGGCCACATATGTAGACCCTGACAAAAAGATGCATACGGTGGTGAAAATGTTAACCTATATGCTTCTGAATTGTGCCGGTGGATGGTGTATATATAATATTAATGTTTGTTGAGGGTTTGGGATACGCGTATCTAAATATCAATGGTTACTAGTGGACTGAGTAGGGCCCATTTCCACTAAACGGTGACATAGTTCTTAGTACCCCAAAACAGCGGGGACTCCGTTGGACCACCAGCTACTTAAAATACGTAAGTTGGATCGGCGAAAGTAAACCCGTGGGATGACTGGCCTGTTTTTTTGCCCAGATTAACGCACGACAACGCATGCAGTTGAGGCCACGTTTGAATGAACCCTTTGAAACGATAGGCTGGGAAAAGCTCAGTCCTGGACACACGAGTACACGAGCACAATAAGTACATGGGGTGAGACAACTCGAACAGACGATTGTAACAGTCGAGTAGTCTTCCGAGAGAGGCGGGTGGATACAGTTCGAAACAGACGGTGAGAACTATAAAGCTTTACTTTCGGATGTCTGAATGACTTACGTCATTTGGCCAAGCTATGCCTTTTTTTTGCATACCGGTTACTCCATTCCTTGGCAAGTTCTTGGTCTACCAGTAAGCCTCCAAAGACTCGCTAATTTTGAAGATCTCAGTGGACCGTGAGGTGATTTTTGGGCTTGAGTTAAAGATAGCCATAAGGCGGTGAGGGGATATTCTGACCCAGAGAGTGTATTCGCACCGGATTAAGCCACAAGTTGGAACACGGTACACCCATACAACTAGAAGGGTACCGATGACTCCGGAAGGCTTCAAACCTGTTTACGTCATAGCTCCTTTTATCTAGCAGAAACAAGTTGTGCAAAAGTTCTACCAGAGTCCCACCTTAATCTTGTCTTGATGCTTTAAACATGGTAGCACGGTTCGTATTCCGAAGCAAGTATTTCAATAGCTCGGGTTTCACACAAAATAGTCCCTCTACGTGAAGTCTCTGTTTCGGAGCGCCGTATGTGAATACACTACCGAGTGGCCCTTATACGAAGATTCCGTTTCAAACAAAACTCGCTATTGTTTGCTTGTTGATTAAGACCTCAATTCCAAGTTCCTAACGCCTTAACTCCAAGTATATAATGCCTTAATTCCATGCTTGGAATTCTGGTAGTACCTTATCTGGCAACTATACCTCGATAGTGGACACATCCTGTGCACTTGATCAAACCGCCAAAAATCTAGATAAATACGAGCCGTTGGAAATCCAGCAGCCATAGTGCTCTTCTACAGTGGGAGCCACCCAAGCAATTATGCTTGGCGTTGCCTTTTTAGGCATGGCATGGTACACATATAGGAACGTGCGGGGGGGTTAGATAGGCTAGTTTTTCTTCCTGCTGACACAAATATGACAAAGTAAATACGTAATCCCTCTAAATCCTCCGAATAAACCAACATACGGCTACCTACTCACTAGAGACCCAAAGGAGATTTAATTGGTCTCCTTCCGAGTTATGAATGCTGCGGAGCCTTACAGGTGGTGTGACATGTCGCCATTGTACAAAGCTACCACATCTGTAAATGGGACTTTAAATTTCTCTCTACATCTCAAAAGATAAAGCCAGAGAGTGGAAAAAAAAAAGAACATGCGTCCAAAGACATTAGCGATTATCCGAAATATCAACAGACGAGCCGCCATTTATTATCGTCTCGTGTCCAACACCGCATAAACGAGCTAGCAACCTGCGGAGAAAACAGGAGTGACGCTGACACATTTGGGTGCACAGCACTTAACAGGCTTTCCATTTTAGTCTACCAGAAGCCGATTATTATGATCGATTATCTCTCGTGGAGGGGCATTCCGGAGGCTCTTGGACCATAGTGCTATTGCATAACTGAAAGGTAATTTACAACGGTGTAAAAAGTATAGCCGATCTCGGTGAGGGTCGAACTCACGATCTTGTGATTAACAGTCACACGCCTTAACCAACTTGGCCACGAAATCTTACCATGCCGTGTCGGAGTTCCGGCGCCTGTTGAGATTCCAGTCAGGGGGTTGTAGTCAGTCATCTATTCACAAGATATTATCAAACTACTACAGTATATACAATCACGAGAATAAAGATACTTTTAAACTAAGCACATATTCCAACCACTTCTAGACTTGAGCCACCACGGCGGTTCAATTCATCGGAATCACGACCCATGGTTCCGCCCATTGTAAAATGCAACGTCAATGTAATCCCGTAAAGTGCTACACCGATATTGCCTCAAACTCTGATGTGCCGACGATATCCCTGACCGATTCTCCCAGCTCGGTAGTCTGTTGGACTGGGTTATCTACAGTCCAGGTATATTGACCAACATTTTACAGTCGCTTATGCTGTCTACCGACAATCGAGAGATTCAACTATTCCATTTAAAGCCTCTAAAATAATGATATCCATTTAGCTAGGATATAAATTATACACCGCAGGTTGCTGTCTCATCTTTCGTACAACCAGGCACGTGCAGCGATATCCCTTCTTTTACGAGAAGTATGCGCCAGCTCCCCACGCAGACTCTAACAGAATCTATAGGGTCAAAGATCGGCTTAGGAATAGGTTTTCATCCACTTTTCTCTGAAATTTGTCATCACTTGTGGAATAGAGACATGCAAATTCTTCCTACAAGCCGTCAGTTCAGTTATTTCCGGATTTAGTCCAGAGTGGCCCTGGCTAATTACATGCATTTCCCATATCAGAATTAGACTAGTTCCCCAACCCTTGACATGTTTACCCTTATAGTTCGTCTGCTCAGTACGGTCGGGTGGCGTACTGCTGTGAAATCTTAGACCAGCAGCCTATTTTGAATTGTGGCTGTCGTCTATTAACTTGGGTGGCAAACTTTTTGTTGCTCAGGCCTCTGGCTTCTGGGATGCCACCATTTGCCACCCTTCTATCATTGATAAAAGATAGATATTGCACTACAACAAGAACCCTGATAACAGCAATCAACTTGAATGACGATAGCATTCAAGTCAATACCCGTTGGTAGGTTAAGTTTTTTTTTTGCTCCATTTTGCCATTTAACTGGGCTCGTCTTGCCCCCTGAAAGCTTCTCGTATCGAAGCCCCATGGGTTTATCCTGTGCATGTGCATTGCATAAGCTTTTCACTTACAACAATCGCTATCAGTGGAATCACACCCTGGGGAACGTGCAAATCTCCACATCTATAAAAATAAAAACGATTCCACGATTATTTTATCCCTTTCGCATACAGTTATCTGGATCCATGTCTCTAGACTCTCCCCTAGCGATGCTCCAGTCGCCGTTCCTAGCGACCGTCCTCTCCGCCAACACTACGCCCCCACGGCTCCCACACGACTGCCCTCTTTCGGCTTACGCGACGGTGATCCTCACCCCATTTGCGAGTCACAAGGCCAACGCGTTTAACCCGTGCTTCTTGTCTCTCGTGTATATCGGCATCTCCGCGTTCTTTGGCTTGTTGTGCCTTTTCCAGTTCGTGCAGCTCGCCGCGCGCAAGACCCACGGCAGCTGCTTCAGCCTTGAGAACGTGGGTGTGCTCCAGTTTCTCCGAGTGGCCTTGATATTGGTCCAAATAACCTTCTTATTTGCGCTTGGTATCCACTCTAATGTGCTCTACACCATCTCGGATATCCGGACCGCAGGCTACCTCTCAGCAGCCGTGTCTCTCCTCGCTTTCGTCTTACCCTTGCACGTTGTGGAGCCTGTCACCAGTCCTGCCGCTTCTGGCAGCCTTCTCGTCTATTGGCTCACGGTCGCAGTGTTTCAGGTCTGTGTGGTTGTTCAGAACACCACCGAGTGGCAGGTCCTCCCGGGCACTAAAATACTCGACATCCTCATCCTCGTCAATGCTGCCGTCATCCTTATCTTAGAAACCTCCTACTGGTCACCAGCCAAACGTCTCATCGGCTATTACACCACCCATTCGCAATCATTGGCGATACTCAACATTTTCGAGTACATTACATTCAGCTGGATGACCCCGCTCATTGTCAAGTCCTACAACGACGGGATCCTTGACGAATCAAAGATCCCCGAGTTTCCGCCAGCCGTCAATGTTGTCAATGTTGCGGACAGGGTTGCCCTGTCTTGGAAGAAAGAGGCCTCCAGACCATCTCCCTCATTGCTCCGTGCTTTGGTCAAGGTTTTCGGCCGGGACATGGCCCTCGTGACAATCTTCCAGCTCGCAGAGTGCTGCGTCTTGTTTATCCAGCCACTCCTCCTCCGTCTTTTGATTCGCTTCTTCTCCGCGTATCAGAACGAGCCCGAAACAACCCCACCGTTGCTTTTCGGGGCCGTGCTTTCGGTCGCGATGTTTGCCAACTCCATGCTCGAGCTCCTCGCATTCAACTTCTGTTTCCTCCGGGTGTTGGAACTCGGCTTCAACTGCAAAACTGGTTTGATGACCTTGCTCTACACAAAGGCTTTGAGGATGTCTTCTGAGGCCAGACTGAAGAGCAGCGGTGATTCCGAGGACGCGAGCGGCGACGTTGTCAACCTCGTGTCTGTGGACGTTGCCAACCTTCAGAATATGTCGCAGAACGCGCAATTATTTGTCTCGCTTCCCTTCAAGTCCACGTTGTGTGTCTTGTCGCTCTATTACCTCATGGGCTGGGCTGTGTTCGGGGGCGTGGCGGTGCTTGTGCTCATGGTGCCGGTGAACGTGCTTGTCGCGCGCAAGATGGAGAAACTCTATGGGGCCCAGATGAAGACCAAGGACTTGCGGACCAAGGCCATCAACGAGCTCCTCACATCCATAAAGTCCATTAAGTTGTACGCGTGGGAAAAACCGGTCATGGAGAAGGTTACGCATATCAGAAACGACCTCGAGTTGGAAAACATCCGCCGCATCGGGATCTTTGACGCCGTCTCTGTCTTCTTCTGGGAAGCTCTTCCGTTTCTCATCACCTTTGCGACCTTTGCGACCTTCCTCGTCCTTGGGACTGCCCCGTTGACCCCAGACCTCATCTTCCCGGCCTTGGCTTTGTTCGCCATTATGGGTGATCTCATATACGAGATTCCCGGGCTCATATCCGCGTTCATCGAGACCAGAGTCTCACTCGCCAGGTTGTCTGGTTTCTTGGCCTCCGGTGAGATCGATACAGACTTGATAGAGAAAAGTGACACGCAAACGCTCCGCGCGGGCGACGAATCCATCCGTGTGCTGAACTCCACGTTCCTCTGGAGCAAGTCCGTGGCCAGGGCGGATGAGGAGGCCACGGTGGACCGCCCGAAGGTTGCCTTGCACGATATCTCCTTCTCCTCTCGCAAGGCCCGGTTGACGTGTATTGTGGGGACTGTCGGCAGCGGTAAGTCTGCCATGTTGAAAGCGATTTTGGGCGAGCTTCCACTCCTCAGCGGTTCCAAAATTAAGATCGATGGTACGCTCGTGTACTGTGCGCAGTCGCCGTGGATCATGAACGGGACGGTCCAGGACAACATCACCTTTGGGTGCCGTTTTGACCCAGACTTTTACGCCAAGACGGTGGAGGCGTGTGCCTTGGGCCCAGACATGAAGGTGTTTCCTGATGGCGACAAGACCCAGGTCGGGGAGAAGGGGATTTCGCTCTCGGGGGGCCAGAAGGCGCGTATCGCTATTGCGCGTGCGGTGTATGCGCGTGCGGACATCTACTTGCTCGACGACGTGCTTTCTGCCGTTGATGCCCACGTGGCACACTACCTCACGATCCACGTATTGGGTCCGCAGGGGTTACTCGCATCCAAGACAAAGATCTTGACAACGAACGCGATTCCGATCTTGAGCCATGCAGATGAGATCCTTCTCTTGGTCGGGGGAAAGATTGTGGAGAGAGGGAGCTACGAAGAGGCAGTACTGCGGGCTGAGGGGATTTATAACTTGATCAAGGAGCACGGCATTGGCAGTGCCAGCGAAGCAAACTCAGACACCACCAGTTTGGTTGAAGGAGTGGGGTCTGCTGAAGGATCACCTTCCGCGTTGATTGACATTGAAAGGCCAGATTGTCTTGAGCTTCCTGACCAGGGCACCTTGATTGAGATTGCAAAGCTCGACAAGCCTCGTCGTAGCAGTCAATCCACGCTAAGACGTGCGAGCGTGGCAACGTTTGAGAGGAAACCCCGTCCTAAGGACGATGTCGACGAGCGCAAGACTGCTCAAGCGTTGGAAACATCCGCAACCGGGTATGTCAAGTGGGAGGTGTACAAGGCGTACATACACGCGTGCGGTATCTCGTCGTGTATCATCCTCACGGTCTTTGTGGTTTCCAGTCCAATCCTTGGGCTCGGCAGCAAGTTGTGGTTGAAACACTGGTCCGAGGACAACGAAGGCAACGACGGCAATGTCAATGCGTGGTCCAACATCGGGGTGTACTTTGTACTCGGCTTATCTTCCGCTTTGGGTTCGTACCTCCATGTGTTGGTGATGTGGTGCTTGTGCTCTCTCCGGGCATCAAGGGTCTTGCACGAAGGAATGCTTACGGCGGTGGTTCGCTCGCCCATGTTCTTCTTTGAAACTACGCCTATTGGTCGTGTGATGAACCGCTTCACCTCCGACGTGAACCAGGTGGATAACGGGTTGCCCCGGGCGTCCGTCATGGTCTTTTCCATATTGGTCCAGATTATGACTGGCTTTGTTGCCATTACGTACGTCCTTCCGCTTTTCGGGTTCTTTATCGTGTTCATGCTCGTATTCTACATCTACTACCGGAACTACTATCTGGTGACGTCGCGCGAGTTGAAGCGTATCACCAGTGTCACCTTGTCGCCAATATTTGCCCATATTCTGGAGACTTTGAGTGGTATTGATACCATCCGTGCGTATGGCCAAACCGCGCGCTTCGAGTTCCTCCATGTGTCCAATATTGAGAGTAATTTACAGCCTGCGTACGCAAACATGTCGTCCAGCCGCTGGATCTCCTTCCGTTTAAAGGTGATAGGCTCCGCTGCCTTGTTTGTGGTGAGCTCATTATGTATTCTTTCCTTGACTACTGCAAGCCCAATGAGTTCTGGGATGATTGGTTTCATCATCACGTCCTCTGTAGACGTCTCGATGCGCTTGGGGTTTTCTATCCGGATGGCCGTAGACGCCCAGGCGAGGTTTGTCAGCGTTGAACGCATCATGGAGTACACCAAGTTAGTCCCTGAGGCAGAGCCAGTGGTGGAGGGCAAGCGCCCGCAGCCCCAGGGGCCGGACCAGGGTGAAATCAGCTTTGTCAACTACACCACACGCTACCGCGAGAACCTCGACCCTGTGTTGAGCAACCTTTCACTTGACATCAAGCCCCGCGAGAAGATTGGAATTGTGGGGCGCACGGGTGCTGGCAAGTCCACGTTGACATTGGCGTTGTTCCGCATGATCGAGCCCACCGGGGGCCATATCACGATTGATGGCGCAAACACCAGCGAGATGGGGCTCCGTGACTTGAGGAGCAGCTTGAACATTATTCCACAGGACTCCCAGATCTTCCAAGGAACGGTCAGGCGCAACTTGGATCCGTTTGACCGACACACAGATGCGGAGTTGTGGAAGGTGTTGAAGTTGGCGCATTTGGATGTGCATGTCGCGTCTATGGGTGACACTAGCGGAGATGAAGATGCTGCTGCTGTTGGCTTGCTCGCTAAGCTCAATGAAGGGGGCTCCAACCTCTCTGTCGGCCAAAAACAGTTGATGTGTCTCGCACGTGCATTGCTCAACACATCCACCGTACTTGTGCTCGATGAAGCCACATCTTCAGTGGATGTCCAAACCGACAAAATCATCCAGGAGACAATCCGCAGCGAGTTTGCCTCCAAGACGATTTTGACCATTGCGCACAGATTGGACACCGTTATGGACTGCGACCGCATTGTGGTGTTGGACAAGGGTGAGGTCAAGGAGTTTGACTCACCTGCAACCTTGTTGGCTGACAAGAACGGGATCTTCTACGGCTTGTGCGAGCAGGGTGGATACTTGTAGTATTTATTTGTATTTTATCTAGATATTTGTTATTCTGGCATATAGGCGCGATTTTTACAGTAATCCCGGCTCGGTGACAGTGCGAGTTGGTGCTTTATTGGGTCATGTGCAATAAACAATCTTGGACTCCCGCATCAAAAGAGTGGTGGCGCACTTGCGGTCAGAGGGGAGGATAGCGTATTAAAACAAAATATTTTAAAATATCTACAAGCAGCGAAAACCCTGAGCAAAGCACCATTTTATATAATGCATCTTGCAGCGCGTGCTACAGGTGACCTTCAGCCATAATTCAGCTTTCGCCGCCCCTCCTAACAATGGCTTTCCTTAATCCCTCTCGCTCGTTTTGCTGATAAATCTCGTAATCGATAAGCTAGACACCGTGCCTATTTAACTGGAGGTGATCACCGACGTGTGCGGCTCCATGATGGTTTCATCCATATCCATATCCATTGTCCTGTTCTCGTCGATCCGGGACATTGACGGAGCAGCCTTTGCCAACGGAGAAACGGACAGAAGCGGGGGATGAGAGGCTGAACCGTAAAGAGGCGGTAACACGGCCGGTGAGGTGTCTTTGGAATGTTTTAGGATGGCATCCACAGATGGATGTTCTACGGATCTTGGACAATTCAGGGGTCTTGGCTTTTTGGCAGGTCTTGAATTTTCCACCGATTTCTCAAGCTCACTTGCCAGTCCATGCCGTGAGCCGTCCTCCGACAGGGGCACCGCAATGAGTTCCGGTAGAACATGGTCCTTCTGCAATTTAATCTCCCGACGGGGAGCTCTGTAGTGAAGTTTCCTTTGACTGGTGTGGCTCGCTGAATTGACTTCGTTCACTGGCTCAGCTTCGCTCACTAACTCACTTTTATCCACTGCCCCATCTTCATTCACAGACTCACTTTTATCCACTGGCCCACCTTCATTCACTGACTCATCTTCATTCGTTGGGTTGCCGTCACTCGATTGATGCACGTGGCTACCTTGTTTCGCTTGGGTGCTATATTTTGCGTGGCTGCCCGGGTTCGCGTGAGTGACATGGCTTATCTGATTTGCTCCACTCACTTTTGCCTCGCTCACCTCGCTCACCTCGCCCTCACTCAACACCCGCGACGCCAACATCCCCAAAGCATCCAACCCATTGCTTGAATCGCCCGCGGAAAGTCGTCTCCCCGAGTTTTTCCGCCGCTTCTCCCCTAACTGGTACGGGTGTGACCGCTCATGCGACAAATTGCTCGTCGCCCTCCCGTAATCCATAGAATCCGTCGGCTGGACGTTGTGATCGGTATAGCTCGGCTGGTACGGCTTGCTCACCACAAAGCTGCTCTGAGTCGGCAACAGCTGCGTTAAAAGCGCCAACTCATTTGTTTTCTCTATCAACCGAAGCTTGAGCACCTTTCCACGGTACTGGTACTTGTGCACCAGGCGGCTCAAGTGTTGGTTGCGTTCGCTGAGATGTGCAATCTCCTGCTTCAAGCTGTTCAACGCGCGGAGCTGGTCCGCGGTCTGGAACCGTTTGAGAAACCTGATTTCGCTCTGTAAGAGCCGCGTCTCGATCTCGTGACGCTCTTGGTTACTCGAGATCAGATGGTGCCCGATGTAGTGCTGAAAATTGGCCCTGTTCACCACCCGTCTCAGCTGTACCAACGTATCCTTCACCGCGCTGAGAATCTGATGTAGCGTGTCGCGGTTGAACGGCTGGTTTTCAAACACCGTAATTCGCTCGAGACAACTCGTGATGAAGGTGTCGTCGTACGTGTCGGAGCTCTTTTCCTCATCGGTGGTGTTTGTCCGTGAGCTTTTGAAGCTGCCTGTTGCCGGTAAAGCGTTCACGGGAATCGCTGGAGCGGTGTCATCGTCTGTGTGCATGTCTTCATCTGCGTCGTTTTTTTGTTCTTCTCCGGCGATGCCTTCGTCCGAACTAGCATCCGTGAGGTCTTCCGTGTCCTCCTCCGCGAGGTCTTTGGGGATGGGGTCATATCCGGGGCCGGAGGCCGCAGGGTCAATTATGTCCATAGTGGATGGTGGGATCGGTTGTATGGCGGCCACGTCAATTGTATGAACGGCAGCTGGGTTACGGCAATGTTTACAACTAGCCGGTATGAGTAGTCTTGAGCTGTGTGAACCTTTGCGATATTAAACACGTCTTTGGCGCAAACAAACAAAGACGAGAAAGAGGCGGTGCCGAAAAAACCGAGAGAAAAGTAAAAGTAAACATACGCGTCGTGGAAATTAACGCGTGCGAAAAACGAGGGGCACGCCTCATTCAGCACTCCGGGAGGAATGGCATCTCTCTGGTCTCCCGGAAAGAGAGACAGCTAATCTTTTGGGTATAGTGGATGTTATGGATAAATTTATGACGGGATGAAAAAAATGCTATGGAGGGTTTGAGGCAATTTTGTGTCAAAAAATAAGTCAGATACGTTTGCTATACAGTACGTGGGGAGAGGCGAGGGAGTAGTCTGGGTTTGATTGAAGTCAGGTGCTCTATGTATCTACACACTTCATTGTATATTCCCGTTCTCTAAACAAGGGATTGCAATTGTCATAAACTACGAGCTTGAGATAAATCCTCGATGGGTCTATGGGCCTGCTATCTTTGAAATTCCCATTTGTCCGATTGCGATCTTGGATAATATCCAACAAAAAATATATGGGACAGGTTGGATTTAAAATGGGCAAACCTCTAATCTCGCATGGTATTGTACCTAAAAATGACACCTATACAGGTTTAAACCGGGTATTTTCCGGATGTAATATAACCCTTGAAACAATTCAAGAAATTACATCACCAAGGGGTTTGTTTGAATCTAACGTGTAGCGTACGCCAAAAAGCTGTACACCCTACGACGTGGTGTACCAAAAACCTAATAACCCCATTGATCTAGTAAATAATTTAATACTCAATTGAGCAATACATTAATCAAAAAATACTATTTTCTAAGCTATGTTCCAAAACGCACACTTTTCAACGATGTGTAGGTATACTCCCCGCAATCAGGAACAACGTCAGCCAGAGACAACATTAACAATCCAACCAAACCACTTTTCCTTAACACTACCATTAATTAATCACATCATTCATTTCTTCCATCGTTTAATACATCCGTTATTCGTCCCATTTCTTCCTAAAATTACATGTCACGTGATATAGTTACCCGGCGCACAGTTTTCTCCAATGAAATCCATGCCTTTCACAATTAGTGATATCGCATGTACATTTGTACGCGCTTAATACTCCGCTACACACACACCCCTATCTCCACCCATCAAATGTTGAGACTCGCACCTATCTCTGTGGCCAGAACCGCCACGCCAGCGCTCCGTGCCGCCTTTTCGGGTGCCGCCAGCTTGGGCAAGTACAACCGCGACCTCGAGATAGACATCCGCGAGAGATTGGACCAATTACCGCCGCCAAACAAATTGTACCACAATGCGGACGGGACCCAACGCGTGATCCCAGACTCCGAGTTGAAGATCTTGGGGGAATTGCAGGTGTTGGTCAAGGACAGAGAGCTCGGAGTGATGGATCTTTTGTCCTTGGACGAGGCTGACAAGTCTTTCTGGACCGATAACGGCGACGATTTGGAGTTGTTGCAGATCATCCCAAAGGTGCAGTCCCATAGCGACAGCAAGATTGTCGACAAGATCCCGTACGAGGATGAAAAGACCGGCGAGCTCAAGTGGAAGATCGTCAGAGGCTCATCCAACGAGGGGTGGGAGAAGTTGATCTACTACGGGTTCATTCCATCCTTGTTGGCCATATTCACTGTTTCCTTGTTCAAGGATGAGAAGTCCATGACCGAGTGGGGTTCTGATGAGTTGAGATTAAGAGTTATGGAGCAGGAGTTGGGCAGCGAAGAGGCTGCTGTCGCCGCGTTGAAGAACTCTAACAAGACCCCAGAGGAGATCAAGGCCAGAGATGAGTTGATTGTCGAGAGAATCATCGCTGGGGAGTACGACAAGTTGAACGAGTTGAGAAAGAAGGGGCCGCTCTTTGGCAACGTCAAGGCCCAGGAGTAGAGCCACCATAAACCCCAAGTTGACCCCACATCATGTCAACGTTTCGCCAGCGCGAAGAGGGGCTGTACATTTCCTGTGCGGGATTGACGCCGTACACATATTTATTTTTATCCATGCATTCAGAAGGTGGTACAGGTGCGATAGTGCCTGGGATATAGGAAGGCGCGATAGCGCCTTAGTAGGCACTGACAGAGTCTAAACTATTCGACTCTAATAGGGTTAAAGTTGTATATACGTTGGGCGTATGGATATGACTTAATGTGAACACCGTCCAGAATCATTCGGTTGTGATTTTTTGACCTAATTCTGTGTTAACAGCCACCTCAAGGCTGGATTTTAAAAGTAGGTTGTACCCAGGCTGTAGGAACTAGGGTTGAAAATGCCTTTATCTATTCATACACCGGAAGAGTTGGCTCCAAAGTGGCGTATACCTCCATTCACTACGAACGCATCTTCGAATGCCGTAACAGACCGTAGAGGCGTTCTTTTATACAGCTTTGTGGCGCTTACCAGTGGATTATTGGTGCGAGCATAAGCTCTAAGCGAATAGACATGCTCGAGTATACAGGGACACCAGGTTCCTGGGAGATTGATTGGAAAATCAAACGGATGCCAAAGTATGCAAGCCATGATAAACACCCAAGTGGTCATTATCCCAGGCTTTAAGTTCATTCCAAAGGCCTTCACAGGCTAACCTCCCCATTGGATAAACCTTTTGTCCGACATAATTCACTCCCCGAGCACGCTCTGTTCCCGTTTTCCATCTCAATTAACATCATATTCCACGGAAACCACTCGGACAGCTCGCCTTCCGACCTTTACTTCCAGCCCTCTGACACCTATTCCAGAATCACGTTTTAGTGCTCAGAAACCCCCCAAATCCCATCATCTGCGCTATATCAGAGTCTGCTGACGCCGTTTCCGCTCTCTTCCTCAGCTTCACCGCCCGTCTTCTTACGCGGCGCTTTTCTTCCTCCTTGAGGTCAAACTCGCGGCGCTTCTTGATCCGGTCACTCAAGTCAAACTCCTTCCCGTCAGCCTCACGCTTCAACGCCAAATTGCGCTTAAGCATTGCCAACCGGTCCTTCACCTCCTGGAGGCTCACTTCTTTCTGGGACTCCACATCCTCGTCAAACCCCACATTTTTCAAGTGCGCCGGGTGATTTAAGTGTGTGATAAACTGGTAATCGTCTTTAAATGTCAAATCACACACGTCGCAGTAGAACCCGACCCCCTTCCCTCGTTTGGAGTTGGACGCCGCGATCTGATTCGAGATGATTGTCGTAGTGTTGATCAGGTTCACCTGCTCCAATACCTGCTCGCGCAGTTGCATCAACTGGTGTGATGTGACTGTACCGGCGTTGACCTCTGCTTTGGCCTCTGAATCTGCCTCGATCGCGGGTTTACGCCTGCTGAGCGCCTCCTGGGCGTATGCCTCTTTGTTCCAGCTGGTACGGCCGTAGCTGTTTACCGTCACCTTCTGATCTGGATTGGGTTCCATGGTTTACTGGACTTTGTAACGTATGACTGGGGCTAAATATCAAGCAATACGGTTGATGACGGCAAGGTACTCCGATGAAAGTGGCAAGGGCAATGAGTTAAATATGTATCCTGCATGATACCATAAAGACTCTTCGCCCGCTTGAAGGAGCTATGGCGGGCACTGGGGCGAAAATGTAATTGCAAATTCAACTAAAGGGGCATGTAATTTTCGGTGGTTAATTGTCAAGGCCACCTCAAACTTCCATGTGTATAGCTTCTAGCTATAAACTTCCATGGGCTGTGACCGACTAGCCTCCCGGTATATGTCCTGCATGTATGCAACTACCAGGATTTCGTTGTATTCTTTACTTGTACCAGACCTGCGTTCTTAAGGTTTTATCCATGTACTTCCCTATAATTACAGAGTTAGTGGAGAAATTAACAAGGTTTAAAATCCGATTTGAATTGGCTGAGGAAATAAATCACCTTGAAAATTCTGAAAACTTATCTACACTTTCTCTCTAACCGTAGTCCCCATTAGGAGGCTGCCCTGTGATTTTTATTTTTTCTGGTTCACACACGTTGCTATCGCACCCATGTTTACTTTTTACCAAAGCCCATTTGTGTAGCTCTTATTATTTCAGCTCCCATTATTTCTCCGTCCATTGTTGCTTCTCTCATTATCGCTTCTCCATTATTGTTTCTCTTATTGCTTCTCCATTATTGCTTCCTTCACTATTTCTTCACCTCCCCCATTTATCTCATTATTTCTTCACCCACTATCCCTCATGCTCCGCGACTTGGTGATCCAGCGCGTTCGTCCTTCGCAGCCAAGCGAGACCCTCGAATGGTCCAGTGATGGCCAATTGGCGGTTATTGCTAATAACACCGCGGTAGTGTTTGTATGTGATATCTTGGACCTCCTCGTCAGCTACTAACCTCCCAGGAACCCCGGTCTGCCCCAGAGGCCATTACGAAATACGCCAAACAGCTCTTCCAGAACCCGTACAAGATCGACCCGGAACAACTCCCCACTATCACTGATGAGATGGACAGTATGTACACCATTCCTCGTCCCCACGCAATACTAACGCTCCAGTTGACGGAGAAATCGTCTCCATAACGCGTAACGCCCCAGACAACGTGGTCACGTCTGTGGGTTGGTCTGAGTCAGGGATCTCCTCCACTGCTAGCAACTTGCTCGGTATTCTCACCAACAAACACTACCTCTACCTCTTTGACACCGCGCCAACTGGTGCCGAAGACAGGTTCTACATGTGCCACAATATGACCACGACGTTGCTCGAGGAAAACGGGTTGCAATCCCCTGAAACGACCCCCACGATGCAGCAGACCATAGAAAAGTGCCGAGTCCACTGCTTCTGCTGGTCGCCTGCGATCCCCCAGAACATGGCCTTGCCCCACGGCGAAACGTTGCTAGCGGTGGGAAAGGAAGACGGCAGCGTTTCCATCTACCGTGTAACCAAGTCTGGCGCTACTTTGGTCACAAACGTGCCGCATTTCGGCTCGCGATGGGTCGTCCGGTTGTACTGGTCTCCCTGGACCCGGGTACCCCGCTCGTCCACCGTGACCTCGAATCTCTTGGCTGTGAGTGACCAGAACGCCTTGACCGTGTGCCAAGTTTCCTTCTCCTCCAGCAAAGGCAACCTGGAAGGATGGCTTTCGACCAGGGCGGCAAATGTTTCCTCCGAGTCCCGGTTCATGGTGTCTACCGCTTCCTGGACGGTGTTTAACAACCGATTGACCTTGGCTGTGGCGTCCAATACCCTACAGCTCTTCATTTTCGACCAGCAGGAGCCGGAAAAGTACGAGAAGTACACTGCTCCGTCTGGAACCTACGACACAATCAGCAGTGTCGTGTGTTTAACGGACAAGGCCGGCTTTTTAAACCTCTTTCTCTACGCGTTCCTGGGAAAGATTCTCAGGCTCGTTCACAAGCCCTTTGAAAAGGCCAGGCTCTTCTCCAACGACGGGGAGTCCGTGCTTTCACAGGAATTGGCGGCGAAAGTGAAAAAGTGGAGAAGCGCCAACGACGACAAGGAGCCGTTTGTGAACGTCCACGGTGCGCAGGTTAACCGGTTTTTTGGAAACTCTCTCATCTTCATCTACTTTATCCGAGAGGTGTTCTCGTTGCAGTACAAGACCGAGTCGCAGATCTCGAGTAAGATCGCCTTTGTCGACTTGAGTCGGGACTTTGAGCCGTTGAGCGCGTTGGAAACCTTTGATGAGAAACACAACGCCTCGGCCTCGTGGTACCAGCAATGGGTGGTTAGAAACAGCAATAAACTTGCCCCGGTTAAGGCCACCAAACAGGATAAGACAACCGAGAGGGTGGAAAACCCAGAGCGAGCAAAGTTGGTCAAACAAACCGCTGAGGATCTTGACGGATACTTGGCCAATTACACCATTGTGGATGTTAGCGGTACCTCGCCCAAGGCAGGTTTCGAACAGTTTTTGAGTAGAAACTTTTTCCACAACCCTGAACTCACAAAGTTCAGGGTGCTAAACCATCTCAGATTTGTCGAGCTCGAGACCGAGGCTGGAGGCTCAACCATTGACATGCAGATTCGCCAGTTCCTCGGGAAATTGGTGGTCCATTTTGTAGCAAAGGGGGGGTTCAGGGAGCTGTTGACGTCCAAGTCGGATATCTTTGTCTATGAAATTTTCCACAATTTAATCCACGGGTTTCCGTCCACGGCCAACGCGGTGGAGACGATGTTTACAAACAAGTTTGTGGAGGAAACATTCGAAATCAGCGCAACTAATAACAACATCAACGACTTGCACACAATTGTGTCCAAGTCCGGCCACGCCTGGCCTCGATGCAAGTTGACCTCCCTTCCGTTGCTCGACTTGAACAACAACACGTGCTCGTCCTGTGGGAAGAAGATTATCTTGTTGGAGTCGATTAACGAAGCTGACAGAGGCTGGTTTACCGAGTGTCTTTTGGAAATCCTTGATATCTGCGTGTTCTGTGGTGGAAGACTCAACTCAAGAAAGTAATAGATGTTCTACAATAAACACATGATATTTGTATTAGGACCCAGAATAGCTTATGATTTGGACTCCGTTCCTGGCCGTTCGAGTCAACGTTGATCCGTGCGAGGAACGGGCCAACCGCTTTTTGTAGAGCTTCTGCGACCCCTTCCATTGTCTGAGCATCGACACTAAGGCGGTGGCTATGAGCACGTTTAGCCCAACCTCGGAATCATTAAAGTACAAGTCGTACGAGAGGCTCTGCTCCAGCTGCGAGTTTGAGGATTTAAGGGCCAACGCTACCCTCTGCCCGACCTCTGTATGGGGGCCCAAGTGCTCTACGAAAGATTTGTGGTTCGGCACCTTTTTAACCAAATATCGGGATTCATTCTGCCATTGGTACTCCACCAGCACCCCTGATTTGTCACAAACCTGGAACATTTGGCTCTTGGTTCCAAAGAGAAGGTTGGTGAGGGACGAAGCACCGTGCGAGGGCACGGCGGTCACTTTCAAAGGGGGTGTGCCAGACGAGGTGCCCGGCGAGGCGCTGTTTGGTTCGAAAAAAATATAATCATAACTGAGTTTTCCTAACTTGATGTGTGCCATTTTTGTTTCTTCCCCGGGCACTCTGATAAGGCTAACCAACTCCCAGAGATTCTTCTTCTGCCGAGCATAATAGACCCGGTTACCTCTGCTGTTGTAAATATTGATGATTGCCAGCTTCTGTCGGTTCTCCGTGACGGTCTCCCCTTGGAAGCGTAATAAACAGAGCCAACCTCCGTTCAGACTGTCGGTCATGGGAAGCGTAACACACTTGTCCGACGGGTACCTATTACGAGCTTGGTTCAATAGCCCCTGGGAAGTTTTGGAGACGGCCAAAGAGACCGCAGCAACGGCGATGTTTAACGGAATTACGAAAGCAGGAACCCCAGCCATATTGACAACGATGGAGAGATAAAATAGTGCCGCCGACATAGTCTGGGCGCAAGGAACAGCTCCAGATAGGGAACCTTTAAGAACTTGTTTGTTAAGGAAACAGTCTTGGTTTAAGTAAAATATCAATGCTTTAGCAATGAATAATCAGGGTTTATTCCAACAGACAATGAGCCTTGTTGAAATCAAAGTCAAGGCGCATTGTGTTGGACAAGTAGACCCGTAAGGGTGCCTGCTCAAGGACCTTTTGTGTACGCGCTGCAACATTTTGGATGTTGCGCACAAACGGCGAGGTCGTCAGTTCTATACACAACGGCACCGCCAAAACTTGGCGACGCATCTAGGCTTACAAATATTAGACAATGGTGCATTACAAATATAAGCTATAAGATGTTAGCGCTTGGCCCAAAAGATCTTTCGTGATACCATTCTAGTTATGAAAGGACAAAATCATGAATCTATAAGTTTCAGAATTTTCAGTGTATTAATCGAATCGGTCATTATGGTTCCGCTTGGGGCGACATCTTGGTCATCATTTTAGAGACCCATGATTGTAACTTTCAGGTAGAATGATATATGGTTTGTAATACATACTGCTATTGGTGTTTCATGTCTGCGTGGGTACAGTTTCTGTGAAGGTTGTTTGGTGGAGAGAATTGAGTATGGATGGAGGCACCCTTTTATACTGTGCTTAACGAATCTCCCAGTGAAAAATAAAAAGTGAAAAATTTACGAAAAAGAAAAAGTGCGTAGGGCTCGGGCTGGTATTATATAAGCAGTCATGGACCCGAAAGGTATCGTTTTCATTATAGTACAATAAAGACAGAATATTGATACTTGTAAAGCAGAATATTGGTGCTTGTAAAACACAATGCATTCCCCTTTAGTGCCTGCGACCTACAATCGGCTTATATTACAAATTATATTTTATTATAATATCCATAAATAAATGAATTGCAGTCTCAGCACGAGCGTAAGCTGGATAGGATTGATGCATTTATTCGTCCTGGATAATGGTGCCCTTTTCGGAAACGTAGATACCATCCAAGAACTTACGGATATCCTTGTTTCTGACACGACAGATTTGCTGGACATCGGCGGCGACCTGGGAAACAGCCTCCAAGGAGTTACCGGTCAAGACCAATTCATCCTTCTGGTTGGCAGAGTTTTCGACTTCGACACCTTCGGCAATCTTGACGTTTCTGACTCTCTTTTCACCCAAGAAGTTTCTGATCTCAACAAACTTCTCGCCATCGATTTCGATAACGTTGACGTTGATTGGGAAATGGGCGTAGACGTATCTCATCTTGTACTTGTAGCCCTTGGTGACACCAGTGATCAAGTTGGAGATCAAAGACTTGACAGTTCTCAAGGCAGCAACGTGCTTTCTGTCACCATCGTGGACGGTGATCTTGATAGCTCTGTTGGACAACTTGGAGAAAGTGACATTGATGTGGTTCAAGTTCTTGTTCAAGACACCTCTTGGACCAGTGACCTTAATCTTTCTGGCGTTGATTTCAACGGTGACACCTTCTGGAATGTCCAAGATTTGATCAGTTTGGATGTACTTCATTTTTGTTGACGTGCTATGCTAAACCAGAAAGAGAGAGTACGGGGTTCAGCTTTTTCAGCTTTTTTTTAGTACTATGTTTCACTGAAAAATTTTGGCTGGCAGCTGGCCTCACACTACCAAACCCCAGACTGTCTCTTACAAAATCTTGTCTTTGTAGGTCACGTGTGGAAGATAGGGCTCAGCTTTGGCGCGCAACTGTGAGCGAGAAAAAAGCAGTCACGCGGTAGAATGGGAGATGGAGATACAAGGTTTTGTAAGAGGCAGTCTGGGGTATAATGTCAAGTCAGGAACATACACAATACTGTGGGATATAAATATAGCTTGGTTTAGTCTGGTTATAGATATCCTTTGAGTGTGAAATTCAAGGATATCAGGGGAATAGGTTAAGTCCTTGGTCTCGGAACTAAGCATGCTTAGGCCACACACGCCCTTGGGGATACTCCAAGACCCTTTCTAGGGTTTCGATATTATCTGACAAAGTATTGATGAATAATTTATGGGTGAATAGTTTATGGATGAATAATTTATGGATGAATAGTTTATGGATGAATAATTTATGAATGAATAATTTATGGTTTAAACCGACTAGCTGTGTTTTTTTAGTAGTCTATGATTGGTTTTAACGATAAACTTAAACGCTATCGGGGTACAACAGTTAAGCCTTCTAACTCTAATTTAACGGCTACGCCATATCTTACGAAAAGCCAGTTAGGCTTTAAAGCTCACGGTAATTCGGAGAACAAACGTATTTTTCAGTTGAAACGCGGGGAAAGCATCCCCTGGAATAAAACCGATATATAAAATGATAGAACCCAACGGATCACCACTGAAGATTAACTAACCGACCTTGCTTGTAAACCACGCAACCTAAACGGGCTTGGCAAATGGTTCATCAGTGGACCGTGTCGCCCAAAACATTTACCACATTTGTGGACAGGGATAACCCTCTACTTTTTGCCGGTAAGAGCTTCGGCAGCTTTTCTGGCGTCAGCTATAACTGTTAGGTTCTGCAGAAACAAGCCTTAATCCGTCCTAAGGTCTTTCCACGATGCTACACACGTTCACTTGACATTCCACTTCTGCGGGCCCAGTATCCCAGGCACGTCGCATCAATCGCAGTCCTAGATGGGGTTGGCAGAGCATAAAGGCGGAATGTTAGAGATATTTAATACATACAAGCAGCTTGCTTTTGTCTCATGATTTCAGCGTGAGTCTCCATTCTCTTGGCTGGATCGCCCGTCTCCTTCTTCTTGTTAGCCTCTTGTTGCTTTTTCAAGTTCTTCGCGCGAGCGAGATCCCTCTGGTTTCCTCTGGCCATGGTGTGGTATATGGTAGCCGTCTATCAAGAGGGACAACAATATCAGACGTTTCATACATTTTTCTTGACGGGATGCTGCGGCTGCGGGCGATATACAGGATACTGCAATCGGTCCGGGCTAGACAGCGACCGTCTCATACCTATACCAAACGCCTTGAGTTAGTATGAGCCATGTTAGAGTAAATTTCAGCCAAAGCTGCAAATGGATAAGCGTTCGATAAGTTAGGTTTTGTCCAAAGCTATCATGATAGCCTACAACTTGAGCCTTATGTGCCGGCTGCCGGAACAACTTATGACTGTGGACCCACCAAAGAAAACCAAAACTACATCTGGTTTGTAAACGTTTCAATAAACCATCCCTGTCGTTATTTTTCAATCATACTCTTAATCTTAGACTTATCACACGTGGAATCCCTATTCTATACTTCCATCGGTATCGGCACTAGTTGCATCGAGAGCTCCTTTGTATACAGGATTTTTCACTCTCCGGCCTAGGACCGAACAGATCCCAGTTCAACAGATGAAAGTGTTAAAACATTAAATATTAAACGTTAAATATGTTAGTACAACAATTTCACCAGGACCTACACGCAATAAACGACATTCCTGATATAAACTAGAAACCAAAGATAAGTCCAACATGTTGGATAGAAGAAAAGGCGGTTAGGCGGAGATTTTTTGGTGTTGAGCCTCGGCGGTTCTCTCGACATCGTACTTGAAGTCGAAGTAGCTCTTCTCGAAGTGGTGGACTCTGATGTAACCATCCTCACCCCCACTGGCGTAACTGGTGCCGGCTGGATGCACGGCGACGTAGTTCAACGGCCCGAAATGGCCCTTGACACGGCCAATCTCGTCCTGGAAAATCTTGTGGAAGAATCTGGCCTCGAACTTACCCTGTCTGGATGAGGTGGTTGTGACGTCTCTGGCTTCCTGCCCACCGCCCAAGATAACAAAGTCCTTGACTGGGGTGAACGCAGCAGAGTTCATTGGGGCGTCGGCCTCAAAGACCTTGCGGACGGTCAAAGTATCCACATCGATCAAAGAGGCAGACTTGTCCTTGGAAGAGACGAGGAAGTAGGTCAAGTCGTCCGCAAACTGTAAATCGGTAATGTTCAACTCGTGCGGTCTGACATCAGCCAAGAACTCACCGGTTTCGGCATCGTACTTAGAGACGGTACCATCATTGTGCCCGGCAATGATGTACTTGCCGTTGTAAGCCCAGCCAGCCACGGTCACGACAGAGGCGCCCTCTCTGGTTTCGATGGTCAAGAGCGGCTCGTCGGACTGGTCGGTGGATGTGTAGTTGATTGGGTAGACGGAAATGGCACCCTTGAAACCCATGGTCTCAGCCGTCACCACGATCAATTTGGAGTTGTCTGGGGAGAAGGCAACTCTTCTGACCGGAGTGTTGGTCTTCCAGGTGTGCAAGCACGCACCACCTTGCACCCTCCACAACTTGGCGCTGAAGTCGGCGGAACCGGTGACAGCGTAGTTGGTCTTGATATCCACGTCAATCGACCAGATGGTACCGATGTGAGAGTCTGGATTGCCGACACCACCCAAGGTCCCGACACGCTCACCGTTGGAGGAGTACCAGATCGAGGCAACCTTATCCTTTGCAACGGAGAAGATCAAATCACCCTCCTTGTTGTACTTGACTTGCGTCAAGGAACGCTCGTGCCCTTTTAACATCAATGGTCTCATGTTGTCGTGTGTGTTGGTGAGTAGTAAAAGGTGGTGATGGCAAAAGCGTTCGTTTTCAAGTGCCGAAAAAATGCACGGAAATTTTTGACTAGAGCACGTGAGATGTCACGTGAGATAAAGACTGAGATTTAAGATAGGAATATATAATTGTTTCGGTTATTACGGATTAAATGTCAATTTATAATAGAAGAGAGTTTTTTAGGTTTATTCTGTGATATTATTTTTGCGCATTGAGGTGTGGGTAACACGTACCTTGGGGTCTCGTTCAAGTATTCCGGACATGAGCATTATATTCATTCCAATAACCTTGAGTTATTTAAACCCAACTCCCGTACTCGATCGACTCAGGTCCATTTGATAAAGGATGTATTTTTTTCTCTATGTGACAGTGGATATTTTGGCACGAAAAATTATAAAACAAGCAGTGTATAGTATTGTAATGCCTTTATGGACCGCCATGTAACCCAAAATAACGCTTCTGAAGAACGCGTCGCGAGATTCTTGGATACTGGTAGATGCGTGGGGGCATAGGGTTTCCCCGTGTATTGAATTATAGGACATTTGGCATCTGTACGTGTAGACCCCTCTAAAACGGCGAGTGCCTTGAATCGAGTCGATACATACGACGAGTAAGCCCCATATAGCCCCAAGAATAGATCGGTATAATTGGGTCGTGATACCATCTTTGGAAACTTTGCTTTACGCCTCATCTCAGTCCCCTCCTCTACACCGCTTCAACTATACTCCACCTTTATTCCACGTGACAGGAAACTATATACAAGCGCGTAGGCTGGCACGCTATCCACCAGGTAACGCCGGGTTCCACGGGAACTAAAGAATCCAGATAGCACTCATAGGGTGCCACAAGAGGGGCTTTCGGGGCTCCTTGGCCCACAGACACTGCCTATGCAATTTTGGGTGCTTACTGGGCACTGACACGGCACAAAACCTCACCGCTCATATTCTTTCTGGCAGCGGTTCTCAACTCAACCAACTTCTTGGTTCTGTTATCCCTGACAAACATGGCCTCGGCCGGCTGTAAAGGCGAGATGATTCTCACCTGTCTGCCCATCGCGAGGGCCTTGATCTCCTCTTCGTCCAAGTTCATTCTTCTGGACGGCTTGCTCACAAGGTGCATGTTCTTAATGACACTGTGGCCGTTTCTGTATTTCAAGCCCAACCACAATCTCCTGGTGGACACGTTGTCTGGGGTAATTTCCACAGGAATGGCGTCTGGGCCCTGGATGTCACCGCGCTGGATGGAGGAGATGAAGCCTTCCTGGTACAAGTTGGCGGCCAATTCGAGGTGCAACTTGGTTAATGGAACGGAAGTCAACCCGAGGTTAACGCGGGTGACATTTTGTAAGTGGGCACATACGTGACCTAAGGCGACCAAGGACATTTTGAGGTGTGGAATGATGCTGACTAACAATACTCTTTAGCTTGCACTCGACATCTTTTCTGTTATAGCAGTAATGAAAAAATGAACCGGCGGGGCGCATAACCAAAGTCCGGTGTTTAAGAGGCAGGTGAGCAGGGTTTGGCAGTAGCAAATTATACTGCTGACTTGGCGTTCCAAATCATTTGGATCATTGGTTTTGATATTACAAGTGGCTGGGTTATAATAAGGAATATCTGAGGATGTTTTTTCTGCGGTCTATTTTTGCTATCGTTCTTTGGCGCATGTAAAAGCTCCGATCAAATGCAACGCATTTGGTCTACGGACGAGGAAACTTAATATGGTTTAGCATATATACCAGATCCAGAGTATAACAAGAATATCATCCGTAACTTATTATTATACTTTGAATTTGAAAGATCGCCCCTATAGGCAATGTTCAATTTTCAATACCCCCAAATTTATAATTACAGGGTTACAACCGAGCAGCTTTTTGGAATCCTGGGTTCCTTTCAAGCCCGGATGCAATCCAGTCTAAGCACCTTACTGGAAGGACGGAGAGATGCGTACATTCATACACATGTATTGGAGCCTCAAGTTAGGATCCATTATATATAGCACGGGATCTAATTTAATGGTTTCTAAAATAATAATCTAAAAAAACAGCAGTTTATTAAGAAAGCCAGCACTAAAACTGTGAGCAACTCCATAACCCAATAGCCACAGACACACTCCCTATCTAAACCTCGCTCATACTCACAGATGCTTTGCCAAACCCTACACTCCAGCTTTAGCAAAGCCGTGGATTAATCACTGCCTGGGAAGTAAAGGCAGCTGTCAATTTTTAACGCCCCAACCTTTATGCAGGTGCATATTATGCTCATTTCAGGGCCCATAACCCTCACTCCACGTTGAAAAAAGTCCTACTAACCCGCACTATAACTCAATACCATCTCCAAACTATCCACCATGTTTTTGGCCTCCAGAGCTTCCCGTGCATGTTTTACCGGCGCTACCAGGTTCAGGCCTAGCACCATCCCAAGACTCTATTCAAATGTGCCAGTGCCCAAGAAGCTGGGGAGAGGGGCTCCCATCAAGACGATTGTGCTTGTCACCGTGATCTCGTTTGCGCTCCTTGACCTCACAACCCGCTTGATGGACAAGAAGTCCGATAACAAGAAATCTTTCACAGAAAAGGAGTACGAGGAAGCCATCAAGGCAGGGTTGAAGAGAAAGACCCGCATGTTTAAGACCAAGGAATTGCCGGGCGGGGTCTTCTTGTGTCCACCCCCTCCAGCTTCCGTCACCTCGGCAGCCACGTTTGACGCCCGGGTAGACGCCTTGCAGAAACAGTTGGGTGCCAGGGTCATCGATTTGGAGGCTTTGATTGCGGAGCAACGCGCGGATGCCGACTCTAGATACGGGTTGTTGCTCGACAATTTGGCGGCCCAGGGCGATTCTGCGGTCTACCCGCCGGGCTTGTTCCCAGCGCTCATCGGGATGGAATTCAAGTCCATCCGCAGACAACTCATTGCTGAGGCTGGTGAGGAGGCCACTGAGATCTCCTACCCTACCCCAATCATCGTGAAGAACTTTCCAAGAACCGTTGAAAACGCCACAAAATTTGAGGAAGATATTGCCTTTGCTTCCAAGTTGGTTGTGTTTGGCAAGGTGGATACTGAAAACGAAAAGTTTATCGAGGACCAGCAACTCAGGGAGTATAGCCAGTTAGCGGGCTACTTTGAGATTGTTGACAAGCTCTTTTTTGTTGAGGAAGTGGATGGCTCTGTTGTCGAGCGTTTGAGACAGTAAAAGATCCCAGCATTGTATATATGGATCGATATTTATAGATAATCTTGCGAACCTAAAACACCGATACTGGTTCGCATTCCAAGCTGACTTGTAATTGTATCACAGTAAACTAACATATCAGGATGAGATGATGGCCAGTTTTTAGCTGCATTATTACAATTTATCGAGTGGTCATTAATACTACACCTATTAGTTCTACCAATGTTAGGGTATAGCTTCTGATATCTCACCATTAATAGCTTAGACACACTCACAGGTTGACAAAGCACAAGTTTTGTAATCCCTACTTAATCCCTTTTGTATTCTCTCAAACTTATATTCTTGTTCAGTAATGTATTTACAAGTTTTGCACTACCTCGAGCTCGTGCTACGCACTCGCTTAGAAGAACTCCTCTGGAGTGAAAAACGTCAACCCAGCATTCTTAGCAAACTTCAAATCACTGTCGCTAAAATCACCCTTTCTCCCGGCTGCATCACCCACAAAATAGCTGTTCTCCATGTCAATCAACTCCGTATCCCCCGTATCTCCTTCCTGTCGCATTGCTTTCACCAACTCTGTCCACATCCCAACCTGGGGCTTCCGCATTTCTGCATGCTTGGCCTCAGCGCTCTTCACACCCTTGTACGTCTTTGCCTTAGGATACTTTGGGCTTCCAAACACCATAAGATGGCCTGACTTTGCAGCATCGCCGTAAATAGCATCCACGACGTTGCCTACACGCGCCTTGAGCTTTATAAAGCTCTTCAGGGTGCTATCCGCCACGACTCCGCCTTGGTTGGTAAATATGACAATCACATACCCGTCAGCCCAGAGCTGGTGCAATTTGGGCACCACTTTGCCGTTGATAAACTGCCAGTCGTCGCCATTCACGGCAAACTTGCCCCCTGACTTTGTCCTCACCAACGTGTCATCTAGGTCAAACGACGCAATCTTGTGGGGAGGAGTAATGGTGAATATGCTCTGTTTCGGGACATATTGCACCAAATGGGAGCCCTTGACTGTCCAGCCAGCTTTACACCCAGGGACTCTAAGCCCGAGTGACGGCGTTTGGGAAAGCTTCACCTCTAAATTGGCAATGGGGCTGGCATTTGAGTGGGTTGGTTTGGTGATCTTGGATGAACCTCTCCCAAGAATCGAGAGAATGTCACTCCCAGCCTTTTTGGACATTGATTAGACAGGTGGAGGTAGAACCGAACTGAGATCATCGCGTACGGATTTATCTCTGCATAACAAATTCATACGCCACAGTCGTCTTGTTTCGGACCGAGGCGCATGCACCGCGCCACCTCTGAAGCGCAATACGACCATAGCTTCTTTCAGAAGGGCTTGTATTTGATTAGAAAGACGGGGATTGCCAAGTAGTAATTTGTACTCGACTTGGTAAGCCAATGGGTATATAACTTAACCCCTACATTTATAACATGGTATGCAAATGGTATAGTTTGCCCTTCAAGCCTTAACTAGCTAAAACATCAATGTGTGTGCAGTCTGGCTTATATTATAACCAGATAAGTTGATCAGTGAAAGTCAGTGCCTGCTACTGCAGTCACTTCTACTGCTGCCCCCTTCTCATCACGTTCCGTCTCACCCTCCATACTCCACCGACCCCGCTCTTCTTCGGCCCCAGCTTCAACGACACGTATGGCAACACAATCTCCTTCGGCTTGAACTTCTCCTTCCGGTGGTACTTGTAGTTATCCACAATCACCTTCGGTGTGAGCTCTGAAATTGGGGTCTCTAAATCGCCACGCATCAATACTAACCGCGACGCGGTGGCCTTCAAGTACACACTGATTTTCGCAGTATCTACCGGGGTGTACATTCTCAACTCGGGTTTTGTCTTGCTGAAGGAGTGAATCAACGCGAGTCCCAAGAACTTGCACCTCTCGTAGTCAAGCTTCGCAAAGGCCTCCATAGGCAACAAGTTCGGAGTGTTCTCACCCTCAGCGTGCACAACGTATTGTTTCATCTCGTTCTGGTAGAGATCCTCGTCTATGGCGATCATCCCCACGATGGAAGTCTCCAAAATCTCCTTCAAATGTCGGTGATACGCAATGTCGTCGTTATGCTCGGCGTTCAACACCAATACGGCGGTGACTCCAAGATATAAAGCCGACGGTTTCTCATCCTTGGGATCGTCACTCATGTATGACACCTCGTACGGCGCCGCTGCAACCAAGGGGTCGAAGCAGTACCGCAAGCCGTGGACCCGTGCCAGCTGCTTGTGGAAGTAACTGAGCGTCTTGAACGTTCTAATCTGCGGTGCAGAATACTTCCCAGTAGAGTAGGTTCCCGGGAGGTTGATGTAGTTGTCGAAGCTGAGCATGTTGAGGTGTTCGAAGTCGCTGCCCTGGGTGTGAATGCCCTGCGAAAAGTTATTGCTGAGATAGACCAAATGCGTCGGTCGCACCAAAGCTGTCAAGTGGGACAATAGCTCAAGCCCGTAGCCCTTGATCCAGCCGGGTGTGTTAATTACCAAGGGACACCCTTCAGGCTTCTGGCTGCGGTTGTACTCCCGATACAAGCTTTCAATGGCCGTTTTGTAAAGCTCTGGGTTCTGCGACGGCGAGTAGGTTCCCAAAAAGCGCTCGGAGAGCGTGAAATTGTCTTCATATTCGGTGTTTATCGCGGAAAACCCACCATACAACGGAGGATGGGCCAAACGGGACATGTAGCCCAAGGAGATGCAGGTCGGGGAGGAGAAGATCGGCTGGCCGGGATCCACGTCAAGCACGGACAATGGATATTCGTCCAACTCCTCGCCCTTGAGATTCTGGTAGACAATGGAATTGACTAGAAGCGAAAGGAGGGTGGACTTTCCGCTGTTTTTGGAGCCGATGATGAGGATCCGTGGAGGGTCGGCGGAGACTGCCTCGTACCCCGTCTTGTGTTGGCACTTGATGATTTCCACCATGTTGTTCACAAACATTTCCCAGGGCTTGGGGATGATAAGTCCGTTGCTTGAGCTAAAGGCGAAGGTTTTATTTTCAAGAATCGGAATGAACGAATAGGACTCCAAGGCAAGGTCGAATGCGCTTTTGGGCTCGTCGCTGGGAGTCTGGTCCACAAAAATGTTCTTCAACGGCGGATACATCGTGCCAATGCGCTCCAATCCGGTGAAGAAGTTGTACAACTTGACCACTGTTTTGTAATCGCTGGAGAAAAGATGCTCGTTCTCCTTGTTTCGGTCATCAGTCACCTGCGACATGTCAACCACCTGTGCTGGCTGGAGCACCGGCAATGCACCTGTCATGGGGGCAACGATCTGGATTTGGCGCGGGTCTGCGTGGTAGAGGTCGTTATTCACCAGAAGCGCTCCTCGCTGGATCACTAGCTTGTACTGGCCACGCACAATCAAATTCTCGTGCGCCTTCAAGCCAAAAATCACGTACTCATCGCCAAAGATCACGTTTTCATCTGTTACGTGGAAATTAGACGTGTGGATTGCCATCAACTGGACAAGGTTCCCCGAAACAGACGGGTTTCGTGTCAAGGGGCGCGACACCGTCGGCGTACTAGTGCTCGCACTCATCCCGAGAGTCGGCTGCGGCTTGCTTTCCTCTTCATCTGAAGAGTTGACATATTGGATGAGTTCGTCATCAAGGCTCTGAGCAGCAAATGCACTCATGGGCATGTCGACAGAGTCTGTTGGAAGGAGCAGTAGAATAAGATAGTTAATGTCCCCCAGAATCTTTTATGGAAAATTGTGCGGCGGCCCGCACGTGATGCAGATGTGCAACACGATAAATGTGGTCGGGCAGAGAATTAGTATTGATGATGGGAAACTTGTGGGAATACAACCAAAATTTATAATATCGGCACGGGTGTTGATTAAATAGCACTGTTGTAGCCCCAGCCTGTTTCTTATGAAAAAATTAGTTTTCACCCTTTGACGTTACTAGTACGAATATTGCCATTGGTGGAAGCGATAGTGAGCTGTAACATGCGGTGCGTAATTACGCCTGTTCTATTACACTTATATCTATAAATATACTATCTATATAGAGATTGGTAAAAATGTACATGGGTGTAGATATTGTGTATATATCCATATATTTGTTTTATTTGTCAAAAACAAGTAATATATATTAAAGATGAAATATATAAAATGATAAATCCCATACAATATACATAGATATTAGATAGTCAACAATTATATACACATAAACATATATAAAAACATACCTTACTATTAACCTTATCATATAAATCTGACGTAGTTTTAGTACCAGTTTCCACGACGTTGCCATGTAGATTTCCAGTACAATCTCACATAGTATAGAGTTATATGCACTATATATATTTCCCGATGATACAATATGCACCATCACTTTTCATCCAGGCGCTGCCTGCTGGAACAGCGTCTAGATCTCGCAACTACATTCTATGCCCACCTCCACCATCTTTGCTCTATATTCTGTAACCTTTTATCACCGCCAGCTTTCCTTAGGAAGCCTCTCCACACAGTATCTCAATCCTCCAATAACATAGACCACGTGACTAGCTCATCGGTGCGCCGCAGACTGAAAAAATTTACGCATGGGACTTATATGAGCGGCGTAGTACACTATCGGCACTGTCACCAATCAGTTCACTACCGCTAGAATGGCAAAGAACAGCAAACCCAAGAAGCTCGCTTCCAATCCAGTCTTGGAAAACAAACTCTATGATGTGATCCAGAAGTTGTTGGAGCAAAAGTCGGAAGACAAGCAGTTTTATCTGAAAAAGACTGACGAAGAAGCTAATAGCGATCCGTTGGCCAACATTTTCCTTGCAAAGGACTTGAGACCGTCTGAGGTGTTGATTTTTGCACAGCAGAAAGATGTTTCGCTTCTCAGGGTCAAGAAAATCCTCTTGGAAAAGACCATTGACAAGGTGTTGGAGTTGGTCAGAGAGGAGGAGCAGGAGGAGATGGGCAGTTTGGGAATCACCTTGGACGACAGCGATTTTGACGGAGTCAATGAGGATGAGTTGATGGAGGTAAAGCCTACCAACGCCTTTAACAAGTCTGTGGTGAGTTTGTGGAACATCAGCCCTGCTGCCACCAAGGAAAATACCCCAGACGAGCCTAACGATGAGCCCAAGGACGAAAAGAAGGAAGTGGACGAAAAGAAGGAAGAGGAAGAAACTGACAAAGCCAATAAGAAGAGGAGCAAGGACAGCACCAAGCCAGCCAAACGACAAAAAGGTATGTCACAAAATAACGAAAAATGATTGGAATAAACTCCGTTTATCCCCCTTTCTCTTTAAACGTACTAACAAACTTAGCATCCAAAGATCGTACACCGCCAGCATCCAATCTCGCCACCCTCGGGGGAATGGATGACATTATCCAGCAGTTGACTGAGTTGGTATCTCTCCCAATGCTCCACCCGGAAATCTACCTCACCACGGGAATTTCTCCGCCACGCGGGATTCTCTTGCACGGGCCTCCCGGCTGCGGTAAGACCACACTTGCCAACGCTTTGGCAGGGGAGTTGCAGGTGCCGTTCCTCAACGTGTCTGCGCCGTCAATCGTGAGCGGCATGTCCGGTGAGTCCGAGAAGAAGGTGAGAGAGTTGTTTGAGGAGGCAAAGACACTTGCCCCGTGCTTGGTGTTCTTGGACGAAATCGATGCCATCACGCCAAAGAGAGACGGGGCCCAGAGGGAGATGGAGAGAAGAATTGTCGCGCAGTTGTTGACCGCCATGGACGAGCTATCCTTGGACAAGACGGGCGGAAAGCCAGTGATTATCATTGGGGCTACCAACAGACCGGATTCCCTTGACCCAGCGTTGCGAAGGGCCGGCAGATTTGACCGCGAGATCTGTCTCAACGTGCCAGATGAGAACTCGCGTGCGAGAATTTTGCAGACCATGGTGCAGAACATGAAGATCAGCGGTGACTTGGACTTTGCCGACTTGGCCAAGAGAACCCCGGGCTACGTGGGTGCTGATTTGAAGGCTCTTACCTCTGCCGCGGGGATTGCGGGGATTAAGCGTATTTTCAACACGCTTTCTGAGGACTTGGACAGGATGGATATTGACCCAGCTCAATTGTCCGAGTTGTTGATCAACGATACGTCAGACATTCAGAGAATCGAACAGAACAATATGGAAGCCGAGACCATTGCTATTGACGAGGTTGAACAAAAGATCCCCGACGACATCCAAAAGATGGCCCCTGAAGAAAAAGAGGCGTATGAAAAGCTATCAACCATCCAAAAGTTCTTGAAGAAGCACCCGCTTCCGTTGACACCAGCGCAGTTGGAGCCGCTTTGCATCACCTTCGAGGACTTTTTGACAGCTTTGCCGTCCATCCAGCCGACTGCTAAGAGAGAGGGCTTTGCGACGGTGCCAGACGTGACGTGGCAGAACATTGGCGCCTTGTCTAAGATCCGGGTGGAGATGCACATGGCGATTGTTCAGCCGGTAAAGCACCCAAAGCTCTACTCGCAGGTCGGGATTACCGCCCCGTCGGGGGTTTTGTTGTGGGGTCCACCGGGCTGCGGTAAAACGTTGCTCGCCAAGGCTGTGGCGAATGAGTCGAAAGCCAACTTCATCTCTGTCAAGGGTCCTGAGTTGCTCAACAAGTACGTGGGTGAGTCCGAGAAGGCTGTAAGACAGGTGTTTTCGCGGGCCAGAGCCTCCATGCCGTGTATCATCTTCTTCGACGAGTTGGATGCGTTGGTGCCGAGACGTGACTCGTCCTTGTCTGAGTCCTCCTCCAGGGTTGTCAACACATTGTTGACCGAGTTGGACGGTTTGAACGACCGCCAAGGTGTCTTTGTTATCGGTGCCACTAACCGCCCGGACATGATTGACTCTGCGATGTTGAGACCGGGCCGTTTGGACAAGTCGTTGTTCGTGGAGTTACCTACCGCCGACGAGAGGTTCGAGATATTGAAGACGGTTGTCAGAACCAATGGCACCCCGGTGGATGAGTCTGTGGATTTGAGAGTAGTTGCGCACGACGAAAAGTGCCGCAACTTCTCCGGTGCTGATTTGTCTTCGTTAGTGAGAGAAGCCGGTGTGGTTGCCTTGAAGAAACGTTTCTTTGTGAATATCCACACGGGAGACGAAAGCACCGGGATTCCCGATGGGGATATTGAGGATGTTGAGCATATGACGGTGACCGGGGATGATTTCTTCCAGGCGTTGAAGAGCATCAAGCCGTCGGTGAGTGACAGAGAGAGGGCAAAGTATGAGAAGTTGAGTAAGCGAATGGGCTGGGCTGATAAGGAGGAAGAGACGGAGGGGAGTTCTGAGGCGGTTATTTAGGTTGACCGCGGCCCTCTAAGTTGTATAATAAATAAGAATTGTGATAAGCGCCGGTAATGAGCGAACAGATGAAGGGGTAGTACCAGCGTGGAGTAGCACCAGCGTGGAGTAGCACCAGCGTGGAGTAGCACCAGTATGGAGCCTGGAATACACAGGGAAAGCCTACTTTTGTTCTCTGTATCGGAGATATACCTTTGGCGAATACCTATAAACTGCGGAATATATCGTAAGTAATAATAAATGCCAGTTATCCATGAGAAAATCCTATAGTACATATATAATCAAAATAAAAGCGAGGAGGTCCTAATTTGGGGAATAAGTCACTACCAAGTGTAGGCCGTCGAACAGCGGTGAGATGGCGTAGATCCTGTATTTTTTCTGTCAAGGGTCTGCCTGTACAACGCCGTAACACTCTGAGAAAGTCGTATAGAATATTTTACAGCCCGAGGTTAAAGGCTATCTGCCAAAGATATCTACATAACTAAATGACATCTCTGATACAAAGTCCCAATGTGAAAAAGCGATACGGGTGAGCCGCAGGCAAAGATAAGGAGCATGCTGCACCACCGACTCCAACGTAGGATCAGCGGACAGAAAACCCATCACCAATATCCTTCTTTTTTCGACTGATACAACTAGAGAACAATATTAACCTACTTGAAAGTTACATATTCGAAAACAACGCTATCAGGCCCCTCTACTTTAGCTGGCATACTCCCTTCCGTGATACGCAGTACTGATGCCAGCGTAAATACCAGCCCGCGCACGTGACGCTTCTCGAACGTTCGCCAGAGCGCCACGATACTTACATATACGCCATCAGAATGGAATTCCTTTCTCTTTTTAGCACTCAAAGGATTTTCTAGTGACTCACTCCCAGATATTTCCTATACAAAACAATGTCAGACTTAGATTTCGCCTTAGAACCTACGTTGGAGTCGGTGGTGCTGCACGACAGCTTGAAGTGGGTGTTTGTCGGTGGGAAGGGTGGTGTGGGCAAGACGACCACATCGTGCTCGGTGGCGATCCAGTTGGCGATGGCGCACCCGGCCGAAGAGTTTTTATTGATTTCGACTGACCCTGCGCACAACTTGTCGGATGCCTTCAACCAGAAGTTCGGAAAGGATGCCAAGAAGGTGGACGGGTTGGCGAACTTATCGTGCATGGAGATCGATCCCGAGAGTGGGATGGCGGACATGGCACTGCAGGCGCAATCGCAGTTCAACAATGACCCTAACGATCCATTGGGTGGCATGTTTAAGGACATGACGGGCTCCATTCCCGGGATTGACGAGGCTTTGTCGTTCATGGAGGTTTTAAAGCACATTAAGACCCAAACCGCAGCCCCAGGGGCCATTGCTGACGTGGCTGCCATCACCTACAAAACGATCATCTTTGACACTGCGCCGACGGGCCACACCTTGCGGTTCTTGCAGTTGCCATCCACGTTAGAGAAGTTGTTGGGCAAGGTGCAGACGTTGAGCAACAAGTTTGCGCCGATGTTGAGCATGTTGGGTGGCGGTGCTGCGCAGCAGCAGCAGACCCAGGAGATGCTTGCCAAGTTAACCGAGATCCAGTCCCAGGTCACCGAGGCCAACAACCAGTTCCAAAACCCCGAGTTGACCACCTTCGTCCCTGTTTGCATTGCCGAGTTTTTGTCGTTGTACGAGACCGAACGTTTGATTCAGGAGTTGATCTCGTACAACATGGATGTCACATCCATCGTGGTCAACCAGTTGTTATTTGCGGACTCCACCGAGGACGAGTGCAAGCGTTGTGTTGCCAGATGGGCTATGCAGAAGAAGTACTTGTCGCAGATGGATGAGTTGTACGAAGATTACCACTTGGTCAAGATGCCGTTGTTAGGGAAGGAGGTTAGAGGCTTGGCTAATTTGAAAAAGTTCTCCAAGTACTTGTTGACTCCGTACGACCCGGTTGTCAATGGTGGCTTGGTATTTGACTTGGAGGATGCGAAATAGTTTGCATAAAGAATTAAACAAAGAATTAGGCATAAAATATTGATTGAAGAGAATTAATTGAAGAGAATTAATTGAAGGGAATTAATTGCAGAGGACTAATCGCAGAGGATTTCAAATAGGTAAAGGTGGAAAGGTGTTGGTAAAGGGCCGAAGGCAATTACAGCAATTATAGGTTAATTACAAGAACCAGCAATAAGTATAGTCACAAGTGCAGGAATTAATATATTTAGCCTTTCGCAATGATCTATCCGCTTCTATAGTTTTCGTGCCTACATCTACTGGAACTCAGGTAAACACTGGAATAAATATTGATATAAGCCTCTCTACAAAAGAACGGACCGATTTCGGCCTGCTGCAAGGAGTATCGTATGAAATGAATTAGGTCTAGACTAGACCGGAAATGAGGTTCTATGGAATTGGGAGCACTGAGGCGGCAATTGTTGAGTTACTGTTCAACTTCCAAGGTAACTGGGAACTTACCGGCGGCTAAAAGTGTTAGTACGCTATTAGATGCACTGAGGGCGGGGATAACCTATACATACCTCTCTGGTCGTCCCACTTTTCAACCCAGTCGACAGGACACAAGGAAGAGAAGGTTCTGTAAAAGATCTTGCATGGCTCGAACTCTTCACCCTTCAAGTTGATGCACTTGTGGTAATCGACGTAGGATTGGAAGCAGTGTCTGGTCTGGTTGGAGTTTGGGAAACGGGAGTCGAAACCTGGGGTCTTCAATGGGGATGGTTCTTGGGCGTCAGACATGGTGTGTGGGGTGTGTGAAGGGAAGTTGAGAGGTATGTCTGCGATTGCAAGTGTTTTTATCGGTAGATGCTTCACTATGGAAAATCGGGTGAGTTTTTCCCACAGGAGAAAATGAAACTCACTTTCATTGGCCAGTGCGCACGTGCAAGGCACGTGATGGACGCCTGACTATGACTGATTATTTTGATAGGTAGATATATTATATATTTCTGGTTGCTTGATAAATAATGTCATTGGAACTAAAGGGAAATAGGGGCGATTTCGAGGGCGCAATACCCCGGTGCGCAAACGCTAGCGTATCTGTCGAGCCATAGAGGTTGGGCAGCGATAAATGTTAACGACATTGGATATTTTGGAATTTGACTGGTTTATATGGTTAAAACATAGAAATACACATTAAAAGTATAGTTTGTTCCGGTATAGACTCATCGGTCAAGTGTACCCAACTGGAAGACTTGACAATTTGTCTGTACATGATTTACGATTTATGATTTGTTTTTAATAAAATGTTAATGCCAGGTCTATGCTAGTTGCGATATTTAAAACGCATAGAAATTCTCTCACTTTTAAATAATAATATGATCAAAAGCATACTCTACATATGAATATCGATAGTCGTAATTTCCGAAATTTATTTTTTCAGGCTCTGCAAATCTCTCCAGGGAGGCCTACAATTCCAAAATCGGACCGGTGCCCACACTTCTCCAACCCGCCATGTCAACCTGGAAGTTTTTAAAAGCCGAAAAATCGGTGACCGGAACGCTCACGTGGGCAAAGCTAGAGAATCCTGAATGGGAACTGAACCCGTGGTGGGGCTCCGGGGACGCCATGCCCGAGAGAATATCGTTATCAGTGTAGTCATCGTTGGTGGGGAGGTCCACGCGTTTCAAGGAGGTAACCTTCAACCGGGCTATGTCCAGTTTCAAGCCACTGATTTCTTCTAAGAGATCCTGCTGGGTCAATTTCAACTCCAAGTTTTCCTGCTTCAACTTGCTGATTGTAGCTTCTAGATCTTGGAGTCTGAGGTCCTTGGCATCCGGCTTGTACTTATCCGCGGAGGTCCTAGCTTGGGAGATGCCTGTCGCAGCTTCTTTCTCGGAGTCTCTGATGGCCACCGGTTCTGGATTGACGACCGGTTCTGTCTTTTCTTCGATAGACTCAGAAATTGCTTCCACTTCAGGGGAGATAATCTCCTCAACTGGCTTGGAAACAGCATCGTTTTCCACAATTGGCTCGGGGGCTTTCTCAGTAATGGTCTCGGCCTCCTTCACACTTGGCTCTGAAATCTCCGCAGTCGCTTCTGCAGCGGTTTCAGCAACTTCTGCGACATTTTCTTCCTCACCACCGGTAACTTCACTCTCAGCCACGCATGTAACAGCCTCCTTCACAGGCTTATGTGTCTCTTGTATGACTTCTCTGGATTCGCCTTCACTTTCCTCTTTCGCCTCGGTTTCCATGACAGTCTCTGCAGCTTCCACCGGCGTAGCAGCCTCAGAAACTGGCTCAGACTCCACCTCCTCTTTTTCGTCCGGTTCAACACTAGTCGTGGCTTCCTTTGCCTGTCCAGCTTCTTCTACCTCAACAGACGCTTCCTTATCGGCCTTGCTCTTCTTCTTCTTGCTCTTCTTCTTCAACGCCTCAAACTTCTTCTTCGCGGCTTCTAGCTTGGCATTCTTGTCCAATTGCTCCTGGTCAATGGCTGGAGATTCTGTATCTGACATTAGTCGCTGTGTGGGTTTAACTGCTCAATGAAGGATCCTAGACTTGTTTCAATGACAGCGGATATAGCAAACGGGCTAGAGCCGATAACGTGTCGCGCATGGCTTCGCACTGATTCTCGGGTGAAAGTCCTGCATTGAGGCAATACGTCCCTGTCAAGATCAGTGGTCGTTTTGATGAAGCAGTCCGTGCACGTGTGTCCTTATTGGCCAATATTTTTTATATCAATCGGAAATCCGGGAGCTCAGATGGTATGATGGACTAGAAAATTTAGCTGGAATAAGTGGATACTCTTAGCAGTATGCCGTTACCGCAAAAGGTCAGAGGAACGCGGTCCATACATGCTTTACTACGCGCAGACTAGTACGTGCATGTAAACACGGTCTGACAGGCTGAGAGGAGGCGGCAAATAAACAATAGGTGGATATATAATATAGCACATATGAAGTAATCTAAAACATTCTGAAATCTTGCCACCCCGCGAGAAGGTACTTGTGAGTCTGCTTAAATATCCTCTGGTCAGCCCCGGTTTTTGCCATACAGTGCTTTGTAGCGTATGAAAGCTGCCTTGGGTTTACTTAAATCTTTCCACTTGTACTTTCAGTAATACAGCTCCGAGAAATTGGAAAATTCTTGAGTTGAATTTGAGATGATACATAGTGGGAACCGGTAGAAACCCGCCAGTCGTATCCTCGAAAACTAGAGATTCACGCCACGAGTCGGATTTGTCACTTATTCGAGTCATTTCATCATCCGAGATCACCTCACCATTATTCGATTCATTTCACCATCCGAGCTTTCCACATCATTATTCGAACTCACCTCACCACCTCATCACTATTCGAGCTCACCTCACCATCTCGCCCTTCAGACCAACCGTTTCATCCGTCATAGATTTAGACACCATTACTCGAACCAGAAACTAAAACTACACTGCAAAAGTAAAAGGCTTGCTCAACCTTACCGTGGCTAATATCAGAAATGGTTTATGTATTCATTATGCTTTCAAACCCCGCGTGCACACTCGCATTAAAAAGAAACAGTATAAAGTGATATAAAAGATGGCTGCGTCCAGTAAATAGCAACAAACAAACCGTATAACACTCTGTGGAACTCCTTAACGGTAAGACTTCTGGAATCTGGATCTGGCACCCTTACCACCGAACTTCTTTGGCTCGGATCTTCTGGAGTCAGCAATCAACAAGGTTCTGTCGTAAGCGGCAAAGATCTTCTTCAACTCGTTCTTAGAAGCTTCGTCGACAAACTTCTGGTGGTAGGCAACCAAACCCTTGGCAATAGCCTGTCTGATGGCGTAGACCTGAGAGACGTGACCACCACCGGTGACCTTGACTCTGATGTCAATGTTGGCGAACTTGTCCAAACCAACAACGGTCAATGGCTCGTAAACCTTGAATCTCAAGATTTCTGGCTGGACCAAGGTGATTGGGGAACCGTTGACCTTGATCAAACCCTTACCGGCCTTGACGTGGGCAACAGCAGTGGCGGTCTTCTTTTTACCGAAAGTTTGGACACTTTGAGTGGACATCTTGCTATATTGGTTGTGTTTAGAAAGTTAGAAGGGGGGTACAAGGGCGGTTTTTTTAACCATTATGATAAATCCCAACTTTTTTCGCTATCGTGTGTGTGCCATAACAGGAAATCCGCCGCTCTCTGCCTGCCCGACACTACTAACTTCCTCACTATGGAGGTTCTGTGCCCGTGAGTTTCCATACTAAATTTCTCCTGCACCTTGCTAGCGGTGAAAACTGACGAAAATTTTTCGCCATGGTGTCCGGTACGCATGCGGAATTTTCGACCGTGACTGCTGAATTGGAAATGGGTGCGTCGGCTGTGTAAGTATGGGTCTGCAAGGACGCACGCCTCTGTAATTACAGGGCTGGAGTGCCGCACCCTCACCCCTCCCCGCCGCTCCCTCCCCCTTCCCCATACTCTCCTTCTGGCTCTCACTATGTGTCCCAACCAAACGGTCGTGCGCATCCCGCCGCTCCCACTATGCAGCCGGCGAGAATTTTCACCCGCTCAGTGGCAGTAGTGAGGCCAGCCATACTAACCTTTTTTCTATCGTATGTAAAAAAATCGAGTTTCGGTTTTAGATCTTTTCTTCAGGCTCTCAGCAGTAAAATCAACAAAAATGGCGATCTCCAAGAATTTACCACTTTTAAAGAACCATTTCAGAAAGCACTGGCAGGAACGTGTCAGAGTTCACTTCGACCAAGCCGGTAAGAAGGTCTCTAGAAGACACGCCAGAGCCTCCAAGGCTGCCAAGTCGGCTCCAAAGCCAATTGACAACTTGAGACCAATCGTCAGAGCCCCAACTGTTAGATACAACAGAAAGGTCAGAGCCGGTAAGGGTTTCTCTTTGGCTGAGTTGAAGGCTGTTGGTTTGACCGCCAAGTACGCCAGAACCATCGGTATCTCTGTTGACCACCGTCGTCAGAACAAGTCTGTTGAAGGTCTTGAATTGAACGTTGCCAGATTGAACGAATACAAGTCTAAGTTGATCATCTTCGACAACAAGGCCAAGTCTGCTGACATCAAGGCCAACGCCCAGATCGATGTCAAGGCCTCTTTCCCAGTCATCCAGCCAGCTTTCGAAACCGCTCCAAGAGCCGTTGTTGTCCCAGAGGGTTTGAATGCCTACAGAACCTTGAGAGAATCTAGATCCGAGAAGAGATACTTGGGTGCCCGTGAAAAGCGTGCTAGACTCAAGGCTGAGGCTGAAGCTGAAAAGTCCAAGAAATAAGTAGCCTCCCCTACTGTATTTTAAAACATTTTTCCTCCATTCCCATCATCCCTATGTCGTATAAGTTCCTCAAAAGAAGTTAAGTTCCCGGTTAATATAAGGAAATTCTTTATTGATATTATTGTAGTTGTAAGGTCTAGATTGCTGACTGGTTACTCACCTCCAGCCGCGGTGTTTCTACACCGGTGATTGTTATAGATAACGTCGACGCTCGATCTTTATCTCTGAAGACCCGAGAGATCTGATAAGCCATGCATTTCTTACAGCCGAGCATTCAAATCCAGGCCCGAAATAATTAATTAGCAAAACCGTGCAGCGGGTTATCTATCTAAACCAAGGGTAACTAACGTACGGGATCCTCCAGATTGGCCTTTTAGCTATACATCAAAAGCCCAAATCTTCGGTCTCGAGTGCTACCAATCGGTCTGGAAAGAGCTGATTCTCCGGGGCCAGAGTCAGCTCGACCGGTAATTGGCTTTGAAGTGTTTGGGACTTAAAGGATTTCTTCAACTTCATGAACGATGATCTCCTCGATGTTCGTGTTTTGAGCGACCCGCTTTCACTAAGGCTGCTCACAGGGGAGCTTCCATCATCCCCGTTCTCTGCCATCGAGGTACATTCTAGGTCTTTCATCTCTTCCACCCCAGAGAAACTCTCGGCTGAGGATTTATTGGTGAACCCAAACTTTAATGGCTTGAAGCGAGTGGATAGCCTCATCTTAGATAGACCTGATGCGGACGAGGAGGCAGAGAGTGGACGAGAAGCTTCTATCTCTATACCGTTGAAACTAGTAGCGTCACTAGGGGCATTGTGGTCATCCTCGTTCTCGTTGTTTGAAAAAGAGCGGTGGAAATTCAAGTGGCCTTTGAATAATGGAAAGAAACAATGCGCTAGCCCGTTGTCTCCAGAATAAACGCCTAAAAAGTCAATCTCCCTTTTCAATGGAGAGGGGACAATTGAAGCATGTGCACAGTGCTTGCTGGACGTAGAATTGTTAGTTGTCTCCTATCAGATATTCATGCTCTGCGGTCTGTAATTACCATTTTGTTAAGCGTTTGGCATGATACACTTTATGAGCGCAAACCAATGATCTTGTATCGTAGTAACCTTTAAACTTTCCCCACGGGATTACGCTGGATTTGAGATATCTAATTTGCTCCTTGAAGTTGGGCCTAGTGTCCTTTGGAGTGTCGAATGACTTGTCGGGGGTGGATATCGGCGGCCCTGACGTTACTGCTTGGGTCAAGTCGCCTGGCACGAACTCTCCAATGCACGAGACCGGTGTGCCGTAGAACAGGATTTTCTCGTCCATGCAATCTTCATATTGGTAGTCATCCAGGGAACAGTCACTGTCGGAGTCATAATCGGTATAGAAATCTCCTGGTTCTGAATTAAAGTCCCCGGCAAGAGAAGAAGGCAGGTCCTGAGTGGTTGATCTACCCTCGGATATGTAGGGCTCCAAATCATAGGACAGGAACGAACTGTTATTAGCTGCCATTTTCCTAACCTCAGGGGTTGGGCGGGCTGTATCGCTGCTGGCAAATCGAATATCTCTCAAGAATTCGGACGGATAGGATTTCAGTGGTTCTAACCCTTCCATTTCTATGCCCGGAGAATTGGTCATAAGGGGCTTAATCTTACCTTGTCCCGGCCCTTCCGGCGAGGGTACGGAGGGCGACGAGGTTAGAACCTTAGTAAGGGGTTTAGCAGATATTTTGGAAGTATCAAAGGAATTAAGCATGTGGAATGATATCTCTCTTTTCCAAGAAATCGCCGCAGATGCTGGTTTGGGTTCGAATTCAGATGTATGAATTGAAATTAAGCTACCAACCACACTCACTGTGCTATGATAAGCTAGATGTGACTTTCTAAAACGTAGATACGAGATGGATAGCAATGTATGCAAGGGAATCGGAAGATTGGGGCTTGAAATCTTGGCTTGAAACTTTCAAAAACCGGTTTAGCAGACAGATTACAATTTCTTGATGACAACAAAAGTATTCAAGTTTTTGATCAAAAGTGAACTATTTGATAGCCTAGAACCGGGATGTTACCAATAATAATTTGAAAATAGCTAGAAAATACCTTTGAGAGGGAATTGGTAATCTATTATGGCACGGGAATGCAAATAAGAGCGACGTTTTTAGGACGACTGATAGCGATATCTTGATCGAACTATCGAATTAATAGCAAGGATTGGTGTAGGACAGAATAACTAAATTAACGGTGTCCCTGGACAAGGCGATTCGATATAATTTCAAGGGACCCTCGGGGCCTCTGACAGTGCTGGTGGCTTGCCGTCATTGGACCTACATTCAGTGTCCTCGGAAGGGTGGTTTGGGGATTGGCAGTCCCACCTACCACCTTTTCCCCAGGATTCTATCCCACCTGCATCCTGAGCCCACAAAGCAGCTCTATGCTGTGAACACAGACGGGAAAGAATACAGTGTGTACGCCGCGTTGTGTGCGTCTTCTCTTATCTACATGAACCACGATAGTTGCACTCTGGCTCTAGGTTATACCACAATCGTGCGAATTGTGGGAAATTCAGAGATGATCAAGGCAGGAATTGAACATACTTCAGGCTTCTATGTAAGGGATTCGAAAGTTTGGCCCTGGTAAACGTCGGAGACCATGGTTTTAGATCTAAAACTCTAATCATTAAATATAATTAGTGGTCAAAACCAGTATTTCGGCTAGGCGAAAACTGCATTATGCGCTCTATATCCAAGTCTCTAAAACAGCACCGTCTAGGCTCGGATAAGTTCCTACGTTGGCACTATTAACACCGATATTTTTGCTACATTATGAAAGATAACCAGCAGCATGAGTTAGAGCAGGCTTATCCCATGAAATAAGCCACTGGTCCACCTACATGCGTATGCTCCAGATAACCTCTCGAGAATCTACCACCCACTACTCATCCAAGAGAACCTGCATGGTGGCGGTCTGGTGACGTTTGACGTAAAAAATTCTGCGCGCACTGCATCGGAACAATCTGTTCCATGGTCTAAGGCACGTCATTCAAGCCCGAGAAATGAGTTCGTTAGCACGCAATTCGAGTCTTCGCTAGAGTATAAGTAGCCTAACAGGACGTACCTAAGTGAAATTATGATCGAGCCCGGGCTAAGAACCTAGCTGGCTTTCGTCGACTCGGACGAACCCTTCGCTTGCGGAGTTGAAACCTCGGAGTGGGGACTGTGCGACCCGACGTGTCCGAAACACAGCTCTGTAACGCACGTGACGAAGCCACGTCTACGGAAGACTGCTCAAGGGCCGTGAAGGAAAGAACTACACAATAATGCAGATTTTGCGAGATGCCTACTTTCACCCTGATCTCCAAGTTTATCAAGCTAGACCCGGGTATAAATCGAGTTACCTTCCGGCTTCGGAAGGCCTCGCCAGCACGTGCGACGTGAGGGGTTGAACGGCCGGCTTTGCTGTGCGGCGCATAAAGGCCAGCGTCGGGGAAGCTCGGAAACGCTCACGAGGTGTAAACAGACCGTCCCGCTTCCGGCCCCTCTCGGCTACATTCCAAGCGAGCAGCGCCTCACCCCCTCTACAAAGTGACAGGCCGGCTAGCTTTAGCTGAGTTATCCGGGGTAATGGCCCAGTAAACCGCCCGTATGAAGGCAGTATCTCAAACGAACGTATCCGTGATCGCGCGACGAATCCGTAAATATTTAGTGGCATTTTCGTCGTCGCCTATACCGTTAAAGTTATGGTTGAACAACCTCCACGCAAGTCTAAACGGGTTAGCCGCCGCGAAAATTGCGTAACATTCACGCAGGATACACCATCGAGGGGTCGCAGGGTACACCATTGAGGGGTACTCGCTGTCATAACCAACTATATATAAACTCATAAACCTCCGTTCTCCTTATTTCTTCCCAACCTGTCGTCTTCACTTCCCTTCTCTTTTTCATTTGTGACTCACTGGCCATCATACCACCGCGGCATTACGCAGACGCAATTCGCGCATAAAAAGAAACCAAATTTCCGACTTCTCGCCGATTTGGATAAGAATTGCCAAATTGCATAAATTAAACCCAGCTCGCCTTTTCACCCCACTCTTTACTCTCCAGAACACCTGAAGACTCTTGATTGAAGTTTTACCATGCTTGCCAAATCGCTTACCCGCCAGGCCCAATTAGTCGCCAGAGGCGCCCGGTTTTCGCTTGCCGCCCAGTTGAGAGCCAACGCCAAGCCAACGCCAATCAAGGTGGTTCAGGCTTCCGCTCCGATCGCCCCAGCGGTTAACGTGAATTCTCCAGTTGCCCCGCAGGCCACCACCCCTCCACCCCCACCTAAAAACTCCTCCGGGGTTTGGAGATTCCTCAAATTCACCGGAAAAACTATCCTCGTTTCTCCCCTCTTCTTCGCCGCCTACTACGCCTACAGAGTCTACGATGAGACCAATCCGGGCCCGCAGCAGCCACAGACCGCTACACACGCCTCTGGTAACAGAAAAAAGACCCTTGTCATCTTGGGCTCCGGCTGGGGTGCCATCTCCATCTTGAAGAACCTCGACACCACGCTCTACAACGTCGTTGTGGTTTCCCCGCGTAACTACTTTCTCTTTACACCGCTCCTTCCGTCCTGCCCTACCGGCACCATCGAGTACAGATCCATCATTGAGCCAGTGAGAACCGTTGCAAAGAGAAGACCGGGCGAGGTTACCTACTACGAAGCCGAAGCCACCGATATCGACGCTACCAACAACAAACTCACGCTCAAGCAGACGCTCGGCAGCGACGCCGTCAAGGCTCACGGCGAGGACACGTTAACGGTCACGCTTGACTACGACTATTTGGTGGTCGGTGTGGGGGCACAACCAAACACGTTCGGGATTCCCGGTGTGTTGGAAAACTCGTGTTTCTTGAAGGAGCTTCCAGACTCCCAGAAGATCAGAAAGCAGTTTATGGACTGCATCGAGACCGCTACGTTGCTTCCAAAGGGCTCTGCCGAGCGCGCGAGATTGCTTAGAACCGTTGTTGTTGGCGGTGGCCCAACCGGCGTGGAGTTTGCGGCTGAATTGCAGGACTATATCGATGGGGACATCCGCAAGTGGAACCCGGAAATCGCCGCTGAATTGAAGGTCACCTTGGTCGAGGCGCTTCCTAACGTGCTCAACATGATGAACAAGAAATTGATTGACTACACCGAGGGGGTTTTGCGGGACCTGGGCATTGAGCTCATGACCGGCGCTATGGTCAAGAAGGTTGACGAGAACGAAGTCCACGCGGCGATCAAGCAGGAGAACGGGGAGTTGAAGTTGGTTGACGTTCCGTACGGGTTGCTTGTCTGGGCCACCGGTAACGGTACCAGAGACATTGTCAAGAACTTGTCATCTAAGATCCCGGAACAGAAGAATGCCACCAGAGGCTTGTTGGTCAACGAGTGCATGATGTTGCAGGGCTCCAAGAACATCTTTGCCCTCGGTGACTGTACCTTCACCAAGAATCCGCCGACCGCCCAGGTCGCGCAGCAGGAAGGCCAGTACCTCGCGAGTGCATTGGAGGTTTTGGCCCGGGTCGATGACTTGGAGTACCAGTTGTACAGCACCGAAATTGCGGGGATCGAGAAGGAGCGTGTCCAGCGCCGGTTACACAGAGAGCAGAAGGCTATCCAGCCGTTCAAGTACCAGCATATGGGTGTGTTGGCGTACATCGGCTCCGAGAGAGCCGTCGCCGATCTCGTCTGGGGTGACCAGAGCTTCTTCAAGAACCTCAACAACATTTCTGTCGGCGGGACCTTTACCTTTTTCTTCTGGAAGTCTGCGTACGTTCAGATGTTGTTGAGCACCAAGAATCAGGTGTTGGTTACCGTTGATTGGATCAAGGTAGCGTTGTTCGGGAGAGACGTCTCCAAGGAGTAGGCAGCGATCTGCGCTGCAAATTTATATATTCGTTACACCTTTAATATATTTAGTGCGTAAAAGGGATGTGATGTAGAAGCTATTTGGAAAGGGTGACAGAGTCGTAGCGATACACTGAGATCCTTAAATAGATACCGCGGGAGGGGGCTAGGGCGCCTTATATAAAGACTTTGATTCTTCTGACATGTGATATATATTTGCTTGGAGATTTTGAGCTCAAGAGATCTATATTTTAGGTACCGTTTAATACCGCAACCATCGTCGACAGATACCCTTCCGTCTCAAGCTGTACCACTTTGGTATCCTGGTTTTCTCATTATACATGGATTTCGATTCCTCTGTTTATATGTCTTACCTATAGAAAGTATTTTCGTGGATAACTAATGTTACTTACAGTCCCACACCCAATTATCAAGATCAATCTCTGGATATGCCAGCTCGATTCCTTCTTTCCACTCATCGTAGTTTTTGAATGCGTTACCATACATATATAAGGTTTTCAAACTGTCGGGAAAGTCTAGGTGTTGGACGGCCTGCTTGGACAAGCTATTTTCGGATAAATCCAAGCTATGTAACCTTGGAGGAAGCTGGAAGGAATCGATTGACACAAGCTTGTTAGCGCCAATCTCCAACCTAAGTGAGCTATCGGGAAAATGGATACTAGTCAAGCTGGATATTTGATTTCCCAGGAGAAATATCTCTTCCAAGTGTAATGGGAACTCAACGGCTTCCAACGAAGTTATCTTGTTATTGTCAAGGGCCAACCCAAGTAAACTATCTGGGAAATGAACATTGGCTAAGCTGGATATTTGGTTTCCCAGGAGACATAATGCTTCCAAGTGTGGTGGAAACTCAATATTTTCCAACAAGGTTATTTTGTTAGAGTCAAGGAGTAACCTAAGTAAACTATCTGGGAAACGAATGTTGGCCAAGCTGGATATTTGGTTTCCTCGAAGCAGTAACTCTTCCAAGTGTGATGGGAAATTAACGTTTTCCAAAGAAGTTATCTTGTTGCAATAAAGGTCCAACCTAAGTAAGTTATCGGGAAAATGAGCATTAGCCAAGCTGGATATTTGATTTTCTAAGAGCAAAAACGTTTTCAAGCGTGGTAGGAGCTCGACGGTTTCCAACGAAGCTATTTTGTAGGCTGTTTCAAGGTTAAACCCCGGAGGTAACAGGGTTTCCAACAACGAACATACGCCTGAGTCGCGTATCATGGGGTGGGTGAGATATTGCGGGAGAGGAAAGGTGTCACAAACTGTGGTAATGGCGGCATCATTTAAATGGGAATACTGGAATTCTATATCCGGATATTCAGTGTTGGTAGATTGTGTTTTTCGGAGGGGATTATGCCTGAGGCCAAGGGTAGCACAATTCATCGGGATGTGGATGTTCACCAATCCTCTTATTTGATTATCCAGGAGGTTCACGGATTCAATGCTATCAGGCAATTTCTTCGATAACCGTTCGAGATTATCATTGCTCGAGTCTAAACTGGTCAACGTCAGCGAAATATTGAGTCTTTCGACTGAGCCCAAATTATTAGACCCTAGGCCAAGATTTCGAAATGAGGGCTTCAATCCTTCAATCAAACTCATATCGGTTCTAGAGAGATACAAATCTGTCAAGCTTGGCGGGAGGACTAGATTTTTTAGAGGGTACAGGGTAAACAATAAATGGTTCAGCTGGAGATTAAGCTTCTGGAGGTTCTTGGGGAACATTATTTGACAAGATCCGGCAGTTCCTATATCTTCGTCTGTTTCATCTAGAAAACCAAGGGAATTACCACTGAGGTCAAGGGATTCTAAAGTCTCCGGTAATGAGTTGACAAAATCTAGCGATGTTAACAGTGAATCCACAACCAGCAAGGAAACCAAACTCAGAGGAAACTTGAGCACCCGGATTTGGGATGATGTGAGCTGCGTTTCGTATATTTTCAACTCTCTGAAGCAGTCAGGAAAAGTGTCCACGTGAAACTTCTTTAACGGGCACCTGGTAATGGATAACTTCTGCAAAGATAGAGGTAGTTTCCGTTGCTCGAAGCTACCAAAGTCCAGTGACCAATAGTCGTCCAGGTCTGGTTCTGACCACCGTAGGTCCAAATTCTCCAACAGCGAGGGAAGCTCAAATGACTCGTCAATTTCTGTCACGCCAGAAATGTCTTCTAATTGTAAATATTTCAAATTGGGCAACTTTATATCATTGAAACCCTCAATATTGAACTCAGACAATCGCAAATATTTCAAATTGGGCAACTTTAATTCGTTGAAACGTTCAATAGAGAAGTCTCTGGCCCCCTTTAGCTCCAACCTTTGCAAGCTTGAAGGGAGATCGGCATACACCGACATTGATCCCCAAGGGTAGTGAAAAACAAATTCTTGGAGATTTGGTGGAAACTGAATCGGTGGAGCGCCGATCTCGGAGCTAGATGCATCATCGCAGATAATTTCGAGCTTGCACAAGTTTGAAGGTAAAGGTGGAACGTTCGGATCGACTAGTCTGGATTTGATGGATATTTCTCGGATGCACTCCAGGGCCAGGGCTAAGGATGGCAAGCAGGTCCAGTCAAATGCTACATATTCCTGATTGTCAAACTTTAGTATCGCATCGGTCACAATTGAGGACGCATTGGCAAACGCTGCTTCGTGGAGGAAGCTATAATCCATGACCTCCTCCCACACAGAAATGAAAAGTTTCTTAATCCGAAGCTGGTCAAGTATATAGCTAGCTGCCAATTCTTCAAAATCAGTGGGTTCCATGTAGAGGACCTTATCACTTATACGATGGACGTAATCAGCTGATGGGTTGCGGAAGTTCAACTCAATATTCGAGTAATAGCACTTCCGGGCCATGGAAGCGAGGGTGGCACTCTCCGATTTCATCAACACACCAACTAAGGGAAGTGGTATATAGGAAAGAATCTTCTCGACAATCTCCAACGGAAAAGTGTTCCAAATGAGAGGGATGATATTGGTATTCATGATAAGGGTGCAACCTAACGAAGAGGATATGAAATCGGCATACCTCGTTACTATACAACGTAGATGCGTCAGCTTTATATACGATTTTCGGGAGTAGTGATAAAAATTTTTCAGTGGCTATCACGCTTAGTGCCACCATGGGGTGCGTTAAGGTGCCAAGCAGACCCTCTGCGAGAGACTTAATTGGTGTGATGCATGTAGTTCAGACGGAAAGGTCTTGGCGTTGTGCATATAGACCCTGGGTTGCAAAAACGCAGGGCTAGTTTCATCGCGGTCCATGCACGGCGTTTTTGATGGTCTACGCTTATGGCTTGATCCCCCTGCTCAGGACTTCTTTGCCCTTCTCTGGAGTGTATATCTAATGAATAAACCAACCTACAATATTCTCAGCTAATGACATTTATTACTTACTAAGTATACCACATCTTTTTGTAGCTAATCACCCTGTTCCTGAAAACACCTGCCGTGACCCAGTAAAATCTGACAAAGATATACTCTTTATTTCATAATAATCCGTTTTAATTTTCCATAAATATTGCACTAACTGCTATTTCAGAGCTATATACAAAAGAAACATTCATAAAGCCAATATATCGACTATATCCGATAGTCTGTCCGTTCATCTCGGCTACTCCACTTATACCCTTCAGAATGACCTGGGCAGTGGAGCTTCGTAAACCACCAATACATAACCACACGTTGATCCATTCATTTCACCCACTTGCTTTGCTCGCTTCACTCACACGCCCCGTTCAGTTTGTTCGACTTCGCTCGGTTCTCGAAATAACCTCCTCAGCATACGCCTCGGACACATTTTGTAGCTCCTCACCGTACCACCAGTTCCATAACATGTACCCATCGATACCCACCACAGCTAGCACCGAAAGGAACACGATGTTGGACCGCCGATTATCGCCGGTACCGTGGCGCCCCACAAGATCCCCGATCTTGAGCAACATCTTGTGGTTATAGTAGTTAATATCCTTAGGAACCGGCTTGGGCTTGACGTGGGCAAGATACCGCAACGGGTTGTGTTTCTTCGGGTCGAGCGAGGCGGGTGCCGGGCTGCGGTTGTGTTTGAGGTAGTTCTGTTCTGCAGAGGTAAGCGGAGCAGGGACAGTTCCCGGCTCAGGTACTGGACTGGTAGGGCCAGAGCCCGACTTGGAAGTCTCTGAAAGGCACCGAAGGCCTCTGTAAACGGGGATTTGCGTCCTGAGCATTGTATCTTGAGGTGAAGGTTGATAGAGAAGGACATGTGAAAAAAGCCAGAAAAATAACCAGGAATTACGTGCAGGATGTGACTCTGGGTGTCTTGAGAGATGTTTGACCGAAAAGAAGATTATATATTGGGTATTAAGGTGGTTTTGTAAGCGTGAATTATTTGATAGTTGATAATACCATAGTGATATCCTAGGTGATTAGATAGCGTTAGTAGATGAGAATCACTGGAGCGCTTACCCATGCATTGCCTGTCTAATACTCATTTTTTGAGCTTACACAGGAGTTTTAGAGGGATATACTAAAGGACAAACAAGAGAGATTGTTGTAAGGCATTTTTTACAGCCTGGACTGAGACAGCACTGGGAGGCATTGGGTAAACAGCCCAAGGTGGATTGAATGGATTCATACAGAGCTGTCAACAGGAGACCTTGATTAATAGTTTTAGGTCTAGAGGATAAAAATTGTAGTGTCCATCTATCCAGTGCTTACGGTAAATGGTTTGGGTAATATCGGTAGCTATCGATTAGATGGCCAAGAAATCTAGTACAAGCCGAGTTGGTTGATACATCTGACAAACATTAGACAGAAAAATTCTCATACAAGCCTATCGGATTATTCCACTCACAAAGCGATTAGGTCAAAACAAAGAAGACAGCTTTTGTGATAATCCCTAAAACCAGGTTTCAATACAGATCCATTCGTCAACCTCTGACTATCCTAGTACTTCCCTCAGTTCAAACTCAAATGTATTACATCACATACGTCTAGTTTACTCAACAACAATCGGATCCTCCTCACCGCCCTTAGACACCGGTGGCGGGGTGGCGGTGTGCTCTCTCTCCCTGGCAACCTTTCCATCCGGCGCCAAACGCTTGCCCTTTTCCACCGCCCTCTGCAACTTAGAGCTAATCGAGGCTTCAGTAGATGGGACATTTTTGTTTTCGCTCTTGCCCCGCTTCTTCGTTGAGTTGAGCCGCTTCAACGACTTGAACACCGCCTCCATGTGCTCGAGCAAGTCACGGAGCAAGCGGGCGACAAACTTGTCGTCCATGTTGACTCCAGTCTGGACCTTTGGACGCAAGACCAACTCACCAAACTCAGCAACGAACTGAGACGTGAAGAGCGCTGCGAGCTCCAAGTTTTTGCTCTCGATAATGCCAATCAAGCGCGAGAAGTGGGTCAAAAGCGCGTTGAGGGTCGCGATGTGAGCCTTGGGCAAGTCCACAAGCAAGTTGGTGACACCGTTAATGCGCTCCTCGTCGGTGGGCACCTCCTCCTCCGCGACCGAGTAGAGCGATTTGAAGAGCTCGTACGTCTGGCTGGAGACGAGCGAGTCGGGAAGCTCCAACAAGTAGAGTTTCAAGACCGAGGCAACCACCGATGGGTCGGACTGGGTCATGATTTCCATGTAGTCGCTGGCAGTCGCCTGGACGTCGCTCTTCCCGCACGCTTCGTTGAGCTTGGCCCGCAACTGGTGGGTCGTGGCAAGCTTTGTCGGCACGATCCAGACGTCAATCCGGGCCTGATCGTCCGTCAAGTCCGGGTACACCGCGTCCATGTGCTGCAAACAGCTGCTGACGACCAACGGAACCAACTTTCCCTCCGCCCTGCATCTGGACTCGATATCGATGCCAAAGATCTGGAAGGAGGAGGTCAGAGAGTAGTAGTTATCGTAGATGACCGGTTTTGGCTTGAAAGAGCCGGTTTTGTAGGTCTGGAGAAACACGTTAAGGTCTGACTGAGGGGAGATGGTTTCCTCGTAGATCATGAAGCGGTCGACAACGCTCTTGAGCGACGCGATTTTGTTGGAAACAATGGATAAAAAGTCGAGCGTCACTTTCTTCACCGCTTTCAAGCGGTCCATCTCGCACTTTTCCATAAATTTCATGTGGTCCACGATGAGCTCCTCCAACTCGCAGCGCACGTTGTCTGCCTGCTTCACCTCGAAGAGGTACTCGCGGTCCAATTCGTCCACCTCGCGTACGAGCTTCTTCATCGCCTGTTTTTCGGACAAACCGGACATGCTCGCGCGCTTGTTGAGGGTCATGTTAGTCAAATTTTCCTTAACTTCGTCAAAATAGGACGTTCCCGCTTTCTTGTACGGAACGTGGGCCACGGCAAACGCACGATCCTTCCACTGATAGATAAACTTCTTGGAGTTGACAAAGGACGAGGAGACCTGGCCCACAAGGCGCAAGAAGCCCTGGTCAACCAAGTCCTGGCCGAATTGCTCCGTATCGTCCAACAGCAACTGGAGCGTACCCTGGAGGAACAGTGCAATGGCAGAGCCCGTGGAACACCGCTCGTAGTTCCCGAGCAATGTCACCTTGTGGGTAAACTGAGGAACCTCCGAGAGGAGGGAGGCTAAAACCGGTCTGAGGGAGGCTTCGGTGTAGGTCACCCCGCCCAATTCGTAGGTTTCCTCCTCCGGGTCGGAGTCTTCGGCCAGCTGGGAGACCTCCTCGATCGAAAGCTCTTCATCCTCTGGCACCGACGACCGCAAATCCTCAAGAACACGGCACTTGTTGAAATACTTCTTTTCTAAGCGGTCCACCTCGGCGCGGGTCCGAAGGAAACTCCGGACCGCGTCCTGAACGACCTCCTCGCTGTATGCCACACGCTTCTTGTGGTCGTCGCACCAGCGCCCAAACGGCTCGAGGATCATGACGTTAATGTTTTCGCTGACTTGCTGGTGGTACGCGCCTTCGTGTCCGATCTCCGCCTGGATTCCCAAGAAGGACTGTTTGACAGAAGCACCATCGTCACGCCCGAACCCAGTCTTGAGCGGCGCGTGGTTTGCGGGAATTGTGTGTAACTGGTTCCCGTAGGCGCCTTCGATGGCGCTGCGGCTCTGGAAGAGTCGGATGTACTCGTCGTTTTCGACACAGCCCTGGTGGAGCTTGCGGAAGAGCGTTGCCATGCCGGTGGCGTAGTCGGGCGTCCAGAAGCTGTCAGAGAAGGTGGGCATAAAATCGGTCAATTGATGAAAAGGAAGGATTGAAGATGGACCTGTTTGTAGATCAACGGCAAAGATGGTAGAATAAAGGCCAGTGAACGTAAGATCAGTGACACGGTAAGATCAGTGAACGTAAGATCAGTGACGCGGTATGGTCGAGTGTCGTTAATCAATGGAATCTCAGAAGATGGTATGGTATTTGATGCAATCGCAAATGTAGTTGTCAATGTGACGTGGAGTTCCAGAGGTGTGGACAAAGTCGTGCGTGGTAGGAATTAGGCCAGGGCAGTGCCAGAGGTACGCGCCATGTGACCTGATTGGGAAATACGCCACATGCGCCACGTTTGCCTTTGGTTGAGGGGAATATGTCAGAGTTAGGTGAGCGTACTGAGCTAGGAGAGATCTAAAAACGTCAAGGGCAAAGGTGAGAGGAAGAAAGAAAAAAAGAGAGAGCATTGAGAAAGAGATATGTGCCATTGTTGGAGAGAGAGCTAGATGCACACAGCATGAGCGGCAACCTCATCAAGGTTAATTTCTTCAGTAGGGATATGACTATTCGGTTATAATTAGGTACAGACATGTGTCATTATTACAGGGGGAAGCCAAGCCAATTTAGCAGTATTCAATTAATGCTCTCAACCATAGCAAAACACCGGTCAGAATTCGCATCAGCGCTGTGGCGCAGTGGAAGCGCGCAGGGCTCATAACCCTGATGTCCTCGGATCGAAACCGAGCAGCGCTATCGTGGCACCCCCATTATTTTTATTTTTCAATCGGTCCCGCCTAAGCGAGGTAATATGGGGACTGATCAACCGTGGCTGCCACAATCCTTTCCACTGGGGTTAAAGTTTCGAGACCGTTATAATCTCCTAGATACGTATCCCTTACCCACTCTACTTCATATTTCATGTGACGCCTGGTCATATTTATTCATATAAATCCTCCACTTAGTAGTTAACAGAAGGGTTCTGGTCTGCGGACCACTGCTCAGACTGACCGTAGTGCTGGTCGTAGCCTTGCTGGGCGAAGTCACGAGCCTGGTTCTTAACCTGGTCTCTGTCAAGGTAGTCTAAGCCCTTAGATTCAAACAACTTGTCAACTTCCGCACCGGCAAAGGCAGAAAGGGCCTCCTTGGCGAAAGCATGGGAGACTGGCTTCCCTTCGCGACGCTGTCTGTCTTCGAACAACTTAGCAGCTTCGAAAGAGGCAGCGCCAGCCACCAATTCGTGAGAGAACTTGCCCTCATGGTCGTCACCGCCGTAAACGGTCTGGTGTTTATCCTCGTGATCGCCAAAGCCAAACATTGTGTAATAATTTAATTGTGGTTACAAGGAAAACGAACCAAGAGAGGAGGAATTGGGGGTTTATATAGGCTCGAAATGAGGGGAGTGAGCCTCAATTGCTCTAAGGATTGGGGCATGTGTCCAAAACTATGCGTATGAAACGTGCATGAGCCTGCATACGCCGCGTCGGAGACTTTAGACCAGTAATTGGGAACGTGGCTATGAGTTTCACCCTATAATCACTGCTGTCGGAAAGTTAAATACAATGGTAATTTGAAGCTCGTGGTGAGAGCGTACTGTAAACCCTGAATTGCCACTGGTTTGGTACGCGGAACTACGTCGTTAATGTCTGTAAGAGCAGTTATATCAAAGTTGCGTGAAAGCGGCCCACGAACCTCCCTATTACTATGTAGAATGGTGTGTCCAATCATGGTACCCGATTCAAGGTAGGGTTTAGTGCTACACACTTGCGCACGTATGGAAGCTGTTGGAACGACAAAGGCAAGGCATTCGGGGGCGCACAGCCATGCGCCTCGATTCGCGGGTCAGTCCGCGTCCAAAGAGGAATAGCAATGAACGTGGCAGGAGAGCCTGTCTGATTGTTTTGTTGTAAATCGACATTTAGCGAAACAGCTGCATCCTCCAAGCCTATTCTTGTTGGTTTGATGATTCGAATTAGGTCCTACAGTCGTTCTTACTCAACGGCGTCGACAATAACGTACATAACGCCATGACGTCATGGCGGTCTATCTAATCTTAGAGATGTAGATGCGTGATGCAAAGCCCATTTCGTGACGATGGCGTTCTGTGGACGAATTTCATCTTTGGTGTCAGCGGACGCATAGCCAAGACGCTAAAAGCTTGCTTTCTATGGCTGCAGGCCGCATATGTGCACGACAAAATAAAAAAGGTTGGCCAGGAAATTAGCCATTTGAGAAGTAACTATATATTAGCAGGAGCAATTGGTAGTCGACATCTAACCCGATGTTTGTTGAAAATCATCCTAAAGGGATGGTGTGTTGTCCAAAACTTCCCGCCTCCGCCCCAGCCATGGTGCAATATCCGGTAGAACGTCTAATCCGTGTTGCGGTATTAAAACGCGGGATTGCTTGCACTGCCCCGTAGGACACTGTTTGGTTAGATTTAGAACAATACTTCCATTTGAAATGATATTCGTTGTATATGTGAAACTGGGGTCCGGTGAACTGAAATGGCGCAGTGCATGAAATCGGGGCATTGTCGATACATCGATAGGCACTAGCTGTGTCTTTAGAAAAGTGGGGTTTTTCTTGATCGATCACAGTACACTGTTGAATAACGTTATCAAAAGAATGGCGATATTTGATGGCAATGGCTGATAGCAATGGTTGATGGCAATGGTTAATAGCAATGGTTGATGGCAATATTTGATGGCAATGGTTGATGGCAATGGTTAATAGCAATGGCTGAAGACAATGCTGAAAACCGACTCTAGATAACCGACTATTTATGACAGGATTTTTCAACCCCTTTCCCGAAAACACAAGGCTCGAATGAGACCAGGCGCTGTGAATATCTAATATCTCCAAACTCCTGCTTACCCCACAATTGCCCAAGTCGCTGCTGCTTAACAGACAATGCATTGGTGATGCCACCTTGATGGCTTTACATACATCGTCACAGCTCGAGCTTTACCAAAATCAAAATACTATGTTTCGTATCCATACCGCTGTGGCACTAATCTTTGGGAGGAGACTCTCCCCGAGATCATCTGGTGCAAAAGCTTATGACCTTCAGAGATACTTTCCAATCAGACTAAACCTGCAAATATAATGGTGAATAACCAGATATTTCACCGCATAACTCTTGATAAACCTAGAATCACACCTGGCTGTTTTCCAGGTTACCCGGTGCCGGTGCCAACCGTTACCCAGCTTTTTCATTTCGGGCTCGAAACCAACGTTTAATCCTGCAGATACAAGCCCCTATCGAATAGTCACACGTGGGGGAGGATACAACCAGGTTGTATCGGTTCTTACACAGCGATAAGCTTGGCAGGGCCCTCACCTCTCAAATTCTATTGGCTCGTAACGCTTTGTGTTTTCTGCGGTAGCATATATTCACCGTTAACGAACCCAACTTTGAAAATAACTCCAGGCCCACACCACAGAAGTCCATCGCCCTTCATCTCTACAAATGATTCAAGTAGACTCCACCACCGTCACCATAACGAAAAACCCTTACCATTACACCGATGCGAAGGGCGGTACTGTGCTCACCAAGCCCCTCACCTGGGAGCAGTTGCGCACCATCATAGGTATGTACACAGCCATAAAAACCCTTCAGATAGATACTAACTGACCAGCCACCAATACGCTTCAGAACCTTGGGCGATCCCTATCGCAGCTCCAGGAGTACCGTGCGTTCCGGGAAACTCTCGCGGCCCAGAACATTGACTTCTTCGGACAGGTGCTTGAAAAGTTGCACTGGAGCCAAGACGAAGTCGACGCCGTGAGAGCATCCAAGCCCCAGCTATTCACTCCCGCCGACGATATCGTGATCCTCAAGAACGACTTCCCATACTCGTTTGACCCGGAAATCACCCATCTCTTGGTGTGGTGCAAGGCGGAGATCCCAACTGACCCAAAATCAACCATAGGGGACATGTCGCCCGAAACACGGGCCAGAATCAACCGGTGGATGGATGTGTGTTTTGTACAAAACCCAAAGTTGCAAATCCCGTGGAAGAATTTGTGCTGGTTCAAAAACTGGGCCGCGTTGCAGAGCATTCCCAAATTGGCCCATATTCATTTAATGATCAGGGGGTTGAAACCAGAGCAGTTGGAAATGATCCTCAAGGACAAGGAGAGCTTGGTTATGCTCCACGAGGAGTGAATAACGATAAGTTTAGGGCCAGAGCTGGGGAGTTCATCAGGGGGAGATTCGTTCCAGATAGGTCCAGAATATCCGACGTTTTTTTTTTTTTTTAGATAGACTATTTAATATATAGATCAGGAAAATTTAATTAATATACATAAAACAGAAAAGCCAGTCTATAATCCCAAATAAAAAGGTAACAACCCTTTGGTATAGAACAAAAATCTTATCGCTCCAGGTCCATCCCCAGACGTGCGTTTACCACACGCCACCCACGACCATTCCACTGCATGCAAGACGTTACGATATCGCCTTCAGTGAAAACGAACTGATAATCGCCACCACATCCCTTATTCAGTCACCACAGCAATTATGGACGCGGAACTTCTGTTGATCGACAAGGTCGAGCTCCGCATTGCCTTAGCTGCTACAGCGCTGCAATTTGAAGCGGCCATAAAGGTGTACTTGTCACCGCTTTTGCTCAAACTCGCCAGCCCGCACGCTCCCGTTCGCCAGCAGATTCTCCAGACCATCCAGCACTTGGTCACACGGATCAACGCGTACCCAGAGATCCAACTCCCAGTTTCCGCCCTAATGGCCCAGGTCAAGGCGCCGTCGGTCCCCGCTGGCGCCGACGCCTACACCGTTCGGATCTACTCGCTTTTGTTCATTTCCCGCGGCATTGACCGCATGTCCCCCCTGGAGATGACGGAATTCCTCCCAGAGTTGGTCAAAGGCATTAGTCTGTTCACCCAGCCGGTAGTTGCTGCGCGGATCTTCAGCTGTGTGTGTAAAATTCTCGTTGCGGTGACGCCCCCCCAACAAGCATCCATTGAAGCTCACGCCTTGAGAGCAGCCTTTGTGTTTGATGACACTCCTGAAGATGAATCCCTCTTGTGTGGCTGGTTGACCAAGTTGTTTTTGTTACAACCAGCGCCTGGAGATAAGAGCTACCCCTGCCCCGGGTTGCTGGCCACCGACGTGGCCTTCCTCACCCAGGACGCTGGGGTGAGCTTTACCAGCGACTTGCTCACCGAATACAAGCGTCAAATCCTCGCTTTTGTGGCCTGCGGATGCTTCAAGGACTCGGAGATCCAGACATTGGTAGTGATTGCCACCGTAGACGGCTCGTCCTCGATTAACGACCTCGCTGATACGGTAATCCGCAAGCTTTCCATTGGATATGAGAGCCGTGCGCTAATCTCATCGTTGTTTGCGCTCTTCCTCGGCAACGCGACGCAACCAGCGGTGAAACCCACGCTCCAAGCGCGGATATTGGCAGTTTTGTGTCAGAGTAAGCTTGCCGCACACCACCCCGACGTCTCAAGGGTCTCCTCCATCGGTCTCAACTCGGATTACACCAGGTTGAAACAGAATACTGTACTGTTTGTCAAGTGGGTCGCACAGAGTATTGGGGAGATTGACGATCCCTTCTACGTCAGCATTGCGGCCCAGTTGAAGCAGAACCTCTTGGCCGAGGGTTGGCCGCAAATGGACACATCCGTGGTCAAAAACTACAGCGGGGCTATAGCTCAGAGACGGTCCCAGTACGAGGCCCTCGGGAGCATCTTGAAGCGCCAGCCAGGGCTTCTCCAAGAACTGTCGTTGCTGTACTTGGGCTTTCTCTTTGACTCGCTTGCCGGCGACACCGCTGAGTTACGTCTGACCATCCAGGACAGTTTGTCCGGCTTGACCGTCCATTTACCTGGTCTTCCCGCCCCCTTGAAAGCCCAGCTAAAGACCATGTTGGGGGACTATCTCATCACTGCCTCTGGCGATGCGGATGCTCTCTCCTCTCTCCGCTATGTTGCTATCAAATACGTCAATTGCGCCTTTTCCTTTGATGATGCCGAGGCCAGAATGCTCTGCATTTTCGGCTGCTCGAGCCAGAACCGAGCCGACATCATCGAGGAAGCCTCGAAGGGCCTCCACCCGTACTGGTTCAACATCTTGCAATCGTCCAACACCACCGAGTTCCGTTCGACCCCCGCGTTGTTGGGCAGCCAGAACACCCTCGGCTTCCCGCGTTTTGTAGAGATGGTGGATGTCTTATTGGCTTCCAAACACGCGTTGCGCTTCGCGATGGATCGTGCGGTGGAGTTCGTTGTCCGCAGCTTGGTCATGGAGGCGATCCAAGGCCGGACCACCGTCGTGGTTCCCGACCAGGAGTGGGAAATCCGTGTGGACAAGGCCCTTGAGTTTGACGAGACGGTGAATGGTCTTCTCCGTGTGCGTCTCAACGAGGACGACCCAATGGATGGCCTGTCTCTGGAGTTGGCATTGTTTTTATCGTTGATTGTAGATGAATTCACCTTGACAGCAAATGTTTTCCAAGGAAGCAACGCTAGCTTTGGCAGAATCTTTACCAAGTTGGCCTCGCTTGTGCCTGATGCTACGGTTGCGATGTTTTTGCCAGATATCACTCGCTTCGAGGCCGTCAGGAGGGCCACCACCCTGGAAGCTGTCGTCCAGTACGCGGCCAAGGCCGTGGCGGTCGTAGGCTCACATCCCTCCAACCCGGACTCTTGTGTTACTGACCTCATAGAGTCTTTAGTGCAGCCGGAGCTGACATCCAAGGGGGATCTCTTGGTGCTTGGGGGGTTGGTTGCGCGGTTGACCCTCCGCGGCCGCGTCGTTTCCGTGTTGCCTCGCGTCTTGGACGTCATCCTCGCGGCCTTGGCCAACCCAAAGCTTTACGAAACAGCCTTGGAAGCTGTTTCTCAACTAGCTATGCTTGGGTCACTCAGCTTGCCCGAGGCACTAGGCTTCTGGACCGCTGCCGTGGCCGTCATCGAGCCGCGGGTGCGGAAATTGGACGAAAAGTCAACGCTTACCTGGGCATACCTCGCTATCGCCCAGCCAGAGGCGTCAGAGTCACCGTTTGAATCCGTTTTATATTCCACCCATGTTTCAAAACAGGTGGAGTACTTGTTCACCAGCGGTGAGGCCTTTGCTATCGTGGCGGCCGGCTGGGACGCCAAGATTCTCGCACAAAAGACGGATATCCAGGGTAAACCGGCTCTCGTTCCGTCCCGGGGCACTCGCTTGCCTCTCATCCTCCTCCTGGTGATGAAGGCGTGCCTCGAAACCAAGCCAGCGTTGCGTAAGGCCGGCTGCATCTGGCTCTTGTCGCTTGTGCAGTACTGCGGGCACTTGCCTGCGGTCCAGCTGAAGGCGGCAGATATCCATCTCGTGTTCATGCGCTTCCTCGCGGACCGAGACGAGTTGGTCCAGGAGTCTGCCTCGCGAGGGTTGAGCATTGTCTACGAAATGGGGGATGCAGAGCTCAAGGACACGTTGGTCCGTGGTTTGCTCAAGTCGTTTACCGACTCCACCACGTCCTCCTTCACCTCTGGGTCTGTTTCCCACGACACCGAACTTTTCGAGCCCGGCGTGATGAACACGAATGATGGATCGGTTTCGACCTACAAAGATATCCTCAACTTGGCGTCGGAGGTCGGAGATCCAAGTTTGGTGTACAAGTTCATGTCTCTTGCAAAGAATTCGGCCCTTTGGTCCTCCCGCAAGGGTATTGCCTTTGGCCTCGGCTCGATTCTCTCAAAGTCTGCGTTGGACGACCTCCTTGTCAAGGACTCCCGTCTCTCGTCACGGCTCATACCGAAGCTCTATCGCTACCGGTTCGACCCCAACACTTCTGTGGCCAAGTCCATGGGTGATATTTGGAACCTGTTGATCGCCGACAGCACTCGTGCGGTCACAGACAACTACGAGGAAATTTTGGCTGATCTCTTGAAGAGCATGGGCCACAAGGAGTGGCGTGTGCGCCAGGCGGCCACTGCGGCGTTGATTGAGTTGCTCCAGACGGTGCCGTTGGAGACGTACGAGCCGCAGTTGGAAGAGATCTGGCAGATGGGATTTCGTGCGATTGACGATATCAAAGAGAGCGTCCGGAAGGAGGGGAACCGCTTGACCCGGAGCTTGACCACCACATTGGTCAGAAGCATTGACGTCGACCACGGGGCGTCGCAGCTGCGTGCAAGCTCTGTGCTCGGCAAGCTCATTCCGTTCTTGCTCGGGGGTAAGGGCTTGCTCGGGGACGCGGAGGAGGTGCGTAATTTTGCGTTAGAGACGATTTTGAAGTTGTGCACAAAGACCGGCTCGGCGATCAAGCCGTTTATTCCAACGTTGCTTGAGCAGATGGTTGTGCTCATGTCGACGTTGGAACCCCAGATTGTGAACTATCTCGCGTTGAACGCCGACAAGTACAACGTGAGGGCGTCGGATCTTGATGCCAAGAGGTTGCAGAGCGTGGGGCATTCTCCCATTATCGAGGCGATGGAGCGGTTGCTTGACCTTGTGGATGATTCCACGATGGAGCAGGTGGTACCGGCGGTGGTTTCGGCCATCAAGCGGTCGATCGGGTTGCCCTCCAAGGCTGCCGGGAGCCGGATCATGGCCACGCTAGTGTTGAAACACCACATGCTGACAAAGCCCTACGGGGATGTGTTGCTCAAGACTGCGATCGGGCAGATCGGCGACCGAAACGACACCATTGCGTCGTCCTACGCAACGGCTGCTGGATATTTGTGCCGTATTGCCTCGGTGGACCTCACGCTCCGCTTGGCAAAGAAGCTCCAGACCATGTACTTTGAGGGAGATGACAGAACGCGAATGGTTGCGGGGATCGCCAGCGAGGCGGTGAGCAAGTACTCTGGCGACCGGTTTGCCAGTCTCGCGGCGGCGTTCTTGCCGTTGGCGTATATCGCCAAGAACGACCCTGAGGAGGGTGTGAGTGAACCGTTTTCCCGCGAGTGGGCAGACAACACATCTGGAAACGGTGCCATCCGGCTCTACTTGTCGGAAATCACCGAGCTTATCCAGGCGAACTTGACATCCCAGCTGTACTTGATTCGGAAGGTTGTTTCGCAGGCCATTGCCGGGGTCTGTGCCGCCTTCAGTGATTCTTCTGTGGATGTGGCGAGCGTGGGCGAGAAGAATATGGCCCAGCTCTTCACGGTGTTGTTGGAGGCGTGCAAGGGGCGTTCCTGGGCTGGAAAAGAGCACGTGTTGGATGCCTTGGTGTCGCTTGCAATCAAGTTCCAGGCATACGTGGAGATCCAACCGGCATTGGGGGAGGCCATTGCTCGCACAGTGTTGGTGGAAGCTAAGCGAAAGAACCGCGCCTACGCGAAGCATGCGATCAAAAGTTTGGGGCGGTATCTTGGGGTATACCAGGACGAGGTGGATGAATACATTGAAATTGTCACTGCTGCGTTGGACGATGAATACTATGAGGACGAGTCGGATGACGAAGAGACAAAGCCGAGCAACAAGTCTTCGCAGAGGAATCTTTTGCGCGAAGAGGAGCGTTTGGAGCTTGTCAGGTCGCTTGTGGCAGCCTTTGCGGTGTCGCCCCATGGGGACATACATGCCGAGCTTTTTGTGGTGGTGTTGCAGTCTTTGACAAAGATTTTTGCGTCGTCGCTTGTCATCCCCACGTGGAAGTCCGAGCTTGTCGCCGTTGAGGGCTTGCACGCTGTAGCCCAGCGTGTATTGTCCCAGTCGCAGCACGTGGAGCTTACCCCGAAACATGTGGAGACATTCGTGACTACGTGGAAGCAGTTGCTTGAGGTTGCTGGGAGGGACAAGGACATAGAGAATGTCCGTGTGCAGTTTTACAAGGCCACCGCTGCGTGGTTGAGATTGTTTGCGTCCGAGCTTTGTCTGGTGGATGCAGCGGCCTTTGAGGCGGTGGTGAGGGATACCGTGGGCGACGCAATGGCCAACGAGACATCAAATTTAGTCCGCCATGAGTTGGAAAAGATCCAGGAATGGCAGACCGAATGAATGGAGTAACATAGCTTGGGGTTTGAGACCGAAGGGATGATTACATTTATGGGGGGGGGGGGGGGGGGGGGGGGGATGTTGAGAACAGTGGGGTAGCATGTATTGAAATGCGTGCATCAAGGATTATATAAACCGGGATTTGAATGACACGAATATAAATTCTTATATTAGTTAGAGTCGTGAGATGGTGTTTGATAAAGCTGAATTTATGATTCGGGGTTAGCTAAGTTATGGGGCCTGAAATGTATCTACTACGGTTTTGATAGAGCAGAATGCCTGAGTTCCTAAGTTTCCGTGGCACCGTAGAACCCTTGGATTGGTTATTACTTGTTCAGGTACTAACAGTAGGGAATTAATCCGTATAACAGTCACTGGCCAATTCTTGGATCGATAATTCAGGTAAAGTGCATTTTTGGATAGGAATGCACGCTATTTTTGCTTAGAGCATGATTTCCATAATTCGACAGTTTCTGAAAGTCATGGTTCCGCCTGGTTAACCCTTCAAGCTCTACGTTTATATATCCTATTCCTCCAGTCGGTTTGGGCATCACTGGCACACTAACTACATCATTGTATTGGCACAATGGCAATGCATTGAAATGGGTTGAGGTAGACTGCTTATTACCCTCTCATGTATGGTAATCATAAACGCTCATAAATCCACATTAACCGGAAAGTCACGGAAGTTTCAGGTGATTTTTAACCTTAAATTTCAGTACAACTGATGAACTAAACACGCTTACCTAACTTGGATTTTTCTTGGACTTCTCTGGAGCTCCTCTTGGAGTCTGTTAATTAGGTTGGACGTAAAAATAACCAGCCTCGTAGAGTGCTAGCGTATAAGCAGTACCCCATGATTTTAATTAGTGCTATATTTTAGCGCTATATTCTAGCCTAAGTTCATGTGTTTAAATAAAACCCCGTGCAATTTTGCAACAATAATTTACGGATGAAGTTAAATGTAAACTGTGAAAGGTGGGGAGTGATCCAAAAAGTCCAGGGGATCAAACTTTAAGCCAGGAATAGCATAAATATTGGGCTTCTACTGATCGCTCAACAGTTGTGTAATAGAATTTCCCTAGCGCAAATCTTTAGGTCAGGGGTCACGCCCGAACAGATCTGAGGGTAACCTAGACCTTTTTCGGTGTGTTTTGTTTTCTCTCACTCACACGACCAGGAGCGAAAACGTGCGGTGAGCGAATCGCTGTGGTGGAGATACTACCAGAAGCGGCAATCCGTCTAGCTAATCTCACCACGCCGAAACTGATTCCCTGTCGTACCAAAAATAAGGTTGGGTGCGTGTATAGCTAAGCCGGGGTATACCCAGAGACAAAGGGATAGAGAAACAGTATAGACTCAAGGCGGATGAAAAATCACAAGATCCAGCTCTATCTACGGTTGGGTCCGCACACCCAGTTTGAGCTGTAAACCGGTTGAGAAACCATAGGACTGATATACCACTGGCTTCTACTGAATGACCAGGAGCGCCAGTATGATTGCAACGTTGTCTGGCGTGATACCCGCGCGTGACTCAGCTAGCGCACGTGCCGCGAAAAGTTTTCGGCACGCGCGTAAGAGAAAATTTCTTTTATTTTCGGCACCGCACGATTTCAATGGAGTAATAGGTCGCACGAACAGTCAAAAGGGATCAGAGCAAGTGTTGTCAGACATTTTCCCGACACGTATTTCTACGTGAATACCGCTCTAACAGCTTATTCCAAACCTCAGATCGCCATACTGCCAAATATCCCCCCACACATCTTACAGTTCCGTCACAATGTATAATTAGCCCATAGTTACAGATAAAGTCAGTCCAGTTACATTAACGTCCGACCAACACGGTATCGATCTATTACTTGACTCCCAATTTCTCATTTGACATCCTGTCAACCCCTGTCATTTCATTTACTTTGATTCATATTTACTTCGATTCGTCTCATTCGCTTCTATTCATATACGTCTGACTGGCACCCAACCATACATTTCATTTGCCACCAGGTTTAACTCGTTTGAGATTCATATTCACCCGTGATCGACTTACTTGACACCCATTTCGTCTCCATTTTATCCCCCCCCCCCCCTTCACAATGCAGATGGACCCGCTAGCAATGCCCGACCTCCCGTACTTCGACTTAAAACCAACCGTATCGCTGTCGTCCACCACTTCTGTGTCTTCCAAAACCAAGCCAAAAGCTGAGCCACCGGTAGACTTTGAGTACGACGTCGAATTGCTCCAGCTCTGCGAAGCACTTATTCGTGCCAAGGACTACCACGGGCTCGCGCTATTCGCGCGCCAAAAGGGGATCCCCCCGTTTTTGCGCTACAAGGTTTGGCCGCTTTTGCTCAAAAACCATCCGTTCGTGGTCAACCCGTACATCACCCCAGACGTCATGGCACCTTCCGACGATGAGCCGTCGCGTGCCACCGCCAGAATCGCCGCCGACCTCAAGCGCTACATCAAGCGCTCCTCCACCATAAAAGCAGACAAGCTCCTTTCCCAGACCGAACAGCAGGTGTTTGACATTTTGCAGCACGCGGTGGAAAAATTCCTCCGAAAGTGGGGCGAACTCATCTCCTACAGTCCAGGCTTGACCTGGATCGCGCTAGGGCTCGCAGAGTGGGTGCCGCCAATCCCAGACACTAACTTTGTGCTCATTGGTCGTGGCTCCGCCTCCAACGGAGAAAGCGTGTGTATCAAGAACCTCCACGAGGACTATGCCCCCTACATCACGCAGTTTCCCGGCTTGGCGGAGTTGGTGAGCCGTACTAGCAGCGACACGAACATGTCCTTCAGCGACATGTACGAGCGGCTTGTGTTGGTGCTATTACACGCACCCGAGCCGGTAGACAGTGAAAGTGAGGAAGAGCTGTTGCTGAGTCTGCCTGTGTCCGAGTCCTCTAGCAAATACACATCCAAGGCGACGCTTCCGGTAAAAGGGGGCACCATTGACGAGCGCATTTCACTTTTTGTGTATTCGCTCCGCCGCCTCCTTCCCGAGCTCTCCAACTATTTCAACCAAGAGCAGGTGTTGAACGGCTTGGGCGGTTCTTCTAGTGACGATGAATGGATCATCTGGTGGTTGAAGTGGTGCGGGGCCAAGGTCTGGTCGCGCCAAGACCGAGGCGCCGTCTGGGACATGATGCTCGGCTGGAGGGTATACGATGAAAGGGATAGCGGAATCTCGTTAAATATTAATCCATCGTGTCTTGCCAAGCTTGGGGTGGATGTGTTCTGGTCGCCGCCGGCGCAGGAGGAGGATGTCTTTGATATGCTAGAGAGCGAAGACGATTTTGACGAGCACAACCTCGGCAATGTGTTCAAGTTCCCGCGAAACACGCGCCGCAACTCGTTCAAAGCTCTCATGTCATCACTTTCAATCAAGCCCAAGAAGCACCAGGCCCTGAAATCCGCGGGTTTAAAGAACTGTTTGGCTTCTCCCGAGCCGAATCTTGTCTCTATTCTCGACATTCCGTCGTCAAAGTTGGACCCCCACATCGAACTCATCTTCATCAGCTTGTCGTTTTTAAAGACAAAGGAGAATGTCTTGGTGGAGCTTGACCAGAACGAGATCCGCGAGTTCTTATCCAAGGCCATTCCCAACGCCCGCAAGGCCAAAACCAGAACCTCCTCGGGCAGCAGCAATGTCACTGATGTCACTCCTCCGCGACTCGATGACTCGCTGGTTTCGTCGCCGTTGGTTTCGCAGTTTTCGACTCCGGTCATTGCCTCTACTCTTTTCCTGCTGGAGGTGGCACCGCTTTCCTTGTCGAATGTCCAGGCCCATACGGACCTCTTTGGGGCTCCCGACTCGTTTGCAGCCCATGATTTGGTGTCGAACGCCTCGCCAAAGAGTGTGGCTTCCACCATCATGACCAGCTCTGGGCCAAAAAAGCACAAGAAAAAATTGGACTCGATTTCAAAGTCCAATTTTGACGTGGCAAAGTATAGCAACTATCCGATTAACAAGGTGTTGAACGAGGCGGGCGAATTGTGGCGCACGTGGCTCTGGAAAGAGATGGTCGAAGGTAGTGGATGAAGGTTGAGGATCTATTAAGGGTAGATGATTCTCATTTTCGGATCTGGATGACCCTCGCACCTTTTTAGATACCCCCTTTTTTTCTTTTCGTGTTAAGTTATTTTTTTCGATCAAATCATGCGAAATAAACTAGCTGACATCAAGATAGGTCTGGACACCACGATGGCAGTAACACAAGAAAAAATGTATGGAGAGGATTGACCGGCGGCAGGGTTTAGTTGCTAATCAAAAATCCAGCTGGATTAACCTTATCCGGATCCATAAACTTCGTATGGTCCAGAGGATGTATGGCTATACCGAGAAAGGTCAAAGCCCAGTTGATCTTTACATGACGTAAAAGCTGACAGAAGAGTGGGCTCCGATTGATTATTTTTGACCCTTTCCGTGCCCAACTGATTTCACTATAACACCCCTTTGCTCTTCATTCTGACACATAATCTGACCCATTTTTCCCACCCACCAACTGGCAATCACTTGCCTGAGAGTTCTCTAAGAATTTAGCCTGAGATCGATTCGGTTACCCGTCGCCCCTGTCAATACACTGGATCACCTGGCTTCTAGAATAAGTATAAGTTGAGTTTCTGTCTCGGCGTATGTGACATGAAGGTTCAACCTGGAAGGTCGCAAAATCCCGAGAGCTACAGTAAGCGTTTGCTATAATGGTCTCTAAATATTTATCCTTTGGTTGAAAAGACCAGACATTGGTATTCTCCGATGCTTCCCGTATCATTCATGTAGCATAAGCCGATCAGTCACAAGCATTCACATTTATCTATGCAATATCTCGCTACATGATATAACACCTACTTCAACTCATTGGAGATGCTCCACACCTGCAACTTGAGCTGCTCGACAAACTCCGTGTCCAAATAGTGCAAGTCGTCGCTTAAAATTCGCTCGGCAAATGCAAAAATCAACTTCACATTCCACAAGTCCTCCACCGTCTTGGGGGCCCGCACTAAATTAGCCATCTCGATTTTTGCGTCAATCACCGACAACTTGCCACATGCGCTCCACTTCTCCAACTCACTAAACTGGTCAAAAACCTTGAGCTTCATCAACCCGTGGTTCTCCTCGCTCTTTTGCGCGTATGCACTCAACAATGAGTCGGTAGATTTCCTGAGCATCCGAGAGTTGTCCCGCCTGTAGACATATAGCGAAAGGGACTTGCGGAAGAGCTCCTCGTGCTGCCTGTTCAGTAGGTCTATCACCACCTCAAAATGCTCATTGGACGCCGTTTTCACGCGGGAAATGTCGCTAATGCTCGGCAACAAGCAGGGCGATTGGAGCCGTACCACCTTCCCCGACTTAAGCTCGATCTGAACGGGAACCTGGCACGACTTGCCGGTTGCAACGTCGCGCACGGTCAAACACCGCGGCAGGACTGCAAGGGCCCAGAAGCTGCGCAACGCTTGCAAGTGCACCTCGGTGTTTTGCTTCGGAAACACCGGATACAATGCCGTGACCAAGGCCGCAATGGCAAAGTTCGAGCTGTCAATCGCGTACTGGCCACCGCCGAGGAACAAAAGACCGAGCGCCATGTTGACGGCCATGTAGTTGCCGAACCCCACGTCTTTAGAGACCCGTCCTTGGAGAAACCGCAACCGTCTGAAGGTCTCCAAGTCTCCGGTTCCGGCCATGACAAGCGCCATGGAGAGCGCCACGAGGTCAAGAAGCGACAAGACGCCACGCTGGGCGAGCTTCGCGTCGTGAGTGAGTGCGGGCAACGTGCAAAGCGCCATGAGCGCGTCCATGTAGTACACCAATGTGTCTCTGGCCTTGAGACTGCCAGTAGAGGCGTAACGCAAGCCCATGGCAAGGCAGGCCCCGCTGATAAGATGCAAATATGCCAACTGATCACTATCCAACGACCCAATCGTCTGGACAGCGTACTGCTGGAGAAGACAGAGCGGGATCTGGGAGTCAACCCACTCCCGCGAACACCCGATCTTCGACCAATTGATAAGGTTCCGCCCCAAACAGCGCAAGAGCAAGAGGTCTGGCCGGATGTAGTCGAGAAGCTGTTCAGTTTCTGGCGCCGCCAATTTGGCCGCGACAGGACTGTCGGTCTTCATGTAGATGAAAGCCAACGCAAGAATGGCGCCAGCGGCGGACTTGTCGTACTGTTGGGCCGCCTGGAAGTCTCGGGGCGACACTGCCATCGCGAGAAGTCTGTCTGCGACATAGGTATCGTGGAGACCTCTAAGGTCGCCCCCCTTGCCGAGATTCACGTATCCGAGGGCAATTCCCGCGGCCAAGCGGTAGCTCTCGTCCACCACCTCCTTGTCGTTGTGGAGCACCGTTCCGCTGATTTGAGCCAACAATACTTCGCTCATCCGGCGGTGCTGGCTCTCGAGGTAGAGGAGCCCAATGCCGACCAACCCCGCCGTCTGCACCGCAATGTCCACGTTCAAGTCGTTCGCTCCCGGCGGAAGTAGCGCAACCACGTGCACCGAGAGTACCTTGGTGAGCTTGACATCCATCAGCCGGCGATGGCTCGCCGACATTCCGAGCAACAAACCCACGGACGTGTAGGTGTGCTTGGGCCCAAGGTAATTGTAGATATGCCATTCTTCGAGGCTTTGGAGGTGGCCGTTGAGGCCGAGGCCAAGGAGAAAGCCCGCGTGCTGCGGGTTGAGCTGGACCGGCTTGTTGAACACGATCCACGAGCCGGAAATAGAGGGACCCGAGAGCCCGGATGCTTGGGCGACGGAGAGCCCGGCAGAAGCCCCATTGTGGAAGTACCCCCAGTGGTACTGACTCTCCTCTAGCGACTCGACCGGCACGCTGATAGTGCTCATCATCGGGGAGATTGTCGTGTCAAAGTTGAGCTTGGGAATGGGAAACTTTTCCGTCATCAACGGCGTCCGGCTGGAAAAGAACAACGCGCTGCGGCCGAGCGGGATGGTCAACGTGCGGAGCGCCGCGAGGGCCGCAAGCTCGCGCTGGGCCTCGATCAGCTCATGGTCCGAGGTGTCGGTGGTGAAGAGCGTGGCGGCCTGCGTGCGAGAGGATTGGAGCAAGCGTGTGATCTCGTAGAAGCGTCGGTCTTCGGAGAAGCGCAACTTGGTGGTATTAATTCGCTCGGCCTCGGAATGGCCGTCCCACGCCGCGAGCGTCTCGGTGTCGAGGGCCGACTGTAGGATCTGGTGGATGTCTCTTGTTGCGGTAGCGGGGTACGAGGGCTTGGTGATGACCGTGGGGTCGAGGAAGGTGGTGAGGTCCTTGCGGGACACTAGCTCTAGGGCGCCGGGAGTCCAGTTCACGGGCGTATCGTCGCGGCACCTTGCGATAAACTCCTTCAACGGGATGGATACGCCCGCGGGGAAAGTTTCGAGGTACGCGGCGGTGAAGCCAAACTCCACCATAAGGTCAATCACATGAGAGGGGTACTCCGAGGAGATCATCACCTCAAAGAGGCGGAGTACGTAAAAGGTGCGCGGCGTGATGAGCTCGTCGATATCCTGAGATTCATCAGTGAGCTGTGAAAACGGGGTATAAGGGACGATGTCGCCGTACAGAAACAAGCTTACGCAGCTGGCAAAGAGGTTGGGGGGTGTTTGGAGTGGCTGCTCGCACGGGTAGAGAATTCGTCGGTCGAGGAGGGAGGGAGTTTGCTTATAGTAGGTGTGCCAAGTGCTCCAGCCAAGCCAGAGGCTGAGCTGGGCAAGAAGAAACCCCAAACGCTCAACCTGGTGGGTCGCCGTGACGTCTAGAATGGCATCCTCACGGAGGAGGTGCAACGCAAGTAGCATTCGGGGAAGCATCTCGGGAAGAGGATGGGTGGTGTGGAAGGAGGACTGGAGCGTGTATGCGTGGGGGAGTTTTCCTAAGATGGGGTTCTGGGTCTGGGCCGGCGATAAAACCAGTACGTTCTCGTTCAGGCTCCCCACGTCAAGGGTCTCACTTACCTGTGGATTTGCTTTTACCTGATCCAAAACTTCTCTAGGGAGAAGAGAAAGCACCGTAACCACGAACGCATCCCAGTCGCCGCTCTCCAACGACATCGCACACACCCAGTGGAGCCAGACGATTTCGGCCGTCAAATCGCTGCCCAAGTACCGTACCGCCAGAAGGCTCCGCCGTACCAAATCATCGGAGTGGCTGACCAACAACTTAAGGGTGTAGTGCTTACGGTTCGCCCCGATCATGGCGATATCGCATCCGCAGCTGTCCGCGAGACGGGCAATGGGCAGAAAGTAGCGACCGATCCGGACGTCCGGCGAAACAAGTCCCAAGAACGGGTTCACGAGGCAGAGTGTCGCAGGGTCTCTAAGTACCACAATATACCCCGGACGACACGCACGCGCAAGCGCAAGACAATCCAAGCAGCGGAACGTGTAAACACGGCTGTAGCAGGGTACCGCACTCTGGGTATCGAAAATCACCACCTGGGCCTCCTGAGAGCCAGAATTGGCAATTACGACCGCCTCTTGCGTGTCGTAGGCGACAGAAAACACGTGGAGGTTGCTTCTGGACCCCGAAACGTGAAGGCTATCAAGCCGAGTCATGATAATGTCCTTTCGGAGTTTTGGCAGGGAGTCAGATTCTGAGGCCAGTCTGTGGGATTCTGACACCAACCGGTGCTCAGACACCAGAACAAAGCGCTTTTCACCCCCTTCATCCTTCCCCGAGCTCTTTGACACGCTTTTCTTTGGCTTGACCAACTGTCGAACATGGTAGATGGTGACGGAGCCCGCGGTGTACGTAGCCCCGAGACAGGTCAGGCCGCGCGGAAAGAGTACCAACTCCTCGGTGGCGGCTATGGCGCTGGTGGAGGCCGAAACAACCGCTCCAAAGTCGTCCAACGGGTCGGTGAGCGTGTAGAACATCGCGCTATCCTCGCGCGCAAGAATGAGCCCCTGCGCGAAGGGGAACGCGTTGCGAAGTGGAAACGGTATTGATACGATATGTGAGCGACCGTCAACAAAGTAGATATGGGCGCGTTCTGTTAGAATAACCGCTAGCGCCTTACCAGGCGTCTTGAAGACAGTGAAAGTGGCGGCGACAATTCGTTCTCCGTATGTCAATTTGCGGTTTACAACGCCGCCCGTGAGCCAGATTACCTCGGTGGCGGAACGTAGCAACACGTCGTCGCCGTGGAGGCTAACCAGGTACCCCATGGCGCCCGAGTATGGGTTTTTTGTATCGTGGCGGATGTCTAGCGCGGGCAAAGTCACCCTAGCGCTTGGAAGGGCCTCGGACATTGAACGTAGGTGGATGGGGGTTTGCTTCGAAAAGAATAATTGGAGGTGTTCAGGGGAAAACACACACACACACACACACACACACTTGTTTTGATCTCCCAGACGTAAATATCCTGGCGGCTATGCAGGCAAAATGGTTCATGTCAAGGTTATGTTATTGTTATGGTTATGTGCCCGGGTGGGGTAAATGATAGATCTAGTAATGGCGTGAGCCGCATATGTTTTCGCGTATATCTCTACGTCTTAATGCTGTATCATTGTCCGACAGTTGCTTGATGAGCGAGTTTCCATGGATATTCTTTCGTTGCTTGGAACAAGGAGGAGATTGAATGATGACACCTCCGACCCAGGGAGCGATGCTATACCCCCCAAGCGGCAGCGCACTGCAGGCATAATGGCACCACCACCCGTGATTCCCATCCACCCACGATTCCCGGCGTTTAGCGTGAGTGGAGTTGATGCTCTGCAGTTGCTGGTCTGGCAGAAACTAGGCCCAATTTCTTCCGAGGCATACAGCCTCAGCAACGTGGTCTTTCGGTCCACTCCAGAGTTGACGTTCCACCGAGTGGATTACCTGCTTCCATTCGCCTCCAAATCCGAATCGTGCGTTAGGTTGTTTAACAAAAGCGATGCAGTGGTTCATTCCTGCCATGGACAGTACAGGATTGTTCCCCTAGCCTCTCCGCATGCTTTCACAGTGTCCAATGGGGATGACCATATCCATGAGATCCGCAGCGTGGACATGGCAACCGACGATTCGGCTTTTGTGATAGTCACACCTCGAAGTTTAGCTGTAGTGGATAGCAAGACAAATAGAGCAATTGGGTCGGCTAAGGCTTTGAACCACTTTCTCGCGGCAAAATTCAACGCAGCGGCGAGTGTTGTGGCGGCTGGTGGTCACCAAGGGGAAGTGTCTTTGTGGGACATACGAGCATCCACGGCAGCTAGGATATATGTCAAGCTTGGAAAACTGCCCCTTCCCTTGAATTTTGTCCATTGGTTATCTGAATTCCGGCTTATTACTGGTTCTGCTTCCAGTGGGAGTATCCAGATCTGTGATATCCGAAAGCCAAAGGCTCCGGTGGCCGTGCTCGAGACACATTCACGGAGAGGAGTTGCTTCGTTAGACGTTGATCGACAGGCAGGGCTCATGTGGATTGTATCGAGGGATAACCAGATTAGGGTTCATTCGCTTGGGGCGTTGCCGTCTGAGGCTCCGTTGGTTGAGTTTGAGAGCCCGTTGACCGGCACTGCGGGGATCTTGGCTAACAACGTGACCGATGGGTTGCTTGTTAGTAATGACACGGGCTTTGTACAGTTTCCACTACCCAAGACGATTAGTGGTTTGGGGTTTCTCAAGCGTGATTTAGCGGCGTATCCGGTAAACCCCACAGACTATGAGATTGACTCGGTGGTGCTCAACGGAAACTTTACAAGGGCAGCTGTCTGTGGTTGGAAAACCGGGGAGGAATATAGCACCGTTGTTGAATATATCGAGTTAGAATGAGGGGGCGGCACGTAAATATACATTGAGATCATAAGGTATTGCATTCTAAGTTTATGCTTCCGGGGGTAAGAGTTGGCTCTGGGTTGTGTTAGTCTTTCAGGTATCTGTCAAATCTGCCTCGATCTGCAAGAGCTTAGATATAGGGTACAATTAATTATGTATCCTTGTACATATAAACTCGTTTATTTTTAAAGAAATCGGGACATGGGTTAAAACTTCAGGGTTTAGCTAATCAACCATTAAAGTGAATAGTTGATAATACCAAACTGAAACTATAGCAGGGACAAAGCAGAAGTTTACTCCGAAAGATCATCATCCGGCTTTCGTAGAGCCACCTTTATACTGTTTACCGGCCAACAAACTAACCAGCTACAACCAGTATAATTCCGGAACCCCCCGTCAATCGTTCTTGTTCAGACCTTTTTTAATCACGTGATCAGATGGACCTCTGAAGCCGCATGCAAGACATATGCAGGACAATCACTCTCCATCACACGTCCACTCAGCTTATCGATCTCCCAAGATACTAGTTGTAGCCCATATTTCGGGATGTAAAATCCAAAACACCGCCAACTATTACCAAGCTGATAGTCGTACATGTCCCAGAAAACTCCAATCCATCAGATTCATACCCATTTCCTCCACCTCGACTTCTGGTCACGTGCCGCTTTTTCTTTTTCCAAAAAATTTGTGCTTAACTGAAAAGTTCTCTATTCAGCTTACCACAACTCCCACCTCTTCCCACATTCCACCATGTTTAGAGCCGCTTGTAAGGTTCCCAGAGCCCGGCTAGCCAACCCCGGTTTGGCAAACAAGTGTTTGTTTGCAAGCGTCCAGCACTACACCATGAGTGCCATGGAATCAACCACTACCGGCGGCGATTCCCCTGCCGGAAGTGCCACCAAAAACGCCACTTCAGGCAGCTCTGTCTACCAATCCCTCATGCACAACCTCAAAACCAGACAGTATGACCAGAGCCAAGGCGACCAGATCGCAAATCCGTTTGCACGCGCATCGCTCGCAGGCCACGGCAAAGAGGTTGTCCACCTCACGTCACTCCTCGAAACGTGCATCGCGGTGGGCAAGTTTGAGCGAGCAGAGAACATTCTCAACGCATTGTACCCGCTCTGTCAGTCCGGAGTGCATGACCACACGTTCATCACCAACGTGAACGGTTATCTCGCTGCATGGGCTGCGCGTGACGGGGTCGCACTCGCGGACGTACGCGCGTGGATCAGCGCAATACCCGCACGTTTCGCGGGCGCGCTCCCGAACGACCGTACAGTCGCAATCCTTGTCACAAAGGCGATGGATGAGGGTGTGGATGCGGTGGAGTGCCTTTCCGAGTGGTGTCAAAAGTTAATCATCACGTCGCGCGCGGTGCTCAGACACGTGGACGTGATCGGGCTCGCGCATATGAAGACGCTCGCGGCGCACCCCGCAATGCGTGCAGACGAGATTCCGCGCGAGTACCAACATCTCATGGACGCCGATGCGCGCACAGAGCCCGCAGAGCTTGCCACACCGTTCGACCCGGAGCACAAAGGCGCCTCCGTAGAAAAGGACACGGCCGAGCTCCGTGCGGTCTCCTCGTTTGGTCTCAAGGTTGTCAGGCACGCATTACTCGGGATTGAGCAGAACAAAGAGCACCATGAGACGTTCTTTAAAAACCTCGAAGAGACTTTTGGAGTGGTTCTTCCAGCCACCAGAAGCGAAATTGACTTTCACGCAATCTACCGGTCGCTTCCTGTGGACCAGAAACCACTCTTTGACACAATGCTTGAAGAGTTCAACCACGAGAGACAGCGCAACCTCGAGAACCGCGCGCACGAGAGTGCGGTGGAGAAGTGGCGCAACACGTACACGACCGCGGAACGCAGCGGGACGCTTGTCGCGAACCGCGATCTCAACGTGCATCTCTGGAACTGGTACCGCGCGCTCCTTCCGTTGCTCGAGCAGGAGATTGCGCGGTGCAAAGTCATCTTTGAGGACACCGAGAAGCGGAAGATGGTGAAGGGCGACGGGGATAGAAAGGCGTACGCACCGTATTTGCTTGTGATTGACCTGAAAAAGATGGCGGTCACGGCGATTCTCGAGCTCTTGAAGTTGAACTCAACGGGGGGCGTACACGACGGAATGCGCACGGCGCGCGCGGTGATCGCGTGCGGCAAGGCGATCGAGATGGAGTACCGCGCGGAGAAGGTGCTCCGGCTGGAAAACAGTTTTTTCCGCGACTATAAAAAGCAGCCCAAGTCGCCGGAGTTCCGCAAGTTGCTCAACTCGACTAAGGCCGTGTTTCGGAACGAGACGTTGGAGCAGGAGATGGGCGAGTGGCCCAGTGACATCAAGGCAAAGGTGGGGTCAGTATTGGTTTCGCTCATCATGCATGTCGCGCGCATCCCGGTCGAGGGGCGCGACCCGGTTTCGGGCGATATTGTGCGCGGCGACGCGCCCGCGTTCTACCACACGTACCAGTATCAGCAGGGCACCAAGATCGGGGTGTTGAAGGTTCACAAGTCGCTTATTAAGCTATTATCCAAGGACTCGAAGCAAGTCGAGACGGTGGCGCCGCAGACGTTGCCGATGTTGACCAAACCAAGACCGTGGACCGGGTTCAAAAGCGGTGGGTTCCACTACTCCAACTCGCTCGTGCTCAGAACGCGCGACTCACCCGAGACGCTCGCGTATCTCGAAGCCGCGTCGGAAAATGGGTCCCTCGCGTCGGTCTACAAGGGCTTGACCGTTTTGGGAGACACTCCCTGGACGGTCAACAGAAAGATCTACGATATTGTGTCGCAGGTCTGGAACACGGGCGAGTCTTTTCTTGATATTGCGGGTGTGCAGGACGAACTCGAGCTCCCGCCGCCACCGCCGCGCGACGCGGATCCCGTGGTGCGTCGCGATTGGAGCCGCCGCGTGAAGGCGCTCGCGGATGAGTTCTCCACGCGTCGTTCGGAGCGCTGCGATTCCAACTACAAGCTTGAGATTGCTCGCGGGTTGCTCGGCGAGAAGATCTACTTTCCCCACAATATCGACTTTAGGGGAAGGGCATACCCCCTTTCAGCCCACTTCAACCACTTGGGGAACGACATGACCAGAAGTTTACTCGTATTCTGGGAGGGCAAGCCGCTCGGTGCACAGGGCCTCCGCTGGTTGAAGATCCACCTCGCCAACACGTTCGGGCACGACAAGATCCCGTTCGACGCGCGCGTGGCGTTTGCGGACGCGCACGTCGCGGAAATTATGGAGTCCGCGCGCGACCCTTTACACGGCGCGGGCTGGTGGAAGAGCGCTGATAAGCCATGGCAGGCGCTTTCCACCATCTTTGAGCTCTCCGAGGCTTTGCAGATGGCCGACCCGACGCAGTATGTGTCGCACCAGCCGGTCCACCAGGACGGGACGTGCAACGGGTTGCAGCACTACGCAGCTTTGGGCGGTGATCCTGAGGGTGCCAAGCAGGTGAATCTCTCGCCGCTGGAGAAGCCACAGGACGTGTACGCATTTGTCGCGGAGTTGGTGAAGAAACGACTCGCGGCGTCGGACGACCCCATGGCCGCGAAAATCATTCCTATCCTCAAACGAAAGATTGTGAAGCAGACAGTGATGACGAACGTGTATGGTGTGACTTACATCGGGGGCGCGGAGCAGATAAAGAAGCAGTTGGACGCGCACTTCGACGACAAAGAGGCGTACGCGTTGTCGCGTTTCCTCGCGACGCATACGTTTGCGGCGATCCGCGAGTTGTTCAATGGCGCACACTTGATCCAAGATTGGCTTGGCGAGTGCGCGCGCGCGATCTGCAAGGCGATCAAGTTGGACCACGCGCAAAAGCCCGACCACATGTCGGCGGTCATCTGGACGTCGCCGCTCGGGCTTCCGTGCGTGCAGCCGTACCGTAACGACAAAAAGTCGCAGATCTCGACCAACCTCCAGACGGTGTTCATCTCGGACCCCTACGTCGCGCGTCCCGTCGACCCGCGCCGCCAGCAGGCGGGGTTCCCGCCAAACTTTATCCACTCGATTGACGCGTCGCACATGCTTATGTCTGCGATCCGCTGCCGCGCGGACAACCTCGCGTTTGCATCGGTCCACGACTCTTTCTGGACGCATGCCGCGGATGTCGACATCATGAACGAGCACATCCGGTCGGGCTTTGTGAGCCTCCACGGGACCAATTTGGTTGCGCGGTTGAAGAGAGAGTTCGATACGCGGTATAAGGGTTTTGTGCAGATGGAGAAGGTTCTGCGCAACCATCCGATTGTGAAGCAGATCACGGACTTGCGGAAGACTACTGCCAAACAGTTGGGCAGACCGATGACCACGCTCGATGAGATCTACTTGGAGCAGAAGCGCCGTCAGTTGTTGGCCAGTCTGGATCCACAGGAGGTGCAGGCGGGACGCGAGATGGTGACTACGGTGAGTTTGGCGGAGCTGATTGAGGATATTCCACAATTTTTGAAGGAGATGAAGGATGGCAGTGGAGTGAATGTTTTGCTTCCATTTGCGCTTCCGGAGGTTCCAGAGAAGGGGGAGTTTGATGTGAATGTGGTGAAAGAGAGTCCGTATTTTTTTTCTTAAACTGACATCCTAAAATTGTCAAAGAGGTTCCCTCATCTCTCACCATTTTTTTTTTCCACTTTATGATACAATTTCTTTTTTGTTTTCGTTTGGCTTGTTTTATTGTTGTTGTTGTTTTTTGCCCTCTCGGTGCATCCCTTTTACGATTCCCTTGTACATATCAAAAAGGGCGGGTGTTCGTTTGTATATAGATCTGAATATCATCCAGGAATTGCAAGGTTTCGTAGCCAAAGATAAAAGTGGACGAAATTATGGAAGGACACCCACTCCGTTTAATCGTAAATTAATAATGAGTAATTTTCATGTGCTCTTAGGTTTCGTCATAGTCTCATTCATAGAATATATCCATCCGGAAGCCCTTAATCTACGGCTCAGCATCGCTTTCATAGTACGTATCTCATGTAAATTTCATATAAATCCCATCCTAGTCGCTTACTGAACTACTTATCTATACAGCCACCTTTCCCTGCTGCTCCAAGCTCTCGATCAACGGCAACAACGGCTCCATCTCCCGCTTATCCATCAACCCAAACTCCCGCACAAACGAAATAAAGTGCGCAAAAAACGAGTTCCAGTGCGCCTCCAACAGTAGGTGCACAAACTTCTCAAAGTGGTTATGGTACATGTGCGCAAACACGCGGAACATTTGTCTGCACATATTTTTCACGTCCTTGCCAAAGTACGGTGGAAAAGCCCCACCATTCTTCGTGGGAAACAACGTCTGGTCGTTCAACTTGTTGCTCACCCACAGCAACACAAGCTCGATGTACTGGCCCGCAGGCAACATGACCGCCTGGCCAGAGCCGTCTTGCCAATAGTAGTCGCAGCCCGGGCCCGCACTCATGGTGGGGTACGCGGCGGGCGTCACGTACTCCGCGACAATGCCATAGAACTGGTTCAAGTGCGTGTATGTCTCAAACACATTCAACGCAAGCCACTCACCGTAATCGACATATTTCGGCAACTGCACAATCGTGCGGAAGGAGCCCTTGACGAGCGCGGTCTTGACAAACGGCTCACACAAGAACAACGGCTTCTTATCGCCCGTGGATTTCAATCGCGGCGGCGGCTGGAACGCAGGCGCCTGAAACTGCACCTGTAGAGCCTGCGCCGCGCGGCGCGGCGACCTCCGCGTGGGCGACGCGCCGCCCCTAACTGACGTTGCAGACTCGCTGGCGTACGGGTTCTGATACTCGAGATTGGGCGTCTCTTTCTCTCTGTTTTTCTTCGAACTGCGGCCGAAGCCTCTGATTGTGTTTAAAAAGGACATGGTGCTGGGGGTTGCTAGATGGAGTAGCCGTATGGCTGGATCAAGCCAGATATATCATTTCGCGCGCCTCTGCCGCACACGACCTGTGCGTGCAGGATTAATATGACAACATTGATGAAATGTCATGGCGGATATCCCTATATTAAATTCGATAATTTTAGATTGATTTATTTCTTTTGCGTCTGTTCTGGTTGGAGGGTGACAAGCTGGCCAGAGGAGCTACCAACTTGACAGGTCCTACCTTAATACCACCATTTCAACACAAATATGACTGGAGGGGGAGGCTATGCCCTCTACGGAAGCGCAACGTAAATCATGCAATTAAAGGGAATTAAAGAAATAAGAAAATTAGAGATCAAAAACACCAAAACCAGAATGGCAGAGACGACACGGTATTGTCAAGACAAGCAACCTCACCGAGTCCCAAGGGCAACACTAAGCGCTAAGACTGGACGATTGAAACGAAACGGTAAACCCAAGACCAGCCACAAGTAGAGCTCCAAACCCAATAACGTACCAATCCACAGACAGCACAGGATGGACAAGGTGAAAGTGTATAAAATGGGGCCAAATTCGAACCAGCTGTATCAAAATAGTGCTAAGCGCAAAGCCTCGTCCTAACATACAGTTAGAGCCCCATCTCTTCCTGCAACGCCCTTAACGCTGCCTCATCCTCGTCCAATTCCGCGACCGGCACATCCGGCAAACTTGGCATCCGTCTCTCCGGTTCTGAAGCCTTCGCTGGAACCTTCTCGGCCCGGGAATTCTCAGCCTCCTCCTGCAACGCGGCCAACTCGTCCTCCAACTCATCGTCGTCGATCTCCTGGCCCAAGGGGCGTGAGATGGCCTCCGAGATCTCCTCGGAGAGTTCAACCTGTTCGCGGATGTCGTCCATGGTGGCGTCAACCTTGTCGACGTCGAAATCGCCGTGTATCTGCTTCATGGCCTTGGCGCCCTGTTTCATGGCTTTCATCGTCTCGAGGTTCAAGTTAGCACTCTCGATAGCGTTGAGCTGCGTGTCCAATGAGTCAATCTGCGCCTGTATTTTGTCGAGCTGGCCCTCGTACACCTTTTTGCGCTTCAACGCGGCTTTGGCCACGTTTTTGTTCACCGTAATGTTCTTTCGCGCAAGCGCATCCTGCTCACCGATTTGGTTCTCGAGGTGGCTCTGCTTCTTGTTGAGCATGCTGATATGTTCACGAAGGTCCACGATCGCCTTCTTCGGCATCTCCTTCTTAGTCTGCGAGTTTCCGCCGAATATGTAGTTCCACATCTAAAGGTTAGTACTGATACAAATCTTCCGGGGGGGTGTAGGCACCACGATAGGGTGGGCAAAAGGAAACTACCGCTAGGATCGAAAATGGGTGTTATTCTGATTTTTGTAAGCCTCTTTATTCATCCCATAGGCTGCTGAACGTCCTCGCACTTCATATCCCCCGCCTTCATCCCTCGGTCAAATAGTGTTACATACGTGTCCGATCTTATTAATATTCCAGGGTGTTTGTTGTGATGTGCTTGCTGTACAAGTATACGGTGTAATGTGTCGCGCCCCGTGTAACGCCCCTGTCTAATTGTACTGATAAGAGTGGCACGCCGTCGAATCTCCGATACTGAAAGCAAAACCAGCTCAGATGGGCGGTCGTGTGTCGCCCAGCTTCGTGGTGGGAGGTGTGGCGTGCGCACGTGACAGACGTCTTCCGCCCAGGCTATACAAATTTTTAATCGACAGATCGCGAGTACAGCCTTCAAAGCTCGCAGCGTTGTAGCTAGCATCGTATCTATACACTCCCACTAACTGCCGGGTACGTTTGTAGACCGAGAGCACATATTAATGAACTGAAAAGTAACCTTAAGGCTTTCCATTCTAAATATACACATTGGTAAACATGTACGGAATAAAACCACCTTCCGTGGTACTCGGCCCTACTCACGTGATGTCAGCACGTGATCGATTGAAAGATAACACGCACCTAAATATCAACATAAAGGCTATCCAGTAACCCCACTCACCATCTACCCCATGTCCGTTTACACCCCCCAGTTGACCGATATCCAGGACCGGACGCTGGAGTTCCAGCAATGCGTGGCCTCCTTCAACCGCCTTAACAAAACCAAGCCCAGTCCGGCGGCGAACGCGCCACCCAAGAAGAGCGAATTCTCGCTCCGCGCCAGCGCCGTCGCAACAGATATTGCCCACACACTTGGGATGTTGAGCAAACTCGCAATGTTGGTGAAGAAAAAACCGCTTTTCGACGACAAGCCGGTAGAGATTGCGCAGTTGACCAACGTCATCAAGCAGGACATTTTCCGCATCGAGCGGGCGTTGAAAGACCTCCTGGTATTTACCAAGGGCGGCGCTGAGCCCCAGGCGGCCACTCACTCGAAGAACGTGGTTCAGATCCTCAGCACCCAGTTTAAGAACATTAGTGGTGATTTCAAAACGGTTTTGGAGACGCGGCAGCGGAACGAGCAGCTGAACAAGAGCAGGCAAGAGCAGTTTCTCTCGGCGGTGTCATCGAACGTGGTGGCGGGCAGCGCTACCACATCGGAAAATCCATTCATGGCGCTGGATAACCCGTTTTTAAGCCGTTCCGCCACACCCTTTGCCGACACGGATACCTCGCCGTACGGCGACTACCTCACACTTCCGGACCAATCACAGCAGTTGATGCTCATGGAGGAGCAGAGCGTGTACTTGCAGGATAGAAACCGTGCGGTGGAAACCATTGAGTCAACCATCAACGAGGTGGGCAACTTGTTCCAGCAGTTGGCAACCATGGTCAGTGAGCAGGGCGAGACCATTCAACGAATCGATACTAACGTTGAGGATATCAGTATGAACATCCAGGGCGCCCAGCGCGAGTTGTTGAAGTATTATGCGCATATTTCTAGCAACCGATTCTTCTTTCTCAAAATATTTGCCGTGATTATGGTGTTTTTCATGTGCTGGGTGTTGGTGTCGTAGGAAATCAAAGTTCCTCTCCGCGCTTTGAGCAATAAGTCGCCAAAAAGAATATAGAGAGCGGAAGGACCTAAGAATCAGAGATTAAATGAAAATATAATTCTCTACGTTTATTAAACTCGCTGAACTGCACATTTCTTTTATCTAGAACCATACCGGCCCCTCCTCTCTATCTCTACATATTACCATTTTCCTCAGTCTTGTACACAGCATCAGGTTCGCCGCTCCCATATATACAACTGGCTCCGAAATGACTGTACCCTCGACTGACGTCTATTCTGTCGCCCCCACAATCAACCCCGCCCCGAGAACCCGCTCGCCGTGGTAGAGCACGAGATTCTGGCCAGGCGCAATTGCCCGCGCCCCCTCCTTAAACCTGCACTCCACCGTGCCGTCCTTTACCACGAAGGACTCCACCGCGCACGGCGCCTGGAGCGATCTATACTGCACCGACAACTCTCCACTCGGTGGCATTTTCTCTTTACTCATCTCCCCGACCCAGTTCCAGTCGCTGGCCACCACCATGCGGGAGAACAATGCAGCGTTGTCTCCGCCCTTGACGATGACAATCTCGTTTGTCTTGTATCGCTTCGCGCTGACAAACCAAACACCCTTATAACGCGGGTCACCCTGTGGCAAGGAAATACCCGACTTCTGCCCTATTGTGGCGTGCCAGATCCCGTTGTGTCGCCCGTGCACCGTGCCGTCTTCCGTGATGATGTTACCAGGTTTTGGCGAGATATAGTCGTTGAGAAAGTCCCTGAAGGAGCCATCCTGCGAGACAAAACATAAGCCCACCGAATCGGGTTTCTCCGCCGTGGGAAGCTCGAAGCTCTTTGCAAGCTCGCGCACCTCGGGCTTCGTGTAGTGCCCGATAGGAAAGAGAAGACGGCCCATCGCGGCTTTCGGCAACATGGAGAGATAATAGCTCTGATCTTTGTTCGTGTAGGACCCTCTGAGTAAGTGGGGCTCGCCAGACTCCTTGTGAGTGAGCATCCGGGCATAGTGGCCGGTAGCCAACCACCAGTTCTTGTGTTCCGTCCGGGTTCTGGTCAAATGTTCAATCATCTTGCCAAACTTGACGTAGCGGTTACAGCCCACATCTGGGTTGGGTGTCAAGCCGCGCTCGTACATCTCGACCATGGGCTGGAAAACGTCCATCCAGTACTCCTTCTCAAAGTTGACCCGCTCGCACGGGATGCGGAGTTTCTCACACACCCGCTGCACATCGTTCCACTCAGCCTCGGTGCACTTTGCCGTCTGAGACCAGTTGGCCATATAAACCCCCTTGACATTCTTGTATTTAGCGGCATATAGCGCGGCACAGACGGAGGAGTCCACGCCGGAAGACATGGCCACAACGATCTCGTCATCGGGGTGCGGGGTCGGCTGGATGTACAGGGGACGTGCTAGTATCGAGAGCTGGCGGCAAAACCCCGTGGCTCTGCTATGTGTGAGTTTTAGCATCTATAGAGGCGTAACAACGGGAAACGATGGAGAAACAGCTTATTTTGTACAACATTTGACAGGTGATGAAAAATTCGCCGCATATGGCAACCTCCTGCGGCTCAAAAATAGGTATGAGCCGCAGCCGAGTTTTCCATCGGGATGAGTTTGATCAGTGGCCTATTAGCTGTAATGAATATAGTGGTTTGAGTCCCTAGAATTGTCATACCGCTTCACGTACAGCGGTTGTACTGAGTATAACGTCATATCCTTCCGCCTACATAGTCCGTTAATATCTTGCTGTCTACACGGTTCTTGAATACAATTCCGCCCACAGTCTCTCAAGGTCCATCATCCCGCCGGATTTGCTACCTGCTATATCGTTCTGGACACTTCTCTTATTGTCCGATTGTATTTAATCTCTGAAAGGGGCCATCATTCCCTCCTTTTTTTTTGAAGCTACGGGTCTGACAGCTGTGCTTCAATCCTACATCATTACCCGCGAAACCCACTCATCGATATTGTGGCAGTTTACCAGATATAGCCCATCCTTTATCTGTTTGAGATCGCCCTATTTCCCATCGCATAAGACTAAATCCTACCATTCCAACTCTAGACTGTCTAAAAAGGTTCTGGTACCCTTATGTCTAAAACTCGGAACGTGCGCATCCTTGCGGACATCTTGGCGCGACATGTGCCCGCACGCGAAACCCCTATCTTTCCCGTGCACTACCGGTTCGACCCGGCCACTCCATCGGTACGTGACGTGCACAACTTTGTGGTGAGTGACATTTTTACAGAGGCTGGCTGGAAGCTAGCTCCGTTGGTGGACGACTTTGGCCCCGGGCCGGCCAGCTTTGTCGAGCAAGTGCGGAGGAAGATGAAGCACCCTACCTTTTCTGAACCCTCTCTGCCACCTCTAAGTTCCGTGGATATTCTGGATTCCCTGCTGCCTCTAGGTTTTATGGATGCCCTGGACTCCATGGATGTCTCCCTCGTGGCTAAACCACGCCGGGATTTTACAGTCTCCCACGGCTTCAGGGCCTTTCTGAAAGGTAACATTCTCAAACAGGAGTACCGTATGGATTTTTCTGGACTCCTCAATGAGCGTTTTCTCTCACGCAACCAGCTCAACTTACGGGTGGAACGCCGTCTCTGCCAGAAATTCTTCAGCGTGGAGGAGCAACGGTTCGTCGATAATCCCAACCAGCATCTGCAGTGCTTTCTCAACGTGTGTTTGGAGACGACTGACGGGATCGTGGGCACGCTTCCGCTAGCCATGCCGTCCCGAGAACTCGCGGTGGGTGTCCAGGGACTAGTGGTGTTTGAGCAGTTCTCCATGTTCCACAGATTTCAGAACCAAGACTGTTTCTTCACAAATCCGCTTACCGGAAGGAAAGTTGCTGTGAAGGTCGCCGCCCCAGAGATGGAGCAAGTTGGCGGCGATAGACACTACCTTGCGTTGGTTCCCGGTCACATCCTTGAGCACAGGGAGATTTTCCGGAGGCTTTCGTTTCCCGGGTCGCCACAGACGTTTATCAACGAAAAGGGAATGTTTTTCGGGGATCTAACCGGACGTTGGGAGGGCCAATTTCCCGGCAGCCTACCAGCAGCGTTCTTCGAGAGTCCCAACCATGATATTTCTGGAGAGAGACAGAAAGGGGGGGTGAATTTTACCACTGAGGTTAATGATTCATCCAAGGAGGTGACCATGACCGAAAAGTCCATCCAAGCCACCAATACGGATACAATCCCTTTCATCATTGAAATCATCACGTTAGCCAATTCAGATATAAAAAAAAAGTTGTCCGTGTCGGACCCTCTGCCCGAGGTAAGATGCTCTGTTGAGGGTGTTCGCCCCATGCTTCAGCCATGGTTCGTTCAGGTGCTTCTCTCGCTTAGTCAGTACCGTTCGCAGGTGAAATTTTCTACAAACCTCTCAGTCTATGGAAGTTCGCTTGATGATTCACTCCCGGTTGTGTGTCAGGCGAAAGACGCCAGCAATGTCCGGAGATTGTTGCGGATCTTGGGGGTTCCAACCTATCCCGTGGTGGTGGTTCCGCGGATTAAGCCGATCACTGCCTCCAAACTTACAGATATTATGTCTCTTGCGGCCCACGAGGACATTCCCGCGTTTCTTGCCTCCTTCCGAGACACGATTTTCTTGACCAACGAAGAAATCACCGGGGATGTTGTGCGGTCGATGCTCTTGGTGGAAGGAACGAATGTGAATAATGAAACAGGTAAAGAGGGAAGAGCTAGACAGGGGAGAGGAAATGCCTCACGTGGTAAAAGAGAGAGAGATGGTGTCGGAGAGGAAGGGAGATCTGTCGCAGGGGAGATGAAAGATAGTGAAAAGGATACTGTCGGTAAATCCTTAGATCCTATTAGTCCATTCTCGAAGGCCTCCGCTCTAGACTTTACCTATCTCCGTGATAGTCAGATCCGCCAGTTGCGACGGATCGAGGCAATGCTCCAGTACCTCGAGTTCTTCAAAGCCCACCTTGTGCCAAATTCCCGATTGGTTCCTGTGGAACCCACCTTCTGGGACCAGCTTGTGCGACGCCAGTTCGCCGAGTTGCTTAGGCGGTACACAGGGTATAGGCAGCGGGGCTCGTTACAAGGAATGAACGACGTATACGACCAGATGCTCGCGCTTTTGGGCAATTCGTACCTCCCAGTGGTGTTGCGGGAGATGGAATACGGTAATAAGGAGAGAATTGCGTCGTTCCATGCGGTTTTCCACCACCTTTTGAGCCTTCTCAACGGCATTGCAGTGAACTTCCACCCGTACTTAGCGCGCCAGATCGGCCGTGAGTTGCTAAACCATCGAGTTGAGAAGTTGGATTTACTAGAACCAGAGGATTCTCCCGACTTTGATATTGTGTCTAAGATCTTTGCCGGGGTCGAGGAGCTGAAAGCAATGGCAGCAGCGCATCCCGGGGCAAAGCTTATGGTAGACTCCAACTCCGTGTCGCAGTACGAGCTAGACTTCATGGGGCAGGGTGAGATGGCGATTAAGCGCGGGTTTACTCTCTGGCCAGGGTCTAAGGTGTTGAAGAAGATTAATTTGGGTTCGCAGTATGGGTGTATTTACTTGGTGGTTCCCCATGTCAAGCCACGCCAAACCGAGACCTTCCTCGGATAGGGCGTTGGCAAAGAAGTTTATGAAGGAAGCTTGTAAAAAGACTGGAAGGGCAGACAAGTGATGGTAACAGGTTATTTTGGACTGAAATAACCGATTTTTCTTGGAATGATAAGAGTTATGGTTCCTCGTGGAAAACATGGAAATTTTAGATTAAATTTGCGACTGCACGTGGGTGAGTTTTCAGCTCATGTATAGAGAAACACAGAATCCCAACTTTAATCACATGAAATTTAACGTAAATATCTACTAGCGTCGTCACAGTTGTAGAGATCTTGCCATCAGCCCAATTTGCCCGTCCAGGGCACGTAATTGGGAGTTACATGAATACCAAACAAGTTTCGTTTACAGAGACTATGGATTTGTTAGCGCAGTATTCACCCATCAGCAATCATTTCTATTGCTTTTAGGTATACATCTCAGGATAGCAGTCAACCGTATAATTAACGTTTATACCTAAAGTGCAGAGCAGATTTGTACAAATATATCGGGCCGCATTTCCGAGGTTAGTTTCACCTTGAAAAAAGTAGTGTGCATATTTACGGCTGGGCGTTAACTTTGGGCCCGTTTTGCCATTTCCTCCAAAGTTTCATTTATCCGCTCTTCCTGCTACAATACAATATCCCTTTTTATATCAAATCTCAAGCAATGAACACTCTGTCGTACTCTGTTAGGAAATACTCCTCTTTAAGGGACCCAACACCCACCCCTCGGGGATTCTCTGACGCGTCTTCAGCCACACCCTGGACCCACTTCCCTTACAGGTCAGACATCCAGGTCCACCTCATTCCAACCCTGAAGGCAAACCGGAAAAAAAAGGGCGAAAGAACCGATTTCCCCAAGATTACCATAAAAATTATGTGGAAAAGCACTGTTTTGGTAAGGGTACCCGCGATACTCAGGAGGCTGGGAGAGACTAACACCATAGGAAAATATCGATGTATATGATACGTGCATGCGTTTTACAGAGTTTATTGACAGAACCCAGCAGTTTCCCATCCAGATAATCGCCAAGTTTCCCAATTTGGGGTTCAAATACCTCTTTGCTGATAAAACCCTGAAGGTGACCAGAAGGTTTCAGCTTAGCTTGACGAGCCAGGATACCTACTTCAATATTCTCGAAGAGCTTAGAAGACTCGGGATACCCTTCAAGGATGTTCCGCTTGAGCCTCAACACGAATATCCTTCCCAGCACGAGTATCCCTCTCTGCAATATTATCCGCACGGGCCATACATGACGCAAACTTTTCCGAGTCAGAATGCGTTCCCATATAGTGGAATGGTACCCAGCCAACTCTATCAAGCCTCGCAGTCAGATGGGGGTTTTGGTCAAGCCCACCCGAGAACCTTCAATGAGTACCCCACACAGCCATCGCAGAATTTCAGCTACCATCACTACCCAAACCTTGAGCTACTACCCTTCCCCAAACCAAACCACGTACCGTATTCAAAGTCAAGTGGGCGTCGGTACAGCCATGAGGATTTATCTCAAAGAGCACGAACCACGGAATATAGCCAAGCCTATTCTGGTGAATCTTTACAGACGACACGCGATCGGTTTCCAAATCTACATAGACATGAGAGAGAGGCAAATGAGGGTTATTGTAGCAAGACTGTTAAAGGAGAAGTGTCCGTAACACCGGCACCTAACCCCACTGCGGGTGGTAAGGGCAGTGTTTCAAGTGCCTCTAAAGTGGGAACCCTCCTTGGTGATATCCACGAAATGGACGAAGATGCGCTAAAACAAACCATTGTGGCTGATCTCCAAGATGAAAAGTTTCTTGCTTTGTTAAGAGTGGTGGAGAGGGTGCTCTCTGCCGCCTCGGCCAGCTAGAGCTATGTGAGCCTGCATGTGTGCAGGTTAAATGTACCGCTGGTTTAAACCTGTGCAGCACATTCCGGCATCATGGTGTAAATATATGAGAAATATATAGATAAACATCATATGTAGATATTATATGTAGATATTATATTTAAAAATTATATATACCATTTGCATACACCGTATATATACACCATATATACTCTAGCTACATCTCTTAGACAGCATGAATATGGAAATACCGATTGATATATACCAGCTTGAATATTTATAAAAACTATATATCTAAATCTGACTATTCAGTCAATCAAAAACTTGATAAATCTACCAATATCTGGCAAATACAAATCTCGATAAAATTACACCCATCAATACAATTATATACCACGTAACTTATTTTCCTTCACCAGATATACCCAACACACCCCTTTCCCCTGCTGCATTATCCAAAGTCACGTATCCTGCATTTAGCACGCCCCCCGGAGCATACGTATGCATGCGATAGGAGATGTCGTAGAGGTTACGGCCAGGTTGCTCCCCAATCTTCGACGCGGAAATAACTCCAAAAAAAACAAAAAAACACGCTTTGCAATTAAGCTAATAAGACTATTAATAGGTATATTCAATATTATAAACGCTACACCTACCATCCACCATGTCTACCTCCGAATCCCCTGAAAACGCCACGGTTGTGGAGATTGACGACAGAGTCTTTATCAGAAACTTGGACTACCACGCCACGAACGAGCAATTGGAAGCCTACTTCCAGGAAAAGGGCTACCAGTTGACAAGCGCTGAAATCCCCAAAAAGGTCATCACCAGGGGCGAGAAGACCATTGAGCGTGCCTTGGGATTTGGGTTTGTGGACTTTGCTTCCAAAGAGGAGGCCGACAGAGCCGTCAGTGAGGTGGACGGGACAGAATTCAACGGCAGACCTATCTCCCTCAAGAAAGCGCATCCTAGAAAGGACCCGTCGGAGTTGCTCGAGAAAAAGACCAAGACCAAGGCCAAGAAGGCCCCTGTAGAAACCTTAGACCAGGAAGCTGCGCCAAAGAAAAAGACCAGATCCAGAAGGGCTAAGAAGCCAGTTGAGGAGGCATCAAAGCCCAAGAAAAAGGCTGTCAAGGTCCCTCTTTCTGAAGGCACCCCTTCAAAGGACACGGTCATCGTCACCAATTTGCCGTTCACCACATCGGTGGAAGACTTGGTGCCAGTGTTTTCGCTGTTTGAGACGTTGTTCATTCACGTTCCGGCGAAGCGTTTCCCTAGGCACGTCTTGGAGAAGATGAAGGAGGAGAATACGCCGGCCAGAAACAAGGGCTTTGCGTTTGTGAAGTTGGTGCACGAGGCTGACGTCAGCAAGTTGATCGAGCAGTTCAACGGGTTTGAGTTCGAGGAGAGAACGTTGGGGTTGGAGGTTGCGGTTGATAGGCTTCGGGAGACCGCCACTGAGGAGGTCCCAGTCGAGGCCTGAGAATGCGAGCTATCTAAGTCAGACTAGCATCTTAGGCTTAGCCCAGTAACCGAAGTTTAGCCAGTATTACATGCTATTAACCTTGTTTTTATATCAAAAGTCACCATTTCATTCAATCGTAGACCGTCTTATTGCTCTTGTGAGCTTTAGTACAAAAAAGTTCGAGCAACCGTTTGGCTATAGTACTATGGGCTTGGCAGCACTGTTGCCCAGTGATTTGGGCTGGGGTTTGGCGGGCGGAGCCGATGAGGACTCGCCTTTCAAAACGTCCAACGTGTGCGGTGTCAATGCTGGGGCCCCCGCATCGTTTCCCTCACGGCTCAACCGGTCATGAGAATACTGAAGCAAAGACACCAATTTCGTGTATGCAGCTGTGTAGTTCTGTAGCTTCTCAGCTAAACGTGCTAGTTGCTGGCTGACGTCGTCGTACAACCTCTGAGGAGTCGTGTCCGCTGAGAAGTTGGCAAACTTCCGCGTAAACAACGTCATTTCGTATCTGATAGTTGTGATCTGTATTGTTAGTATGTTCCAGGACTGAGCCAGCAGGGGTCGTCCCCATCTGGATAGTCGGGTACGAAATATCATACATACTTCATTTTTCAACGCCTCAATCTGCTGGGATAGCTTTTCGGTGTCTAGCTGGCCCGTCAAGAGGTTCTGTACGGTGTATTCGGGGAGTGTGGCCTCCCCGAGAGAGGACTGGAGTTCTGTGTTCATGAGAAGGTTGTGCTAATGTGGGAGGGGTAATTTGATTCGGTGTCGCGGGGTTATAGGCTAGGCTCGGGTGGTTGGACCAGGCTCGGGTGGTTGGGTTTATGGAGCAGTGTGGTTCACGTTTCGAAAATATGTATGGCGTCACTTTTTTTACGGGGCGCGTTGCGACACTTCATGTGCTTGTATGTAGGCTGCAAATTAACTCCGATCAACCAGAAATGTCGTAATGAATGTGATTTTTTGCCAATGATTTGTAAATTATAGTATATAAGAATGCAAAATTTCGTAGGTCAAAACACGGGTACAATATTAACCCGGTACAGCACGATATCAGTGACGACAAAATGTAAAACACGCTGAAACCAAGTGATGGGGGGTGTAACACTCGTATTATAAGTTGATACATTAAAGTGGGATATAACCACACATCTTTAGCCTATCTAGGCCTATATTCCTTTCCCAACTGCAAACTAATAAAGTGTGTAGCGTTTAGTTTTTTACTATCGGTTTCCTGGTCTATAATTTGGTTAAAATACAAAGAGTTACTAAATCCTTCCAGTTTACCCCGGAATGTATCAAATCACAGAAACCAGGAATACCCAAGTATAAACCAATATCTCGCAACACAGACATATCAATTTTTTTGACCTCTTATATTACTGCAGCTTGACCCATGTAACTTACTTCTTCACCAGTGGCCTGTCTTTGATAGTAACCAACTCGGGGTTACTCCCATGTACCCTCCAGTGGACCCCCACCAAGCTCAGTCCAGACCGATCCTTAATAAATTCCATCAATGCTCTCCATGCAATTGTATCATGTAGCATCTTCACAAGCTCGGCCATCGGTATCGTGAAGTATGCTTTAGTCACGACCAAGACGAAGTGCGTGAGCATGCGGTCAAACCCCATCCGCATCAACCGGTAGTTGTTCACATCGCTTTCGCTGGCCAAGCCTCGGAACCACGAGTCGTAGTCATCCGTGAAGTAGCTGTCCATGATGCGTCGAAGGGCTACGTCACGCCGGAGGAGATTGTCTTTCTTGCTGTGCTGGGTGTACACGTTCAACGCCGCCATGAAATCGTGGGTAGAGTGAACATAATGGAGAATGAGATACTTGGTGACCTCGTAGAATTCCATTTCTGTCAATACCGACCGGTCATCCTGATACCGTTTCATCAAGAAGTTAATGCTCGGGACGTAGGTCTGGTAGTGGCCCACGTTGATGGAAACACGCACCGAGAATAAAAAAACCCCCACGGAAAACGAATCCAATGTCTCGAGGTGAATCAACGCCTCTCGCAACTTCCGAAGCGACATGAGCACCCAGTCCATACTCTTTACATTGCCATCTGCCGATACAGGCGATATGGCGTAGCTTATCGCGTTACTGGAGCCACTTGCCGGGGCAGAACTGGACTCACTTAACCCGGCAGAGCTTGTACTTTCCAAGTCCGAAACGGAAGAAGGTGCCTCCTTTAAACACAATTTGGCAAATTCAGCCCTCACCCGCTCGAAGAACTCCACGCGTAGTTTGGAGCTGTTCTGCAAACGAGTATCTTCGCCTCTGCTGATCAAGCCGTAGTCTTCAGACTCTGGGGCTTTGGAGCTGGCAAAGCGCCAGGCCCTGGCGGCTAATTTGTCTCCCTCCACGGGCCTCACGTAGACATTGGGTTTTGGGGTATATTTCTCTGGGGTGCTGGAGTGGGTGTTTCTGGCGTTTGCCATGACCTGAGCCGGATCATTGCCCTTCGGTCGGCGCTGCGGTGGAACGTATTTTGACATGGGAATGCACTTTAATGAGATCCAGGAGCGGATACACAAGGTTGGGGTCGAGGAAACTTGCGCCGCTTCGCTTTCTGAGGCAACGATATGCACGAGCAAGTGCATAGGTTTTGGTTTTCAATCAGATTTGTGGCTGACAACCAGAAAGCTAGATATAGAATGTTACATTTCGATATCTAGCCTAGTCCGATTACAGATTGAGAATTTTTAACAGAGTTTCCAATAACCCGTTTCAATAATTAAATATACAAACTGATTTAGATAAGATTGAAAGGAGTTTAAGCCTTAACACCAGAGGCCTTGACTCTCTTGGCCTCCTTGGCCTGGGACTTGGCACCCAAGATACCACCACCCCAGTGTCTTCTGGCGTCTTCGTACTTTTCACCAAAGTTGGCGTTGACGGTAGAGACCAAGGTGGCCAATTCAGCTTCGTCTTCGGCTCTGACTTCGGTCAAAGCAGCGACAGAGGAAGTCTTCTTGTGGACCAAGGTCCCCAATCTAGCCTTACCCTTCACAATGGCGTATGGAACACCCATCTTTCTGCACAAAGCTGGCAAGAAGATGACCAACTCAATTGGGTCAACGTCGTTGGCAATCAAAACCAACTTGGCCTTCTTGTTTTCAATCAAGGCGACAACGTGGTTCAAACCGTACTTGATAGCGTATGGCTTGGCGGAGACATCCTTGGCGGTCTTACCGTCAGCGATGGCAGCGGCCTCCTTGGTCAATCTTTCCTTCTTTTCGGCAGAGGTCTCTGGTCTGTACTTGTTGAACAACTTGAAGGTCTGGGCAGCAGAGTTTCTGTCCAAGGTAGACTGGAACTGGGAGATGGCTGGAGGAACCTTCAATCTCAAGGACAAAATCTTCTTTTGTCTCTGCAATCTAACGTATTCTGGCCACTTGACGAATCTGGACAAGTTTCTCTTTGGCTGGACGGCCTGGCCGATACCAAAGTTTCTTGGGGTGGATTCAGTCAAAGGGTTCTTCTTAGAAGAGCCCTTGCTGGACTTGACAGCCAATGGAGCTGGAGCAACCTTCTTACCTGGAGCCATTATGTATGATTTGGTACGAAACTAACGAATGTGTAGTGACAAAAATCGATTTTTAATCAGCGGCACGTTTTTTTCATCCGCCCATACTAAGCTCACTGCATGTTACGGGCGAAAAACTTTCCACTCCCGGAGGAGGGGGGATAGTAGGGTGCCAGTTACTATGGTGGAAAAAGCAACGTGACTATCGGTAGCCAGACGACCATTGCATCAAGAGAGAGAGAGAGAGAGCCATATTGTCCTGTACGTAGGCATTGGGATCGTTTCTTGCGAAAAGGAGAGGCAGCTGTGACTGTGAAAAATATGCACGTGACTTTAATCAGGGCTTGGAAAGTGCAGCGAGGGTTGAATGGGCACAGTGCGGCTTCAGGCGATGAACCGCTAGATAGGCCATAGTTGACTTGCGTCAGAGATGTTACCTCTTGTGTTTAGACTTGTTCAGCATGCGCCCCAGCTGTCAAGACGCCACCCCTGGAGCTTAGCCTCGCTGGTATTCCTGTCAACGAGATATCTATCCTATTAGTTCGCCATATATGTGGTTGAAATAGGCGATAGTGTACGAAGTGTCGATTATGCCCTTGTAGGGGTAGCGTGGTTCATGCCACAAGCAGTCGCTGGGGGGGTTACTACGATACGCGCCATTCAATTACCAAAAGACAGCTTGTGTGACCAGTTGAGCTCTGTACCGTAAACTAAGCCGTATCAAGGACTACAAACGTAAAGTGAGCAAATAACCTCTTGTTATCCCCAGGGTTTTATTTACCTCATACGCCATTAAACGATATCACCCAACTGCAATGTCCACCATGTAGCATCGACGTGCGACATTTTCGATGTCGTAATTTGATTATATGCATGACCTGCAAGTTACTAGCCATGCCAGCCGAGCCTGTTTGACACACAGATTATGCTTAAATCTTAGACATTTATTCGATATATAAACCAAACCTTCTGACCCAGCCGTGACCAAAGGCTTTTGAAAACAGGAATCTACTTAAACCTTAAACGCACTCAAATCTATGGGTCTATGCCAATCTTTCGGGCATTTTCATCATCAAAACAACCAAGGATGTCCACCCGTGGAAGTGCTTCACACGCTGGGCATCCCCGTTTTCCTCGTTGTAGTTTTCAAAGCCGTAGCCCGTTTTCTCCCACTGGTTGTAGACATTCGTAACTAAATTCACTCTCAATTCGTAGTACACGGTCCGCAAGAGCTCTCTCACGTCCGCTTCCAAGTACGGCTGGACCGACTCCAGGTCGTGGTAGTACCGCAAGCTGTCCAACACCATGTAGTTGATGTTCATCCAGATAGGGGATCTCCAGTAGTCCTCGCCCGTCTTGAACATCTTGTCAGACTTGGAAAGAGAGCGGATGCCATAGGGAGACCACAACTCCTCAGGGTTGTGGATCATCTCCAACACGTGCTTCAACTTGTGGTTCAAGACCTTGCTTTCGGGAATGAGTCTGGTCAAGAAGGGAAAGAGCGAAATGTAGCCTTTGTGGCACACATGGATGTTTTCGTCGTCGTCGTCTACAGACATGTCGCAGTACGTCTTTTCCTCCTCTGACCAGTGCAACTTGTCGATGTTGGAAACAATGTGCTGCTCGATCAACGTGTACTTTGCCACATCCTTCTGCTTCTGCAACAACTGAGCCATATACTTCATGGATCTGGTCATGATTCCGATCCAGGAGATCAAATCAACGTTGAGTTCCGCAATATCCGCAGGCAAGGCTCTTGGATAGTCATCCAAACCACTTGGCAAGCAATGGGTATCGGTGCGGCCGACCCAGCGGTACACATCGTCGTTGTCATCGTCATCGATGATCTCTTCGCGGTCGAAGTCGTCGGAAATACCACGCTGGGTGCGACGGAACCATTCGTAGTGTTTCTGCAACTTCGGATAGATGTCTTCCACGTAGGAAACCAACAACTCCGGGTAATGGACGTGCGCCTCGGACAACTGGTCGAGCAGGATGGTGTTGTTAATGGCTTGGTAGTCTACCGTTGTACCATCCCATTTGGGACTCTCACCCGCACTGAGCACTTTCTCCAACAAAGACGTGAAGCAGAGCATCATGGTGGGAGGGTTGGCGATGTTGGGATTCTGCACCTGGAACTCAACCGGAACCTTGGAGCGCGACTCGGTGCCCAAAATCTGTTCCCTCGCAATCCAGCCGTCAGAATCAATGAGCCCAAACCAGGACTTTAATATATCCAAGGTTAAGTCGATGTCATACTCGAGAATCGGCAACAAATGGAACCCCTCGTCCCAGTAGAAGCCTCGCGGGAAGAAGGTTCGTGACGGGACGGCGGTGAACAACAGGAACGGGCCCTCCTTTTCCGGGTATTTGAGCTCAACGTTGTTGAACGACTCCTGGTCAAAAACGGTAGTGCGGTCCACTAAGTGGTCGCCGTGGAAGTAACTGATACCCCCGATCAAGTTGGAGAAGAATTCTTGCGCAAACTTCCAGTGTTTCTTGGTGGTGAACGGTGCCTGGAGCGTGAACACGTCCTTGAATTTGCGGTCAACCTTGGTCAACACATCAAAGACCCGCTTTCCGAGATTTTCAAAAGTGATTTGGTCCAACGTCTCAACGACGTTGAATAAAATGTCAAAGGTGAACTCTCCTTCAAACGTCTTTTGGATAAAATGGAGGTTCCCTTCGAACCCATTGGAGTTTGACAAAGCAAACAACTGGTCGGGCGGGGTTTCCTGGTACAAATCTGGAAACAACTCCTGCAACTTCTCCACATTATCCTTGATCATCTCCCACATGATGTCCTTCGCCTGCCAGATACTCTCGCCTGGGAAATTTAAGGACAAATGGTGGGTCTTGGCCGGATCCATTTCCCGGGAAACCACCTTCTGATAGTGGGGTTTTTTGTTTGTCGGTGGGTCGTTCACCGCGATTGTAAACTTCCCTCCCAAGGCTTCCGAATACCCCTTGAGTTCCACCACCTCGCCCAACTCGTAGCCGATATTCTTCACAGGGCTCTTTAATTCAAGGTAGTTTTCGATTTGGGAGATCCCATACTGGTTGAGCCCCATCTTATCGGCATCAAACACCTCCATGCCCGAGTAGAACACCACCGACGTCTTTACCTTTTCATAGCCTTTCTTAGGGGTACCCTTGACCCTCAACGCCCAGTTTTTACCGTCTTTGGACTTGACAAAGTCCACCACAAGCACGATCTTGCACTCCTTCTCGTCGTGGATCACCTCCCGGCCGCCGTATCGCGGGTCGTACTTCACCCAGCCAAACCCCTTGCCGAGGTTGTCTCCCTGGTCGCAGAAGTGTCTTGTGTTACTCAACCCCACCACGGTGTCTGCATTGTACCACATAAGCCCCGAAAGCAATGTTTCTGGAACCCGCGGCCTGATGCCGACGTAGGCATTGGATCTGTAGGCGCCCCAGAGCAAGGACTGGTCGGAAAGCTTTTCGTACTGGTGGCTAGTCGACTCACTGACCACAAGGCATAGCGAGATCCACCATATAGCGTAGAAGGGAAGTAATTGCATCTTTGGCAGCAATTCGAGTGGGAGGAGACGGTGCTCTTACTGGCTTGATTTGTTGTCCTCTAGCTGATGGTGCAGGATATGTAGGGCAGGTCCCAAAACATACAGGGTGGGTAGGTCTCTCTGCACAACTATTGCAAGTATTATACATTTATCGCAAATTATAATTTCCGGTGAAACCGTCTACAGCTTTATTGGTGCTAAACTTTTTTTAGATGATATGAGAAAATTCAAGCAAGCAGCAATGTAACCTAATAAATAGAATGAATGAACAATAAAAACAAGGTGCGGAGGAACCGATAGAAGGGCAGGGGCCTTCGGCAGACTCTGCCACGATAAATACAAAGGCACGTCTATGGGGGAAATCTATACCAGAGCCTCGTTACGGTGGACCGGGGCGCAGGATGTCCGGGCACGGAGAAGGTGAATGGAATGGCTTCAGCTGATTACTTCAACTTGGAAAACAATCTTGGAGTGAGACAGTCGTTAAGACAGTGCTGCAAATGGAAAAACTCTTCGACACAGTCTTCCTTGTGGTGCTTGTCCTCGTAACCTTCTTCTTGCTGTTCGGCGGTGACCCTCTCGATGCACTCGTGGTAGTGGTGGACATATGGCTTGCATGCCGCGGTCTTGGAGCATTCTGCGGGGAGTTAGTACTGTGATTGGAATGGATATCTGGTGTGCCAAACGCGGAGACTCCACCAACTCGGGTGACTAGTATCCAGGAATCATATCGTGCGACATTCTAGCTATACATACCGTCTCTCAAGACATCCATTGGGTCCTTTTCTTCATCGTCATCGTCCTCTTCCTCCTCTTCCTCCTCTTCGACTTCTTCGACTTCTTCAATTTCTTCAACCTCTTCAACAGGTTCTTCAGCGTAGGCAGCTGGGATAACGGCTTCGATCAAGTCGGTCAAGGAAAACATGTTTGGGTGCTAGATAGTATGGGGTGAGCAGAGCGCGACTTTTCAGGTCCTTTAGTATGTATAAAATTACCTGTATGCAATTGGAAATCACGAAAAGTGCAGCCGATTATTGGCCAAGCTCTTCATTTCGGGGATTACCCGCACGCAGGATGTGCGGCGCACGACCTACCAGTTGCCATACACAACACACGCGGCTATGAGGACCAACACGAGGGGCGATTTATATATTTACGCGAGGAGTGATTTATATACTTGCGCGGCAACTTGCCCATTCTCCCCGTTTTTACACAAGGAGGTCGATTGGGCGATTATCCGATTAAAGGGGTGATTTCGTCGGTTTCGATGGGCTTGGTGATGGAAAACCAGACACACAAGCTAAGTAAAACCGCTTGGAGCGAGGCGGCTGCAAGATACGGCAACCAGGTGGACCACACCGAGCCCGGCCTGAGGATCATTGTTGTAGCCCATAGAAACCCTCCCGGAGTTTGAATCAACATCATGTTCATGCTCAAGCTCCCCGCGTGCTTCAACCGCCACGTGGTGTAGATCTGCGGAAAGTACTGGATGGAGGCGAGTACCGTGGCGAACAAGCCCTGGAAGTTTGCCACAGGAGTCACCAAGCCTGGGGCCCACACCAACGGGTAGATGACGAAAATCGCTGAGACGAGCAAGTACGCCGAGCATACCCTGTAGATGGACACAAGCTTGGCGTATTCCGCCAGCATCTGGAACGGCGAACCCCGCGTAAAGTGCACACAGAGCACGAGAATCAACGCCGCCGCTGTGGCCTGCGCCGCTACCTGAATTAGACCCAACTGCGAGTTGGCACAATCAAACCACGAGAGGCTAGAACAGCAGTCGCGCAGCATCTGAGTGAGCATCACCACGTTCAGCAAGGCACTAAAGCCGGACATGGTGCCGAGCAAGAGGAAGAACGGTGAGATGCCCTCCGATGTCTGCCGCTGGTAGATACGCACGTGTTGTGGGACGTATGAGAGGAAGATCCCCACAGCAAGGAGGGATGAGATGGTGAATGAGAGGAGAGACGAGTCTCTATAGATTAGGCAGGTGGGGTCGGGAGTCATTGGTGAGGGTGGGAGGTTTGGAGAGGGGAAGCGATTGTGTGCGAGTTGATATGTCATGCAGGTTGTGCGTTTAGGGTTTGCACGCCGCTCCTCTCGCAAAAGGAGAAGGGAGGATTAAAAGAGGAGGTAATGATCCAAGGGTGGGAAATTCAAATGGAAGATAGAGTTTTGGGTGAAAAGAAGCGAATGGGGGTGAGAGGAGCCCCTGACCTGTAAACGTCGGTGCAGCCCACTGAGGGAAAGTTCGGTTGCGGGTTTCTGTAGCCCACATGAAATCTAGCCTACAAAATTGGCTTTAGGAGCATTGGTATTATTTCTGGTCCTCGTTACTTTGAAAAGTTGTTTTTGCAAGTGCTGTCTTGTAACCACTAGAATATTTTCAGAACTCGCCATGGCTTTTCCGGCTGGGACTGACCTTGAAACATTACATGATATATTCCATGTAGTTCGATAGGAGGCTATTGTGAAGCATGCACCTTTGATCCAATCGGAGAATGCTTCTGTATTTCGTCATAAAAATACCGATTGAAAGCTCTACAGCAGGTTAATAAAATGCGGTAAATTCCATAACCATAGCCTCCCATTTAGATCTGCGTAGGGCGAGATTTAACCCATGTTCTCACAACCAACCCATCATCCAATATCGTTGAATGCTGCACCAAAGTGTATCCTCCGAGATAAGGCAACACCTTAAACTGGACTGCCCAATACAGACTATACAACCCGATCAAAAGTACTCCCACCAATGCATAGTGCGGAAACTTTCCCTCGGGGAAAACCGGTCCTTTAAACACCTCGGCTAAGGGGGTCACCACTAAGAACAAGGAAATTCCAACAATATAGAGGGTCCCCACCACCGAAGCTCGGATCGGGGCCCTGAGCGCAGGGTATCTCGATCTGATGATAAAAATTCCACCGGCCACGAGAAGGACACCCACTTGGTTCAAGTACCCCTCCAACGTCACGATATAGTCGTACAAGCTACCTTCAGACTTTGGCAACCCCAACAAGATTACCACGGAAATGATAAGGCTGAGCAAAAGAGCCGGCAAGGGCGCCTTGTGCGGCCAGTTGGATGCCATGAACCGCGAGAACGGGAGGAATCCCTCTCTGAAGATCTCCTGCGACATCCTAGATACACTGTACAACACCACAAACACGTTTCCCCCGGCACACACGGCAATCGCGACCGTGAGGAACCGCTTTCCGACGGTGTACCCGAAAATCTTCTCAAACAAGATCGAGCCCACAAGCTGGCCCGAAGACAAGATCTCGTCGGACGGAATGATGATGAGGTACGCCATGTTGATCAAAAAGTAGGATACCGTAATGACAAGAAGCGACACGGGACCAGCGATCCGGAAGGTCCGCACGGGGTTGGCAATTTCCGAAGACACGTGGTGGACCGCGTTCCACCCGGAAAACGAATACAGGGCCTTGATGATGGCGGAGCACACCGAGGAGACGCTCACCGGCTGCTTTAACTTCACTAGACTCTCGTAGGTCCATTCCAAGTTGTACTGGAAGTGTGATGGCACCAAGAGAATGCCCAAACCGATGAGGATCATCACAAAGAGAAGGGAGAGCTTCAAGAAGCCGAGTACGTTTTGCACCAAAACCCCGCTTCGCGCCGAGGTACCGTGGATGAGACCGACTGTAATCGTCAACACTGAGGCAATGAGTCTAGCTTTCAGCTCATCTGGCACGTAGGCGGTGGAACCAGAGTTCTGGACGGCATACAAGCAGTATTCGCCAAACACCAAGGAGTTGGTGACTGCAAACCCGAACATGAGCGAGTAGAGCGAGAAAACCACTGTGGCAAACATCTTGGGTCTCCTATAGATGATCTCAAGGAAGACTTTTGTCCCACCCGACCGGGGAATGATCGAGCCGAGCTCTAGGAAGACGTAGAGACCGCTATACGCAATGAGCCCCGCCATAAGCCATACAAAGCCAAACAACGCGGGGGAGCCGCCGACATCCTTGTAGATAAAGGCGGGGGTAGCAAAGATTCCGCTGCCGAGGATTCGCGAGATAAAAAGCACAATGGTTGAAAAAACCCCGAGGTGTCTGCCGTGGGGCACCTCGATCATGTCAAGTTGGTCGTCGAGCCCGGTTTCATGGAGAATGGCCGTTGGCACCGCTAGCGCTGGGAAGTCGTCCAGAAGGAGTAGATGGGAGGAGCTGCTGGACTCACAGTCTGTTTCTGACACCGAAACGGGGTGCTTCGTCTTTGATTCGTCGGTGCTCATTGTCATAACACAATTAATTAGACCGGGAGGGATTGAGAAATTCTGGGTTATATGACCTGGATGTGAGAAGAAAAAAAGTTGCGTGGGTGAAAGAGCTATCACAGGGATGGTGGATTATTAGTAGAGGTGGGTCGGTGTCGCTGCGAGGGAGATAAGCTTAAGCCGCGCGCGCATGAGGCGATCTGCAGCTCCACAGTTCACAGTGGTTACTGTCAGAAATCTGTGGCTAATACGTCAACAGAGTTTGATATGCGTGGGTTTGCGCGGAGCATTTGTAATCACACCGTGCCACCAGGACAACTAAATGGAGGAAAAAAGCTTTACAAGACTGGTAATGGATCGCGAGGAAGAAACAATTCTTATGTAGTAAATAGAGCAAACAATAGCTTACCGCTTACGGGGCTACCATGTTAGTATATAACAAACCAGTCAGTTTCCTGTACATCTAATAGGCAAAGGCGCTAAAAAGTGCAATAAAAGAGAAATTATTCAATCGAGTGGAGTCTACAAGTTACAAACCGGACATATGACGGGCGTGAAAATTCACGCCATAGAAACCTAGCTTGTCCATAGACAGCAATCACCTTCTACAGGTCTCGGCAAAAAAAGGGTAACGGTTAAATAAAGGCCAAAAACGACAAGAGAAATTAAAAAGTGCGAGAAGAGAAAAAAAAAACAGACACGAAGAAAACACTAGTCTATACCAGGAGTTGAGACGAGCCTAACGATCAGTGGAGTAGTGGCTCGTAGAGTACCCAAGACATCGGTGGCTCTTCCTATTTGTAGGTGGGTATATATGACAGTCGCTTACTCCATGTCTTCAAGCGGAGCCTCATCGGCGTAGTCCAACTCCTCTTCATCGTCCACACCGGCTTCCTGGTACTGTTGGTACTCACTAACCAAATCGTTCATATTGGACTCGGCTTCGGTGAATTCCATCTCGTCCATACCCTCAGAGGTGTACCAATGCAAGAAAGCCTTTCTTCTGAACATGGCGCTGAACTGGTCACCGACACGCTTAAACAACTCTTGGATAGAAGTGGAGTTACCAATAAAGGTGGCAGACATGTCTAAGCCCTTTGGCGGAACGGAACAGACGGCGGTTTGCACGTTGTTTGGAATCCACTCGACAAAGTAGGCGGAGTTTCTGGTCTGGACCTTGTGCATCTCGTCCTCAACCTCTCTGACCGAAACGTTACCACGGAAAAAGGCGGCAACGGTCAAGTAGCGCCCGTTACGTGGGTCGGCGGCAGCCATCATGTTCTTGGCGTCAAACATCTGCTGGGTCAACTCTGGGACCGTCAAGGAGCGGAACGACTGGGAGCCTAAGGAGGTCAATGGAGCGTAGCCCACCATGAAGAAGTGAAGACGTGGGAATGGCACCAAGTTGACAGCCAACTTTCTCAAGTCAGAGTTCAATTGGCCAGGGTAACGCAAGGAGGTGGTGACACCAGACATGACAGACGAAACCAAGTGGTTCAACTGGTCGAAGCTTGGCTGATCCAACTTCAAGGTCTTCAGGCAGATGTCGTACAAGGCTTCGTTGTCGATACAGAAGGTTTCGTCCGCATTTTCAACCAATTGGTGGACAGACAAGGTGGCGTTGTACGGTTCCACAACAGCATCAGAGACCTTTGGCGATGGAACAACGGAGAAGGTGGCCATCATTCTGTCTGGGAACTCCTCTCTGATCTTGGAGATCAACAAGGTACCCATGCCGGAACCGGTACCACCACCCAAGGAGTGGGTGATTTGGAAGCCCTGCAAGGAGTCACAGCCTTCGGCTTCTCTTCTGACAACGTCCATGACGGAATCCACCAACTCGGCACCTTCGGTGTAGTGGCCCTTGGCCCAAACATTACCGGCGGAGGACTGGCCGAACACGAAGTTGTCTGGTCTGAACAAGTTACCGATGGTGGAGGCCTTGACAGAGTCGATAGCGCCTGGCTCCAAATCGACCATAACGGCACGCGGAACGTACTTACCAGAGTTGGCCTCGTTAAAGTAGACACTCAAACGGGACTTTTGGATCTCCTGGTCACCGTGGTAGTTACCGTCGTTGTCGAGACCGTGCTCTCCACAGATGGTTTGCCAGAAAGCAGCACCCTGGGGGGGGGGATGTTAGTATTGAATGTCACACAGACGAGAAACGACTATGAAAGGCCAGCAGCAAAATCATGCGTGATCAAAGGAAAGGGCCCTTTTCGGTCTTCGTGTCATTTCCCGGGATGCCGATTTTTATGGCATCATTTCAAGTAATACGTACAATTTGGTTACCACATTGGCCGGTAGACAAATGGATCTAGAGGTGTTAGTATCAGACACGCGACGGCGCTCCCTATAGGGGTAGGGGACGCCACTCAATGGCAAATATCGGGACACGTACAATTTCTCTCATTGCGATATAATAGTTTTGATTAAGGAGGGTAGAACGGGTAGTTGCGGGTTTGGTCCTATGTATCGTACGCTTGTCTGTTTTGCTGGCGTTAAAAATCAAATGCGAGATGTTTTGTTTTGAGATCTGTATTTGGCTCTGCCGGGTAACCGCGAAATATCCCATTTTGCAGGCACCTACATGAGTGTTTACATTTCGCCTCGAGATGCGGCTTCGTGCCCCAACCGTGTTCCATGGCAGATCTCCTCCGGTCACATGTGGCAACACGTGCCTGGAGATCCTTGGCCACGTGCCGCACTCCACGCGCGTATTTCCGTTCATGCATAAGACAGCGGCCTGTCTACCAAGACTACCCCTACCATTTTTTCACCGTACAATGGTGTGGATAGACTCATCGCCGTCCACAGTGCAATTGCCGCAGCTATACGCCAAAGCAGCCAGTCCCAAAGACGCCCCTGAAACGGCCCCTTCAGATGAACGCGAGGAGCTTGTGGAAGAGGCGCCGCTAAACGCCAGCGAAGTCATCCTCTCTGTCGCAGACTTGGGAAAAGATAACATCGGTGTCCTCACCAAACGATCGGTATACCTCTACCAGAAAGACCCGTTGGTCTGTGTTTCTGCCCACGTGCGCAGCGACGATTCCATCGCTCACCACGGCTACAACGTGGCGGCCAAGCCGATATCGGCCACACGGTTCCTTGTCTCCACGTCCGAATCGTATTTACTCGTGTACCAGACGGTGGCTCTGTCCAACCACAACCAGCCAGATGCGTTGCTCGTGTACAGTGGCACCAACTTGATCCAGACGGGATACCCTCTCCACGACGAGCACTCAGGCTGGTTCGGGATTATCCCCGACCACCACGAGCGGACGCTCTTGTCCAAATACATTGTGTTGCAGCGGGCCTTGAAGGTGGGAATGGGAATCGACGCGTTCTGGGGTAACGACGACACGATTGTGCTTGTAAAATACGCCGCGAGCATGCTTCAGGTTGTGAACCTGAAGGACAAGACACTCAACGCTAAGATTGCCATTGATTCATTGGCGTGGTACATATCCGCTGGGATTGCCCAGATTGTTGCAGAGTCACTAGACGGCTTTTTTCTCCTCTCCACGGAGGGTGACTTGTACCACACGAACCTTGCCATGTCCGGGGTCAAGATTGGCCATCTTTCGTGCTTGGGCTCAGATCCCCCGGTGATGACCTACAACAGCCGAAATGAGGTGCTATTGGTGGCCCACGGAGGACGAGTGGAGTTTATCCGTTATGAAAAGAGCGACCAGACCGCCACCCACATCGCCACGTTTGATTGCAACAGGACCAGCCCTTTGACCATATCCGCGACAGTCCAGTCTGTGGGTATCTCCCCGAATGGTGAAACCTGCGCAGTGCACCTATCCAATGGCCACTGGCTTTTGACCTCCAAGTTCGGCCTTGTCTGCTACGACTCCGCTGAAGCCGAGGAGACCGTCACGGGTTTGCACTTCCTAGACGACTTCACGCTCATGACCATCGGTGCGGGTATTTCAGTGTTTCCGTTACGCCAGTTCGAGTCATCTTCAGTCAAAACCGTCTGTTCAAACTTGCGCACCACCGTGTCCAGCCCGATGCTCTTCCGCTCGCGCAACCGCTTCGTTATCGTCTACAGCTTTAGGGAAGAGTTGTCCAAATCGGTCAGAATCCCTGAATGCTTTTTAAAGAACCCTGTGTTTGAAACGAAGCTCAGCACCGACGGATTAAAGCTCTTTATCTCCTCTGGCAGCCAAATGATGATGTATTCCATGGTGCAGAAGAAGTGGTATACGTACAAACAGGACTATCTAGCAGCTCTCAACATTGTGGGAATGGACACTTTTCATAAGTTCTACCTCGTTCTCCTCCACCGCAAGGCCAAGGGCGACGAGCTTATCATTTTTAATGTGAAACCGCTCTTCTTGGGCCCCAAACACCCAGAGTTTAAGGACGAGTTCAGCTCAGAGTTGGTGGTCTGGCGATACGATCTTCCATCCCCACTGGTCAGCTTCCACCTCTCCAGCAAGGAGTTGAGCGTTGTTTTGCGGAACAACTTGGTTTACAACTTCAAGCTCGAGATCGCCTACCCCGAGAAGGACCACTTGAAGGTGTCCAACAACCAGCAATTGGTTATACGTAACAACAAGATCCTGAAACCACATCCGTCGGTGGTGGACTTTGCATCCGTTCCCATCTCGGCTTTCCTTCCAACCGATACTGATAAAACCACGTTTGTGTTTTTAAGTCGTGGCAAGCTCTATCTGTTGCGCCAGGCGGCTGGCCCTGAGATCCGTTTTGACTTGAAAGTGCTCAAGGATGGGGTCGAGTCGCTTCAGTTGCACAACCTGACGGGCAGCATGGTGTCGTTTTTAGCCCACGATGGGTGGCATATCCTCACTCTGGAGCAATCCGTGCCATTGATCATTCCGGTCGAGGACCATTATCCGCTCTTTTTCTCCGCCCAGGATTACAGCTTGCACTACTATGCCACAAGTGCCTTCCATCTCGCCGTGCGAGACCTGGACGAGCATAAGATGATGGTGCTTAACCGGTTTTCTAAGCAGTTGTTGTTGGGCTTTGTTATTGACTGGCACATTGACCAGGAGTTGAGGGAGGATAAGCCTGGAAACGAGAAAGCTGTTTTACTGGATATACCCGGAGACGAGAAAGCTGTTTCGAAGTTGGATCAAATCCTCACAACTTACAGGGGCAGCTCACGCTTGAAGGTGGCGTTTGAGATCCTCTTGGTCAAGTACATTTCGTCTCTTAAGGAGATGCAACCACGAATCCCCAAGCTAATTTCCATCATGAACCGGTATTTGAGCAGGCTTCAGTACTACGAGATTACGATTGATGGGTTGCGGAAGCTCGAGGTCACCCATGAGGCTCCGGGAAAGTCGGGAAAGTTGACGTATAAGCGGTTTTTCGGATTCTTTTTCGACGCGAAAACGCCATCGGAGGTGCTAGCCGATTTAGTGGCACAGTATGAGAGCTATGGGTCCAACGACCAGTACAAGGTGCTCATCACTTACTTCATGATCTATCTCAACTATGAGAAGGACCTCAAGGACGAAAAAGACGGCCACTCCGAGGACTTTGTGCTGTTCTCCGTCACTGACCACCGTTCGTTGCAGACTATCTGGAACAAAATCGTGTCTAACCGGGACTGGGAGAGCGGGCTTGAGTTTATCATGTGGTTGAAAAAGATTGTTTCCCAGCCCGATGACAAGCAGTTTTTGGCCACTTTGATCGCTCAGGTTGAGGGATTGCAGGTATAGAAGCGTGGTTTACGTACATACGTAATTGAAAAAGCATTAGTGTAGTATGTGTCCGATTGCACGGGTAAGAGCAGTTGGGTAATTTAAATTTCCTGAATACTGGCATTTAAACCGGGTCGGATGTACAATGTGGCATGAATTACCCGCAACCTTCCTCTGTTGTTGGGACTTGGCTAATTTCAAGGGCTGTGCCTTCACATACAATGATTGGAACTCGAAATGTAAAACCTGATGCAAGTTGTATAATAAAAGTTTAGCGTGAAACTGTCAGCTTAGCCACTTAAACTACGATCAATAATTTTCAATCGGAGTCGAAAAATCACCTTTATAAGAGTCGCAGTTTTCTAACAATATCTGGCGTTGAGACCAGTCTCACCAACATTATGATCCAGGGATATTATATCATTGCCAATAGTACGTGAGTCTTGTCTTGCCTATGTGCAGAGGTAGCGTCGCTAAGGTTGCACCTGCTCGAACAGCTCGTGCATTTTGGGACCCATCCAACCACATCTCGCCGTTTGAAAATGTGACTATATTGAAGCATGCACCAAATTAAGCGCCGTAGCGAAGTGATCCAACAGAGACAATCTACCTAAAATGACTTTAGCCACCGCCTTTGCTGAAACAACCAGAAGATCCGTCACTGATGCGGAGTTGAGAAGCCGCACTTTGTCGTTGTATCGCAAGTACATCAGACACGCTCCAGACTTTGTCAACATGTACACGCTCCACGTGCCAACCTCTGTGGTCAGAGCCAAGATCAGACACCAGTTTGAGAGGCAGAGATACATCGAGGACCTTGGTGTCAAGAACATTGCCTACATGAAGGGCCAAATGGAGTTCCAAGAAACCATCAACTTCTGGAAGCAAAAGGCGCACATCATGGTCTACTTCAAGGACACCGAGGATTTTGGTTACCCACACGACGATGGCTTTGTCACCAAGTTCTTGAGAGGTAAGGACTAGTCATCTCCCACATCCTGCCCCACCTACTGGGGAATGCATCATATCACACTGCCCCTTGGCAATTCGGCCGGCTCCGGCCCCACATTCTATTTATTGGTTTCTATTACATTTCTCTGTTAACTCTCTGTAGGTGGAATAACTCGAACTAATTGTGCTACGGTCTTTGCGATCGCCAAACCAAATGATTCTATGGGTTTTAGTGCCATTAAGTAATGATATTGGGGGTGTATATGTTAATAGGAGGCAGTTGGCCCACAGCTCTTGACGACTTGGCCAAGCACCATTTCAAATTCAAACTATACGTGAGGAATTAGTCCGTAAGCAGAGCATCGCGGGTTCTCACGTATAGCTGCTATCTAGGCGGCTTACGAATGTATCCGACACCTTTGAGCCTATATAATATAATATTGGATAACTCGGATAGTCCATCAATACCCGTCAAACAACGAACCAACCTCCTCCAAGTCCACTCCCTTGGTCTCTGGAAAGTACCGAAATACCACCACAGCACTGACGAGACAGCACACCCCGGGGATTAAATAAAGCCTCCAGCTAATGGTTTCCTGAAGAATCGGTGTCATCTGGCCGACAATAAAGTTGAACAACCAGTTGCATGCGGTAGACAAGCTCACACCCTTGGCTCTAATGCTCAAGGGATAGATCTCCGCGGGATACAACCATCCAATGGGACCCCACGAGTACCCAAACGCGGCGTTGTAGACCACTACGAGAAGGGCCACGAACGTGGGGGTAGATTTTCCTCCCATCCACATTGCGAGAGAGATAAGAAAGAGGCACGTTCCCATGGTGAGGGCGCCGGAAATGAAGATCGGGCGCCGGCCCCACCTGTCAACCAAAAACCACGGCGGGATCGTGGATGCGAGGTAGACAAGAGCGTTGACTCCGGCCATAAAAAGGGCGTCATTGCCTTTGAAGCCGGCCTCCGCAAAGACTAATGGGGCGTAATATGAGATAATATTAATCCCGTTCAACTGCGCCAACAGAAGGGCCGAACAGCCAACCACAAGGCGTCTAAAGTGAGTACGAAACATGGCACGGTAGGAACGCTGTTCGGGTGGGGAGAGAGTCTGTTCCCTTAGAATAGCTTCCTTGATGGAATGGAATTCCCTTTCAGCGGTTTCCGGCGAATCGGCATACAACAAGCGCAAAACCAGGTACCCATGGGCGTCGTTTTTCCCGATCAACCATCTGGGAGACTCAACGATGAAAAACGCCCCCGCAAACAAGAGTAGTCCCAAAACACACTGGATAAACAAGGGCACCCTCCAAACCAAGTTGCTGTTTTGGTTGATAAAAGTACAGCTGTAGTCTATCCACACCGAGGCAGCATAGCCACAGATGTTGCCCGTGAATTCCACACAGGCTAAGCGTCCTCTCGCGTGGGAAGGACTGATCTCCGATTGGTAGAGCGGAATCACAGACGACAAAAGTCCCACCCCAAGGCCAGAAACCACACGGCCGAGGACCAACAGAAGAATGGAGCGGCCAGTAAATGTCTGAACAGCCCCGCCCGCGATGAAAACCCCTGCGCCAAGGAGAATCGTTCGCTTGCGACCCCAGCGGTCCGCCATGTATCCCACGGTGAGCGACAGGATAAGCGCACCGAGCTCTAACACAGACACTACCATTCCGATCTGGGCACTGGAGGGATGGCGGAAGTACTTTTGGAAGGCGGGAAACGTGATGATTCCGGAGTAAACCCCTTGGTCATAGCCAAAGAGGAACACACCCAAGCTCACAAAGACGGATGTGAAGTAGAGAAGTCTCGCCCCACCGAGCTTTCCCGAGGAGTTTAATGTTGTGCTGTACGGAAGACCCGCAGTCGGTTGAGGATGAGAGGCTGCGCTGCTTTTCAAAGCATCAAGGGGTTCGGAGTAGTCGGGAGGTGCAGCGTCTGGGGGTGTCTGGGGGTACAAAAAGGCTTCATTTAAAGGGTCGTACTCGTTTAGCTGGATGTCTTCTGGGTAATCGTAAGCCCCGTTGTGTAATACCATCATATACAGATGAACCCTAGCTTGGACTTGGGAAGATTGATTTATAGCACACGGTGTTGTCGCTTGTTAAAAAAAAATAAAAAATAGAATTCAAACAAAGCACAATCTCAATGCCAGATATAATATGCTTTATATTTACGTCTGGCATGGAGGATTTGGTAATCCGTTATTTACTCTCAGAAGATGAACTGAGGGTTTAGAGTCTCGAGAACGGACGCTGTAGCCTACGTCATTATACAGACGCGTTTCAACGTAAAGGACTTGTTATTTCGCGAATTATCTCCCATACAATTGAGCATTTATTCGAACGACCCATCCTATCTCCATTAATGATCTTATGTCTCTCTGGGTGTAGTGGCATATTCACGTATTTTACATCAAGCAGCTCAAAGCTATAGCTTCAATATTTCATAGCATAGAATACAGTCAAAGTCAGTGCTTAAGGAAATGGCTTAATACATGAGGATAAAATACACGGCGGTTGCGCCATCGAGAGCGGCCAGCTTCTCTAGTTCGTCTTCTTGGTCTTGACAACAGGCTTCTGACGGGTCAAGTAGCTCTCAATGTAGAAGGCACCGAACAATGCGGTTAATGGAGTCAAATACGACACATTAACAAAGATGGCGGCGGCCTGGTTAGGCGAGGTGATGCACGGAATATACGTCCCGTCCTTCAAGCCCAAGTCTTGGTATTGAATAAAGAAGTGGAAAAGACCCAAAGACCCACCGAACACAAACTGGAAGATCTGCAACGCGGTCAAGCTTCTCTTGAAAAGGGTTGGCACGCGGATGTGCAAGCAGCATAAGGTGTAGTACAAGTACATCAAGGTGTGGATGAAGGAGTTGAACACGACAAAGATCCAGATTGGTGAGGACTGGTATCTGACACCACTCCACATACACAACATGGCGCCGGAGTGGTGATAGCTCTGGAGCAAAGACGATGGCTTACCCTTCAACAAAATAATGATAGTGTCGAGCACCTCGTAGAACTTGGACATGTAGAACCAGAACCCGTAGAAAGACAAATTTTTAGGCACCGTAGTGGTGAGGATTCCCTGCTCCACGTTGCAAATGGCCTGCCAGAACACACTGGTCTTTGGGTATGGCGACAAGTCGATGTTGAAGTAGCCCGGTAAGTAGTTGTGGATCACGTTCGCGATGGTGCTGAGCATCCCCACAAACGTCCACGCGGAGTAGACACAGAGGAAAATGTTGTGCAACAAGACTAAGAACTTGAAGGTTGCGGTTTTGGCAAACCAAAAAGGTGCAGCGGGCAATCTCTTTAACTCCTTCTCGGTCTTGGTGGAAGCGACAAAGTTCTTGTCCTTCGCTTGCGCCTGCTTAATCTGTCGCTTACGGACAACACTGTTGCAGAGATGCACAGATACGAAGTACACAGTGGCAATCGTGACGGGAACCTGACCCTGGAGGAAGTAGTGGTACATGCTAGTCAACCATTCCGTCTCGAATGGAGAGGGCGGAGAAGCGGTAGGCAACGGCAAGCCCCAGATCTCCTTCACAGGCCAGGCAAGGGTGGTTAGATTGTTCATATCGGGTTAGGATGATAAGAAGGCTATTAAAATTCTCAGGCTGATACCGGGGTAGACTTGGGTATAAATATATCTGAAAAGTGAAGAGTACTCCGCTTCCTCCAGTATTTCTTTTTATGCATGATGCATGCGGCTCAAAGCTCAACATTCTGCAGTCACTGGATGCACCATATCTAACGCAGATTCTCCCTTATTCCCTGGATAGAACCCGAAATACGGGGCCTTCCCCGTTAAGTCTAGAGGGTTAAAGATCTAACCGGTGATTTGGATCGATTTTCGACGTATGGTATTTTGATTGTCAGCGGCGCTTGTGAGAGCTGAATAAGCGGATGTATGCCTATCGTTCTGCCTACAGCTCGGACTGAGTGTTATAGGGGTTTAAGGGTGCATTTTTAGAACAAATGCTCTCCCACAGTCTTGAGGTGCGCGGTTGTAGCTAGCAAGGTGATATTACTACCGCAATGAATTACCTCTTTCTTCTGGTATAACGATACTTGGAGCCCTACACCTTTTCTTAGTGTCACTGGCCTGCAGCCCAGAACATGTACGAGGATTATCTTATATCCCCAATTTCCGAGTTTCACATCAGCTCAAGCTCTACGGGCCTACTCTGCTGTTTTTTTTACCATATACATTCTCCTTTCCCGTGTTATGGCTAATAAAACAATATATGGCGTTTTATTATGGGTCAAGACCTTTTATGCCGCGAAAAAGACCAGCGGTTGTGATGTCCTTTTGTCTTTGTGCGCGCAATTGCCGTTAATCCCACGGTTCTGATACGCAGTATGCAATATGTAACATGTAATATGGATGTAAACCGCGGCATTCGGTTTATAATACGTTTAGACCCTCGGTGAATGATTAAACAACTAGAAAAAGACGAGGTATGCAGGTGCATTTTGTTCGGAAACCAGGGGCAATACTCCGTTCTCTGCCGATGCCTATTGCTGGTATCTCAGATAAAACTTTCCCTTATTTTAAATTATGGCTTCACAAACAGGCTCAACCTCCAGAACAAGAGTCGAAGAAAAGCTGGGTACCCGGTTTGAAAGTTCTGTTTCGTGGTGTTTCTGATTAATGTATTTCACCATTTCAAGTGCCAAAAGCGTAGCGTAATAGGCTGGCCCGACTTACGGTTATACATTATTCACGGCTGCATGCCGGGATTAGCGGAGATGGTTGTCTAGTTCAATCCAGTTGATGATTTATTTCTTCTTTCATCAGATCTAATAGCCAAGAATTCGGCAAAGCACGCGTATATAGGGAAAGTGGGGTCGCAGTAAAATCGACATTTAACTCAGAGGGGTAAGCATGTTAGCCTTTGGAAGTACAATGATGATCTAGACTTGTAGTATAAGGCTTATTTCCCAATCATCCACCTTCGTAATATCCCTTGTGCCGAGAAAGAGAGCTATTTGTTCCAATCTCGCACAAACTGAATCTATCAATCACCTTACCCGGAAATATTCCGTTACTGCCAACTTTATGTTGCCAATAATTCACTCTTATATACTTTGCCAATCAAACCTCCGCAAAGATCTAGAGGGCATGCAGCCTGGTATCTCGGATCTTTCTAATCACAGCTCGATTATTCTCAGGTCAGGCCAACCCTACTATACATACATCAAACTTAATGCCTAGCCACAGCTCACCAAGTCTACACTAAATACCAAAGTTAATTAAGCACGTGTAACGGAATATACCCATTCGTTCAACTAATCCAGACATACAAAGTAACCCTCATGGTCCAATAAATTAAACAAATTATGCAAACACATCCTGCTGCTCGGCCTCCAACTCGCCACTTTCGATCTGGTTGAACGTGGTGAAGTGGACCGGGCGGTGTAACTCGTGGTAGAACGGCAACGGTGTGTCGAGCTTGAGTGCGTACGCACCCTTGGCGTTCCAGGAGGCACCCATGAAGGCGTAGTTCCAGAGCCCGGTATCAGGGACCAAGAAAAAGCCGCTGATGCGGTCCGACAACAACAACTGGCACTTCGTGCCAAACCCGATAGAGAAGCCCGCAGGGGCCGCGGAAACCACATCGCGATTCACCGCGCCCCACTGCTGGCCGGCGTCGGTTAACGCGTATGCCGCGAGTGACACGGAGCCCGGCGTAAACGACACGGTGAGAGTCACCGCGGCGTCCCAGCCCTGGGCGCTGGCCATCTTCGCGTGCGCCGTGACATCCGCGGCAGACATTACGTTTGAGTCCTGCGCTTGCGTGTGCAACCAGCCAAGCGGCTCAAGACCCTCGAGCAACGGATTGTCGGGGAACGCCTCTGGGAACTGCACACCCTGGTTCGCGCCGAGCTGTGGGACCAACACCACACAACGGATCTCTTTGACCTGCATGTGGTCCGCGGGCGACGTCCCGTAGAGGAAGGCGCCCACCTGTGTGCGGAGGTCTGCGATCTGGATGAATTTCTTGAGCAAGTTCTTTGGCATGATGTAGGTGAACCCCTCGTCACTGACGGCATCGTCAGAGGAGATGTAAATGTGCTTCGTGCGGAGGTGCAAATTCGTGGTGGCAATGGCACGGTTTCTCCACTCGGTCTTGGACGCGAACGCCTGCTGCTCGTAGTTGCTGGTGGTGACGGTGGTGATTTCCTCACCGTGGACGTTCTGGGTCTTGGTCTTGACGGCAGAGAGTTGCGACGGGTCGCTTTCGCCTTCGATGTTGGCAATCTCCTGGCGCTTTGCGGACGGCGCGCGAATATCCTGGCCAAGAATCAAGTCACGGATTTCGGCCTGGGTGAGCGACGCCGCGTTGACGCCGTGCTTCTGGCAGTAGTCCGCGAGAATCAAGTCGCGGAGCTGCGTCTCGACGTCGATCCACTGCTCATCCGTAAATGTCGGCCAGATATGGTGGTCCTCGGTAACCACACTGCCCGCACCCAACGCCACCTTGGTGCGCTCCGCATTGACCCCGAGCGCGCGGAGGAGGAGCACGAGGCGCGAGAAGGCCGTGTACGCCGAGATGCTCTTTAACCAGTCGTCGTAGAGGTTGAAGAGCACCATCTGGGGCTCGTTGGCCCGCATAACAATATCCGAGAGCTTGTCAATCTTTAACGCGTTGGCGAACGGAAGGTGGAGCTCGGACGGGCGGATCGACACGTTTGGAAAGTCGAGCATGTGGAGCTCGAGCGGGTCGATCATTCCCTTTCTCGTAGCAATGAGCTGCTTCGGCTGCTCCTCGCGGGGAAGGGAACGCACTAACGCGGCAACTTCCTCGGCCGCCTTCCACTTTGCGAGCTGGTTCAAACGTTTCTGCCCGGCCCAAACCGACGTGTGGATGATCTTGAGGAAGAGCTGGCCGCTCTTGGGGTTGAGCATAAAGATGGCACCGTTGATCGGCTTTGTCGCGGAGTTGCCCTCGAACGTCTTGTGCACCGTGATGCGGTACACATTGGTGTCGTCAACAAACAACTGGGTGTCGTTGTTGAAGAGCTCTGCGTAGTTTGCCGAGTTGAGGAACGCCTCCTGCGGCTGTGCCTGGTACAACTGGAGCCCCTTACGGATGCGCTCACGGAGCACATACAACGCGGGGTTGGCCTTCATGATTGCCTTCATCGCGCTCTGCATCAACGGCTTGAGGCCCGGGAACCAATTCCCGTAGGCGTCGTACATGTTGTACGCGAGGTCAATGCTCACCATCAACCCCGTGGGGGATGGATACACACTTCCGCTGTCGGTGGTGTAATCAAGGTACTTTGCACGGGTATACCGCGAAATGTCATGCGAGTCGTAGTCACCGTAGCGCAATTGGACATCGATCCAGAATTTGTTTGTCGTGGCGGCCTCAAACGCGTCGCCGCTATCATGGAGAAGCGACGGGCGCGACACGGCCCACTTGTACGTGCTTTGAAGCACCGCATCGGCGCAAGAAGAGTTCATCTTGTAGGACTTTCGCGGATGGATAGCCTCCTTCAGCACGCTGTCGATTTGGAGCGCCTCCAACTCATTATCGAGCACCTGGCAGAGGTCGAACACCACACTCTCATGGATCTTCTGCCACAAATGGGCCCGGAAGATCTGGATGAGCGAGATCTTTAACGTAGGGATCTTCCCGTGGAGGAAGATCCCGGTCAAGTCGAGTTGCACAAGGAACCCCACGTACACGTTCGCACGGTTGATCGTCGGCGACCACCACAACGTGAAGCGCCGGTTGGGGATCTGACTTAACCCCGAGCGCTGTGCGTTCGTGAGCTTCTTGAACTTGAGCGAGTCCTCAAACCCAGACGCCTTTTCCCAGAATAAGCCCTCCCAGGAGTCAAAGCCGGTAGCCTTGAACAAGGTGTGTTCGAGAATGGTTTCGATCCCCCCGAGCGCTTGGATCACATCGGTTCGGTAGGCGTTGAGGTTCCAGAGGCGCCCGTCGTGGTGGTTACTTGTCCACCAGAACGGGTTGAAGCGGTTGAGCGAGTACTGCTTGAACTGGCGGCGCACGCGGTGGCCCTTGTCGTAGGCCAAGGTGTGCCGATCCTTCTGGAACAACGTGCTGATCCGCGGCAACCCACGGTCCCAGTTCTCCTCCATGTCCTCAAAGGTGAGGCGGCGGTTCTGCGTGAGTGCCTCCTGGCGTTTGATCGCGTACTCCGCCCACACGCGCTGCGAGTCGAGGAACTCGTTCTCCCACGTGGTGATGTAGCGAAACACCGTCGGGATGAGCTTGTCATCCGCATGGCTCATCCCCAGGCGGAAGTGCGTGATCCCCGTATCGGTCTGCTTCGACCAGCGGAGATCCGCGGCCGGAATCAAGATGTGCGAGGCCGAAAGCATCCCGAGACCCCCGAGCTCCTTTGGCGTATAGAACACCGCCGGCGGGAACCGCGACGGCATCTTCGAGTTGAGACCTATCTTGACCCGGGTCTGGATCTTTGTCTCGCACTTCACCAACACGTCAAGCAAGGGTTCTGTTGAAACCACCGCCTCACGGTAGTACGCAAAGAGCGCAACCAACGCGGTGTTCCACTTGCTGGCGATCTTTGAGAACGTGGTGGACCCCGAGGACATTAAAATCTGGCGGATGCGGTTGTTGAACTTGGCCACGTCCTCCTCCGTCACCTGGAGAAACGTCTTGGCGGTACGCTCCTTCGTGCGATCGTCTACAAGGTCCCAGACCCCCTCCTTCGACGAACCGGTCTCGGCCCGGCACTTGGGCAAGATCCGCACCTCGAACCCGCACATTGTGAAGAGGAGGTTTGGGTTATCGCGGGAGTAGACCGACGCCAAGGTATCGGCCCACTCGATCGAGGCTAACGAGCGCGGAATGCGCCCCTGCACCTCCCAGAAGACGGCGCGTCCCAAGTTCACGTCGTGGCGCATCAAGCGCATGCGCTCGTCGCGTGGCCAGCAGCGGCGGTTGTTGTAGCCCACGACGTTCTCGAAGTTGGGGTCGGGGTTCTCTGCGAGAAATGCGTTGACGAGGTCACCCGCCTCGGCGTCCGTAAACCGGAAGAAGATGTGGATGCGGTCGATGTAGCGCGAGTAGAGGCGGATCGGGCTTTTGGTCTGGACCGCGGTATTTTCAAACTGGAGGAACCCGTTTGGCTGGGATGCCGGCCCCGCGAGTTCCGACGCCCGCTCGAGCCCGAGAATTAAGAGGTCGAGCACGAGGCCGTAGTACTGGAACACAAACGACAGGAACTGGAGCCCGCGAATGAGCCCGTACTGGTTCACGTGGTTCATGTCTTTAAACGTGACGTTCACGTTGTTCTTTGCGGTGATATAGTCTGCGATGTTAGAGTCCAAGATCAAGCGCAAAAGTCGGTTAAGCAACGTAAAGTCAACCTTCTCTGCCACTTTCAGCATCGTCGTCTGCAACATCACGTTGCACTCCCCGTGGCTGGTGTCCCAGACATTCTCAAGGTTGTTGATCCCCTGGCACCACTTGTACACCAAGAGGGGTGGAATCTCCGTGTCGCTCGGCTTGACCCAGTTGGGGAACAACTGCCGCTTATCGCCCTCAAACCAGAGGTACTGGTCGAGGTACGCGTCGGTGATCTTCTCCAACGGATCCACCTCGTACACCGGTGAAATATACTCATAGTGGTCCATCATCTCAACGCGTGTCTCTTTGAACACTCGTTGGGTCAACAAGAACTTCTTCACCCGGGACAAGCATTCGTGGGGGTTATCGTATGCCTGCTCGATCAACGCGAGCTCCTCGCGCTGCGAAGCGTTGAGACGCCCCTTTGCCCCGTACGCTTCCTTGAGGTTCTCAAGCGCCAAAACCAACAACTTTGTATCATGCTTGTAGCTCAACGGCGGAAAGGGAATCGGCGAAAACTTGCGACTCTCCAACCAGTGCACCATGGTTTCAAACACTGGCACGGCCTCTTTTGGCAGAATATACGGTCCGTCCTTTTGAAAGTTCTGCTGGCGTTCCTGCTCGTGCTTGACCCACAAGCGCGTCAAGCGGCCAAGGTTCTTTTTCGCGACGGTCTTCTCCACCGGCGCACCGCGTTGGATCCTCTCACGGTTGTAGTGCGCGACCGAGACCCAGCCGTCCGCCTTGGCCTTCACGTACCGCTCGATGATCTGCTCGATCGGGAGCGGCAAGCCCGGTACTTTCCACGGCACGTTCGCCTTCCAGCACCGCCACGCCTCGCTCAAGTGCTGCAAGATGGTCTTGCTCTTGTTTTTGCGGATGCCCTCAGGCATCATATCGAGGATGTCGTGCATCACGGACGCACGAAGCTCCAAGTCGTAGTAGGAGTCCACTCGCTGCTTGGTGATGGTTTTGGCAACGTCATTCGCGCGGCGCCCCTCGAACTGGCGTGCAAGGAGGTTACCCAACCAGCGTTCCAAGAGTGGGAGGATTCCCCGCATAAAGAAAATCCACACGCGCCACGCCGGCTGCCAGAACCCGCACCCCGGGCCCTTGCCGATCACCGTATTGAAGCGGTAGTACACTACGTGCTTGAGGTCCTTGCACGCGCGGATCTGGTGCATCACCTTGTACTTGTAGCGGTAGATCCCGGTGAGCTGGCCAAGGTGGTTCAACGTGTAGTAGATCCCGTCAGCCAACTGGAATGCATCCACGTTACCAAGACGGAACTGCACCTGCGCATCGACGAGCATCTTGACGATGCGGAGAATCTCGCGCATGAGATGGAATGCGTTCCCGAAGCGCGACTTCTTGCGCTCCTTCGTTGTGAGCGTCTTGGTCGGCTTGAGATTGAAGTTGTAGTCGAGGTGGAGGTATGTGAGGCCCTTGCGGTGGATGAGTAAATTGAGCATGTTGAACCCCTGGCGACACACCTGTAACCCAGCCTCCACCCAGTCAATGGTGGTTTGCTGGAAATATTTGGTCCCGCGGAGCGATCTGAGGAGGTTCACCTTGCGGACATTGGACGTTTTCGTGCGGTGGAGCTCGTTGAGCACGTACGACTTGAGGAGCTTTTGGTAGGATACCCGGACCTTGGTTGGGTATCCTGCTGGCGGGTGCTGGAGGTACCAGCGTTTGACCAAGGACACATCCTGGGCACGGACCGTGCGGCCGCTACGGCGGTTAAACGGGAACGGTGCATGGAGTAACTCGAGCGCCTCAGCACACGCCTCCGGCTCGAGTTCCTCATCAATCATGAATGGAGAAAAGCCACCAGGCAACTGGAAGGCATCTCCTAGATCTGATATTTGCGGAGGTCTTCCTGGGATCGGATTGAGGCTCTGGTGGAAGGTGAAAACTGGAAGATTTTCGTCCCCCTCAGCGAGACACGTCAACGGTTCTTGGTACCACGGGACGTGGACCGCGCGTGCGAACGAGTTATAGAGGTGCGGATACGCCACGCGATACTCGGTCTTTACGGGCACACGGAAGATGATGCGGTCAACCAGGTTGAACTCGGAAAAGTCCTCTAACTGTGGGTTGGAGGCGTCCTTGAAAAGTGGCTCGAACTTTGGGCCCCCCGGGATCGCGATGTTGAGCGCCTTGGCGGTGAAGAACGACTCACGGTCGAATAAGTAGCGAGAGTTGAGGTCCTCCGCCGCGACAAGCGGCGTCGCGAGGCGGTAGAGCGCCGCCATCTGGTGCACATCCAACATCCACGTGCGATAAGATTCACCATTGACGAACCTGAGCTCGTCGGCCAACGGACGTTCATCATAGAACCAATCAACCACGTGGGAGTCCTCCTCCAGATCGAGCTCGAGCTGGATGCTACTGGGAGGCTCAACGTCTTGTATGTTCTCGGCCCAGTTGAGCGGGGGTTCTTCGTCGTCGAACGGCGGGAAGCGCATGCGCTTGAAGTGGCGGCGGTCGCGCTTCTCGCGGCGCATCATGAGCCACATTGTCGCCCACTGCGCTGTGTACACAGGCTCGATTACGCGGGGGATCTCGTTGACAAAAGTGATGGCGCCGGTTACGTGGTAGAGCACCTTGACCTCCTTGGCCTCTTCCCACGGCTGCGGCATGTTCTCGAGGAGCTTCAATACCGCGTGCGGCATGTACTTGAGGGAGCCGAGGTGCGCGCGTTTGTCTGCGGCGTACTTTTTGGAGGAGAGGTCACCGTGTTCCGCCATGATCTTGCGGAGGTGTTCAGGTGGCATGTCGACCTTTTGGGAGTGGACAAACGTGCCTGAAGTCTTTTTGACCTCGTGAAAGCGCAGCTTTTGGAGTTGGAGCCATTTCTTTTTGCGGGCAACCAATTCAGCGTGCAGAACAGAGGTTGGGCTAGAGGCAATACCGGAGGCTGGGATTCCTGGTGGAGGAGGAGCTTTTCCAGGAGGGGGGGCTATTCCAGGAGGGGGGGCTCTTCCGGGTGGAGGGGCTCTTCCGGGTGGGGGAGCTCTTCCGGGTGGGGCCGGAGGCGGCGCGCCCGGAGCTCTACCTGGTGGCGGTGGTGGTGGTGGCATAATGTGCGATGAGAGATGAAATATCTCTAGATGGTAAATCTAGGATGGATGCCAAGATGGGAGTAGAAGCGTTTGATGTAACTGATAGAGTCCCTGTTTGGAATGGCTTATCTTTGTCTTTTATGGATGGAGTGTTTGGATGCTTCGTCAACCTCTAGTGAATGTCTGATTGAACCTCACAATGTCTGTCCTGGTTTGAGAAGTAATCTAGATGCAAATCTGATCCTGAGAACTGGAGAATCTTCGGAAGGTTTTCAGATATCTTGGAAAGGCCTTGAATGAGTCTCAGATGTCTGGTGCTGAATCTAGCAAATGCAAGTATGCACGAGGTGGGTGTCTAATCAAGAAGATCTGGATATCGATTTGGAGACGGATCGGGAAACTGACCAGATGCTTGCTTGGTGTTTACTTGAGGTTTCTCTGGAGATTTCAAGATATGGATTGAAAAATCCCTGGTCAACTGCAATTGAACTACGCAAACCTCTGACGGCAAAGCGAGTCAAAATCGGTTCATGTAAAAAAATAAACGCTGAGCCGCACGGACTATGGATTACCCGTTCCAGTGTAAAGTGGGTACCAAAACTGTTTCCCCACAATCATTTTTCTGTAGCACACGACCGGCGACTACAGACCCGCGACCCTTGTGGTGTCCAGTATATTTAATCATAATGTCCTCCGATCTGTTTAATATACCTTCTAATTGTCTTGCATTTCAACATTCAAAAATTTAGCATTCCGTTGAGAGTGGAAAAGTCCCCTTTATCTTTCGAGGAAAGACCGGAAGCTACCGCGAAAACAGAGGAGCGATTTCGGACGGGGCTCCTCCATTTTCGCGGCACGAGACGAAATATTAAAATACCGGATCACTGTACTCTACGACCCTTCACATATAACCATATCCTCACTGTAATGTCTAGATTCGCCAGATTTTTAAACTCCGAGGCCGGTCCTAAGACCATCCATTTCTGGGTACGTACCCCTAGCCAGCCACTTTGACCCGTACTAACCCGCCAGGCCCCTGTGTGCAAGTGGTCGTTGGTCATTGCGGGTGCCAATGACATTCAGAGACCGGTTGAGAAAATCTCTGGGACTCAGCAGATTGCGTTGTTTGCCACCGGTGCCATCTGGACCAGATGGTGCTTGATCATTAAGCCAAAGAACATCCTCTTGGCCTCCGTTAACTTCTTCCTCGGGTGTGTTGCCGGCTACCAGGTGACCAGAATCTTCAGATACAGATTGAATGAAGGTGACTCCGCCTCTGGTGCCGTCTCCTACATCCTCAGTGGTAAGAACGCCTCCAGCCTTGCCGAGGAGCAGCTCGAACCGGTCCAAGCCAAAGAACTTTAAGACGTCATCGCTCGTGTGCTGGAGCACGTGCCAACATGCTATTTATGATTTAATTGAGAAAACTCACCTATCGTCTTTTGGATGTAGTGCTGTTTGAGCTATGGAGATATGCCCACTGTATGACTCACGTGTTACGACTTTACCGGGGAAATCAGTCAAGTTACGCGAGATTCTTTGCCACCAACCTTGCAAGCGATAGAGCATATGAGGCTACGTTTTCAGGAGACTCAAGTGAGTTTTGCGCATGATTTAGTTAAATTTTTCCTTGTTTTAAAGGCAACATGGGTGATTAAAACTGCGAATGCTGATCAGTGTAGGCTCCGTTTTAGCTAAGTGTAAAAACGTCCAATTATTCATCTTCGCCGAACCAGAGAGTGAGAAATTCTTTCATCTGCTCCTACTTGTGACGGATATTATACTCATATTGTTTTGTGAAGATACAGAAAGTGGGCATAGCATCTGTCTTCATCACTTGCTGTTTGAATACAACTACACTCTATTGCTCTAGGTGCTTCGAACCATTCTCCCTTTCCAATTTGGATGATCTCACTCTACCCACTTTAGGCAAAATTGCAATCTGGTTCGGCTTAAACCACGCGTTAATATTGATGAATGCTGAACTCTCACTTCACGTCAAATTACTATCTCTACACCGTCATATTCGTTAGGCTTAATTATAATACACTGCTCAAAACTCCCGCTGATTACTTCTCATCTATTCCTTCTCGCTGACTGAGCCACTAAGGCCCCCAGCATCAGTCATTTCCTCATCATTGGGAGTGTTTTCTGTTCCGACTGTTCCTTCCCTGGACCCGCTTACGGTCTCATCATACAGTTCGTAGTTTTCTGCCTGCTCGTGGTTAGGATATTCTTCGTCGGCATTGGTCTGCTCTTCACCTTCAATGTTGTTGAAATCGCCTTCGCTATCATTGAGATCGCCTTCATCGTTCAAATCGCCATTATCGGTAAAGCCACCATCTCCATTTAAATCACCAACATTATCATCCAATTCACCTTCAGCATTTGCCTCCTCGCCTTCACGGTACTCATCAGCATTGTCTTCCTCCTCCTCATTTTCTTCCCCCTCATCATAGTATGCATACAAACTCTCGTCAAAGTTCTTCTCCCTGTCGATTACCCCGCGCTCGCGTTTCACCGCCTTGAACTTATCGTCAATCTTCTTCGATATCTTGGATAATTCGTTGTAGGAGGCGACCCACTTGTCATTAGACACCTTGAGGCGCTTGCGAGTGGTAAGAAGATAATCGTGGATGACACCTTGCTTTGTTCTAAAGCGCTGCTCATAGCGGGCGATGTGGTCCACAAACTGGCTGTACGACAACTGGTGGATATCAACCCTCTTGGCGTCCATGTCCAAGGCCTCGGCGCTGATATCAGAGGTTCCGTCCGCAATCTGACTTCGGATGATTTCAAACACTTCCTTAGAGAACTCAAAGCTGACTTCAGCACGCAACTTCGCCGTAGACTTGTCTGACCGGTCAAGCTCTGTCTGAACCTCATTGTTGCGGAAAATAAGCTCCTGATATTCCTGTATCTCGTCCAAATACTGCTGGTATAACGCAATGAGGCGTGTTTCCTCCTCAGACCGCGTTTTCGCTACACTATCAAGGATCCGCACTGGCGACGACCGCAGCAACGCATCCTTGGTGCGCCGGTGACTGTTCTGGAGTCCGGCAGTTTCGAGGAGCAACAGTTTCTGGAAGTACTGGAGCTGGCTTTTGATGGTTTCAGGCAACTGCACAGACCCGCCCTCAGCCGGTGGAGGCAATGTGCTGCTGAACTGGAGGAGCTGGATGTTGAAGTCCACTAACCGCCTGAAGAGCTCTGGCGTCTGGTCAAACTCGCTGAGCTGTCTATTTATATCGGTAATGAATCCATCTGGAGTTGTGTAGTCAGCAGGCATCTCTAGGTGTGATGACAAGATAAAGAGGTGGTTCGGTTTGTAGGAGAAAAGTTAAGCGTCCGGTACATAAGTGCAGGAAAGGGTGCCCATTCCACCTTCAACGACAAAGCAGTACCAAATGTTATACTGTGTCAGGGGCAATATGGAACTTACACCAATTTATTATGAAGTAAGCCAATCGTCTAATCTATAGACTGTCTTTGCTACTTATATTGTATACCACAGAAAACGTTTGCGGGGGTCATGTGACTTGTTTTCGGTGGATGCCAAAGTGAGGAAGTGGAAGGGGCATCTGGTGCTCTAACATCGGGCTAAAAGCTGTATGAAGTGGCAGGTAAAAACCCTTGGGATAATGGAAATTATTATTGGATTGCTGGTATTGACAACAGGGTACTGGGGAGCCCATAACAAGCGCAAGAATACGAGTCTACCATGTTGCGTGTACGGTAAGACGTAGCAAATTCTCCGGTAGCAACCCTTTTGAGTCCCATACATCTGGCTCCAAGCCTATAGTTATTTATATTAAACCTAACAACCCCCATAATAGGAACTTATGAAACGGTACTTAAATGCTAATCTGGTTAAACTTTGGCAAAACCTATACCATCTCCTGCATATACTTAAATGTTTACATTTTGTACTGCGGGTGGGATTGCCACAAGTTCGCAAGTCATTTCCACTAAAAGCTGGGTGCACCTCTCCGTATCTGAGTAATTACAAAGCCGTCCTCATCTGTCATCAGATTACCTGTCCCTTCAGATTTTAAATCTATAACAACCTGAGTAGATCCGTCAATACTCTCCTGTCGCTATCAACCACTTCCTAGGACCTTTCGGGAAACATTCTACCAGGTATCTTCTGATAACCGGTATTTTCTTTTTTAGATCCGCTACAGTCTTCGGTTGAAGCAGACAGATTATCCCCAGTTACAAACCTCCATATCGTCTCGATTGGCACTCACACATTAACCAATCCTAGATCATTTTGCATTCAAATCCCCCCAACCTTCATTTTCATACATGTCCTCTCATTCAGACCTCCGTCGGGCGTTACGGCAGGCGCTCCCGCTCCTCTCAGATGCTAAGCTCTACCAGTCGGCGAAATGGGCCGCGGAGCTTCTCAATGCGGTTCCGGATCCTGAACCGTTTGCCACTGAGCCGCTTTCCAGACTGCCACCCGAAGACGACTGCATCATACTTGCCCGCACATTTTTCGACTGCAAAGAGTTTGATCGGTGTGTGCACGCGCTTAAACCGTGCCTGTCAGCCGAGGCAACGTTTCTCCGCCTTTACGCGATGTACCTCTCGGGCGAGGCCAAGAAGGAGCGCAGCAGTGAAACCGTACTCAGCGCGCAGGACGCAGGTGGCACGCCCAATCTCCAGATGAGCGCCATCGTGCGTGAGCTCGAGGCCTTCCACAAGACCAATAAAACGGAATCCGCACACACCGCGTTGCTTCACTACCTCCATGGGGTGGTGCTCCTCAAACAGAAAAACGCGGGCGCCCAGGAACACCTTGAGAAATCCGTGTGCATGTTCCCGTACAATTGGTCGGCGTGGCAAGAGCTCGGTGCGACACTCGCGACGCCCGACGCAGCACAGGCGTGCGTAGCGCGTCTCCAGAGCCGGCCGGAGTTTGCAGGTGTGCCTGGCGCCATGCTCCAGTTCTTTGAGGTGGTACTCGCACAGGAGCTACTGCCGCACTCGCCGCATCTCCAAGCTCAGCTCGACGAACTAACGGCCCTCTACCCGTCGTTTGCGTTTCTCAAGGTCCAGCGCGCACTCGGAAGTTACCACGCGCTCGACTACGCGGCGGCGGAGGAGCTCTTTGACGAGATCTTGGCGACCGACCCGCTCCGCTTGGATGATATGGACACGTATCTGAACGTGCTCTATGTGATGGAGAAGCGCGCGAAACTCTCGCATCTCGCGCGGTTCGCGGCATCGGTGGACGAGTTCCGCCCTGAAACGTGCTGCGTGGTAGCAAACTACCACTCGCTCAAGGGCGAGCACGAGAAAGCGATTATGTACTATCGGCGCGCGTTGGCATTGAACCGGCGCTGTCTCGCGGCGTGGACGCTCATGGGTCACGAGTTTGTTGAGTTGAAGAACTCGCACGCGGCCATCGAGGCATACCGCCGCGCGCTCGATGCCAATGTGAAGGATTTCCGCGCGTGGTACGGCTTGGGCCAGGCGTACGAGGTGCTCGATATGCACCTCTACGCGCTCTACTACTACCAGCGCGCTGCGAGCTTGCGGCCGCGTGACCGCCGCATGTGGCAGGCTATCGCGCACTGCTACGAGAAGTTGCACAAGTACGCGGAGGCCATCCAGACGTACGAAAAAGCGCTGGGAATTGACGAAGACCCGCTGTTCCAATACAAGCTTGCAACGTTGTACGAGCTTGTGGGGGATGAGGAGCGCGCAAGCGAGTATATGCACATGTGTTTGGATGGGGAGGCGAATGCGCGGTTATGGTTGGCACGGTACGAATTGAAGCGGGGGGGTTATGTGGCGGCGTATGAGTATGCAAATGAGTTTGGGATTGCGAACAGGGGGCTGGCGCAGGATGTGGAGGAGGCCAGGGGAATTGCAAGGGAAGCGAAGAAGCGGATAGTTTAAGTTCAACCAGAAACCCGGATATCGAAATAAAGCCAAATAAGTCGTTTTTCACTTGTGGTGACACTTTTGGCATCTTTTGGGCATTAATTTAACGTCAGAAATCCATCCTGAGATTAGACCTTTTGGGGTTTTTTTCTTTCTTTTCATTAATGGTTTGCTATTAAGTCTAGGTTATATAAATTTAGCTTGTCGCTAACTGTACAATTCGTATCATGTGAATGTGGATCCATTAACTAGCAGATATTCGGAATTTTGTACGAGCAGGAATATTAGTATTAGTATTAAATAGGATTAGGGATAAAAAAAAAGAAAAAATGAATGCAGATGAGGTTACAATTCGTCCTCGAGCCTGCGGAAGGCCGTGTGGTTGTTGACCTGCTGGGTCACGGCCAAGATACTTTCCTTGACGACATGGAAGGCAATGGCCAACTCTTCAACCGAAACACCATCGGTCACACACACCAACAACTCAGGAACCATCGACACAACTTCGTGATGCAAGATGCGCTTCGAGCGGGTAATCAACACGTCACGGCTCTTGCACAACGCGACAATCTTGCTCAAAAGGAAGTTTTCCAAGTTGTAGGTTTCATCTAAAAAGTATTCAGCCTCAAGGCCCCGGCTCCAAGCCTGCGCGACGGCCGACTGGGGCCCACCGTAGACCGGAGGCAACTGCAACATCTCCCTGTACTTTGGCGACAAGCGCATGTGGATGACCGGGGACAGTGGAATGGACTTCACAAGCACGAACGGCTGCAAGGACCGGTCGCTGCTGAACAATTCGGATAGGCTCTCGGACTTGGTGTTGAGCGAAGCCACAATCTTAGACTCAGCCTCGGAAGTGAGGTCGCCGTTGGTGATCAAGTGCAAGGCTGTGGAGGTGACTCTGGCACAGTATGGGGGCAAGGAGGCGGAGAAAACAAAGGCAAGGGACGAAATCCGCTGGTGCTGGATCATATCTGACTCACCCACGCAGAACCCTCCGGACGAGGCAAAAGCCAAGGCCATGGACCCGGTGGTGATCTCAATGCTGGAGCGTGGGATGCCAAAGAGCTCGGGCAAGCCTCTCCCGGTCTTGCCCAACACCCCGATGGAATACGATTCGTCGAGAAACAAGCGGTAACGGTACTTCTCCTTCAACTCAACGAGCTTATGCAAGTCGGGGTAGTCTCCGAAGTTGACAAACAAGCCCTCCGACACAATGAAGCGTCTGGTGATCGGCTTTTCTTCGGCCAAGCCCGGCTGCAACTCCTGCAAGATCTCCTCGAGGTGGTCCATGTCGTTATGGTTGAACCACTGAACGCGGCAGCGTGACATCTTCAACGCGTTTTGGGTGGAAACGCCCACACCGGAGTCCACGATGCACAAGTCACCGCGCTTCACGAACGACGGAAGCACCGATGTGTTGGTGTTAAAGTCCTGTCCGTACACCATCGCGCGCTCCGCGCCCAAAAACTCCGCAAGATCCTCCTCCGCACGTACGTGGTAGTCCTGTGTCCCGTAGAAGTTTGGCGGCCCGCACGCGCCAACCCCAGACTTCATGATTGTCTGCTTCGCGGCGGCTTTAATCACGGCATTGCTGTTGAAGTTGAGGAAGTCAAGCGACGCGAGGTTGAGTACGTCACGCGCATCAACACATGCATGCGGTCCCACACTCCCCTGCGTCACGGGAATGTCCGCAAGCTGCCACTTTTCGAGTTCGCCGAGCGGGAACGCCAACGGCTCCGGCTCCCACTCCTGGCACAAATCATCAACCTCCTTCTCCGAAAGCTTCGCGAGTGTCGGCTTGTTCGCTTGCTTTTTGGAAGAGAGGAAATATTTGACGGCAAAGAGTAATAATGCAAGCTCAAACACCGATCGGAGTGGGTCATCCTTGTATGACGCCTTGATATAGCCGATGACGATGCTTGCGCCAGGAAGGCCCGCGAAACGACGGTACAGATCGAGTACGTAGATGTGGATGTTGTTCAACGACTCTGGGATCACTATCGTGGTGGTTGACATGATTAAGGTAGTTTCGCAGTGGGCTGGAGTCCGATGGGAGATGTGACTGTGCACTTTGATCAAGTGTTGACGCCGAGCGTAACGTAATTTTTGCCCGCGCGAGGTGGTAAGCGCACGCATGACGAGGCCGAGGTTTGGGCCGTGAGGCAACGATATAAGGGAAAGAGAAACAAAGGCTGCGTTTTAATGCTCTAAGTGATTTTTTTTAAAGCTCACAGTTTTTACTTGATAGATTTTGGGAAGTTATGCCGCTTGGTATATCTCGTTAACGGGGGTCAGGCAGGGAGGGTCGCTCCGCTCGGACAGTTTGGTACTGTGCATGGTGAAGTTCGATATGCACGTCGACACTGGAACGAACTTAATAAGGTATGAGTGTGGTAGGGCATTCGTAGTACAATCAAGCCGTTTAACGTTTCATGGGATTATTTTTCGGACTCTAAAATAAATATCTGAAGCATGGGGCAGGGCTGAAGGTTGGCATGTGATAACAGCTGGTGGCTCGGGCTATGCAAGGTGAAATCCGGGTCGATGGGGAAGATACTGGCTGTAGTGCCGAACGTACACTGTGTAGTGGCCAATTGTATTACAATGGCGGTTTTAATGGAGATTTAATCTTCGGCATTTTTCGTATACCATTCAGTTCAGCTACAGGGCCGTGAAACTATGGCGGGGTGTAACAAGCCCCGGCGTTGCCCCTGTGCGGTGAATAAGCATAGCAGCCTGGACTTCGGGGTTAGTGCCAGCTGGCTAGATTAACCGTAAGGATGATAGTTTTCTATCGTTTTTTAGGTAACCAGTAAGTAACAAGGTTAATAGCAGAATACAAGAGTCGCTTACTGACCGTCCCCGTATGCGCAATCTCGTTGCCAAACCTCGAAAGCGTAGATGTGAGTGGCCTACCACGCAGACACCAAGACTAGCTTTGACAGCTGATCTAAAGTTCCTGAAAGGGCTAAACACTATGGTTCAAAAAGAGAAATCTCCGAAACCGGGAATCGAATCCGGATTTGGGAGGTGAGAGCGCCCTGTGCTAGCCATTACACTATTTCGGAGTGAGTTCTGTTCTGAAGCTTCACATACACTTGTATCAGTTACTGAGCTTTTTTTTTTATGTTAGCATGCCCGATCGAAACTATAACTAGCATTTTTTGAAAAACACCATTCCCATGATATCCTATTGCATCTCTTTATCCCGCCTGGTGTCACTGTTTAACTGATTACTTCTTATCAAAACTGCAGCTAAGCTGCTGGGCAAGGTATAGCAAATACTGCAATCTATTACGGAAAGAGATCCAAAGCAAAACCACGATCTCTCTATGGTAGTTTACATCACTAGCGAGAGCAAGAATATTAGCATGCTCCATCTCCTCTTTTGCTTCCCAAGAAGACTCAAATTATCCGCCCCGCCTTCCCATGCAATAACACTTGGCGTGGAAAACGAATAGCTGGAGTTGGTTATAACGGCAGCTACCGGTGTAGAATAGGCTGTGACAGAAATGTCTTTTCTCGGGGTGGTGGTCACTGTGGTTGTGGCGGTAACTAGGACAGTGGTAAGACCATAATATGTCGTTGCTTCCGCTGAAGTGGCGGTTGTGAGTGCTTCGGTACTTGTAGCGATGGATTCAACCAGAGTTGGAGTTGCAGGGTAGGTGTATACACGAGTGAATTCGGAAGTGTAGGAAGTCCCGACACATATGACCGTCCAGCTAGCTGACTGTGAGTACAGAGGATTTTCGTGAGTGGTATGCGTAGTTACTTGGGTTAACGTGGTGGCTCCCTCTTCAGGACAGTCAATCACAGTAACGGTAACTGGAGCGAGGTTTATTGTGGAGGTAATAACAATTTGGTCTCTCTTGAGAGGTACGTTAAACATGACCAGCTGGGAATAACATGCAGTGGTGTACCCCACAGAAAAGCCCACCAGTGTTTTAGTAACTAAAACTAGAAAGTCGGTTATAGTGGCCGTATTTGGGGTGGTGGAAGCCGATATAGACGTAACCAATCCAGTAGAGGTTGTGGGAGTGTTAACCAAGGTTATGGAAGTTATGATTTGGGTATCAGAAGCGCCAGCCACAGAGGACGTAGTTGGGGTGTAAGAGGTGTCATCCTGAAATAAGGTACTAGTGGGAGTGACGGTATTAGGCCCTGTTGTGGTATCAACTGATGGCTCAACGAAGCCAGTCCAAGATAGGGTACCTTGCAACGATTCAGCGGTAGTTATCACGTCGCCAGCATTGCCGAACTCGGGATTCGTCTAATGTGTTAGTATTTGTGCGCATATACCTAACTTGAACTTTTTGGCCGGTCAAGGTAATAATCACTCTATAAATGTAAACAGGGGTGGACTCATCCACGGCAGAAGCTTGATTTGCAAGCATTGCGATTAAAAGATAGAGTATCCACCTGGATAAGAGAGGTGAATTAGTCATTATGAGTAGTTTTACTGGAAACTTAGATGTAAGTAGAGTGTTGTAGCTTTAAGGGTGATAGGTAAACCAGGGAAAGTTGCAGAATTTAAAGGAAATAGAAAATTTGCTGCAAAATTCGACTCCTTGACAAGAACTTCCTGAGACCGATGTTTCTGCGTGAGTAGCACAGCAGTCTTGTTTTGCATTTAGGGGTAGCTAAATGCTGTATATGCATAAAACTCCGAGTTGCGCGTAGACACCTTTCCTGTTCTTCCAATTATGGTAATTCTAAGCAAACCACTATTCTATCAGCAGTTGTAACCATTTATTTTGGAGCTTGATTCTGCTGATTCTCAGGGGCCTAATCGGATAGTCTAAGGCCGTACTACATAGCACGCGTATCATACACTTGCACCACCACCTCTCATCGTCTCATATCTCGTGGTGAGTATCTATCATTCACCCTTTTTGCTTCAGTTATGCATCTAACACTGTCAAGGCAACCTCAACCTCGCTACACTTTCGGCGCACCTAAAACTTTAATCGCAGTATGCTCCGGAATAAGCTTCCAACTCCAAGCCCAGTTCTAGATGTCAAATCGAGAAAATGGTGGTTCGTAGACTCTTAAAACGGGGCCGAGAGACTTCCCCGCGTGGATGTCGCTTCCGATCTGAGATTGTAACCCTCAGGTGATGCGATAAGGAAAACTGTGGGGGAGTTCATGGCGCAGGACCTGCGGCAGTCTTATCAGCGCACAGACCCCACTCCAGAAATGATAACAATAACCTCCAAATCAAAGCAATATCTGAAAAAAAACAATCCTTCTGCTATATTGCTTCCCCTCCTTCACGTGGGATAAGGAGGGTTCATGTGTCACTTGAATTTGCATTCTGCTCAGCCCCTTTAGGCAATCCTGAGGGGTACGACCCCACGTTCGGCTGTCAGACACGTGCGGATCAATGCGTACACGACTGACAGAAACGCTGACCATGGACTCAGACATTTGGCTGACAGAGAATCCCACCTCTACGTTCTGCCCCCCCC